AATACTGTGAACATCATATCCACTACGATTCTTACATATAGCGCACACATGCAGAAAGTGACTTCATTGGCACCTGACTACCTGGAAATTGACCACTTTGTAAAGCGGAAAGCAGGCCAATCGGCGCTGGAAGCTAGAGGTGCAAGCATGGGTCCATTATAGACCCTCTAAGTGAACCCGAGATCAAAATGGGAATGTTTCAACGGAGCAGCCCTTCAGTTAGAAAAAAATGTGCTGTATATATTTTAAAGAGAAATCCTTGTATTTTGAGGATCATTCAAACTTGAGCTAATATGAGCTCTCTACGTGAGAGAGAAATTTTAACAGGCTTCTTGAAAATTTTCAACTCTTGTTTCTTAAAAAATATTAATCTGAAAAAATATTAATCTAAAGAGAATTACAGATGTGATGACTGAATGCAAGTAGTCCCAAAACTATCTATTTTTCAAACTTAGTAAATGTTGTTATTTTGGGAGGAATTATTTAACAAGGTAGTTTAAATCTTCATCTTATGAGTGGCTTACGTTTTGTTCTACTCCTATCCAAACAGTGGAAGCATGAAAGCCAAAGTTGTACGCCCAACAATATGCACACTTACCACTGTTAAACAGTTGAATGTGATGTGTTCCAATGCAATTACCTGTCCCCACTTAGCCAAGAAATATATGAATTACAAACACAATGTATCTGAGAAAAGTTGAGAATACAAAGGAAAGTGAGAAAGGCAGTGCCTAGGCAAAGGCACACCGAATGCCTAAAAAGCAGGCCTGAACTTGGTGGTTTATGAAACACGTAATCTTGTTGTATCTTGTTTTTACCACTCAGCAGATTTTATGAGTTTGGTGTATTTTAAAGTGAGATAGCAAAATATGGGGATTTATGGATTCGTTTAGCCAAAGAATAAAGAGTTATAACTGGTAGATAATGTTGATATGGCAATGAGAGATTAAAAAGTGATTTTCATTGGATATTGATGTGTGATGATCTATCATGAGATGTGCAATGCATTTTTTTAAGTTGAATGCTTCAAGAAATGAACAATACAAATCAGTACAAATGTTTAATGCATACATCATTATCATTGATCAGTGAATGAACGTACATTTTCAACTTGTAACTGCTTGAGTGATACATCAGAAATACAGTATTTTAAAAATTCTAGATAATTGACTCCATTCTGGAAATCGAATTGTCTGATGTCTACCAACTAAAACAGTAGAAATTGTTCAACTAAAGCTAACTAAACTGATAAAAACATCTTTATCTGGACCCAAATGTGGGTTTGGAGGGGCGCAACAAATGTTTAGTATTGTGATTGTGTTCTAGGAAGGATATGTGCAGTATCTTACAAATTTATTGCATATTTCATCCTGTTTTTGTAAACAGATATTTCATATACTGTTGTGCTGAAACTCTGGTCCACACCTTAATCCCCTCAAGGCTGGACTATGGGAACTCTCTCCTCGCCGGCCTTCCCGGCACCTCCCTCCACAAGCTGCAGGTCATTCAGAACTCTGCAGCTCGTGTACTGTCCCGCACCAGGCTTCGGGACCACATCACTCCCACCCTCGCTCGCCTCCACTGGCTCCCCATCCCCCAGAGGATCGAATTCAAGATCCTCATCCTCACCTACAAGGCCATTCACGGCCTTGCTCCCTCCTACCTCTCCGACCTACTATCCCCCTACCTACCTCCCCGTACCCTCCGTTCCTCCGGCTCCGGTCTGCTCCACATCCCCCGCCCCAACCGCCCTACCATCGGTGGCCGGGTCTTCAGCCTCTCAGCCCCCAGGCTCTGGAACTCCATCCCCCAGTGCCTTCGCCGCCTCCTCCCTTTCCTCCTTCAAGGCCGATCTCAAGACCTTTCTCTTTGACCGTGCCTTCAGCTCCCCTCTCGACTTTCTACCCCCTCCTCACCCCCTCCCTTCCCTCCCCTCACCCTGACCATTTCCCCCCAATGCTCGAGTCCTGACCCAACTGTACAGCGCCTTGGGACGTCCTCCCGACGTGAAAGGCGCTCTATAAATGGAATCTTGTTGTTGTTGTTGAAATTGGGCTTGGAAATAGAAAATTATGGACATTGTGTCTGTCTATTATGAGTTAAAACAGAGTTAAAGCTCTTTCTATTCTGCGCCAAAATATATATGTATAAAATCTGTCTTTCAGAAGCATCCCTTTGTGTTCTTTCTTCTTCCCACACTGGGCATCCATGTGGCATCATTGACATTGCAATCCGTTGCCTGTTTTGTGCTACAAGTCTGTGCTTTCTGTCTTGTGAATTCATTCTTTCAGGCTACGATTGCACACGTTTTTCATGCGGAATCCTACAGCAGCAAAAGAGGAAATTTTATCGGTCTGTTCTAGGTTAAAAAGTTGCAACTTGTTTTAAGCTGGTCGAGCTAATGACACTAAACAAATGTATAAATCCAATATTAGACTCCTCTTTCTTCATTGGTCCTTGGGACACCAAATGTTTTGTTATGCAAGTTTTAAATATCAAAGTTATTTTATACTGTACTTGTACGTTTGTTACTTTTTCTATATTGAGAGATCTATGATGTACCTGGGGTTATGTTTTCTTAAAAGAAAACTCTACAAATGTTATTTTGGAAAATTTGGACAAGGTGATGAAATTGACTTCAGTTTTTCTTCCTTTTGTGTATAAATATCAGCAGATATTGTTGTCTCTGATTGTTATCTTCATTTCTGATGCAATGTATCTACCTAATGTTTGAGAACCCTCATCCTGTTTGCATCAAAACATTTTTTTTCAATTTGTTGAAAGTAAGTTTTAACCCCTTTTTTCATTTCCATTTGTAAACAAAGCTTGAATGTGCCTTTATCTACAGATCTAAATTTCCAAATGGCAAGTATGTTTACAAATATACTAGTAATGAAAAAATGTTGAATTCAAGCACTGTATGACACATGACTAGATTCTACTTCATGCTTTTAACTGTGTGAATTGCACGGCAGAGCAGTATAAGGTTGATATTCTGCAAAGATGAGAACAAATGAGTCCAAACCCCTCTTGTGATCTTGTTGCCATAAAGCCTAAAAATACACTTTTGTGTGTGATGCAATCACAACAATGTCACCAGTTTTATGCAGGAAAGGATGTAGCTACTAAGTCAAATGTAGCATGTCACATGTCAATATTGATTGGTTTGATTCTATTTGTCATTGGCTACAATATTTAACAAACTGAATACTTTTTCACACAATGTACTTATACATCTAGTATACCAGAAATCGTTTTCTTTCATTCGGTGTAATATATATGGTAGTTAGCTATTATCATTCGAACTGTGTGTAACAAAAAGAGACAACAGTAAACTGACATTTGACAGTTATCAGTTTCTGAAATAGCTAAAATCTTTTCTCCCCTATCAGTTTGTCAATATTAACTTTCATTCATTTTAAAAACTGCAATTCTTTTAAAATGTACATTTTACTCCTGGCCTAAACAAGTCATGCCATTAACATAACAATATTAAATTTGTTTTCTTCGAGTTTTAGTTACTTAAGAAAAAAAGAAAAACTATTTAGAACTTAATATGTGAAGTTCAAGTTACCTTTGTGTTTGAGTTATCTTAAAGCCAAAATGTCAACCAGAATTTCCACAAATAATGACTTTGAAAAATGTACATCTGAAGGTGACCACTGGGATCAAAATGTGTTTGGCATTTGTAATATAAGTGTTTGTGGCATTTTATCGTTCAGCTTCAGAAAATTCCTGATTGTGCTAACCAGATATATACTGCATATACATGTATACTGCATATACAGAAAGAAGGATAATAATAATACTTGCATTTGATATAACGCCTTATCATGTCTTCTAGATGTTCCAAAGCGCTTCACAGAATATATTGTAAAGTGAATTGACTGTATATTTTGTGGGTGAAACGCAGCAGCCAATTGAAGGAACTATTTATTAATATTAAGCTATGATAGTTTAACAAGGAGGTTATTATTGTGCAACATAAATTACTGCACTGTCTATGCTTTCTTTAAAAAGAGGTAATGTATTACCTGGTGAGATATTTACTGATTTGCTTAGTTAGTACTGACTATTCTTGGCTTGTTGCCTACTCGTCTCCGTCCAGGCTGTAAAATACCTAGATTTTATGTCCAGATTCGTACTATCTGAAGGGAGTAAAAGTAAGGATATAATTCCAGATGATAGGAACATTTTAATATTTGCATTATGTAATTTTGCCCATTGAGAAACATCAATGTATTGCTGTCTACGTGTAACAGTGATACTAACTAAGCGACATAAGAAAGTCTCTTTGTGGAAAGCTCTATCCATACAACAGAAAAAAGATGGTTGACACAAGTGATGACTGGCTTTTCCCAATAGTCTGTGGTTCGTTTGCTTAGAACTTTTTCTGATCCTCAGAAGTATCCCTTAAACTCCTTAGCATTTTGGGAAGAGTCTGCAGAATTTAAGCTTATTCCCAACAGAAGCACAATGGTACATTTATATTGCCATATATTCATGCTTTGAAAACTTAAATAACACGTTTAGCACATGCGGAAATGTACCTGAGATTTTCAAGAATAAAGGCTGGACAAAGAACTATATTCACCTCTCATCACCTCCCCTTGAACATCTCTCACAGCAACAGAATGCCGCGCATATCCCCACTTTAAATGAACCTTTGTAAAGGCATCTGTGCTCTGCTTTCCTGCACTATATTTTGGCTGCAATCACAATGCTTCTCCTGATGCAACACTAGTTTTACTTGGCTCCTTAGAATTCCATTCTATGAAAAATATATAATGAACATTTTATTGTTATCCTGTTTTTGTGTGTTCATAGTTATAAGGTATTTTGTTAGTTTTGTTTCCTGCAGATCTAAAATGTAAGATTTTAAAATGTCATAAAAACACATTATTATTGAGGTGTCAGATATTGTCATAACATAATGAATTAGAGCTGGCTAGGTCTTTTTTTCCACAAGCAGTAATTGGATTCATGTTTCCTGCTGATAGGTGCAGCAACAAGTTCATCCTCAACTTAAAGCTAATGATCTTGCAATGAAGTATATTGAAGAGCTAATTCTACAGCTACTAAGCATGCTCTGTCTAGCCCAGCCTCGTAGTGTCCAAGATGTGGAGGTAGGCTGTGGTTAATCAGTTACAAATATCTGCACTGTATAACAAGATTCTCCTGTATTTTGTTTATAAAATCTGTACATTGCAGTTATGATGTATTAACCAAAGTTAATTTTGAAAATAAGATACCTTATAAGGGTTCAAGTTGTAGAATACACTTTGTAATGTTTATCTGATATGCTTTGCTTCTGATGTTCACTGAAAAAATCGTCATAAAATATCAACAGGATAGAAACTTGCCTCTTGTACATGATGGCTCTACAGTTAAAATCCCATGCTTTTGGCCATCCCACCTGACTTAAATAAATTTGTACTGTGCATGTCAATCTGATAATCATATTGAAATTTTAAAATCTTATAAACTTGTGACTTCCAATTTTATTTCAGATACTGTTAATGTTGTATTGCTGCACAAAACTAAGATTTTGAAGTGTTTAAAGTCATACTTTATAAAGGTGTCATAAACACCTGGACTTGCTAACAATAAAGATTGCATGTGTGATATTGGAGGCCATAGCATGACATGTATTTTTTGGTAGAGCAGAACTAAAGTAGCTTTTACTACGCTCACTCAGGGTTTGCATTTGTAGTAATTGTTGTTAACCCAAGAAAATGTTTAATTGCTAAATAGAAGTATTTAAGATTATTTACTTTAACATAAAAAAGAGACCTCTGCTGGGCAAAGTGTATAATTGTTTTTGGACACTTTCCAAAAGGATTTCATTAAAACATGCTTAATCAGCATTAGATTCAGTTGGGCTGTGCTTTAGAGCTATTGTTTTTAATAGAATTCAGCACAAGTCACCGGTCAGTTTTTAGAATAGTGTGTAATAATGGGAAAGTCTGTGTTAATCCTTCCACTGGCCAGGCCTGGTTTTCCAAATGCTTTCAAAATACAGTCAAACCTGTTAAAGCACCCACCTTTGTTCAGCAACAGTCTGCTGTCAACAACCACCCCGGAACAGTCCTAACCAATTTGCATAATAAACCACCTCAATTCAAAAACCACCTGCCTAACGCAAATAGTGGCCACTTTTTTTTAGTACTGGCAGTGTTTTGGCACACCCTTTGCAGCCGCCAGATTTGGTGCAGTGGGCTGCTCAGCGTGATGATGGCGCGCACGAGGAGTTAAACGCTCTTTGGAACTTCATCCCAGACTCTCTGACCCAACCCCCTCCACCTTTAAGCCCTGCCTTAAGATTCTCTTCCACACTTTATCTCCCCACTCCTGCCCCCTCCACCCTCCCCAAAAAAGCTTTGTTACCCAATTAGCTATGTGAACCACTTTGAAACATCCTCCCTGATGAGAAAGATGCAATGTAAACTGTTGTGTCCAGAATTTGGCAAACTGTTGAATTCAGTTTTTTCTCTCGTTCTTATATTTCCAGATAACTGTCTTCAAAATTTAAGCTGTATTTGAGAATTTGCCAAATCTTGAATGCTCTAAACTGTTATGTTAATAGAGTAATCCAAGTCCCAGGTGACATTTCTCTCCATAGATTTTGCAGTTAAAAGCCTAATTGAAAATGTGTTAAAATCCACAATTCAGAATTATTAGTACTTCAAAGCATTTTCTCCTCGCCCTCAATGGTGTTCCAATTGAAATATGGGGAAAAAAGCTATGGCATTCATTTCACGGAAAGTTTGAGCAGCTCTTTGTCTGTCCTTCAGGAACGTGTGCAGAAAACATTCCCTCACCCAATAGACAAATGGGCCATAGCAGATGCACAATCTGCCATAGAAAAACGGAAGCGTAGAAATCCCCTTTTATTACCCGTTGACAAGATTCATCCTCTTCTAAAGGTAAGTCTTGCATAACTTTGAAAAAGTTTTCTTTGTCATGAGAAAGCTTTAGCAGTATAATGCATATAATTAAATGCTTTCATATCATCCTCCAATGCTTTTTAGAACTAGAAAGTTGGACATAAATGTTTGAGTCACATTGTTATACTTTGTACTGTTTATACTTTTATTTCTGATATGAGTGATGCAGACTACACCATGGTGACCTATTATTCAGATCAGGGTCCAAACTGTTATGATCATGATTTATGGAAGTCAATGAATCTGTAATACATGTTATACAAAGCTTATCATGTTGGAACCACATATTGTAGTTCAGTGTGACACTCCAGTGGGGGATCATTGCTTTCAGAGGTGCCATCTTTTGGGCAAGTCTGCTTGATCAGGTAGCCATAAAGAATCGCATAACCCAATTTTAAAAAAGAAGGGAGTTTTTCCATGGTGATCTGGCCAATAATCCTCCAGATAAAAATAATCTTTGATTGAAGAAAATCTTTAGATTAAAGAGTCATTTGCTTAATGGCTATTTGTTAGACCCATGTGCATAAATTGGCTGCTACGTCACTTCCAAATTTAAAATCCCTCCAGTTGACCTGTGAAGTACATGAGACATTTAAGTATTATTGGTGCTAAATCAAAATGCAACCATTTGATTCCCAATGGAAACTATAACCTCCAATGGCTTTCTTTTCCATGGCCAAAAGTTCACCTCTGGTGTGTTTTGTTACTCTCCTATTTATCATCCATGTGTTGCCCCATGGCAGCACTACCTGCAAGCGTAGGATCAGCTTATGTTTATCCATTGACTCGATTCTACCTCTGCCATTACCCTTGAGTCCAGGACTTGCTGTTCTGACTGACTTTCTGACAGTAAGCACTGGATGAACCGCAGGGTTTTTTTTACAGCTGAATGTCAACAAGACTGAATCTTGTTTTTCTTGTCATCACACTTCTGGCTGCATATTCGGAGTGAACAAGGTGGTGGTTGCCTGCCGGACTGAATTTTAAGCATCATGTCCTGTTCATAACCAAGACTATTTGGAACATTGTCTGCTTATGCCCTTACCTTAACCACACTGCTGGATTTCTTATTCATGCATTCATCATCTTGAGGGTAGATTTTTGTCAGTTCTCTCCTAGGTGGATTTCCAGCTTAACTTTTCTACAAGGTTTAATAAATCCAGAATTTTCAAGAGTTCTCTGTACTTCAGCAAGATCACAGTACCTAAGCATACTTAGCGTACTATGTTTGACATTATTGTCCTAGACTCCATTTATAATCTTGCCCTACCCTGCTTTTGCAATTTTTTGTATTCTGTACCCTCTGCTTTTGTCTAACTGATACAATTGTTCTTCATGCTTTGAATTTGAAGCATCCGTCATACACCAAATTCCCACCCTTAATGCCCCAACAATCATTCTAATTGTTTTTCTCCATTGAAATCGATTGCCTCTTGTTCTTGGCTGAGAATTGAATTGATGAGGTTAGCTCATAAGGTGTTTTCATACCATATGGGAAAGACAACCACATATTTGAAAACATCTTCAAGTGATGGTTTGCCTTGTTATTTTCTTCCCTTCTCCTATTAGTATTATGTAGAGAATGAAGAAAGCTTTATCAGGTAGAATCAAGTGCTCTGAGAAGCTGCTCACATGAAGGGAGCTATATAAATCCAAGTTGTGTTTTTGTTGTTGAATCTATGCTTTCCTCAATCCAAGACTCAACTATTACTGTTTTTCATCTACTTTCAGGAGGTTCTTGGTTATAAAGTCGACCACCAAGTTTCTGTTTACATTGTAGCAGTGTTGGAATACATCTCTGCTGACATCCTTAAACTAGCAGGAAATTATGTACGAAACATACGGCACTTTGAAATTACTCAACAAGACATTAAAGTGGCAATGTGTGCTGATAAGGTAGGAAAACTTCTAAACATACATTTTTAAAGAAAAACTTAAATGTTGTACTGGTTCGATTTACTCAAATGATTATATATTTTCGGCCCCTTATAACAACGCCTCCCCCCACCCCCTTGAAATTCCATTCAATTGTTTTTAAGGGTAGAGAGGTAAGGTTTAAGGACCAGGGATTGAATGGCTTGCTTTCTAGATGGTGTCTTCTGTGGATCTGTTATTTATTAAAATGCCTTACACGGGTTCCTATGTTTGATGAAACCTATTAGCATTGTTTGAGGATTGAGCACTTTTGAGATCCCATTTTAATTAAGACTCCAGATAGTATCTGAACTCTGTCAGTTTCAAGTTGAAGCTCAATAGTCTTTTGTTCCTCTTCTGATAATCTGAAGAAAAGCTTGGAGTGCCATAGCCAGAGTATCACAGATATCTTATGAAATTAAGATGCTGAGTTTCTTTTCTTGTCTGAATAGTGGTAAAATAATTGTTGTAATTAGCCTGTTATCAATTGGCATTAAAAAAAAGTTCATTCTACCTTATTTTATTGGGAAACCTCAAAAGCAATAGATTTTAAAATATTTTCTATTCTGCTATGTAGAATAGTCTCCGTGCATTTTAGCCAATTATTGTTTAGAATTTTTTGCTTTGGAAGAATGTTTTTTTGTCAAATCTGCCCTAATGCAGATAGTAAAAATCACCCCAAAGGTCCACTATTCTTTGCAGGCAGTACTGCTCAGCTGCGATCCTAGGAGATAGTACTAAAAAGGTAAGTTACTTGCTTATTATGGTTTCATTATTATTCAATTGGAAATTGTCTTCTGTATTTATGCCCCTATCCCATTTTACCTTGATAGTTAATTCATGTTCTTCAAAATTAATTTAATGATCCTTGCATTTGGTATAGCCTATTATCACATCATCTCATAGTGCTTCACAGGATACATGTAAAGTGTATTGACTGTATTTTATGGGGAAAAACCACAAAAAACGTAAAGTACCTTTCATGTCAGTAGGACGTCCCAAGGCGCTGAACAGTCAGAAATCAGAACCCGAGCGTGGGGGGCAGTGTTGGGATGAGGGAGGACAGAGGGGGTAGGAGGGCGGCTGAAGGCATGGTCAGAAAGAAGGGTCTTGAGTTGTGCCTTGAAGGAGGCAAGAGAAGGAGCATGGAGAAGGGATTGTGGGATGGAGGTCCAAAGAGTGGGGGCAGAGAGGCTGAAAGCCTGGTCGCCAATAGTAGTGCGGGTCTCCAGGAGACCTGGAACAGGTCGGAGCATGCTGATCGGAGGGAGTGGAGGTTGATAGGGAGTTAGCAGGTCAGAGATGTAGGAAGGGGCAAGGCCGTGGAGGACAAGGATTTTTAATTCTATCCTGGGTATCGAGTGCATGGGGAACCAGTGGAGCCGGGCGAGGGTGGGGTCATGGAGCCTGGTTTAGCCTCATGGGAGAGGACATGAGCTGCAAAGTTCTGGATGATCTGCAGCTTGTGGAGGGAAGAGTTGTGGAAACCGACAAGGAGGGAATTTCCGTAGTCAAGCCTTGAGGTGGGGAATGCAATGTATGAGGGTTTTGGAGGCCTGAGGGTTGAGGCAGTAGTGGAGTTGGGCAATGTTGCGGAGGTAAGGGAAGACAGAACGGCAAAGATATGGGGGAGAAAGGAGAGTTGAGGGGTGAACAAGACGCCCAGGTTCCTAACTGGTTTGGTGAGGTGGATTGTGCAACCTTGGATGCTGATGTTGCCAGTGCCTGAGGTGCTGAGGCGCTGGCGTGAGCTAATCAGGAGCACCTCGGTCTTGCTGACATTCAGCTGTAGAAAGTTGTCTCTCATCCAGGACTTGATGTTGAACAGACAAGTCTGTCATGACGTCAGTTGTCCTGGAATCGAGGATGGAGGCAGAGAGATAGAGTTGGGTGTCATCTGTGTACATGTGGAAGTTGACCCCATGTCTGTGGATGATATCACCAATAATAATAATAATAATAATCCTTGCATTTGATATAGCGCTTTTCACGTCGGGAGGACGTCCCAAAGCGCTTCACAGAACACACTGTAAAGTGAATTGACTGTATATTTGTGGGCGAACGCGGCAGCCAATTGCGCACAGCAATGTCCCACAAACAGTCGTAGATTGAAAATGACCAATTTTTTTTTATTATTGTTTTTGGTTTTTGAAGGGATTATTATTAGGCTCTGTGTGGAGTAAGGAAACTTGCCCAAGGTTTCGCCCTGCCGGGAATTGAACTCAGATCTCTCGCTTGCAAAGCGAGTGCTCTAACCACTGAGCTACAGGACTCCACACCAAGGGGGAGCATGTAGAGGTTGAACCTTGTTAGTTATTGGCACCTAATATTTTCTATTGTCGGAGAGAGAACCAAATGATTTCTGGAAGGGGCAAGTCCAGTAGCCAAGCATAGTTGTGAGTCCAAGTAATTTAACCTAGTCAGCTTCATGTTGTATCTTGCATTTTAAGAAGGTGGAGAAGGGTTGTTTCTGTGGGCCTTTGCCAAAAACCCAACAATGTACTCCATATCTCCTCTATGCTGGCTGGAGCTGTTCTTCTGCTCGAGTCCTGTTGATGGCCTGTTTGCAATTATTGAAAGTGTCTCTCAGTTCTTGATTGTGGGGAAGTCCCATTGTTCTGAGCATTATGAGATGTCACACAAGTAATTGGGAAGGGGAAGAAAGGAAACTGCCTCAACCACCATGGATAAGAACAGCCAATATGGGAATATAACATCAGTAAATGTGAAGTGGGTTGCATGAGGAAACTAGACATTGGCAGAATCAACATGCTTTTCATCCGAGAGATGATGGGGATCATTCAAAGTGGTTCCACAGGTCCAGCACATGGCAAGGATCCCAATGTAGCCATTAACGCCCAAGGGACTCCAAACATTTTGAAGGAAAGTCTTAATCTGCTCATGATTATTCTTTTTATTGCCTCTAACAAAAAGACTACAGCATCCATAAATATGATTTCATTGGTTTGTCGTTCAGCCATTTTGAAGAGGTGTATTAATTTTCTATCCAAATTCCATCTGCAATGTTACAAATGTTAAGACAGAATTTTGGGCCTTATATTTTCTAGGTTCTAATGGATATGTTCCATCAAGATGAGGAAGATATAAGCTTGTGGTCCCTGACTGAGGAGGAACCCTCTACCTCTGGCGAGCAAAACTACTATGACTTAGTGAAGATGTATATGTCTGAGATTCGACAGTATCTAAGAGAACTGAATCTCATCATCAAAGTCTTCAGAGAGCCCTTTGTATCTAATGCGAAGCTGTTTTCTTCAAATGTATGTTTTAAGTTTTCTATCTACTTAATTTTAAGATCCTTCAATTTTCCCTGCATACAACAACAACAAGATTCCATTTATAGAGTGCCTTTCACGTCGGGAGGACGTCCCAAGGTCATATACACTGACTCAACCAAGTTTATGGTTTCATGAATTCTTCATGTATGCTCAGACAGTGAGTGGCAAATCAACAGATTATTTGACGAAGGGAGCTGAATCCATTCCTATCCTATAACCACTCTGATGATCACAACTCTCACTTTCTCTCACCACCCCACTATGTCATTGTAGCCATTCCTCTTAGTCATACCTCACATATCACATGTGCTAAATCCAAGAGCAGCCTATCTCCAGACAATCACTAGTGCAACGACTAAGCAACTCCCCTTGGGAAGTGTGGACAAAGCGCGGTCTGGTTGCAACGCCCCATATTTTAGCTTAGTTCCTGGCAGTGTTGTTTAGATCTAGAATCTTGTGCCAAGGAAAACTAGCTTTTCACTAAATCAGCCATTAATAATCAAACTGTACTGAACTCTAAATCGTATTTACTTTGTTTTTTTAAAAAATCTTTGAAGTGTTTGATGTTAGATTTCAAAATACTGGAAATTTTAGGTTTCCATTGGCAAGAGTGTTTGTGAATCACTGGTATACTGTAATAAGCTAGACATTTTACAACTAATCTGCACATTTACAGAACATGAAGTAAAATGTGCGAGTTTCTGAAAAGTATTACATGAACAAAACTTCTATTTGGAATTATGCATTCTTCAAGAAGCTCAACTAAATAAATAAAAAAAACTTTTTTGGAAAGGTGTTTGTTTTGGTAAACTATATTTTTAAAAAATCCTGTTCAAGTATTCATGCATCATATGTACTATTAATTCCCTATATATGACATGCACAACCAATATTTAGCACTAGATGGCAATACATTTACAAAAGTTGAAAACAAAACTCAAAAAATGTAATTAATTTATTTTCTATATTGAAATAGTTTTATGTGGAATCCAATCTAAAAATTTTTTTTTAAAGTTAAGATTAGATAGTAGAAATTCATGAAATGTAGCACCGCTATTTAATCCTGGGATTCTTGATTAGTTAATATCAAAAATCTTTAAAGAAGTATTTTGTATCTTAGTAGTCCTAATAGTCCATATCTTGGAGTGTACTTCATAGGAAATGACTGCTACTTAACCCTGATCAAGAACCTTGGCCACACAATTTGTCCCGCAAGCTTGAAAGCTGTGGAATATTGGTGATGAATCTCCAAACATAATTACTGATCCCGTTTTCTTTGTTGATAGCTTTCTCTGTTTATAGCTTTATTTATAAAGTTTTGTTTTTAAAATGGTATTCTACTCTTGTAGGATGTGGAAAGCATATTTAGTCGTATTGTGGATATCCATGAGTTGACTGTGAAGCTATTGGGCCTCATTGAAGATACTGTGGAAATGACAGACGAAGGAAGTCCCCACCCATTAGTGGGAAGCTGTTTTGAAGATTTAGCGGAGGTAAGCTGCAAAATCTTAGGAGCCAGAAACAAAAATGAGTATTGTCAAAGCCACACACACCCAACTTAAATTCTGGTATGCAGTGGACCCTCAATGCAGGGGTTGGAATCCATAAAGTACCAAACCATTTTATTATGAGGCACAATATCTGGTTTCAGCGTGCATATGTGTAGCTTGCTTCCTGCATGCTGCATAAAATAATCTATTTATTAAAATCTGCGGAGAACACTGCCTTTCTTAAAAAAAAGCTGTGAAAATAATTCAGATATGTCTTATTTTCTCTGTTGTTTTCCAGGAATTAGCATTTGATCCATATGAGAACTATGCACAAGACATTCTACGGTCTGGCTGTCACGATCATTTTCTTGGTCTTCTTTCAAAGCCAGGAGCTGCCTTCTATTTACAGGTAGGATAACTAAAACTTTCAATAACTTAGAATTGACCCTTACAAAATCACCTCAAATTTATCTTCATTCTCAAACTAATGAATGTTTAATTTCAGTCTATAGGTGAGGGTTTCAAAGAAGCTGTCCAGTATGTTCTTCCTAGGCTGTTGTTAACACCTGTATACCATTGCCTCCACTATTTTGAACTTCTGAAGGTAAGGACTGAGTTGCTTAACAGAATTTAAATCAAAATATAGTGCACTTCATATTTTTCAAACACTCATCTGTCAAAGTGGATGGCAGGTTGATAAAGGTTTAATAAATGGGGGTATGGCATATAAAAGTAGAGGGCCAATGCTGAGCTTGTATACATTTTTAATTAGATTGCAGTTGGGGTATTGAGACAAGGGCTAGAGACAAGAAATGGGAGGCAGAAATACACAGAGGCAGAAGAAAAGAATCCCTTCTCAAACAAAGTACTTAATGCCAGCTACCAGTAGCTCGCTCCTGCAAACCTTCATTCCCGCATAAGTCTTCCTTATATGATTCAACTGTCATCATTTAATGTTGCGTCTAAAAATCACAAATATTGCTTAGCAGTAGAGGCTGCAGATGAAAGTATAGAAACGTTTGCCAATACTTTTACACACAATAAAGCCAGGTATTTTTACAGATGTGTAGCAGAGAGGGTACTTGTAACGGAGGATGATGTTTGTAGCGGGTTCTGTGGGGAAATTTGGGGTCACACTTTTCCATTGGCCTAGGTTATAATCTGTTCATTGCACTAAATGACCACTAGATGTCGCTCATTTATTTCCTCTGAGGCCTTTCACCAAAGTTTTTCTTCTTCATTTTGAGACCAGAGCTCTCTGTGCCTCTCTACTTGACCTTTCTGATGTCTTCTAGACTGTTGACCACTCCATCCTCCTTGATAGCCGCAACTCTCTCATCCACCTTTGTGGAACCACATTCTGGTTCCAATTCTGCCTAACTCACTGCCTGCACTTCATTTCCTCCGATGGCTGTTCCTCCTTCCCCACAGTCATCTCCAGTTTACCTCGGGGTTTATCCTGGATCCGCTCCTTTTCCTCATCTACTTGGTCCTTCTTGGTGACATCGTCTGCAAACATGGGTAATTTCTATGTGCGTGCTGACTATACTCAAATCTATCACTCTACCTCCACGCTTGATTCCAGGTGGACAAATATTCTGACCGCTTACCTGTCACATCAACTCCTGGATCCAGCTCAACGTAAACAAAATGGAAGTTGTTCTTCTCAGATCCCTCCATTGCCTCCTCTAGTGGCTGCGATTACCTCAGTTTTCCTGCCTGCTCTCTTCATTTTGTTGAGCCTGTGGCATTCTATTTTGACCTTCAGGTCTTGACCAAGACAACTTTTCTTCATCATCACGTCACCCATCTCTATCCCTATCTCACCCCCAATGTGCAGGCTTAAATCTTTATCCATACAATCGTCAACTCCTGATTGGGTTCCTCCAATGGCCTCACTTCTCTCCCCAGTTCTACTATCCACAAGCTCTAGTTCATCCAAAATTCAGGGGATGGGAAGATTACTGAAGGTGCAGTCAAAGAGGAAGATCTTGTGATAAGTCTTGAAGGGGCATCCGGAAGGACGGGATGAAGTTTCAGAGAGGGGGAGATAGAAAGTCTGAAGGTTTGACATCCGGTGCAGGTTGGGCAGGTCGTGGGATGTGAAGCAGGCCAGCGCCTGCCAAGTGGAGGGAGCAGGCGGATTGATAGTTTTAGAAAATCACAGAGGTGGGTGGAGCAAGACCATGGAGAGCTTTAAAAGTGAGGAGGGGGGTCTTCAGCTCGACCTTCTGGGGATGGGGATGCTGTAGCGTATTGGTTGGAGCACTCGCCTCGCAAGTTTCCTTACTCTACATGTCTCTTGTTTACCTAGCAGTAAGTAGGATCCCGGCTGTTAGTTGATTGGCGGATCACTTTTCCGGGGGTAATAATCCTTCAAAAAGAATAAAATAAATCCACAACTATTTGTGGGACACTGCTGTGTGCAATTGGCTGCCGTGTTTTGCCCACAAAAATATATAGTCGATTTATTTTACAAAATATTCTGTGATAATGTGCTACATCAAATGCAAGGATTATTGTTATTAACCAGACAAGGTTGGGGGTGATAGGCTCACAGAGCATGGTGTGGGAGAAGACATGAGCTGCACAATTCTGAATGGTCTGAACAAGATGCCGAGATTCTGCACTGGCTTGGTGAGGTAGAATGTGCATTCATGTATAGTGATGCAGTAGGCAACTGAGTTTCATTATTTTAACATTGTTTTGAACCTAATTTCTTTCAAGAAGCACCTGAGAGTTTCACCACCACTATTTTACTGAATTCTATCCAGTGGAACAGGTCTTGTAATTAAGTGCCTTGTGAATAAGGCAAAGCACCTCTCACATTGTAGAGAATAAAGCAGCTTTGCTCACTAAGGTTATCAAAAAAAAATCTTTTGGACATCGTACGGGTTTGCAGAGGACTGTTTTTCAGCCAATGAAGATGTCATCGACTGAGCATTGACCTGATCATGTCTATGATGCAACCAGTTTAAACTTTTACGTGAAAAAAAAATTGGCAAACTTGAAAAGGCTGATAGAAGACAACCAAGCACACTGATAAGCCCCCAAAGTCCCCAAACCTTTACAGAATAAGCTGTTTAAAGCGTAAAGTTTGCAGAATAAACTCAGAAAGTTTACAGAGGCTTGACATTAAAGATTGAGACCTTTGGAAAACATAACATTTTATTTTTAATCTTTTGGGTTGAATATACAATCAATTCCTGTCTTTTTCAAACATTTTTTCAAATCAACTTAATAATAGCTATAGGAATAAAGAGTGATGCAGCAGTGGTTATTATATCTTTGTACTGTATTTTTGAAATGGGAGTCAAGATACAAAAGATTTTTGTTTTCTGTTATATATGTCAGGTGTAAATTATGCCCGCTTGTAGTCTTCTTGTTCATTTTTTATTTCTGTATTCACATTTCTATAAAGAAACTCATGTTTCTACATTTTTTATGCACAAATATTTGTTATGGACATGAAGGCAATATTCATACTTATTTATATCAAATTGATTTTACTAAATATACTTTCATCGTGAAAATGTTTTAAAGATTTTTTTTACTAATGGTCACAATAGAAGAGGTTTAATTTTTAATGCAATTTCATTTCCAATATATTTTAAACTGGTTTCAGGGAGAACATTTGGTATTCCTTTGCATAGGATCATATTTCAACATCTCTAACTTCCTAATATCATTCAGTATTTTGAAATGTACTCCTTTTTATTTAAATAAACTTATAAAAGAAACTGAACAAATACATTTTCTCTCCAGTGCCAGAATACAGACAGCAAAATAGACTTTGCTACATAATTAAGTATGCTGGGTTTTCTGAGCACTTAACCAGAACAATCAGTTGTCATGTCACACTGGAACTGAGTAGGTGTTTGCCTGTAGGTCTCATCTACATATTAGCTGCTAATCATGTTGTCCTAGCAATAATACCCAGCGTTCTGATGTGAATTCCCTGAAGCATTATCATGTTGCGGTGGCTTATTACAAAAAGCCAGTTGCATATTACAAAAAACAAATCTGATAGCTTCAAGGAACAGCAAAGCCAACATCACACTGTATGTCAGGTCCTAATATCTGGGGTACCTCATTCTACCTCAACTATTATTGTGACCAAGGTAAACCGAGAATAAGTCATTAATACCAATTTCTTTAAAATTCTTTAATTATTTTGAAAGCAAAAACTTGTAGCATTGCGAATCTTTTAGCAGTAAAGATTATTTGATGGATTTAAAAATATTTAGTGAAAGTGATATCCTTGGTAAATATTAGATTTTTTTCATCAGGAATATTTTTTCTGTTTTATTTGTACGTATCCAATATGATTAGAATTTTCCTTTAATTTCCCCCATTATTACATCAGCAATTGGAAGAGAAGAGCGAAGATGAAGAGGACAAAGAATGCTTAAAACAAGCCATAACAGCCCTGCTTAACCTTCAAAGCAGCATCGAAAGGATTTGTTCAAAAAGCCTTGCGAAAAGAAGGCTGAGGTAAGCGCATTTCCATTCATTCCTGCACTTCTCTTGATTGGCCACATCTGTAAGTTCCCTTTGTCCTGGTTTCCTCTTGGTGTTAGCAAAACCCAACAATAGTAGGTTTGGTGGTAGGCCTGATTTTTTCATATGGGAAGTGACATCAAGAACAAAAAGCTTGTTTTTATTCAAAGAGTTTTGTGCGTCTTAAGTTGCCTGTATAACTGGAGCTAAAATCCAGCGGCATCCTGAATATGAAATGACTTCTTTGCTGAGCATCAAGCGGTAAGCAGTGAAGCACTTTGAGAGGAACAAGTTAAAACAGTCATTTTTTAAAAGTAACGAATGAAACTTACCAAGTTTGTTTGAAATGCCTTCAGACAGTCCTAAATTTGTTTTAAAAGTATTGATTGAAAATGATGAGTCTGTGAAAGTGCTGTAGTCCCCCAAAAAAGGTTTATGTATGTATTTTTCCTTTTGTTGAATTATCTTGTCTGTGTTTTCCTTTGTTTTGAAGGTGTTGTATACTGAGACGTGAATTGCAGTCTTTTCAAATAAGGCAAAGTGAACGTACAGCTTTTTGAACTGTACAGTCTTTTACGTCTGCTCTGATCCGAGGGAAGATACTATTTAAGTGGGAAAAACATTGGATAACCTGGTAGTTCTCGCCACTGAATGATTGCACCCTTAATCAGAGAGTTAGAGTATAAATTTTTGGCTTGGTTAACATTAAATTAACCAACCTGTTCTGCATGAATTTGTGGTTTCGCCCACAAAATATACAGTCAATTCACTTCACAGTATATTCTGTGAAGCGCTTTGAAGTGTCTCGAAGATGTTATAAGGTGCTGTATCAAAGCAAGGATTATTATTGATTGCTAAGCAGAATTGATTTGTGTAACTGTACAGAGTGCTCAATTGGAGCAGACTAAGGACCTAAAAAGAAAGAAGCAATAAAGAATATAATCAAGAAAATAGTATTTCATAGATTGTTACAGAGCTAATTGGTGTCAAAATTAGCACTAATGCACACCAACTAGCTTAAACATTCAGCAGTATTCCAGTAATTTTCTAATTGAATCATTATTTGTTTCTTGCAGTGAGTCTGCATGTCGCTTTTATAATCATCAAATGAAAAGCAAGCATCTGGCAATTAAGAAAATGAATGAAATTCAGAAGAACATTGACGGCTGGGAGGGCAAAGACATCGGACAGTGCTGCAATGAATTTATAATGGAAGGGACACTCACACGTGTGGGTGCCAAACATGAAAGACACATATTCCTATTTGACGGCTTGATGATTTGCTGTAAATCAAATCATGGTCAGCCAAGAATGCCTGGTGGTAGCAATGCAGAATATCGTCTCAAAGAGAAATTGTTCATGCGTAAGGTACAGATCAATGACAAAGATGACACTAATGAGTACAAGCATGCTTTTGAAATTATCTTGAAGGATGAAAACAGCGTGATTTTTGCTGCCAAATCAGCAGAGGAAAAGCATAACTGGATGGCAGCTTTAATTTCTTTACAGTATCGTAGTACACTGGAGAGAATGTTAGATGCCACTATGTTACAAGAGGAAAAAGAGGAGCCACTTAGGCTTCCAAGTCCTAGTGTATACAGGTTTTCTGAGCCAGATTCTGAGGAGAACATTGTGTTTGAGGAGAATGTACAATCAAAATCAGGAATTCCTATTATCAAAGCAGGCACTGTTGTAAAACTGATTGAACGGCTTACTTACCACATGTATGCAGGTAAGTCTACTCTTTTCATTGCAAGCTGTCTCTATTCAGCTGTAGTTTAATCATGTACTTGAAGAAAGCAAAATATTTCCTGTTCCTCATACATGGGAAGAACATGATATTTTTCATTTATAGAGTTCCATATCGTTGCACAGTTTTTGAAGACCTTTAACTTTCCTATAGGTAGCAGAAATGTTACCAACAGAGATTTAACCAGAAAGGCCTACACTAATGTGACTTAAGAACCTAAAATGCTGCTTGTATGTGTGGGCTTGTAATTCAGATGGATAGCAAATACCTTATCCATGAGAGAGTGCAACAAAGGAACATTTCACGAGCTAACGTTTTTGTTTGAACTATTTCTATGTTTAAAACAAATTGGTAAAAGTACCTACAGTCACTGCACTTTACAATATATCCTGTGAAGGGCTTTGAGATGTCCTCCAGACATGAAAGGCACTATACTGGAATGTAAGGATTTTTATACTTTTTTATTTCAACAGTTGCTAAAGCTAAATTCAGAGTAAAAGCAATGGCAATGTTACACGAACTTCAAAGACTGGTAATAGTCCAATTATGTGTTTTAAATGTTTCAAAATACTAATTTTTGTATCTCCTCTGATTGGTTGTTTTCTTGCAATAAGTTGTATTTGCAATCTAAACTGGGAGCTCATAGTCTCAGCTGGCACTCCAGTGCAGTCCTGGGCGAGGATTTCTCCCACTATCCTGACCAACAATCCTCCTACATATATAATGTATATATGCTCCATCTGGGCGATGTCATACGCAGACACAGGGTAAACTTCCATATGTATGCAGATGACACACAAATCTACTTTGCCTCCTCCAATACCAACTCCAGCTCTGCCAATTTTCTCTCAGCTTGTCTGGCAGACATCGGGGCCTGGATAAGGTTAAACGTCCTGCAGCTGAATGTGGACAAGACGGAAGCCATACTCCTTGGCTCTCGTCAACATCTTCACTCCTGCGGATCTGAACTCCTCAACCTCCCTGGGCTATTCCCCAGACTCACCGAACCAGTGCGCAATCCAGGTGTCCCATTCAACCCCCAGCTGTCCTTCCACCCCACCTCCGACCGTATCTTACACCAAATGCAGCCAAAACCATCATACATAAGTTTGTCACCTCCCGCCTGGATTATTCAAACACACTCCTCACCAGTCTCCCCAGCTCCACTATTCAAAAGATCCAGCTCATTCAGAACTCTGCCGCCCGCATACTGACCTGGAACAAATTCCTATTGCGCTATATAAGTGCAAGTAGGTGTTTTACTGTTTGCTGCTAAACCTCTAAGGTGGCTTTTCACCATTTAACTTCATTTTTGCCTTCATAAAGCAACACTGTTGAGTCAGGCTAATTAATTTTCTACACTGGATTTTTGAATTATAATATAGGTTGGGACTTAAAAATATAGTTTTATCCCACAAGTAATCAGAAACATTCAATTTACTGTTTGCACCATTCTGCTAATATTAACTATCCTGACTACCTCTCAAAGAAGGATGACAATTTAATGCCCAATCTGGTCAGTTTTGTGCTCCAGGCCCTATCCACAGTTGGAGCGTGTTGAAAAAACATACAAAGCAACACTTTTTCATGTCTTCGTCTGGCCTAGATTCATCAATGAATCTGAAATTTTAAGATGGCAAACGTTTATCCCAGATTTAAATGTATGGAAATTTAAAGAAATCCTGCAGTAGCGCTGATTATTGTTAGCGGTACATTGGAAAAGGATCTTAAAAACTTCCAATGTGATCAATATGGTAAATTTGTTTCCATACTACATTAAGAGGATCAAAATTAGCAAATTATATTGATATGATTTTTTATTAATTTCTATTTCTTTTCTGTAATTGTTTTTAATGTTCAAATCTATGATTAAGAAGTCAATGGTGTATAAATGGAGCTGTTAATAAATTTCCTTCCTATTGTAAAATATATACTCCTAAAATATACACAACATTCATTGTACAGATTTGGGAATATATACTCCAATTATATTTTGATTTTTTGACTAATGCAGTATCCTCGGTCTTGCAAACGTACCCATGTTTAGGGAGATTTGGAGAGTTTCCTTTTAAAGGAAATCACTCCCTGGAATTGGGACATTTATACTACAGTATATCTCTGTTAACATCAAATTCCTTTTGATGTAGCTTTTTTGTATGATTTATTATTTAAGGTTTGTTTTGCTTCAGATCCAGGTTTATCTTAGAAAGGCAGTTATTATTGCAAATGTGAAGTAGATATACTGCCTCAATTGTGGCAAGATTATAATTGAGGCATGTTACGATAATGTTGTTTCAAAGTTTTCAAAACAGATGATATTGTTGAATCTTTAAATATGAAATCAAGATTCTGTTTGTATGTTGATTCTACATGCATGGTTTCCAACTTGCTTGTGTCAAATTTGATTTTTTACATAAATGCGAAGAAACTTCCATGTGGGAAGTGAATCGTGAAGATATTTTAATTAGTGGAGAAAAAGGTGCTTCCTGTTCATTACATCTCTCATGTTTGAATCATTCAAAATAACCTCTATCTTCTGTTTGTAAAACTAAATATATTACTTTATTGAATTGCCAAAAAGATATTTTGCTTTTTTTAGCCTTTTAAGAATAAACTGAACAAGTAAGCACAAGGTTGGCAGAGTGCAGACTCTGTCAACATTTTCCCAGTGTGAATATGTATATTGCTGCAGCCTGTTCTATTTTTAAGTTGTTCTGATGCTTTAGTGCACTGATGTGCGTCAGCAGTGCGTCCGTTTCCTTTCTTGTGGAATGCAGGGATGATTGTTTGCAAAGAGGCTCATTGTTCATTCTTGCTTCAGAATTGTTTGTGGTGGGGGGAAGGTATCGTTTGGGTGCTTAGTGTTATCAAGGAAAATAAACTTCCTGGAAAAGAGAAAATGGGACTCTCAGGCTTTCCAGCTACTAATGTGCAAGAAGGATTACTCGTATATTGTAGTAATGAGCTTGATTGCTTTTATTTTATGAGGATAAGGATGCTTATCGTTTAATATTAGATGCTATCCATAAAGCTTTAATATTTTTTTGTTCATGGATGAAGGGGGAAGGGTAGTTTGGATCCAAAATGTGGGAAGTGAGGTGACATTTGATATTCTGAAAGCTCACAACGTGTATTCTTTGCTCTCTAAAATTTTAAGAAGGCTGCACTGCTTATAGCAAATGGTCTGTAATTATAGTATTTATAACTATGCTGCGTAACCAGTTAGCAACTCACTAGTCTAAGTGAGATCTTGTGCAAAAATAGAACCATAATTCTGTACAATATCTAGTGGAATCCATATAACATTTTCTAGAAGATCAGATCTTCATATTGACTGAAGAAATGCAAGCAGAGAGAGAAAAATCTATTTTGAAGAGTCTGATGAATTCAGAGAGAGAAATTAGAAACCCTTATCCATGCCTTCATTATCTCCCAACTGCAATTTTTTAACACCGCCTTAGCTCCACCATTCATAAACTTCAACTCATCCAAAATTCCAACACCTGCATTCTCAACCAGACCAAACTCTACGTCCATCACCCCAGTCCTCACCAGCACCCTTTTGCTCAGCAGACTGATGTCAAGGTCGTTGGCCTCACCTACAAATCCCTTCGTGCCCTAACCCCTGCATCTCTCTAATCTCCTCAAGTCCACTCCTCTGCTTCCCCCACTTCTGTTCGGCCAACTTGAACTTGTTGCGCACGCCTACCCACGCTGCCATCGGTGGTTGAGCTTTTCAATTTTACATCCCTAATCTCTGGAACACCCTCCCTTCTCTTGCCCTCTTTACACCGGTCTTCAATTCCTGTCTTAAAATCTACCTCTGCTGTCTCCTCACAGCATCCCATCCCCACCACCGCTTCTCATATGTGTGTAATGTGGCCATAGTAACCCTACGTGACTCCAAAAGCAGCTTAGCTCACAACTGTTGTTCTGAGGATATTTTGTCAAAGGAACAGTATCCATATTCTTACATTTCTCTCATTTGGAGAGATCTCTAAATATGGTGATCTATCTCCCAAAGTAGTCAAGCTATTATTACAAATATAATGACATTAAACTCGGAACAAATTCCATGTGATAGAGCTGATACTTTGATTCAGTGGCAGAAGCCAAATTAGTCGTGAAGAATTTTACATGTATGTGGTTCTTGCTGAGTATATGGAACAGTAACACGTAACAGCAGTTAGTGCTGGTTTAATTAACTGAACCCAAAAGGAGATAGATAAATATATATTATTGGCGATTCAGAACAGGATTGGGGGTAATGGGGACAAGTGTAAACTGAGAAAATCAAATACAGTACTCCATGAGACACAATGATTTATGTGCTGTTGAGGGTGATGAAAGAAGATAAATTAAGATGGATATTTGGAAGCTTCACTTGATTGCCTTTTGGGGGAGAAGTATTTATACAGATTTTTTTCCTGAAATGATAAAAAGGTGGGCAATAGTTGATAACCTGTATAGATTGTGGAAAGGGTGAGGTTGATGGACAAGATGTTGTTTTCTGGTTTGATGCTTTCTGATCTTAAATCCACTTTCGTATGACTGTAGCAAAAATCCTCTTCCATTAATTAATCATAAGTGTATCTAAAATATTGACATTATCATAAATCAACTGTTGTAAAATTTATTTTAGCTTATAATGTACATTCCAAAACAGTACATAGGCTGTGTTTTAAAGTTTATCATGGAACTGTTACAGAAGTTTTATTGCAAACTGAATCACTGCAAAATATAACTACTTACAGTTTTGTTCTCCTCCACATAACATGCGTAATGGCACGCAAGTTCTTAGGCAAAGTTTTCAGGACACCTGTACATTTAAAAGACCATTCACCAAATCATCTCCATGCTCTGTCCATTGTTTTCTCCATTTCCACATCAGTTGCACTCACTATTGTGAGAATGTGGAATTTTCTGTGCACACATTTTTGCTTTCGCTATCACATCTATTAAGTTCTTTATTGTTTTGATAGTGACTGTGAAAGTTTTTATATTAAAAAAAATCCTGGCCTGACTTTAAAATCTGCAAACAGGACGTTCAAGATCTTCTACAAACTCCTGACTTTGTGTCATGAATTTGGAACTAAGAATATAATCTTTTTAATATTCACTTGGAGTGACTGAAACTAACCTGTATACTAGTGATGGGGTAAATATTGACCAGGGTCCTTCTTCAATTCTTTTAATCTAGTGTCTAGAAAAAACGTGTGTGTAAAAGAGGTTGAGTGCCAGATGCCCCAATGGTTCCATGCCCTACTGACAGACATGAAGAATGGTATTAGAAGTTGGGGACCCTTGTCATTTTTAAGGCAGAGATCCAGGGGACAACAATACTCAAAGAATGCAAATCACTACAGATGAATGATGAAAATAAAAGATTATTATGAAGTAATATTTTTCTTACTTCCCCAAATTCAGGAATATTTTGATATTGTGCTTTGAAATTTACTCCTGCTAGCTTTCTTAGAGTCAAGCCCTTCTGTGCTCACTGGTCTGATTCACCTCAAAAAGAAAACTTAAAAGGGTTAAAAACCTTTCCAGAATATCCCATTTTATGGATTCTCGAATTCAGTCTATTCCAATATTTACGTTGCTGCTAGAAATTGCAGTTTGTAGACTTTCAGAAGTTAGTACGTTAGACTAGGGTTCTGGTTCACTTCCTTGGAGATGGTCGCGGGTGTGTTTTTTATAAAACAAGAGGTTCTGAAAGAAAGAACTTTCTTGCTTTCTGAACAAAACTTCGCATACACCTCCAATCTGAACCTGTTCACCCCTTTTCATGAAATAATCTCAAAACCTATAAGCAAGTATAGAGTAAACAAAGTACCAGTCATATGTAATGAAGTTTCCAAGAGACGAATGTCTAACGCGTAAAATTTCTGCACGAGATTACATTCCAAAATCAAAAAGGCTCCAATATCACATCTTTCCTGCTATGACAACTGTGAATAATATATCTTTAAACCATTTAACTCAGGAAAGCACCATACCATGCAATGTAATTTATTTCCTGTTGCATGTAATTCTGATCGATTTTAAACTAAATGTTAACTTAGTTGTTTGGTTTCCATTTTGCATAAAAAGCCTGCTCACATATAGCAGATAGACTTTCACTTTTGCAGGCTTAAGATTTAGATTGAGAACTTTTAAAGTTAAAATACTTTAAATAAAATGCAGTTTCTTAGTTTGGGTTTCAGAGTCAGTTGGTCAGTTCAGTTTTCTTCACCAGTCAGCTCAAACTACCCTCAAGGTGTTTACTCAGACTTTCAGGCGCTTTGATCCAAGATGGCTACTCAAGAATGTCCACGGCCATGTTTCAATGTGGACATTGCAGAGTGTCCGGCACCACAAATTAAAAGTTCAGCGGGCAGCATTAAAACAATTTAAAAAACAAAAATAAACAAGTGTTTATGAAAACGTGTATCTGCTGTTTTGATTTGCAGAATTCGGCGGGTGGTTCGGTAGTTTCTGGTGCCGCTCGGGTCAAACTACCATAGACACGAGACGTGAGCCAAGATGTCCTCTGTGCTCTCACTATACAAATCAGACGTCCACTTTGTGCTGCTGCTGCAGGAAGTCAGGCAGGCCGGCAGCCCCGAGAACTCAAAGGTAGGCGTTAAGCAGCAGTCACATCTTGTGAGGAGAAAGTGATAGCAGAGAACATCAATTAGGAAGGGAACAATAATATCTAAAGCCATAACTGAAACAGCATTTCCCAGCATCTTTTTCTCACATTCACATTTAAGCAACTGGTGCTTAAATTGTACTGCACAATTCCCAATTCTTCAAATATTTTTGTTTTTTGGAAAATATTGGACAGATCAAATAGAAAACAATACAGTTTACCATTTTAAGTGATAGGCTCAGTCAAATAGCAATCACCAGGTCGGCAACCAAATGTGTCTTTAAAGGATTCTAATAAATATTTGTTTGCAGCAGGCAGGTTTAATGATAGCTTGATAATTAGTGGATCAGATTCTGCAGTTCTGTCAGGTAGAGAAATCCCAGTAAGTTGAAGGGCCATTCTACATCAAGAGGAGAGAAATACTGTTCTTATTTGGTTCCTAGATAAATATACTATTTTGACCAATGTCAAAAATAATGTATTGGAATGCTGTTAAGGAAAAGGAAGGTCAGTTGTTGTAATGCTCTATTAAAAGGACAAGTGCCATGAAACTTTTCCATGTAGGCTTTGCTGTCTTTGGCTAGTGACCATGGTATGTGGAGGAGAACATTAGAGGCTGAAAACTACTGTAACTTACTGGTGATAAGATGTTGTACAAAATTAATGCTTTATATTTTAAGAATTTGGTTTAACTGTGTATAGATTTGTATTGCGCTTGTAAGTTGTAGTTTATCATCGATACATAAATCAATAATATCGGTATTTCCTGGTAGATTTGTTCCATTGAAGAAGTGTTTTCAGCAGTTAAAGCTACACCCCTTCCTTCCTCCCTTCCTTCCCCACTCCACCCCCATATTGTTTCTTGTAAAATTCAATACTGGAAACAATTTATGGGGTGAGAAAAATCTTAATCTGTTCAGTTTTGAAATCTATTAACTGAACTCATAGTTTAGGAATGGTGCATTACAAACAGTTAAAATGTTTTCTAGAAAAGGCAGCATTTTCTTTTGTGTTAAGGGATGTACATCAATGGACTGATAACATGGTATTTTTTCCACTCTTGAAATTGACAAATCTTTTGAGGCATTAACTTATGGAAATAATAGACTAGAACATTTGGAAATGTTCCCTACTTCACTAATTAATAATGCACCCTTTTGTTTACTTTCAGGAAAAGAAAGCGGTAAAATATGTTTAGAACAAGTACCAATTCTTACCATATAAAGAAAATGATACTTAAAATACTTTGTATTTCTCTAGACCCAAACTTTGTTAGGACATTCCTTACAACGTATCGGTCATTCTGCAAGCCTCAGGAGTTGCTCAGCCTTTTAATTGAAAGGTACGTAAATAAAATATACAAGCACCTAAATTGTTTTTCAGAATAATTTGACCATTTAATTTTAGTACATCATTTTATAGAATAGCTAAAAATTATTTCCTTTATATAATTGCATAAAAATTAACTGTATTTAATAGGAAACGTTGCTAAATTCATAACAGAAAAATGCACCGTTAAGTTACTTTTGTATCCTGGAGGTTTATTAATTAAAGATTTCAACTAATTAACAGTGCTACTGAAGAACGCAGACTAAAGAGCAAATAAAAATTCAATACAGATACCGCAAAAATTTTAAATCAAATTATTACTGATCAAATTTGATTACCGTTTCATTTGCTCTTTTTAGCGAGTTTACTGTCTGGGTAAGATGCAGTTCCAATCTCCTGTTCAAGTCATTAACTAAATTGTAAATTACTAGGATTTTTGAGTCACAGTATGTTTTAGTTTTGTATTATTTATGTATATTGTATTTAATGTCAGATTTGAGATTCTTGAGCCAGCACCAACAGATGCTGATCGGAAAGTCATGGATCATGGTGATCAGCCTCTTAGTTCAGAATTGAAACGTTTTCGAAAAGAATACGTTCAGCCTGTACAACTTCGGTAAGTATTATCTCAGAATAGTATAGGAACCACATGTGGTATCCAATATAACAAGTCTGACACATGCAGATCATCACCATGCTTAACAGTATCCAAACCAGACTGAGTTCCATGCATACCACCTACAAGTGGAAATTCCCATGTCAAGAATGGAAAGGGCTCTCTCTCCAGAGGGGCGCATCCTATTTACCTAATTCCAGAGAAGATTAGGCAGAGGTTGGCAAGACCTAAGACGTGGGGACCGTAAATATGTATTAAAGTTCTGCTCGAGTTTAACCAGCTAAAACCACATAGCTTGGAGTTGAAAGCACTTTCTGGCAAGCTTCCTGCTGCTTATCCAGCTGGAACTATCCTATTTTAGAGCTTTAGCTTGCAGTGTTACCAAAAGCTGAATTGGAAGAATCCTTGTCCTACCGATGAACCTGGTTATCTGATCTGTCATCCGCAGTGCCTGGAGCACTACGGAACCATTTGGCAGACCAGACTAGTCTGATTTCTGGATAAGCAGCAGGAAGCTTGCCAAACATGCTTTCCCCACATCAGAAAGTCCCCATTTTAAGACCTTGAGGATTAACTCAAATCTGACATTGTCTTGCTATTTCACCTTGGAGCCAATTCAGTTCCAAGAAGACTTCACATGTAAGCATATTTTCTGATTATTTAATGTTGGGGAATCACTGCTGAAGTAGCTCCCTTGAACCCATTTTTGATGTCCAAATACTTTGAAGGTGTTTATGTGGCTTTCCCTTCCTGCGCTGTACAATAGTATGTCACCTGGTAGATGTTATGGTTCTTTCCATTGATATAGTAGAGTAGATGTGTTGTCACTGTTCTGTAGGTATTTGGACTATATTGAGAGTGTGTTCAACATCACAATGCATTTTCAAATTTCTTTCCTTTTGAGCATGAGATTTAAATATGTTTTTATTCTGTTGTCTAAAAGAGTTCTGAATGTATGTCGGCATTGGGTGGAACATCATTTCTATGACTTTGAAAGAGACGCAGAACTATTAAGTCGTCTAGAAAATTTCATTGGAAAAGTAAGAGGTAAGGGGCCATGATTTGGTATCAGTACATGCAACTTTAAAAATACATTGACTGTAAAAGCAGCATGATTATCAATATGATTCCTTCTATTTTCTGATGCAGGTAAAGCCATGAAGAAATGGGTTGAATCTATTACTAAAATCATCCAGAGGAAAAAACAAGCACAAGCAAATGGACCAGGCCATGCTATTACATTTGAAACATTGCCACCTCCTATAGAATGGCATATAAGTAGGCCTGGTCAAATTGAATTATTTGATCTGCTAACTTTGCATCCAATAGAAATTGCACGGCAGCTAACATTATTAGAATCAGACCTTTATAGGTAAACCATTTTATTTTTATTGCTTTTGGTCTATATATGTTATCATATATGTTACACAGTAGAACAAGAGAATTTGTGATCCTCTGTATAAAACAATTATGTTTATTTTTTTAATAAAAATAATTTCTGGAATTGAAATTACAAATACCCATTTTTGTTCAAAAGTTTTAATTTGACTCGCTAATATGTTTTAGATTATTTATGGATTATGAATTTAAAGATTAATTGCAATCATTTTCTAATTTGTTTTCTCAATCACTTGAAGACTGTTTTACTTTTGCTTAAGAACATTGACTCGATTTTTTTTCTGGGCAAGCAGTGTTCAGGAAATTATTTATGGTTTCATATTACTAATTTTAGTTGAAACTGTTCAATAAGTTTTTTTTCAAAAATTTCTCCATGTGCCCCAGCTGACCAGTCTTACTGATTAATTGATCATTTGCTTCATGGCTATTTGCGAAACATTAATGAGTGCAACATAGCTACTTTGCTTGCTCACAAAAACTGTATTCGTGACTATAATTACTGTGAAACTCTTTGAGATCCTATGGGACATTTATCAAGTGCAATGTAAATTAAAAAANTATTAAATGAACTGATCATTTCTAAATTACTGCCCATTCAATAGAGTTACTTTGGTCCATTTAAACAAACATAGTTAATGCTCTGTTTCTGAATATTAGAGCTGTACAGCCTTCTGAACTAGTAGGAAGTGTTTGGACAAAGGATGACAAGGAAATAAATTCTCCAAACCTTCTCAAGATGATCAGGCACACTACTAATCTCACTTTGTGGTTTGAGAAGTAAGTAATAAGTTTGTATAAACATTGTTTTATATATGTATTCTGTATTGGCGGCAATGTTTTGGTTACCTTAAAATAATTTTGTTATTGAAGGTGCCTAGGCAATCTACAATTTGAATTTGGGAAAGAATTACTGGGAATTTTGCCAACAAAAATATTTTCCTTTGGTAATTGAGAATCTTGACTATATTCAGTATGCGGGATATACCCTCTACATGGTACCTTACTGAAGGTGCTTTTGTAGCTATTCTATAGGACAGAAATCTTCACAACTTTAGTCTGGAATTTTTTTTAAATTCTTGGAGTTCAACTGGCTTTGAGAAGATGGGCTTTGCAAAGCCAGGTAAGTTTGCAGTAATAAAGGCACGGTTGATGATTGCCCAGCCTGTCTGTTTTACCAATCAGACTCGGAGGTGTTTACATGTTCTCAATCCTGCCAGCCTAAGCCCCAACTGGCAGGGAAAGCAGTCCTAACTGAGGAAGTACTGGATGTTATGTAGTTACAGTTGTATACTGTAGGCATAGTTAATTAAACGTTAAAAAAGATAAGTTATTTTTAACTGCAGTTTTATCATTTATTAATATAACTTATAGCATATTGTATATGTTTAAGTCATTAAAAGAAGGGTGTGTATTTTTCTTCAGATGTATTGTAGAAACTGAAAACTTGGAAGAAAGAGTCACAGTTATCAGTCGAATAATTGAAATCCTGCAAGTTTTTCAGGAAGTAAACAACTTTAATGGAGTGCTGGAAGTGGTCAGCGCTATGAATTCATCTCCAGTTTATAGGCTGGATCACACCTTTGAGGTATGCTCAAAGCGCCTTGGGACGTCCTCCCGACGTGAAAGGGCTATACAAGTGTAATGTTGTTGTTGTATGCTGCTCAAACAAGTGTAAAATGTATGATGAGATGCCAAGGAATATTTGAATGAGCAGAATGCAAAACTTCATACAAAATATAAATACCACGTTCTGATGAAGGATTTGAACTTTAATGGTAATTCTTCAGATGTAACCAATTTGGTGAATCACAGCATTATGCTTGATATTTGATGTCTAAACTTGCAGAAACATTTTGATATGCACTTGATAACCTAGCTAAATTGACAGATAAGGCTGGTATATCCTGCCTAAGATTGGGTTCCCAAAACTGAACACAGTGCTCCAAATGAGGTCTGACAAGCACTATGTAACTGGAGAAGATTTTTCTTTCATATGTTGTGCTACCTCTAACTGGACAGCTGTGACCAAAGTACAAAATTACAGAATCAGCCCTGAAATCTATTATTTTTCCTAATATTTTAAAAGATGAATGTATTCAGCGCTCGAAAACATTCCCACGTGAAGGGCATTAAATAAATGCAGGTTGTTGTTGAATTAAAATTAAATAAGATTTGTGGTCAAATAAGAGAATTCTGGAGATTCAGAAGCTGATCAGATGAATCACAAATGGCATTTAATATTGAGAAATGTTGTAAATATTGATATTAAAAATGGAGAATGGGTTCAATCAATAACGTTCTCTTGAAAGCTAGTTATCTTTCCTCAAATAAGTAACCATACTTGTAAACATACTGTATTTGAGGAAATATGTATTTCCTCAAAGTGTATTTTGAGAGGACAGCAATTTGATATGGTGTTTTTAGTCAAGATGAAGGTTTCTGGAAAGCAAATAACTATTGAAGTTCATTCTCTCTTTTCTAATTCGGATTCATTGCTTTCAAATATCTAAGGGAATAGTTGAGGTGGGTTTAGGAATATGTATTGTTGATGTAAGAACCAAAGGACAAGGAAGCCACAAAGTATAATAAAATCCTTACTTTTGATATAGCGCATCACCATGTCAAATTGGAAACACTTCAGAGAGTTTTCCTGTAAAGTGTAGTGACTGTATTTGTAGGTGGACATGATAGCCTTTTTGCACCCAGCAGTGTCCCACGAGCAGTCGTAAAGTGAACAATCATTTTTTTTTCACCTGGGAAATTGTTAGTGTTTATACCAAAAGAACAACTCTTCAAATAATGCTATAGGCTCTTAAAGTCACCAGAACAGGTAATTTGGACCTCAGTTTGCTGTCTCATCCAAACGATAGAGCCTCTGACAATACAGCATTGAATTGGAATGTCAGACAAAACTACGTGCTCAAAGTGGGTCTTGAACTTACAACGTTCAGAAGCAAGAGTACTAACAACACATTGGCATGTAGAATAACTTTGTCAGATTCAAACTTAAAATCAAGCACATCCTTTTATATTCGTGACTACTTCAGAAAGTAGAGACAATTAAAACATTCATAAGTGAATTGGGTCCAGTTTAGATTCAGAAAGCATTACAGGGATACGTTTTGATTAGAAAAATGACCTAAATACTAAATTGGACAATTGGACTTCCCTCTTTTCTGCATTCTGCATTCTTATGTTGTTTACTCCTTATGTTCACAGCAAATACCAAGTCGACAGAAGAAGATTTTAGAGGAAGCTCATGAACTGAGTGAGGATCACTATAAAAAGTACTTGGCCAAACTCAGGTCCATCAACCCTCCATGTGTACCTTTCTTTGGTGAGCTTTATTCCTTTACTCTCTATGTTCAACCCATCCCAGTTAACACAATTACTGACTTTGGTTACATTGGCATCCCAATATGTTTCCCTCTCTGATAACAATAATAATCTTTACAATCCTTACAATCCTTGCATTTGATATAGTGGCTTGTGACATTTTCAAGATGTCACAAAGTACTTCATAAGATATACTGTGAAGTGGTGTGGCTATGTGTATTTTGTGAGTGAACATGACAACCAATTTTTGCACAGCAATATCCCCAATTAATTGTGAAGTGAGTGATTGATTGACCAATTTATATTTGGGGAATTGTTAGCAAGGACACAGGGAGAAACTCCTTTCTCTTTAATGTTCACCGGGCAGACAAGACCTCTGTTTAATGTCCAATCGATGGACGACACCTCCAACAATGCAGCACACCCCAGCATTGCATTGGAATGTCAGCTTAAACCATATGGGTGACAAGTCCCGTCATTAGACGTGAATCCACAACATTGTGACTCATGAGGCGAGAGTGCTACCAACTGAGCCAGGCTGATACTGGGATGGGTTCCATACTAGATTTAATACTTAGCAGTCCACGAGAACTGATTGGTAGTTTAGAAGTAGGTGAACACTTGGTTTCTGATAATTACAATGTTATTAGATTTAGTATTCTAGAAAAGCTGCAAGAATAATGACTCAGGCCGGGGAGAAGAGGTGTCAGAAGTATATTGGAAGTGGAATAACTATTTTAGGAATGTAGGATAGAACATTTTCTCAACATGAATCATTTATTCTGGGGATTTCCATTTCAAAACCATTTGGGTACAACCCAAAACAAGTTACTTTAACTTGGGACCCATTAAATCAGTAAGGCTACATTTGAAATTACTGTATGCATTTTTGGACAATGATTTTATGATGATAATATAATAATCCTTCCATTTAATATAGCACATTATCACACTGTTGAGATGTCTCTAAGCACTTCACAGAATATACTGCAAAGTAAATTGACTGGATAATTTGTGGGAAAGTTCTGATGAATAGGAAGAGGACTTGAGGCTTATTTATGTAACCGTTCTAGAATGGTTAATTTTATCAGCCTTGGTGTGTGGAGCTAGGGAAGATCTAAAGCAAAGGAACATTATTCTAACAAATAATGGTGGAAAAATTATTTAATGACGTTTATTCATTGAACATTCATGTGAAGATCTACATAGATTGTTTTGAATGTCTATTTGATTATACATATATGAAAACTGATTAATTCAAGTAATTGAGCTTATTTCATGTATTAGGAATATATTTGACTAACATTTTGAAGACCGAGGAAGGTAACCCCGATTTCTTGAAAAGACATGGTAAAGAATTGATAAATTTCAGTAAGAGAAGGAAAGTGGCAGAAATAACGGGAGAAATCCAACAGTACCAAAACCAGCCGTATTGCTTACGAGTGGAACAGGACATCAAGGTGAGCTATTGTCAATTATAGTGCTTGCATTTGATATAGCGCCCTGTGTCGTTGAGATGTCTTGTAGTTAAGTGGTGTGCCTGTGTATTTTGTTGGCAACCGTAGCAGCCAATTTGCACACAGCAATGCACCAAGGGAAGTGGAAGAAAAAAGAATACATTTTGTGCTGCAGCAGATCAATAAAAAAATCAAAATTATAGAAATAATTGTTGTGTGGTAGAGAGGGGAATTAAAAGCCACAATTATTTCCTTTTTTTGCTAACTTGCTAGCATTGGAGCACTTGTATCAGTCAAATTTGTGAGGTGAGATTGCATAAAACCATTGCAAGTTCCAGCATTTGTTGTTCGTGTTTACTGTTTTTCCTGAAGGCGAACACCCTTTCCCATGAGAGAAAAATTTCCCGGGTGGAGTCCAGAATGGACAAAGCTGCTCAGTTGAGATGAGGAACCAACAGATAGCTGTGTTCAGCACTGTAATCCTGTTTATAAATGTTTAATTATAAGTGAAGGCTTGATACTAGATACTAGTTATATATATGAAGTAAATATTATAAATATAATGGGTGACAAACATGTTTTTTTAATGTTCTCCCACCCATTCTCTTGCAAAGTACTGGTTTGATTTTTTTTCTTTTTCCACTCACTAGCCAATGCTTGTTTAAACTTCATTTCAGCCAGTTGCAAAATTTATTTTCAATACTCTTCTTGAATGAGTGTCTTTGTTTTACAGAAATTTTTTGAAAACTTAAATCCAATGGGAAGCAGTTTGGAGAAAGAATTTACAGATTACTTGTTCAATAAGTCATTGGAAATAGAACCTCGAAATGCCAAGACGTTACCTAGATTTGTAAGTATTATTTCTTTAAAAAAAGTACGAGCTGAGCATTTTTTCTCATTCATTGTAGCTATGCTGGTGAATAAATTATCTACATGGGAGAAAAGCACATATAAACTGTTTTGTTAAATTTGGAGCCATTCAGGTTGTTCTGGAAGCATACTTTTGCTTCCATTCTCAGCAGCATTCAATCCTGTTGTCACCATAGCTCCTTAATGATCATCCAGCCCTAACGATTCTTTTTCTCATTTCATTCTGCTGTTATCAGTACCCTTCAGATTGCATTCCCCTTTGGTGTCAGTAGCCTTCATTCCCCTTGCTGCAATAGTTAAATCAATAAGTTTTGATTTCTTCAACTGAGCAATGAAAACCTTGTTTTTCAATTCTTTGAAGACCCATCTTTGTACTACAATAACAAGATTACATTTGTATAGCGCCTTTCACGTCGGGAGGACGTCCCAAGGCGCTGGACAGTGTACAACATTTCAGAGCCAAGCTGGGGTCGGGGAAGAGGGGAAGGGAAGGGGGGTGGCCGATGGCATGGTCAAAGAGGAGGGTCTTGAGGCGGGACTTGAAGGAGGCTAAGGAGGGGGTGCGGCGGAGTGATAGGGGGATGGAATTCCAGAGGTTTGGGGTAGAGTGGCTGAAGGCTCTCCCGCCAATGGTGGGGCAGGTGGGTGGGGAGACGTGGAGCAGGCCAGAGCCGGCTGAGCGGAGGGAGCAGGCGGGTTGGTAGAGGATTAGAAGGTCGAGAGTTAGGGTGGGGCGACGCCATGGAGGGTTTTGTAGGTGAGGACCAGGATCTTGAACTGGATCCTCTGAAGGATAGGGAGCCAATGGAGTCGGGCGAGAATGGGGGAGATGGGGTCACGGAGTTTGATGCGACAGAGGACACGGGCTGCAGAGTTCTGGATTATCTGCAGCCTGTGGAGGGAGGAGTTGGGAAGGCCGACAAGCAGGGCGTTTGCATAGTCGAGCCTGGAGGTGATGAAGGCATGAACAAGAGTTTCAGTGGCCTGAGGACCTTCTGCTAGTCCAACCAAACGTTATTGTCGCTCATCTTTAATAGTTGTACTAGTGTTGGGTGTTCATTTATTGATCGCAATAACTTTGGTTAAACCTTTTATGTAAAACACTTCTATTTCACTTGATGACACTCAACTCTATAAGTGTGTTTAAGACTTGAATAATACTCTCATTTGGAGAGGATCTGCTAGTATCTCCATAACACTCCTGTACAAGATAAAAGGACAACCTTGTTATCTAATAGCTCACCTCCAGCATCCAACCTTTAATAAAATAATGCTTGCATTTAATATCGTGCCTCATCACTTTGAAGCATCTCAGCACGTCACACAATGAATTACAACAACAACTTGCATTTATATAGCGCCCTCCACGCTGGGCAACGTCCCAGAGCACTTAACAATGGTGGAGCCTGATGCCAAGCCAGTGGGAGGGGGAAGGTGACCATAGGCGCGGTCGAAGAGGAAGGTCTTCCGGCACAACCTGAAAATGGGGAAAGAGGGGACAAGGTGAAGGGATTGAGGGAGGGAGTTCCATAGCATAGTGATTGAAGGCACAGCCACTGATGGTGGAGCATAGGATTTGAAGGACAAGGAGGAGGCCAGAGCCAGTAGAGCGGAGGCAGCGGGTAGTGCTGTGCAGGAAAAGAATAGGTTGGAAAGATAGGGGGATGTCAAGGCATGGAGGGATTTAAACACTGGAGTGAGGATCTTGAAGTCAATCTGCTCTGACAGGGAGCCAGTGGAGTTTGGCAAGTACTGGGGTAATTGGGGTACGGAGTTTAGTGCGGGCGGCGTTGAATAGTGGGGGAGGGGAGACCAGTGAGCAGGACATTTGAGCAGTTCAGCCGAGAGGTGATAAAGGCGCGGACAAGGATTTGGGCAGTTTGTGGAGTGAGGTATTGCTGGAGTCAGGCAATATGGCGGAGGTGGAAGAAACCAGTTCTGGTCAGGGACCAGATGTGGGGAAAGAAGGATAACTAATTATTTTGAAGTGTAGTGACTGTTGTCAATTCCTATTATTAGATTTATTAATTAATTAGCCATAGACAGTAATGAGGTGAGTTCACTTGAACTTAATCTCATTTTGATGAATTTGAATCAAGCAGGAATATTAGCCAGTAATTCCCTGCTTTATTTTGATATTGTGCTACAGGATATTATTGCCCAACTGAACCACAGAACAAGACTTGGGTTTAATGTCCCATTGAAAGAATGGCACTTTAACAATTCAATACTCCTTCGATATTGAAGCTTCTTTTGTCTTTATATTAAGGTCATTACTTCTCTGAGCTTGTTGTTCCTCATGAGCTCCATGCGTACCATCTTATACCATACATAAGTATTAGAAAGAAATTTAATGTTTATTTTAAGCATATATTAAGATAATGAAGTCCTGTAGCTCAGTGGTTAGAGCACTCGCCTTGCAACTAAGAAACCTGGGTTCAATTCCCGGCAGGGCGAAACCTTGGGCAAGTTTCCTTACTCCACACGCCTGATAATAATCCCTCAAGAAAAAAAAACAATAATAAATTGGTCACATCAATCCACGACTGTTTGTGGGACACTGCTGTGTGCAATTGGCTGCTGCATTTCGCCCACAAGTGTACAGTCAATTCACTTTACAGTATATTCTGTGAAGCGCTTTGAGACGTCTAGAAGACGTGAAAAGCGCCATATCAAATGCGAGGATTATTATTATAATGCACATCTCCATTGTTTTCTCTCTTCTCCCACTGCAGCTTTACACTGACATTTTTTAATAAGCAATTTATAAACTCCAATATATTGATTGCACACTGAATGATTTGCTCCTAATTCTGTTTTACATTGTGTATTAGACATTTTTAAAAATTTATATGTTTTAATACCCATTAAACCTAGAAGTGTGTTTAGGATTCCACCCACACTTGTTTTTAGGAGTGATGTTTTGTTTGCCATAGCTCCATTGGCTGTATGTTTACCATGTACTTCATTCTAATTTACCTCCACAACTCTAATGTTTTACAGCCAAAGAAGTTTAGTTATTCACTGAAGTCTCCTGGTGTCCGACCATCTAACCCGAAACATCCAGCATCAAGCAATCCCCGTGTACATCCTACACCACTACAGCAGGAACCACGAAAAATTAGTTATAGCCGAATCACGGACAATGAGACCGAAAGTATAGCTTCAGCACCCAATTCTCCACGTACACCCCTGACGCCACCCCCTGCTTCTACAGCATCAAGCTCCACAGACATCTGCAGCGTGTTTGGCGATTCCGACCCAGCTAGTCCATTCTACTCAAGTACGTCACTTACCGGGAACTTTTAGAACCGTTTGGCCTCAGAAAATCAAAACCAGATTTGCAACTAAACATCAGATGTGCAAATGGTTGACTTTCTGTGGCATTTAAGGAACTTAACCATTTCTCTATAAATATGTTATTAAATAAGTATTTATTTGTTAATCTATCATCAAAAAATCCCCAAGAAATCCAGCAGAATCATCCCTTCAGCATGAATATTTTCTTGTTTCGACATAACGAATGCACTATATTTGATCTTCTGTGTGGAGCATTCCTGTTTGTAGCTTTTTCCTTCATTTCTAATATTCCCCATACTACATCGAATTAGGTCCACCTCAATTCAAACTTTTGGGGATTTCCATATGCAACTTAATAACTGATCATAAATCTTGGTATTGGGCTGCAAATGTGTATTGAGGCTCATGTTCTTCATAGTCTGGTGTGAGTGATACTCAAGAATATCAATCACATGATGTTTAGTTCAGCAATTGTATTCTAATCTGAACTGAACCTTTTTAATGCTGAAGATAGCTTGGTTTAAAAAAAAAGTCTCCAAAGTGGATGCTCTACTTTTAGTCAGTGGATCCTGATGGGAAATAGATTTGTAATGCAAAATATTTAGCACAAGTTTAAAATGATCTTTTAAAAATGATTGTTTCTCAACAATCAACGTATCCTTTCAAAAATTTAATTGAAGATGTTTTTGTACAGACTTTGCTTTTCCAGGAGACCTGCAACAAGCTGATTCTTGCAGTATGATGCATTTAAAAATATAATCAATCTTCAGTTATAAAATTGAAGGTGTGCTGGGGTCTAGTCTGCAAAAAATGATATACTATATTAGGGCTTTCAAAAGTTGAAGTTGATCATTACATTTTTATAAAATCGTAATTTTAATATATTTTTATAAAGATATAAATGAAAATACAGCATGTTTACTTTTAATGCATCATATCTGATTTATATATTTTTCTGGGGTACAGTAATGTTTCAATCCAATTTATATGAATTTGAATATGAGTAGAACAATGAATACTGACACTTATTTTTATTCTTAAATTTGAAACGTATTTCTAGAGATTACTTAAAAATGAACTCTTAAATATCTGCTTTGTTTTTAAACCTATTCTTTCTCCAAAATGTAATCATTTAGCTGCTTAATCTTTCAGCTGCATAGGACGAAGTCTTAAGATCAAAGTTCCTTAGCCAGAAAAATCTAACATTTTCTTGCCTACCACAAGATTTGCAGTAAAATTAATATTGCACCTTATGTGAAAGCATCTCAAAACCCTCAGAAATTACTGCTAAATGTAGTAAAATTAATATTGCACCTTATTATACAAAATTACATTTGTATAGCACCTTTTATGTCGGAAAGACGTCCAAAGGTGCTGGACAGTCAGATTGGGACCTGAGTGGTGGGGGTGGGGGGTGGGGGGGATCAGGGAGTGTAGACATAGGCACAGTTACAAATGTAATTTTGTTGTTGTTATATGGTGTAATGCACAATGTAATATAATCAATCCATTTTGATCCCTTAAATTGTATTCCAGCTTTCTTTGTACTAGACCTTGGGTTACCTGCTTCTTCACGCAGAACTATAAAAAGTCTAGGACAAAGGAAAGGTTAGCTGCAGCTTTAAAATTAATGAGCTGGTGTAATTTATCAAGACACTCGAAACTACTGTTGAGCTTGTCTCATCCATTGGAATAATTTCTGGATTTGCATATCTTCATGTTTGTACCTTTATGTTTAAGAGAGCTGGTATTTACTTCCAGATAATATGATATGCTTAGTTCATTCTGCATTTTTTGTGTCAATAAAACTCCGGGGGAGATTTGATGACACAAACAGGGTGAATTGATGCCCAAAACATCATATAAATTCAGCAGCATACAATAGCAGCTATTGGTGTTGGAGTGGTTTTGCTGGGACATCGATTTGCACTTTTCCATTTTAAATGCCGGTAGAATGAATCAATTCAGTATCCACACAAAAATAATCCTTTAAAAGTTCCAAAGGACTGCTTACAATGGGCTGAGGTTAAGTTCTGAGATAAGAATCGTATCGAGTCGATAGCTAATAGCTGTTTATTATTTCGTCTCACAAGCAAAAGACCTGGGTTTGATTCCCAGCAGGCAAAACCTTGGGCAAGTTTCAATACTCCACACGCCTGATAATAATCCCTCAAGAAAAAAAAAATAATTTGGTCACTCAATCCACGACTGTTTGTGCCGTGTTTCGCCCACAAAATAACAAGTCAATTCACTTTACAATATATTTTGTGAAGCACTTTGAGATGTCTAGAAGACGTGATAAGGCGCTATATCAAATGCAAGGATTATTATTACCCAGCAGCCGTGGAATCGAATTTCAGTAGTAAGGAACAAAACATTAAATACTTAGATGGTGAATGAAAGTTTTGGCTAAAAAAAGCTGAGACAGCATTTACTGGGGTTATTATTAGTATTATTATTTATAAAAATAATTTGTGACAGTGTACTAATATCCTCAAAGAAGGCAATAATATGCAATAACAATAACAACTTGCATTTATATATGGCCCTTCACGTGGGGTAGCGTCCCAGAACGTGTATACCGTGCATAAATGCTAAAGAGAGAGAGAGATATCAGGGGATGGGGAAAAAACTAAGAGGCTGAAGGTCAAAAGCTCAGCCCCATGTTGACCACATTCTGTAATGGCCAAGGAGACTGGATCCCAAGATGAGCTTTGCACCTGAGAGGAGAGAAGAGTTAGGATAAAAACTCAGTCAAATGCTTTCTGGAAATCCTTCTTCAAGTCCCTTCAATTTGCCCCCTCTGTCTTTAAAACTCGCTTTAAGACCTCTCTCCAACTGCTCTTTCAGCCGCTTCCACCCCCCAAAAAACATCTTGGATTCCCAGTCAGTTATGTAAGGCACTTTGCAACATTCTCCTGACATTTAAAAAAAAAAGATTTTGTGCAAATGTATATTGTTGTTGCTGTGTAATGCAGCCCATCACTAATAACTAATACCAAGGAGCGATCTCAGAGACAGCCCTTTAGGCTCTTTATTGCATTGAAAAATAACAAAGGTAGTATATAGTACACTGCTGGTCAGTTGTGCTTAGCAACTGACCAGTTGTGCATGAACGAAGCTTACTCCAGCTGTCCAATGTGATTTTGGAGTGGAAATATAAAGCTGACTTGTGTTTCCTACTCACTTGGCTGCTGAAAGTAATAATGAATCATTTCAGTTATAAACTGGGTAATGACTTCAATACCCATTCCAATACAAATTCCACTGAATGTACAAAAGGCTCCTTCAGTAGGTAGTCGCATGATTTTAATAATAATCCTTGCATTTGATATAGCGCCTTGTCGTTGTCGATGCTTCAATGCACTTCACAGGATATTCTGTAAAGTACAGACTGTATTTTTAATTTAGAGTCAAAATATTTTTATAATTGAGTTGGTATGAATAATTCCCCTTCCTCGTTCCTAACAGTAACTGCTGATATTGGTATTTTGGAATGCCCATCCAAATAGTAGCAGATTTCATGTGTAAAATATTCATCTTTACCATTTTTCTGGTAGAAATAATAAGAGCTGCTTCTTCCTTTTTCCCATATAAGGCATCCTCTTTTTAAAATGTGTCTTTCTCATCTTCCCCATTTTAATTTGTGTATTTCTCTACCACACACAATCCAAGAAGTACATAGGCCCTTCAGTCTGTTACCATTATTACAGACTCTTATGAGGGTCAAAAATAAACCTGTCTTTACCTTTCCGGTCCTGTTTGACTCACTGTACATCTCCAGTCTTTTCTATTCTTTAAAGTGTCAGACTGGCTTAGTAGCAGTGGTTGTGGCTCAGAAGGTTGTGGGTTCAAACCCCATTTCAGGACTTTGAAATCATAGTCTAAGCTGACACTCCAGTGCAGTGTGCTCGTCATGTGTTGGATTTTTGGAGGTTCTGTCCTTCAGATGAGGAGAGAAACCGAGGTCCCAAAGTCTCCTTAGCACTATTTGAAAAGAGAAGGGAGTTTCTCAAAGCCACCAAATCTAATCTAATTTTTCAAGTCTATCACTTCATGGCTTTTTGCAGGACATTGATGTGCGCAAACTGACTGTCGGGTTCGCCCACAAAGTACACACTACTGTAAATCTTGTGAAGAGCTTTGAGACATCTTCCTGATGTGAAAGATGGTATATCAAATGCAAGGATTATTTTCAGTAGTAGTATTATTGTATAGTGTATTTCATGTAAAGGAAATATCTGAGTTAAACAGAATTAAATTAATCAGAAACAGTGTCTCTGCAATTAATGTGCACCAGCAATGTCCTAAAGACAACAGTAAGGTGATTAACAATTTGCATTTATGTAGAGCCTTTCACATCGGGGACAATAATAATAATAATAATAATCCTTGCATTTGATATAGCGCTTTTCACGTCGGGAGGACGTCCCACAGCGCTTCACAGAATATACTGTAAAGTGAATTGACTGTATATTTGTGGGCGAACGCGGCAGCCAATTGCGCACAGCAATGTCCCACAAACAGTCGTAGATTGAAAATGACCAATTTATTATTGTTTTTGGTTTTGGAGGGATTATTATTAGGCGTGTGGAGTAAGGAAACTTTCGCAAGGTTTCGCCCTCTGCCTGGAATTGAACTCAGGTCTCTCACTTGCAAAGCGAGTGCTCTAACCACTGAGCTACAGGACTCCACGATATCCCAAGGCGCTGGACAGTCGAGGGTTTGTACCTGAGCTGGGTTTGGATTCAGTAAAGGTGGGGGCCAGGGAAGCTGACAGAAGCAGAGTTCAAAGAGGTAGGTCTTGAGATAGACTTTGAAAGAGTTGAGGGAAGAAGCGAGGTGAAGAGACTTTGGGATAAAGTCCCAGAGAGTGGGAGCAGTTAGACTGAAAGCCCACTGCTAATAGTCCGGTGGCAGGGCAAGGGACGTACAGCAGGCCAGTACCTGCTGAGTGGGTGGTTTGCAGGGTTTAAGAAGGTCGCAGAAGTAGGGTGGGGCAAGACTTAAAATGAGGGATTTAAAAGTGAGGATCTTGAATTCAATGAAAAATTTATTTAGAATTGTTTGGGCTGAATTGAAGGAGGCGGGAATGCAAATCAAGTAATCGCAAGTATAACTCCAGTTTTCTTTGAACTGATGTCTCTTTTCTATTTTGATTTCAAAACATCTGAATATGAGTCACCAGAAAGTAACTGCATCAGGTTACAGGACATTTCGCCCACAAATATACAGTCAATTCACTTTACAGTCTATTCTGTGAAGTGCTTTGAGACATCGAGAAGACGTGAAAAGCACTATATCAAATTCAAGGATTATTATTATTACTTCATATGCTCTAATAACCATTGCTGACTATTTTTCAGTTTACATCAACTTGCTGTCGAGGGGAAAATAGACTTGAACATTTACAATTTATTTCCGTTATTTGAACCGCTTGCTGCCTTTTCCAGCAGGGTCTTATAGTTGCACTGAACAATTCCACTAGTGCACAAAAACCATTAATTGAATGTCTTATTGGCAGATCTAATGAACCAAATAATGTGTGAGGCTTTGCACCATCTGCAGTGTTAGTCACCCTTGGAAGTTTTTTGATATGGATGACAGTCTTGTGCATTGAATCTAACATCAGCTTTTATTTTTTAGACTATCTAACGTAAAGCGAGTGTATTATGCTGGAATGATGCAAGCTGTTTCTTCACATAACAATATTAATCTGTTCTGCAAAACATGACCATTCTCTCTTGGCAATGTCATCCTCAGACACAGGGTAAACTTCCATATGTATGCAGATGCACACAAATCTACTTTGCCTCCTCCAGTACCAACTACAGGTCGCCAATGTTCTCTCAGCTTGTCTGGCAGACATCGGGGTCTGGATAAGGTTAAACTTCCTGCAGCTGAATGTGGACAAGACGGAAGCCATACTCCTTGGCTCCCGTCAACATCTTCACTCCTGTGGATCTAAACTCCTCAACTTCCCTGGGCTTTCCGTCAGACTCACCGAACTAGTGTGCAACCTAGGCATCCGTTTCGACCCCCAGCTGTCCTTCCTCCCCCACATCCGGTCCCTGACCAGGATGGCCTTCTTCCACCTCCGCCACATTGCCCGCCTCCAACAGTACCTTTCCCCAAATGCAGCCGAAACCCTAGTGCATGCGTTTGTCACCTCCGACTTGGAATACTCAAACACACTCCTCTCCGGTCTCCCCAGCTCCACTATTCAAAAATCCAGCTCATTCAGAACTCTGCCGCCCGCATACTGACCTGAACCAAACTCCGTACCCACATCTCACCAGTTCTGGCCAGGTTCCACTGGCTCCCCATCACCGAACGGATCAACTTCAAGATCCTCACTCTCGTATTCAAATCCAATCACTCTCTGGCACCTCCCTACTTCTCCGACCTCTTCATTCCCCAATCCAGCACAGCACCTCTGCTCGACTGACACACCGGCCACCTGCTCGTCCCTTGCACCCTCTTCTCCACCATCGGAGGTCGGGCTTTCAGCCACTATGTCCCAAAACTTTGGAACACTCTCCCTCAATCCCTCCACCTTGCTCACTCTTTCCCCTTTTTTAAGTCCCACCTTAAAATCTTTCTATTTGACCGTGCTTACGGCTACCCCCTCAGCTCGGAGCCAGACTCCTCCATTGTTAAGTGCTCTGAGATGCTTACCTTGTGTGGAGGGCACTATTATAATAATAATAATCCTTGCATTTGATATAGGGCTTTTCACGTCATCTCGATGTCTCAAAGCGCTTCACAGAGTATACTGTAAAGTGAATTGACTGTATATTTGTGGGCAAAACGCGGCAGCCAATTACACACAGCAGTGTCCCACAAACAGTCGTGGATTGAAAATGATCAATTTATTATTGTTTTGGAGGGTTTATTATTAGGCGTGTGGAGTAAGGAAACTTGCCCAAGGTTTCGCCCTGCCTGGAATTGAACCCAGGTGTCTCACTTGCAAGGCGAGTGCTCTAACCACTGAACTACAGGACTCCCGTACAGGGCGCTATATATGTGCAAGTTGCTGTTGTTGTTTATACAGTGTTTCAGATTCACCCATTTGTGTTATTGCAGTCTTATAGTCACAGATGGAGAATTTGCATCTTTATAGTAATTTGTGACATTGAACTATCTCCAAGTGTTTTGCAAGTTAAAACTCCTCAAAGCATTCACAAACATCACAGTAAAGGGTATTGTCTATCTGTAGGCAAATGGAAAGAAATTTGAGAGGAAAACGCTTTTAAATGTTTATTAAAAAAAAGTGGATTTCCAGGTATTTCCTCTGAACAAGGTAAAAAACTATCAGGAATGTTTTGTAGTAAACTCGTGTTCAACAGGTACCAGTTGATGAACAGATTGGTAACTTTCCAGAATACAGCAGCCACAACAACAGAAATAGCTGCAAGTATTTTGCAGACATTTTCAGATGTATCATTATACTTAAAATCCTACCTCTTGGACAACGGCTTTGCACTATCTGTCTCCCCCACCCTTTTTCATTGTCCAACGTTTTCTCTGTGATGCATTACTCTAAAAGGTTGCTGCAAATGCAAGTTACTTTATTGTTGCTTTACCCCTCGCTCTTTGCTCGGCCTACAATCCCATTACCAAAACATTCTGAGATGTTGTGCTGTGTCGAGGGCTCTATATGAATACAAGTTATTGTTGTGTTGCCTTTGATGTTAAGCAGAAAAACAAACTTTGATGNAAAAAAATACAAACCTACACCTACATTAGCTTGAGAGAGTGCGCTTTCTGAAAACCAGACATCAAAAGTTTAGAAACTGGGCCAGAATCAGTATTTTTTGTTACAAGATTGTCTACCAATGACAAGATTGCGCAATTAGTGGCCAAATAAAATAGAAAAATCTGTTGAAATTATAGTGAGGATCAATGCAGGCACAGTAGAGCCTATTTTATAATTTAGCTAATGTGTTCCTTTATCTTGTACAATGCGCACGTTTCTGTGCGTTTAGAATTGATGTCATCATCTGAGCAGAAGTTGGTGTTATTTCCCTTAGCTGTTGGTGTGAACCCAGTCTTCAGTTACAAAGATAGCATCCGTAGCCACAGCAATTGCACAATATTCTACAAAAAGTTTGTCTGATGCGGTGCTAAGATAAGCATGCACCTTCCACGCTCCGGAATAAACTTTTTTTTACTTCTTTGAACATTTCTTGTAGATAGTTTTGCGCAGCGTTGCAAGGTGCAATTTAATTTATATCTTGCAAATCAACTGATGTCGTAACCATCCCAAACACATTTTGCTATTAAATGTGGGGTTACTTGTAATTTAAAAAAATGTGGAATAATCTTAATCTTGGCTAATTTTCACTCAACAATGTCCCACAAATAGCCATGGAGTGTCTGACCAATCTTATTTGAGAGATTGGCGGCAAGGATGCTGAGAGAAACTCTCTTCTCATTTTGAATAGTGTCATGGGATCTTTAGTGACCACCTGAACAGGCAGATGAGACGTTGGTTTAACGCCTCAACTGAAAAATGACACCTCTAATGCAGTACACCCACAGCCTGCAGTGGTCTGCCATTTTAGATGATATGAATTCTAAGGCCTGACCTGTAGCTTGAATCCACAACCTTCTGACTCGGGAGAGTGCCACCAACTGAGTTAGGCTGACACACAGATAGTAATCTGGCACTAAATTCAGATCAGTGCGTCATAATATGTTAAGAGGTGGGAATGTTTAATTCACCAAATATTCAAATAAATAATTGCTCTATTTTGTATCTGATAAAGTGGAGTTATTTGAACTGGACCTTAATGGGGCTAAAGTACAGGTAAACTCATTCGCAGTGTTGATATTCCCCAGGTCAAAATTGTGTTTCTGTTGGAATGAGTGCCGAGATAAACAGTGGTGCACTGTCCTGAATCTGAAATAAAAGGAAAGTTCTTCTATACCAGTGTCAATTATAAACGTATCAATGGTTAAAGACAACAGTACCAGATGTAACACTGAACTATAGACTTGGAGATCCCTTGTTCCATTCCTGAACTCAGTGCCGAGTTATACTGAGTCTAGTAGCTGTCGAGAATTCATTATTGATTCTGAAAAGTCATTTTTCTACGAAGCCAGGTGTTAGTAAGGCATTGTTTTAGATGGTAAGGGTCAGTCTATGTAAATTGTATGTTATACAAAAAACAGAAAGGTTGGGGAGGGGGAATCAACCATTGTCAATCACGATCGAGAAATCCTCTGCTGCAAATTCTAGTGTCTATATATTGGTTGTATACATGAGGGTGAAGGAAGTAGAGCGGGTAAGGAAGAGGAGATTAGCATGGGTGGAGGCACATGTTAAGTGTAAACACACTGGAATGTAATATTTGGCTGAATAGCCTGTTTTCATGCTGTGCAGTCCATGTAATTCTGTATAACAAGATCAGGCTTGGCTATGATACCCCCAGATGGTCGAAGAGTCTGCCAACATTCTTCAGCTCAAGTTCTCTCTTGAAGACTGGCCACTTGAGCAAGAGTTTAAATGTATTGTTTTATTTGTGTTGTAGGCTTTGTGGACACCTGAAGTGCTACCAAATGGAGTGAAGTTTTCACTGATGAGCTCTGATGGCGAGGAGGGATTCCCTGGAGAAGTGAAAGTCCAGGTGACCTACACCCTGGTCGGAGGAGAATTGACTATTAACTACTGGGCCCAGACTACAAAGACCACTCCCATAAACCTTACCAATCATTCTTATTTCAATCTGGCAGGACATGTAAGATCTCTCTTTGTTTTACAGTTTTGACTGGTTGCATCTATCTAATATCTCTTATTTTAATAATAATAATCCTTGCATTTAATATTGTACCTTATCATGTCATTGATACATCTCAAAGTGGTTCACAGAATATATTGAAAAGTGGATTGACTATATATTTTGTAGGCAGAATTATCTGTTGTAGAGGCTGGAATTCAGTGGATAATTGGTACTTAGCTAAGGTTTTCTTGGGCCTGAGCAAAAAAATTTGAGTGTTCCTGATGACACATTAATATTGATCTGTTTGGACAGTCCTGAATCTCTATTTGGCTCTTGCACGTAACCTGAAATGTCATTTTATAGGGCTATTCACTGAGTCCGGCATGAAGGGTGCTGTATAAATATAAGTTGTTGTTTTATATTGGTTCTGTGGGACAAGTTTACAGGCACTTTGTGCCCATTAACTATTATAATCCATGACCATGCGTGGGACACTGCTGTGTGCAATTGGCTGCCATGTTTCGTCCACAAAATACACAGTCCACTTTACAGTATATTCTGTGAAGTGCTTTGAGACATATCAAAGACGTGATAAAGCTCTATGTCAAATGCAAGGACTATTATTATGAATGTGAATCCACAGTGTACAATGCAGCTTCATTATAACATGCTTTTTCACAGCACAAGTTCGATTGCACTGTGGTCCTTTGCACTGCATGCGCATGCAGCCCTAGACTCACTTCACACATCCCGGCTAGCTATTGCTGTACAAGGTTGATATCTAGGTTATTAGGTAGTTGCAGACGTCAATTCATCCTTGTTCTCCCTTCCTTCCCCATCTTCAGATCGCACCTAAAAGACATTCCTCTTTGACGGTGGTCACCCCTCCCTTCCCCCGGCTCAGCTTTGTGCTCCGCCACTGTCAAGCGCTTTAGGCTGCTACCCTGCATCGGGGTGCTATATAAATGCATCTTGTTGTTGTTTTGCCAAGAAGTTGCAGTGCATTGGATGTAAAATGGGGCAACGTATTAATAAACAACAAAGGAGTTCTTGCGTCTGCTTTTCAGAGTAAAATTAAATCCTTATATTTGATAAAGCACCTTATCACATTGACAATATGTCTCTTCATAGGATTTTACTTTCAAGTGTAGCAACTTTGTACGTGTATGTGAACATGGCAGTCAATTTGCACACAACAATATCCCAGAAACAGTATGAAGTGATTGACCAGCTTTATCCGGGGGATTGTTGGCCAGGACACCAGGAGAAACTCCCTTCTCTTTTCTAATGGAGCAACAAGATCTTTAACATTCACTTGAACAGGCAGACAAAACCTCAGTTTAAACATAAAAATATAGAAACAGGAGTAGGCCATTCAGCCCTTCGAGCCTGTTCCGTTATTCTATAAGAACATGGCTGATCTGTAGCTCAAGTCCAATTACCTGTCCTTGCCGCGTATCCCTTAATACCCTAACCTAACAAATATATATGCACCGCAATCTTGAAAATGTGAATGGATCCAGCATCCACAGCCTTTTGCGGGACCGAATTCCAGATTTCCACTACCTTTGGGTGAAAAACTGCCTCCTAATTTCACTCCTAAATGGCCCAGCTCTAATTTTAAGATTATGCCCCCTTGTTCTCGATTTCCCCACCAGAGAAAATAATTTCTCTGTATCTAGCCTATCGAATCCCTTTATTATTTTAACAACCTCAATTGGATCGCCTTTCAACCTTCTAAACTCAAGGGTGTAGACCAAGTTTATGCAACCTGCCCTCACAAATTAACTCTTTAAGCCTTGGTATCATTCTGTGAATCTGCAGTGAGTTTAACATTTCATGTGAAGGACGGCAACTCAGACGTTCTCTCAGCACTACAGCAGGGTGTCAACCCGTAGTTCCAATGCCAGAAATAACCTAATTCAAACCACTAGCGTTTCAAAAGCCAAGTACAGTAAATTAAAATCATTGCTATTTCCCAAGCTGTAAAATGAAAACAAATACCACTTTAGTTCAGTTTGTGTGATATTGTAGTATTTCAGTTTAAGTTATATAATTTGAACTTCTATGCTTTGCTGTCAGCTAAAGTTTTCTGTTGTTTCCACCCATGGAGAATTAGGATGAGTGGCTGACTCAGTTGGTAGCACCCTCGCTTGTGAGTCAGAAGGTTATCGGTTCAAGTCCCATGACAGGACTTGGAACTCATATAGTCTAAGCTGATACTTCAGTGAGGTACTGAGGGAGTCTCTGCTGCATTGTTTGAAGGGCTGTCCGTCGGATGAGACACGAAAACATGAAACCCAAGGTCCTGTCTGCGCCTAATTACATCCTAGCTCGGTAGAAGCTAGGATTCAAAGAGAAAAACTCAAATGTATCCAAACATTCATGCTGGATAGCATCACCATCAGTTAAACTGTCTGTTTCTATTCCAGCTACTGTGCTTTAAACATTTTATAATTCTGCTCCAAGTTGCATGTTTCTAAGCTATCTGACCTTGAGTCTATCACAAATGGGAAAGATGTTGTAATAATTCTCTTCTTTATTCTCTCTTCCTCTCCCACATTTAGGGAAGCCCCAATATCTATGACCATGAGGTTTCAGTAGAAGCAACAAGATACCTGCCAGTGGACGATGTAATGATTCCAACCGGTAGGATCGTACACAAATTATTATTTTTTTTCCAGGTTTGTGATAAGTGAGGGGAGTTTCTCTGGTGTCCTGGTCAAACCCCCCCTCCCAACCCCACCAAATAAAATTGGTCATTCACTTCATAACCATTGTGGGACATTGCTGTGTGCAACATTCAGTCATAAAGTACTCAGGATGTATTTGCAGTATATCCTGTGAGGCACTTTGATACGTCCACCTGAAACGAAAGGCACAGTATCAAATGTGAATAATTTTATTATTTGTGCTTAGAATGGTCAGTGGGGAGTGGGAATAGAGGAGATGATTTGATGAATGAAACTGGGGAGATATAACCCACCAGCTCAAAGTAGTTTGTTTGTCTCCACATACTTTTGTTTAATGAGCAAACTTCCTTCAACTAAATGTTGACAAGACTGAAGCCACACTCATCATCTTCTATCCCATGGCTCTGTCCCTCAACAACAACAACAAGATTCCATTTATTGAGCGCCTTTCACGTCGGGAGGACGTCCCAAGGCGCTGTACAGTTGGGTCAGGACCCGAGCATTGGGGGGAAATGGTAAGGGTGAGGGGAGGGAAGGGAGGGAGCGAGGAGGGGGTAGAGAGTCGAGAGGGGAGCTGAAGGCACGGTCAAAGAGAAGATGGTCATGCCCTCTGCTCCACGATCGGTGGCCGTGCTTTCATCCACTACGCCCTGGAACTCTGGAACACTCTTCCTCTATCCCTCTGGCTTGCCCCTGCATTCCCTATCTTCAGGTCGTGCCTGAAGACCTACCTATTTCTCCATGCCTATGGTCATTTCCCCCTCCCCCTGGCTCGGCTTGGCATTGTGCTCAGTGACTGTCAAGCGCTCTGAATGCTACCCTTTGTGAAGTGCGTTATATAAATGCAACTTGTTGTTGAGACAGGGAACGGCGCCAGGACAGCGCGGGGAGGAGCTGGGCCTACCTCTCAGGTATTTAACTCGACGCGGGGAGGGAGTGCAGCCAGACAGGGTGTGCGGGGTGTGCAGCGTGTGGGGCTGAGGAGGGAACGGGTGGGGGCGGAGCGGGGGAACCGCTGACGTCATAGTTGTAGTTTTCAGAAGTGTGCGCGCGCAACAACAAAAAAAAAAATTCCTCTGCGCCCCCCCCCCCCACCCCCAGGGCTCAGAGCCCACCATGGTCCTGTTAAGTTGGCTGCCCCAGCCCATGGGATAATGTGTCCATCCACCTGACCGCTCGTTCCCGGTCCCCGTGTGCGCAATATGGCTGCCGCTATGACCCGAGCCCCCTCACCCCCTCCCTCCTCTCTACCCCCAAACCCTCCCCCCTCTGCATCTCTCCCGCTCTCTCCTCTCTCTCTGTCCCTCTCGCCTTCTTTCCCTACTTGACCCTCCCACAACCTCCCTCTGTTCCAGCCTGGGAATCCTCCGCCGGGCTCACCGTGGCACTCTGCGTTGGCTGTCCAGCAGCAGCCACACCGACTGCCCCATTCCTCACCACTCTTGCCACCCACCCCGGACACAGACCCGGGGAGCCAACCTCTCCTCCCTTACCCCCATTCCCCCCACCCCTGCCTCACAACCGGGATCCCCCTCCCTCCCCACACACCCGTCTGTCAACCGCTCCATCCACATCGGACTACAAAATGTCCGCTCCCTCTGTAACAAGGCCCTGATCATCAACAATCTCATCCTTGATGAGAACGTTGATATCATGGCCTTAACGGAAACCTGGCTCACCCCAGGCGACACCTTCCCCCTCACGGAGGCCACACCACCCGGCTACACCTCCCACCACATCCCTCGCCCCAACCGCCGTGGCGGTGGTGTTGCCCTTATCTCAATAATAATAATAATAATAATAATAATCCTTGCATTTGATATAGCGCTTTTCACATCGGGAGGACGTCCCAAAGCGCTTCACAGAATATACTGTAAAGTGAATTGACTGTATATTTGTGGGCGAACGCGGCAGCCAATTGCGCACAGCAATGTCCCACAAACAGTTGTAGATTGAAAATGACCAATTTATTATTGTTTTTGGTTTTGGAGGGATCATTATTAGGCTCTGTGTGGAGTAAGGAAACTTGCCCAAGGTTTCGCCCTGTCTGGAATTGAACTCAGGTCTCTCGCTTGCAAAGCGAGTGCTCTAACCACTGAGCTACAGGACTCCACGACTCCTCAAGGACACCACTTGCCCTATCCCCCTACTCCTCTGGCTCTTTCCCCTCTTTTGAGCACCTCACCCTCTCCCACCCCTCCTTCCTCTCACTTAAAATCCTCCTCCTCTACCGGCCCCCTAAAACCTCTCCCACCTTTATCTCTGATGTCTCAACACTGCTCACATCTCTCTGCCTCTGCTCTGATCGCCTCATCATCCTGGGCGACTTTAACCTGCACTTCACCCCCTCCTGCTCAATCTCCTCAGATGTCTCTTCCCTACTCTCCTCACTCAACCTCTCCCTCCACATCAACTCCCCACTCACAGTCACGGCCACCCACTCGACTTGGTGATCACCCGGGGCCTCAGTGTCTCGGATGTCACCATCACCGACAAGGCCATCTCCGACCACCACTTCATCTCCTTCACCACCTCCACCCCACTCCCCACCTCCACCAGACCCACCACCATCTTCTACCGCCCCTGGAAGAAGTTACCCTCTCAATCCCTAACCGCTGCCTTGGAGTCCTCTGAACTCCTCTCCCTCTGGCCTTCAACCCTCACCGACCCCTCTTCTGCTCTCACCCTCCTCCACAACACCCTCTCCTCCACACTTGACACTCTTGCCCTATCACCTCCCGTACTGTCTCCTACTCTCGTTCCTCCCCCTGGTTCACCACCCACCTCCGCTCACTGAAGAGCCAGGTGCGGGCCGCTGAACGCACCTGGGTCAAATCTGGCCTAACGGTCCACCGACAAATCTGGCTGGACCTCCTCAAAATCTACCGCTCCACTCTAGCCTCGGCCAAATCGTCCTTCTACTCCAGGATAATCCTGGAGGCGAAGGACAACCCCAGGCTACTGTTCTCTACCACATCCCAACTCCTCCGTCCCCCCGCCACCCCGCGCAGGTCATCTCCTCCAACCTTCACTGCGAGGAGATGCTGGATTTCCTTGAATCCAAGATCAAGGGAATCCGCTCCGCGGTCACTTCCCCTCCAACATCCACCCACCACCCACCCCTTCCCTCCCACACTCCGACTCCTACCCATCCTCCCCTACACACCTTCGTACCCGTTTCCCCATCCTCTGTCACCAAACTCATCCTCTCCCTGAAACCTACCACCTGCTCCCTTGACCCCATCCCCACTCCACTCCTTATCTCCCAGCTCCACCTCCTTGCCCCACATATCACAGACATCGTCAACCTGTCCCTCTCCTCTGGCTCTATTCCCATTCCCTTAAAAACTGCCACCATCACTCCCACCTTAAAAAAAAACCTCCCTTGATGCGTCGCAGCTATCAAGCTACCGGCCCATCTCCAACCTCCCCTTCTCAGCGCCTTGGGACGTCCTCCTGACGTGAAAGGCGCTCTATAAATGGAATCTTGTTGTTGTTGTTGTTGTTCCTATCTAAGGTCCTGGGACGAGTTGTCGCCTCCCAACTGCGCTCTTTCCTCTCCAACCATTCACTATTCGAACCCCTTCAATCGGGTTTCCGTGCTGCCCATAGCACAGAAACTGCCCTGGTCAAGGTCACCAATGACATCCTGACCATCTGTGACCAGGTTTCTCCCTTTCTCCCTCTGCCTCCTCGTCCTCCTTGACCTATCGGCAGCATTCGATACGGTCGACCATGCTATCCTCCTCCACCGCTTGTCCTCCCACCTAAACCTTCAAGGCCCTGTCCTTGAGTGGTTTAGGTCGTACCTCTCCCACCGTCTTCACTTTGTCTCCACAAATGGTTTTTCCTCCGGCCCCCGCACTGTCTCGTGCGGTGTCCCTCAAGGCTCTGTCCTCGGTCCCCTCCTCTTCACCCTCTATATGCTCCCCCTTGGTGACATCATCCGCAGACATGGGGTTAACTTCCACATGTATGCGGATGACACCCAACTCTACCTTTCCTCCTCTACCCTCAACTCCACGACCACCGATGTCCTGACAGCTGCCTGTCCGACATCGAGTCCTGGACGAGAGATAACTTTCTCCAGCTCAACGTGTGCAAAACTGAGGCCCTCCTGATTGGCTCGCGTCAGCGCCTCCGCACCTCAGGCGCTGACAGCATCAGCATCCAAGGCTGCACTCTCCACCTCTCAAAGCCAGTCAGGAACCTCGGGGTTCTGTTCGACCCTGAGCTGTCCTTTCTCCCTCATATCCGCGCCACAACTGGCACCGCCTTCCATCACCTCCGGAATGTCGCCAGACTACGGCACTACCTCACCCCTCACGCTGCTGAAACTCTGGTCCACGCCTTTATCACCTCTCTGCAGCTCGTGTACTGTCCCGCACCAGGCTTCGGGACCACATCACTCCCACCCTCGCTCGCCTCCACTGGCTCCCCATCCCCCAGAGGATCGAATTCAAGATCCTCACCCTCACCTACAAGGCCATTCACGGCCTTGCTCCCTCCTACCTCTCCGACCTACTATCCCCCTACCTACCTGCCCGTACCCTCCGTTCCTCTGGCTCCGGTCTGCTCCACATCCCCCGCCCCAACCGCCCTACCATCGGTGGCCGGGCCTTCAGCCTCTCAGCCCCGAGGCTCTGGAACTCTATCCCCCAGTGCCTTCGCCTTGTTTCCTCCCTTTCCTCCTTCAAGGCCGGTCTCAAGACCTTTCTCTTTGACCGAGCCTTCAGCTCCCCTCTCGACTCTCTTCCCCCTCCTCGCTCCCTCCCTTCCCTCCCCTCACCCTGACCATTTCCCCCCTGCTCGGGTCCTGACCCAACTGTACAGCGCCTTGGGACGTCCTCCCGACGTGAAAGGCGCTCAATAAATGGAATCTTGTTGTTGTTGTTGAGCACATATTTATCCAGCAAATATTCCCCAGCTTTGCTTAAAATAGTCACAGCTACATTCTGTTACCTCCAGAGGGAATTGTGAGGTCAATAATATATTTAAGTAGCCAGTGAACGCCTTATCACTACAGGTAATACTGTATGTTACTTTCTAGTTTATTGCTGAAGGTATTTATCTTCCAACACAGGGGGTGCAAACTCAAGTTTTCTCCCCAGTGTATTTTCAGCTACTGCTAGGTCCTGTGCCTCTGTTTCTTGAAGGAAGGGAGAGGAGTAAAGTGATGGCCAACTATTCAGTCAGAGCTCCACCGATTACCCCCCACTTCTTGCCAGATATCCGTGATTGTGAGATGGATCTCTTTTTACTTCTCAACCCCTCGCTTTCCCCCTCGCAGTTTACAGTGTGGATTAGGTTCACGCCTTCCTCCCCATCCTACTCCTCCCTTGTCCACCCCAGTTTGCTTCCTACTTCACTCACTGCTATCAGTTTGTCTTTGCAAATGTTTTCTCCTCTGGCCCCACTTGGTCACCTGCAGTGTACCGTACGACTCTATGCTCTACCTCCTCCTTTTGCTTATTCATATACTCTCTCTTGGTGACATCATCCACAGACATGGGGTCAATGTCTGCATGTAGGTGAATGACACCCAAATCTACTCTTCCGCCCACTTGGTTGTTTAGTAGGATGTGGTTACTGAGAGCAAATTAAATTTGCAACTTTCCCAGCCCATGTTAACTTCACTTTATCGTATATTCTGTGAAGATGACTGTGGACATTCTTTGAGATGTCTTGAAGACGTGATAAGGCGCTATGTCAAATGCCAGGATTATTATTACTATTATTATTATTATCAATATTTCTGATCTGAAATATTTTTTTAAATCTTTCTGCCTTTCAGTTGCGAAACATGGCATTATTCTCAGCACTGCCCTCCGATGGCCAAGTAATTGGGTTGCAACTGAAACCATTCCTGATTCTAATTCTATGGCCATAACATACATAGATATCATTGGGCGCATTGTCAAAGTCAGAGCACTGGAAATTCTTCCTCTTGATCGTCATGAGCCTGTTCTGTACCTCAGTATAATTTCCACCGTTGCCTTTGCTTCACAAAACAACTGTTTTGTTTCAGGGCTGAAAGAGTTGCAGAAAACCTAAGTGCTCCTCAGCTTAAAATTTAAATTCTTGACACTTTTGCTTTTCAAATTAATTTGCAATTATGGAAGAAAAGCTATTTGAGGTTTTTCTGGCGTGACAACCAAATTACTCATCTCTCGTATGGGGAAGTATTGGTTTGTAACTCATCATGAGGCTGACATAATGATGTACTGTAATGGATCCAGGAAGATGTGCAAAACCACATGGCTGTTAAAGGGGAGCACTGCATATAAGCAATACTGGGGATGTAAACTGGAAGCCACAGTACTTCCACAAAGTCACATTAATGTTTTTCAGCAGGCTATTTGACCTTGGGGAGACTTCACTGCCAGGCTTGATCTTGTTCTTGTTATCACCTGTCCAGCAGAGATATCCGAGAGAACTCTGCCTGATTTTTCCTGTTCCTAATCTGGGGGGGCTGAGGCCAATTGTAATACTCCAGCAGCTAACTCAGTGTAGACAGAGAAACCAAACTGATTTATATGGCTGTTTCAAACCAAGCAAAATGTTTTCTGCTTGCTCAAACGGATGTTAAGTACAATATAATGCCTTTTATGTTGGGAGGAAGTGTCAAAAAACTTCACAATGCCGGGTGGGAGCTGAGGGGGTGGGGAACATAAAGATTCTGATTCCACCGCACTATTCAAAAAGAGAAGAGAGTTTCTCCTGGTATCCTGGCCAATAACATATATGCATGAGGTGGAATGTGCATCCTTGGATGCTGATGCTGCCAGTGCCTGAGGTGCTGAGGCGCTGGCGTGAGTTAATCAGGAGCACCTCGGTCTTGCTGACATTCAGCTGTAGAAAGTTGTCTCTCATCCAGGACTTGATGTTGAACAGACAAGTCTGTCATGACGTCAGTTGTCCTGGAATCGAGGGTGGAGGCAGAGAGATAGAGTTGGGTGTCATCCACGTACATGTGGAAGTTGACCCCAATCTCTGCGGATGATGTCACCAAGCGGGAGAATGTACAGATTGAAGAGGAGGGGGCCGAGGACAGAGCCCTGAGGAACACCGCACAAGACTGTGCGGGGGCTGGAAGAAAAACCATTGTCGGAGACAAATTGGAGACGGTGTGACAGATAAGACCTGAACCATTCAAGGACAGAACCTTGAAGGTTGAGGGTGAGCGGAGAGTCGGTGGAGAAGGATGGAGTGATCTGAAGGCAGAGGGAGCCCTGGTCACAGATGGACAGGATGTCGTATGTGACCTTGACCAGGAGCAGTTTGGAAACCCGATTGGAGGGGCTTGTGAAGTGAGTGGGAGGAGAGGAATGAGCGAAGCTGGGAAGCAATGACTCTTTCAAGGATTTTGGAAAGAAAAGGGAGGTTGGAGATGGGCTGGTAGTTAGATAGCAGGGATGGGTCCAGGAAAGGTTTTTTCAAGATGGGGTGATTATAGCTGTTTTTAGGGGGATGGTAACGGTCCAGACAACGCTTTGAGATAATTGTTTGAGGTGAAGCCGGTAAACCAAATGAAATAATAATTATTTTTTAAGCTGTGGCTTTACCAACTGAGCCTTCAGATTACTTAAGATTATAATTTGGTAAGAATTAGTGTTGTGGTTGGTTTTACTTACATTCACTAAAATAATAGAGAAAATATAAAATGAAACATTTTACCCGTGTAATGATTTTCAATTATGTTGTGCAACGCTTGGGAAGTTTATTTTTAACTGAAAAGCACGACATAATTGCAAGGTGTTATTATCTTAATGATAAATAATGATCAATAATGATCACATTTGATGAAAGCTTCCATTTCAAAAAGCTGCCTGAACTGTCAGAGCAGTGCATTCAATATAATCATCTTATCCTGCAGCTACTGCAGTGAACAAAGGGACATTTTAAAATCTCTGCCAGTTTTCTCTGACATCTGACTTCTGTTACCTTCTGCTGGGGTAAGGTTCCATGGGGTTCTCTAGTATCTCCCCTTAAGTGGCCATTATTCATGTATGAGCCTCGAGAATGTGTGTCGGAAAGCTATTCAACTGTGCTTTGCAGCCGAGTCCCCTCCTTACCCAATGTTCACTTGCAGTGAAGCATAAACTCTGAATCTACGTAACAGAGAGGCAATGAGGTTTCTGCTAGAGATGTTCGAAGGGGTCTACTGTCTCTCTACCTTTACCAAACTAAGGAGCAGCAAACAAAGATAAACCACTGCACATGCCCTACCACCTGTCCCCTCCTCAATATTTGCCTCTTTATGGTGGTGGTGATAAATGAACCCTATCTTGGGCAAATGTCCAAGGCATCTCCTAACTGCAGCAACAGAGATACAACCCAGCTCATCCAAGCACCTGGGGATCTAGGCCCTATGAAAGGGTGCCCAGCTGAGAAGAAAATAATCATGTTCATCGGGGGGCTGAAGTTCAAGTCTAACTCAAAGTCCATGTTCCTACTGCCAACAAGCACCCAGATAAGCGGAATACTGGAGTGGAAAGGCACATGGTTCTTCCAGTGGGCAGAGGTCCAAAAGGTTCATTACTTTAATTGTGCATTTCATTCATTCAAACCAAATGTTAATTAAAAAGCAGAGTGAAACAAACAAGCATTTATGTGGGAAGAAAAACCTCTCCTGCGCTTTCCTTACTCTTTGGTTTACATGTCCATGGTCATGTGGAAAAGGAACTGATTATACAGTATGTGGACTTTATTATTTTTATTTGAAAAAAATATTTTCTTGAAGGGGTTCATCTTCACTCATGTAAAGTTTAGGATAAGTATAAAAATGCAACACAACCTTACCATTTGCCCATAAAATACACAAGTTGCACGACTTGATAGTATTATACTGTGAAGCACTTTGAGACCTCTATAAAGTGTTATACCTAATGCAAGGATTATTATGTGTGTTTTGTAAAGGCTTCCCTCTCTCACCCTCCAGCTTGGGTGCCCAGCCAGGTGTGTGAAGCTGTTTGAAATACCTTCCTGTTGTGAAAGGAACTATTTAAATGTAAATTGTATTCTATTTGCAGCATTGATTGTACAGACTGATTGTTGCCTTTTCCGCAGCAGGCTCTCACAGACAACTGAGGTGAACAACCAATTAATTTGAAATATCGTTCGTCAGGAAACCAGTAGAAATTCTATCTTCTTTGTGATTAAAGCCAAAGGTTCTTTACCATCTACCTGATCAGGCAGACAGGACCTCAGTTTAACATTTCATCCAAAACACAGCAGCTCTGACAATGCAGTGCACTGCATTGGAGTGCCACCAGACTATGAGCTCAGAGTCCTGACATGGGACTTGAATTATTTAAATTTGGATACTTATTTCACACGATAGTCTTGAAAAATATTAAAAAAAGAAAAGGTTTTGCTGTTCAGCACTTTTGGAAATGTAACCTGGATGTTGGGAAATATATTCCATTGCATAGGAGGAGTTCATTTTATCAAGCTTTCAAAATAAGTTGAACATTCGATGCCAAGAGGTGGGATCATATGTTTGAACCCCATTGGCATGGTTTGCACTGATGAAATGACTAACTAATACATATCATTGATGTGCTGTGGAATAGGCTTCATGGGGTGAATAGCTTCCTCCTGTTCATGCTTGTCTGGGGAACTGTGAGCCTAGACAATGAAATGTTTTGAAGTGTTTTAGAACTAGATGTTTTATTTTTACTTTTATTCACATAAAAATAATGTCTGCAGCACAATACGATTGGCACATCCTCTTGATGCGAGAGGCACTAAATAAATGCAATTTGTTGTTTGTGTGTGTGTGCAGTTGTGTTGTATGTAAAATATTGTTTTATTTATGCAGGAGAAATTGCATCAGTAGAGAACACACCCTTCGATTTGAGGAACCCAGTTCTACTTGGAAGCCACATACAGAACAAGTTAAAAGCAGGTTTTGATCACAACTTCTGCTTACAGGAATCAAAGGAGCGATTTCCTTGTGCAAGGTATCAGCATTAATCACATCAAGTTTTAGATTGTAAATGTCTTGAGTGTTGAAAGTATGGATTCAAAAATCTGAATTAATTTGAAGAAATTAATCTTTGCCCTGAGTACACCTTTTGTTCAGTTATTATCCTAATATGGGAGAGTTCTCACCATCTCTTGCTGCAAGACCAAAAAACAAACTAAGCAATGAACATTCACTTGCAGTAGTTTAATGGAAACTAGCTGTTATCTTAATGATGGTTTACCATGTTCTTTGGGCTTGTTTTGCTGTGGTCATTTCGTTTTGCAGAACAGTGGAAGGCTGGTACAAATGTTGAATCTGGACTTGGCATAGTGTTAGCCATGAACTTTGAACTCCAAAGCAATTAAACTCTCGAGTCCACCATTGGGGAAAAACACAAGTATCATAGAAACAAAAAATTACATTTGGGGGTGGGAGATGGGAAGGAAAGGATTGCTGAAAACATGGTTTAAGTAAGACATGGCAGGGCTTTGAAAGTGAGTTAGAGTGACTCTGGGATGGAGTTCCAATGTGTGTGGGCAGAATGACTGAAAGTCTGCTGATGGTGAGGCAGGTAGGGTGGGACATGAAGGAGGCTGGTATTCACTGAGTGAAGCAATGACTGGGTTGGAGGAAGTTGTAGAATACAAGTTTTTTCTTCTTCTTACTCTCTTGGGTGATACGGGGTCTAGGAGAATAAGGGGGAGTAAGATTAAAGTGTGACTATCCTCAAAATGAATTGATAGTGGAAACCAATCTGTTAATTTTTGTCTGTAGAGTTTATCATCGCCCAAGTGGCAGGCTACTACAGGTTGAAACTACCCAGCCAGGGGTGCAGTTGTACACCGCTAACTTTCTTGATGGGAGCCTGAAGGGCAAAGGAGGAGCTGTGTACCCAAAACACTCAGCATTTTGTCTGGAGACTCAGAATTGGCCTGATGCTGTCAACAAGGTTTGTAGCAAAATAAACTCTTTAACTTCGAGTGTGTGCACAAATGGAATGATGAGATTTCAGTGTTGCTGAGAATCTGCACTAAAAGGGGACCTAGAGTATCACCAATTTGATCGGCATAAACTGCACTGCAATTTGCAACCAATTTATGACCCATTTTGTCACCGCAGGATGTTGTGCAACCCACCATTTCAAGTATTGTTGCTGAAATTCTGAGGGGTTGGGGGGGAATGGTTGTTTGGAAGTTAGCAATTTTATACCAAGTTGACACTTTTTGTTATTCAGAAATATAACTCCTCTTTTGGAAATGTGAGGCTCGTTAATTTGATTTTAAACCTTGTTTATTGCAGACAAACTTCCCAAATGCTCTGCTGCGACCTGGCGAGGAATACAACCACACCACGTGGTTTACGTTTTCTGTACTTTGAGAGCTGTACTTCATGTGAACAACTGAGTGTCATTCAAATCAAAATGGTTATATTTACATCAATTATATATTAGCAAGATCAGACACAAATCAATAGGGTGGGAATGGTTGGTTGATGCAGGGGGAAGAGAAAGATTATCGCAAAATTAACACTTGAACAACTTTATTTTTCAGCTGTTCAAAAGTAGGTCAGACCCATGTGAGGAGGGCATGATCATAGAAACCAGTGAGTTGAGCATCACAAGATGAGTCGCAGTATACCTAGATCCTATCCCAACTTGTATCATTCTGCTCTGAAATTACCACTGAGCTTAAATAAATGTTGGTGCAGTTAGTTATTCTGTCAGTGTTTTTTGTTTTCATCTGTTTTGGGAGTATGTGGAAGGGAAACATTCTAAAAGCTGGATATTGGATATTTGCTAACCCCAAAAAGGTCTGAATTAGCAAAGAATATTTCACCATTTCTTATCCCGGCCGTGGTTACATAGAAATATGCTTTTTGCTTGAACACAGCTTCTGGCAGTAACTTGAAAGGCGCTATACAAATGTAATTTTGGTGGTGGTGTTATCTCTCTTGTGAAGCAGTTCCTTCTAAACTCTCTGTTAGATCCAGTAGTACCTATCTTATATTTGTGCGCTCTTGTTCTGGACTAACCAACAAGTTGAACCAGCATATCGTGGAGTCCTGTAGCTCAGTGGTTAGAGCACTCGCTTTGCAAGTGAGAGACCTGAGTTCAATTCCAGGCAGGGCAAAACCTTGGGCAAGTTTCCTTACTCCACACAGAGCCTAATAATAATCCCTCCAAAAAAACAAAACAATAATAAATTGGTCATTTTCAATCTACGACTGTTTGTGGGACACTGCTGTGTGCAATTGGCTGCCGCGTTCGCCCACAAATATACAGTCAATTCACTTTACAGTGTGTTCTGTGAAGCGCTTTGGGACGTCCTCCCGACGTGAAAAGCGCTATATCAAATGCAAGGATTATTATTATTATTATATTAATGTCCAACTAATCAAATTATTTCATAATGTTGAATATATAACTTTCCTATTCTTCCTCCGATGCATTAACACTAAAATACATAACCTTACACTTCATTAAATTTCCGATTAAATGTGCCAATCAACCCTCGTTTATTGGCATTTTTCATCGACAAAAAAAAGGCAGTAAAGGCTTTGCAATTACACTTAGCTGGAAATTCTGGCTCACCAAACCACATCTCCAGCTCTTACCCACCGCCCCAATTAATCTGGCTAGCTGGGGTTTAGTGTATTTAATATTATTAGACAAACTTAAATACAACACATTTGTCCTCAAAAAGTAGAGAAAGTTGACAGCAATTTTTGTGCTGAGGTTTGAGAAGCCCTCACCCAAATTCCTTTGCGTTCCATTACCAGAGCCTTTTCTATGAGTATTAATTGACAGAATTCTCAAACAAACAAGTATTTTGTTTTGGATGAATCATCAAAGGAAGTCAACTAGTCATTTCAGATGTTGTGATTAATACTTCTGTTTTGCCTACACTATTAGTTAGTGTGCGAACGACATTATATAAAAGCTGTTGTATATAGATTACCTTGGGTTTTCTAGCAAGTGGCAAATTGAGTCCCACTAGCGGTTGTGGACCCACTACATGAGCTGGGCGTGTGATCCTCTGTAGTTGCTGTATTTTCATGAAGCAATAATGAGCTTTGGGGAAATTAGGATACCCCCCCACACCCTGATCCCATTGGCATTTACTTACCTTCTACAAGTGAGAATATGGGATATCAGTGACCTTGAAAACTGCTGAGGTTTTCTTAAATTGTTAGAAGTTTCCTAAGCCTGTATCTATGTGAAAACAGAACACTATATATGTACTGCAACTTTTCAAGGCTACTTTTTTGAAACAATTAAGTTAGCAATTTATCTTCAGTAATCACTGGCTTACAAGCAATGTTTCATTTCTCCCTTGTGGTCAGTCAGTACCTTTTTCAGTGCACTGTTATTATTTTCATTTATCTCTTTGACTATTCATTTGTGTGTGTGTGAAAACAGATCAAGATAGAGTATGGGGAAAATAAAACAAACAATACTTATTTGAAGATTTTGGTGTTTTCCTTTTCATGCCAACTTACGATACGTTTTTCCGTAAGATCGAGGAATCTCTAGTCGCTGGAGGGTTTACACAGAGCGTAAAATTACATGGTGGAAGATCAGGGAGTCAACAATCAAGCAGAAAAAATACTTGCTCGCCCACAAAGATCGTTAAACTGGTTGGAGAATAAATCTCCAGATTTTGCAGTTTATTATAGGACATAGAATTGAAAGTATTAAGAGTTGCTCATTGCCACATTTTAGCTAGGTGCACATTAATAGTGAAATATTTTCAGATTTTGCTAAATTATTCAATCATTGGGTACTGTTGTCTCCTCCCCCACACCCTCTGTTCTCCCCAAACATGTGGCATTGCTGCTTGTTGCTTTGAAGATTACATAATCTTCCATTATTTACAATGTGTTCGCTTTTAAAAATGTCACCTCCAAGTTCATGGAGGATGTTGCTGCTACAGTGGAACTCTGATAACTTGCCCCTGGGATAAATAAATCTCACATAACTCCTCACTCACTTAATATCCTGGCTAACTCCCATAAGACATGTTAATCATGACCGTCTGAGTCACCTTGAATATTTCATAGGTCATCAGGTTTTTGCAATTTTAATTTTGAGATGGTCTTTCGTGGCATTTGGTTAATGGTCTTCCTCCTAACCTCAGCCAGCCACATGGTTGTGTAAGTAAAATTATTCCCTTCCCTTTGACCTCACCTTTGTGGCTATGGTAATTTTTGTTATGTGTTGTGTTATCAGCTTGATTGCAGCTTAAATATACCATTCATTTATTTGCAATTGTGTATGACCTACTGTAAATATCTTAAAACTTATGCAAGCATTTCAAATGAAATTTTTTTTTTGGCACTTCTTTCCCATTCTGATTTGAGCACTTTGTATTTTTGCGGTGCTGTACTCTGATAAATAGACATTTGAGCTATTTCCCTTATGGTGATGAGTTATCAAGAGTTTCTTTATGACAGTTTGTAATTCAGTTAAGTGTCAACTTGGCTTGGTTGGTAGCTGATGCAGTGTTGGAGATGCTGCGATTGAGTTGTTACAATAAGGTTCCTTCTGCCTGTTCAGGTGGACATCAAAGATGCCATTGCACTATTTAGAAAAAAAAGTTTCTTTTGGTGTCCTGGCCAGCAAATTTGTGTTTATCTCATGACTTATTGTGGAACATTGCTGTGTGCAATTTGGATGCCACATTTGCCTACAAAATACTGTTGCTAACCTCTATCCTATGAAGTGCTTTGAGATGTCCTTGAATGAATAGTACTCTATTAGATGCAAGGATTGTTGTTGTAGTTCATGTGATATAAGGAATGCTTAAAAATCCTGAGGTCTGTCATTTATAAAGTTGTATAGAAAAATACAATTTCAGTTAATGAAAAGCAATTTGCAAAACACCAATCTCTGTGAAAGGCTTGGTGGCCCTCTATTGAGCTAAATACATAGTGCAATCGAATACTGTACTTTTTTTCAGTCTCATTCACCCATACACCCATGTCAAGCAGGAACTAACTTCTTACCAAACTTCAACCAAAAGCAGTCAAAGATATGTTTTGAGCATGATTTAAACATGGAAATTCCAGAGGTATTTATTGGAATGCATACTCTCTGCCTGCAGAGATGCAGCAAGCTTACCTAATTTTGGTGCAGATTAGCTAAAAACAAAGCTTGAGGACCCCAGTGTACACCGAGGTACTGCTGGAGTCTTAACCAGCTAAAAGAACATAGCTTGCATTGAAAGAAAGCACAGTTTTATAAGTTTTCCCACTTATTGTTCAGTTAAGACCATGCTATCCATTAGAACTTTTGCTTGCTGGGTTAACAGCAGCTGAGTGGGAAGAATCCCTACCTCTGATGACTGGTCTGCTGCTCTAAATCCTACTGATAAACCAGGCTGGATGGGCTGTCATTAGCAATGTGCTGGAGTACTGCAGACTCAGTTGGCTCTGGAACCAGACAACTGAGACTGCCACAGAGACTGTGATTCTGACATTCCATTGCCAAGTAGGTCACCGTAGAACCAGTTCACTTACCTGCAGTCCATCCTCACCTCAGCCGCTGACGTTATCACTTGTCACGGCTGCACTCTTCACCCTGACTGTCCAGTGCCCTGGGACGTCTTTCCCACATGAAGGGTGCTATACAAGTGTAATTTGTCGTCGTTCACAAATGGTTGGACAACGCAAGTAGGACGACTCATTTATTTCTATTTCCAGATACAAAAAAAGCAATACATTTCAACTTGGATGAGTGGGATATTAAAACGAGGGAAAAAATGCAGGTTACTGGATTTAGTTGTCTACACTTAGATGTGTTCTTTCAAATTGGTCTAGATATCTGTCCTACCCGTGCCATGTTTTTTCCACAAGCGGAAAAGAAAGTTTGATGGGAACAAATTTAGAAACAAGCCCTTACATTTAAATCAAAACAAGAAATCGCACACAAAAAAAATCCCTTACAACTTTAAAGAATGTAAACAAAAACTATTATTTCTAAAGATTCGCTTTTCAATCTTTAGTCATTTCTGTCAGGACTTGCACTTCTGCGAGGGCTCCCAGATGGTGAGTGACTGAGGAGAAGAATAAATAGATATATTGAATACAAAGTATTTTTGTGCAAAAAAAGTACATTTCACATTCGGTGATTACACTCAAGAAATATTTCCTGACCATGAATGTTGGCAGGTACCTTGCTCAAAGGTCCACTGGCAATAACCACTGCTTGGAGGTGATATTTCACAAGGAAACTGGCAGTGAATTTGTTAACTCTTTTTTTAAAAAAAGCAGACATTAGAATACACAGCACATAAACAGGCCATTCGGCCCAACTGGTCTATGCCGGTGTTTATGCTCCACATGAGACTCCTCCTGCCCTTCCTCAACTAAGCCTTCAAGCATAACCTTTATTCCCTTCTTTCTCATGTACCTGTCTAGCTTCCCCTTAAACACATCTGCTATTTGCCTCAACAACTCCTTGTGTTAGCATGTTCCACATTCCCACTACTCTGTGTGAAGAAATTTCTTCTAACTTCCCTACTACATTTGATCTATTTGTGACTATTTTATATTGATGGCCCCTGGTTTTGGTCTCCCCCACAAGTGGAAACATCTTCCCTATGTCTACCCTATCAAAACCTTTCATCATTTTAAAGACTTCTATCAGGTCACCGCTTTACCCACCTCTTTTCAAGAGAAGATTCCCCTGAGTGGGGAGTCATTGTGCCACATAATGAGATCAGTATTTCACAAATGACAAAGGTTAGCAATAGGATACCATTTATATCCCGTGACTTGTGGTTTATCCTGTTCATACCAATTATTACACTGAAATTAGGTTATGTAAAAACTGATGTGCAGCTTGCAGTGACACCAGAGATTACTTACTCCTTTCAGTATGTGTCGTTTTTCCCTGGAAGGTGAAAAATATTTTGTGGAAATATGAGATGGCAGAAAATATATATAAGGGCAAGAGTGGGTCAATTTCACAAATAAGGATTAGTTTACCCTCCAGTAAAATAAATCTTACTCAAATTAAGAAGGTGGTCAATCAAAATAGAAAACGAAAGGAATGGGATTAAGTTCTCAAATCTGAAATTGCCAGAAACCCAAATAATTCACACATTATACAACATACTTTAATAATAATCCTTGCATTTGAATAATCCTTTAGCAAGTATGAATGGTAAAGACAAAAAGTGGAACAATGATAAAATTCCTTACCTTCGCTTTGGTGAAAGTGATCTGGATTTCGATCGGCTGCTTTTAAGAAAAAGCCCAAATTAGACATCAAAAATAAATAAATGTCTTAGAAACATTTGTACTCAAGAGAAGGAATGTCAGTTCTGAAGGAATTATATTAGCAGCAGACACCAAGTCAGAGGTAAAGCTCCCTCTCAGTCCCTTAAATACTAGCTCAAAGGAATGTTTTTTTGCCTTGGGACTCACACCACTGGATTGAAATGGCTACCAAACTAATTTCACAGGTGACAGAAGGTTTTGTCACACTAAGTAAGATGCAAAATAAGATGAGTGATAATAAATAATAATAAACAATGCACTAAACCTACTCCATCAAATAGTCTCAGACAACCCACCAATGTGTTTTTGCTCACAATTCCCTCTCCTACCAGTAAATTATGTCATCTGTGCTGCTGTTCACTGTTGGGAGCACCAACTGAGACAAAAGTAAGCAGACGGTAGGTAATCAATCAATCTGTACTATTCATTCCCACTTGGTAGTCCAACAAGAGAGACATTAACAGATGACACAGCACAATTCTTGAACTCGAGGAAAAACTGACAATTTAAAAATAATATTTTCCTCATACCTTCTTATTGGAGATTTAGACTTGGATCTTCTTACAGGGGATCTTCGTACAGGGGATCTTCTTACAGGGGATAGAGACCTAAGATATAAAACAATACTAAATTGTGATTTACTGAAATTGAAATTTCTCATATGTAAAACCTGCATTCAGCAGGTGAAAAGTATTGCATTCACATCACAAGCATGGTATAGTTGTATAGCTTGCCATCACACATTCAAATAGAAACCAGCGTTTCTCCTAGTGCCCTGACCAATAGTCCTCTTGGCAAATTGATCATTCACCTAATGGCCATTTGTGGAACTTTGATATTCATAAAACACCTGCTGCATTTATCTATAACTACTGTAAAGCACTTTATGTTTATACTTTAATGCAGACATTTTGGGCATTATAATGGACGCCCCATTGGGTGGTACCAACAGATATGTATGGACACAGGTAAGGAGGGAAAAATCCAAAGGAGTTCCGAGGCCACTCAAGCATATCCTTGCTCTGCATTGCTAGAGGCCTGGAAGTAAATCACCGACCCATCAATCACAGATGACATATCCAGAGGAGTGAGATTTCATGCCTTTTTATAAACCGATAAGAGATTCTCTCACAAGCCAGTCGATAAAGGTATTGATTGACGAACAGCATAAACCTTCATAAAATGCAGTTTGTTCTGAGTAATTTCAGCTAGTTCAACGGTGTAAGGTGCCAGCTCGGTTCAGTTGGTAGTATTCCTGGCACTGAGTTAGAATGTTGTGGGTTCAAGTCTCACACTGGATTTCAGTCTATTCTGATGCTCCACTATAGCACTGGGTGAGTGCTGTATTCTTGGAGGTGTTGTTAAATTGAGATCCCATCTGCCTGCTCTTCAAGTGGATATTATAGATGCCACTACACATTTGAATAGCAACAGGAGTTTCTCCTAGTGTCCTGACCAGTAGTCCTCTCGGTAAATTATTGATCATTCATCTAATGGCCATTTGTGGAACTTTGCTGTGCATAAAACAACTGGCACATTTGTCTATAATGATTACTGTAAAACACTTTGAGACATTTTGACAAAGGGCATGGTAAAATAAGCTGCTTTCAAACGTGCCTCAGATTCCTGGGGTAGAGGGGAGAAAAGGAAGAAAAATGTCTGCAAGTATTTTTGCCTGATCACCATCTAATGCCTCCATTGAAAGCATGCCAGTTTATACATCAGATGCAGGGATTAAATAGCCTAACAATTGTGATCCCAGATCAGACATGAAAAATAGAAATTTACTGGTGCTACTATTGTGTATGGAATTGTATCCAAGCACAATTGGTGCCTTCAGGGAAGGCACAAGATGAAGAGGAAAATTAGAAGAAAAACTAAAAGATAACCTACCTGAAAGGTCATTCTTATTCTTCAAATGACAACATCCTCCACACTGCTGAGTTCCAGCACCAAAAAGTACTTACTGCTGGGAACTTACAGAAACTTAAGTGATGCCCCTTTCAGATGTTGACATCAAACCATCATGAAACATCACTACATGATTCCTCCCATTGCTGCACCCTAGAAGCACCACCCACCCAATAGCAGTCAAAGTTGTTTTATTCCTTGACCGTCAATAGGAGATAACATGCCATTCATCCAGGACCAAAGGAGGTGGAAGGATGGGAACACGTGGAGGATGCAGTCATTCAAAGACAATGTTACAAATCTTTTTTCCATTCAGCATTCTCCACACACCACTGGAGACTGACCAAGTTGTCATCCTTGCAAAGAGGAATGAGGAATTTGTGAATGCAGACTGTAGCTACATGTCATTTAACCAAAGATATCACTAATCTATAAAATGCTTGCGGTGCACAATGAGGGCACGGGAGAATGAAGGCAGAAAACATGACTAATGAAATGGGTAAGGATCACTCATATAACACAGAAAGATTCACAGTTCAGAGCTTGGAGGAAGCTACCCCTAGAATGACTAAGAATGAGCTTTTAAAGCACCTTATTGAGTCAAAACATCTCAAAGTGCTTCACAAGTAATCTTGTCAAGTCATTACTTGTAAAGTACATCCAAAGATGGCTCTTAGGCATCTATGCACCATCCAGTCCTAAATGAGCTCAATTTCTTTTGACCCTTGACTTCTCATTGCTGACTGGGAAATGAAGGTACCTGCTACACTAGAAAGCCACCTTAACCCAATCAGCTCTTGGAAGAGAAGCACAGCTGTAAGTGCTGGCTGGCCCTAGCATCAGCACCAGTTGAGGATGATATGCCCTGGACCCTTTCCAGAATCCACAGTGAAGACTGCAACTGGTGCTAATCTGTCATGTTGGGCAGTGTGGGGCTGGCAGATACCTTCGGTGACAGAACTGCAGGTCTCTTGTTCCCATCTTTTTCCTTCAGATGTTATAAATGTTTGGAGTGTTGCTTCGAAGAGAGACATCATAGACAGTGATCATGTCTGTCTGCAATAATGAACGCTCTAGTATGCTTTACGCAGCGCTTAAAACAGGCTTGGGTTGATAGCATCAGTGTTGGTCAGTGCCGTAACAGCTGTGGAGATTCAAACGGAAAACCATTACGGTACCAAAAGGTGTGAAGAGATGAACTGTTGCAGTGCAGAGCAATGCAAATGAGGAATTGTGAAAAAATTAAAGCAAAACTGAATATGCAAGATCAATGAATGGCAAAAAGTAGGATTGAAGCAGTTGGAAACAAAAGCTGTGGGGTAAAATGACAAATTGTAAAAGATGGAGTTTAGGCAGTAGCATGGGGGAGCAGCAGTGTCTTCTCCAGTAACAGGGTAAAACTGACTGTCGTTGGGTGGTGGAGTGCTTATACAAAGTGCAGGGACAGGAAGAATCACAATATCTGACATGAAGAAATCACAAAGTCTTCCAAGGATGCCACTCTATAAGTACTTACCTAGTCCCAGAACCCAGTGTTGTGTGGAGGTTGCTGAATTAAGAATGAAAATATGACATCCTGTGCAAAATGGGCTTCACCTTGCTCCAGGCATTTGGCAACCCCATTGCAAGTCTCTAGATAGGAACTTAATTTAAAGAACTAGGGCCAAATGGTCAGCATGATTATCCAGCTTGCTAATATAACACAACTAGCAGAAATACTTCATATACGTTTGCATATGTTATTGCAGGAAAGGCATTTAATTTATAAAATTAAAAAGGTCTCTGGAAAGAAAATATTGACCATGAGGGTGAAGATAGTAGGGATGAAATTAAACTAACCTGCTTCTTTGCCTTGAGAGAGATCTGGATCTTGATCTAGACCTATAACAAAGTAAAATTTGCACATGAAATTTAATACACTACAATTTGCAGGATTAAGTAATAAACTGGCATAACCACTGAACTCTTAAGTAAATGTTACTTTTTCAGATAGAAAAAGTTGTCAAATTTTTGCTGATTTTGCTACAACACAAAGTAGCTGCTGCATTTGCCTATAAATACATTTCCTACACTTACAGGAATTGTGAAGCACTTTGAGATACTGAATGTTATAGGCACTATATCAAGTTCAAGGATTATTTATTGATCTTTCCACAGCCAGATGTTACAAAGAGCAAGAAACCATACAATGGTTAAAACGGATAAGGCTAAGTCTATGGAGCCCACCTGTCACTCAGTCTATTTGACAATCTATTTGGTCTCTTCTAAGATGAGAAGTTTAAAAGGGACTGCGCTAAAAATAAAGGCATTGCATATTTTCTATCCTTTTTTAAAAACAATATTATTCCTTTTTTTGAATCTAGATATCCAATCACTACTACTTTATAATCAGTACAAGTGTTCGGAAATGTCGAAATGTATCGGTTAAAAATGCAGGTAAGTGAGGCAACATTTAAACAATAATATCTGTGCTATAAATCAAAATCTTGAATTAAACTGGGAAGATAAACCACATATGGATACTTTCCATTAATATTAATTGTAATATTTTAACCCAATTGTTCTTGTTGGTCAACTGACAAAGTATGCTTGCATAGGCAACACATTTGACCGACCAAAATTATCTTGTGGTGGTGGATTGGGGAGTGAAGAGGTTGGAGAGGTAAAGAGGTGCCAGGGAGTGAAGCAATTTGAACACAAGTGTGAAGATCTTGAAGTTGATCCATTCGGTGATGGGGAGCCAGTGGAACCTGGCAAGAACTGGTGGGATTGGGGGTATGGAGTTTGATCCCTGTAAGTATGTGGTGGCAGAGTTCTGAATGAACTGGATTTTTTGAATAGTGGGGGGACCAACGAGGAGTGTGTTTTGAGTAATCCAGGCGGGAGGTGACAAACGCTTGCACAAGAGCTTTGGCTGCAATTGGGTTAAGGGACGGTCAAAGGCGGGCAATGTGGCAGAGGTGGAGGAAGGCGGTCCTGGTCAGGGACCGGAGGTGGGGCTGAAAGGACAGCTGGGGGTTGAACCGAACGCTTAGACTGCGCAGTGGTTCGGTGAGTGTGAGGGAGAGCTCAGGGAGGATGAGGAGTTTAGATCTGCAGGAGTGAAGATGTTCACAGGAGCCAAAGAGTATGGCTTCTGTACAGCTGCAGGAAATTTGCACTCATTCAGTCCCTGATGTCTGCCGGACAAGCTGATAGAACATTGGCGGACCTGGAGTCAATACTGGAGGAGTAGATTTGTGTGTCATCCACATACATGTGGAAATTTACCCTGTGTCTGTAGATGACATTGCCGAGAGCTTATCGATTAGGAAAAAAAGCGGGCCAAGGATTGAGCCCTGGGTACCCTGTAGGTAACCTGGCGGGGGGAGAAACCATTTGCTGAGATGAAATGGAGGCGGTTGGTTAAGTAGGATCGAACCATGCAAGTGCTGTCCCATTAAGGTGGATGAGGGAGGAGAGGCGGTGAAGGTCGACTGAGTCAAACGCGGCAGAGAGATCCGGGAGGACGAGGAAGCCCTTGTTAGAGATAGAGAAAACGTTGTTTGGGACTTTGACAAGCGCGCTCTGTGCTGTGGGCAGAGCAAAAAACAAGACTGCAGGGGCTTGAGGAGGTTGGTGTGACCGAAGTTGACCTGCAACAATGCATTCCAGGACTTTAGCTAGGAAGGGTAGGTTTGAAATGGGACGGTAGTGTGAGAGATTAGAGGGATCAAGGGTGTTGTTTTTTTTTAGAGAGGTGTAACAATAGGAAAAAAGAAAGAGTAAAAGCACAGAAAATGCTCACTCACCTTGACTTTTTCGGAGTGAATGACCGAGATCTTCTTGGAGAATACGACCGGGACCTCCGAGGAGAAAAAGATCTGGACCTGGATGAAACAATATTTTTGAATTGAAAGCATTCAAAAACCAGAATCCAATTAATTCCAAAACTTGATCACATGAATGAACTCACCGTCTGCCACGGCTACGGCTGTTTGAACGGGTGTACCTTCTTCCACGCGAGGGTGAACAAGACCTAGATCTGGACCTAGTTTAACAAAAGAAAGCCTGGTCAAATAATGCCATTTCAGCATGCTGTCATTGGAATACCTCTGCTGGAATCAAAACAAGGTTGCTACAATACATTTGTGTCTGTCAGTTTGAAGATAACTTGGGACCCTGTATATATTTTTTTTGTTTTTAGATTAAATCTACTTAATGTAGATTCCATTAAAATTACACATTTTAGTATTTCGTGCATCAAAAAAAAACACTTGTAAGTGGTACATAAAGTAAACCTTGCAAGTTTGCAGGTCAGTCCACCCTCTTTGGACCAAGGTCTAGCAGATCTAGGCGATCTAGAAGTATCTATCAGACCATCGCAGCATCTAGATGTTCTTCAATCTAACGACGATCAAACTGACAGCCAAATGAGCCAAAGTGAGGCTTGATTGACGCAGGAAGTTTGTCTATGAGGGAATGCAGTCAATCTGGCGTTCCTCTAGAAAGGGGCCCAATTGAAAGCCAATTTACAGCATATCGGCGATCACCTTGTCTCATTCTCAAACTTTTTCTGCCCTCAAAAGAATCTTAAGGTGAAGCTAGTTGTAGCAGGTTCTCGAGGGGATCTGGCCTCATGCCAATCACCGTATGCTCTAGATGCATCATAACTGTTGGATTTGCTAGATGCCTCAGCCTGAAATCATGAGGCTCACGACATTCTGAATCACGGTGACTGACTCAAACGAAGAAACCTGAAAGGTTTGGACCAGGTGGATCATTAATATTCGAAACATTCACATTGAAACTCAAAAGTTAAAACAAAAATTGCCGAAAGACTTGTTTAGCACTTAAATGATAGCAATGATAAAGCACTGAATTTCTTTAATATATAGATTAAAAATGCTAGAAATTACTTATTTAAATATTTAAAACAAAAAAGTAATTAAGATTTAGCAAAATATACCTGCTCCTTCTGCGTCGGCTATAACGGTGACAGTCATAAGCATAATGACCTTTTTCCCCGCACTCATAGCATCGATCATTTGGATCAAAGGGGCGGCGTGCTGGGGGCCGCTCAAAGCGAGAACGGCGTGGCATTCCAGTAGACAATTCCGCTCGAACACGTGAGCCACAAATTACCCTTAAGTTAAAGAAATTAGTCTTTACACAAAGCCAAAGACTTTGATACAAAAACACACTCACAAATGTACAACTACATCATGCCTATGGCTACAAAATCACTCATCCCATTCAAGCTTGGATATATTGACCTTCAATTTACATTTTCAATGCTCCCACACTTTTATTTTTGTTTACATAGAATGAAACCTTTCAGTTAGTTAAGCTTCTACCCTTAACGCTTAGATAGCTGCTCGCACAATATGTTCAATACAATAAATCAGGCTTGAAAATGAAGGAACAATGGGTTCTGTTCATATACTCCTTTTTTATTGCTGTAATACAAATACATTAGATATTACACCCCCAATGCAATAAGACAAGTACAACGATGGATTTATAAAACAGTTTATTGAGGCTGCTTGTCAGGGTTTTGTTGGATACAGTGTGTATCATGAGGGACCTGCTAGAGTTATATCAAAAGGGAAATAGAATATTTGATTGAAGAATCCAGGAAGACAAAGTCTTAGTAACTCACAAAGAAACAAAATACATCTGCCATCATAATGAACCAAAATCACCTTAATACAGGCAAGTTCATATTCATCAAGCTGAACTGAAAGACACTGCAGTACACCTAAAAAAATAAAAAATCTTGTATTTTTGTAACGTTGATCGCATTGAAATATCTCCAAATAATTACAAGTGCAACGGCTGGTTTGGTAGCTAAACGCCATAGTCATTTGAACCAATAAAGTCATACAACCAGCCATGAGGTGAATACGCAATGGGAGAAAAACCCACCTTCCCGTTTCAAACAGTACCATGCTAGTTTCAACATCTATCTACCCTCCAATGGTGAGCGATGAAAAAGACGAATTAAAATATACAAGACAGAATCAAAAATATACTAAAGGGCACAAATTATGAGGATCAGTAAGGCAAAAGGAAATGTACTGAGTGGGTTGCAAAATTCTTTGAAATTGATGAAAATGAAATGCCAAAAGCTTGACCAAGAAGTAGTAGTACGGTTCATTGAAGAGATAATTAATCAGTTTTTCAAACGGTCAAATTATGGGACTCAAAAGGGACCCAACATGTTTGTTGTAGTTTACCCATGGCAAATTGCTTAATGACAGATATAGGACAGCAGAGAGGTTCCCCAGGATTTAGTCAGGGTTGTGAAGGGTGACAGACTGGAGAAACAAGGAGGGAAATCATTGCAAAGCAACAATAGAAACAAAGGCCAGGAGAGAAGTGTTTGCATAGAAGGAAGAAGAGAACACAAATCAGAACTGTGGTTTAAGAGATTTAAACTAATTTAATTTGCCTATTAGAACAGCTGATGAAATGGTACAGTGGAAGATACGAAATACAAACAGTCCATAAAAGCATAGCCTATAACTCAAGTGGAAGATTACAGATCTCATCCATGCAATCCTCAGATGACATCCTCATACACCCCATTTTGTTATGAATTACCTCTCTCCGGAGACTACTGGCCACCATAGTAACATTTAAAAACTTTCCTGTATGGAAAGTGTTTAAAATTTACAGGAACATTTTTGTTACAGATCCTAGGTTCTCCATTATTTACAGCAACATCTTTGCCACAGATCCTACGTACTTCAATAGTGAGCCATACAGTAAGAAAGAATAACAGTTCTGTGACTCGTATGTATGAACTTTTTTTTAAAAAAGGGAGTGCGGAGTAAGTGTGATAGTAAAGACAAGTTCAAATCCACAGTTCACCTACACAGCAGGTTCCTGACCTCTGCCATGAAGTCAGGGGAAAAACAACTGAAGGCCTGTTCTTCCCCACAGTGATGGAGGAAAAGAATCCAAGCAAAGTCACTCCAAAACACCATCTACAATGCATTGTCACACGTTTACTGCCTGCTGGCTGCTGAAGTGGAACATAGAAACATGGAAAGTTTGTTAGCTAGAAAGCTCCCTCTTTTGAGTCCCTTTGCAAAATTAAGTTATTAGACCACTCAACCTGGGCTTCTTCCTCACCATACCGTAATATTCATAGAACAGGACAAATCCAAAGGGGGAAAAAATTATATTACTTAGTGTTGCTCTACCGATTATATGCAATAAATACAGCACTACTGTTGGAAAGGCATTGAATATGGCAGAAGAGCAGTTGTGCGCATTCTCAGTTACTGGACAGGCTTTCTGGTGAGAAAAATAGTGCCGATATGCTGGATGACATGACAGCTGCGGAAATTGTTTTCAATTTCCACAGTTGCCAGACCACATGAATGTTTTATAAAGGTTTGGTTACAGTAATGGCAGCTGTCACATGTCTCATCCATACATTATTGCATTTATTCCAATAAATAAAAAGTGTATGGATACCAAACACACCTGTCACACCCTCATATACAACAGCCTTGTACACTTCACACTTGACAACTGCCCATAATTTAAAGAGGACCTAAATCCAAATAGTAAAGTCACTTGTTCCATTAACATTCTTCGCCATTTAATTACAGCGAATGATCCTTAACTGTTTTGTAGTCATCTAATCAGAGCACACTATGTTCACAACTGGGCTATCTAGGTTCCCATAGATATCTATCTGTTCCTGCTAACTTTGGACATGCATTCTCATTTAATTATTGAAAATGTTGATGGGGGAGAAATGGACGAAAGACAAGATGCACTCACTCCAGGAGGTCTAAACAAGTGTGCTCTGATCAGACATTATAAAATAACAGCCAAAAGCATTCACAATAACTAAAACGAACTGTGAATAATGATATTACAACAATGACTTCACCATTGGGGTTCAGTTCCTCTTTAAAGTTTACTTACTTGCCATCCAAACCACGAACAGCATCTTCAGCATCTCGAGGCTCCTCAAATTCCACAAAAGCAAAACCAGGGGGATTCCGTGCTATCCAGACAGTTCTCAGTAGTCCGTAGTAGCTGAATGCACGCTCTAGTTCCCCTTTACCGGCACCTGTTCCCAAGTTACCTACATAGACCTTGGTTTCTGTTGAGATGTACATCAGACATCATTAGCGTCTACAAAAGAAAACACTAAGACCTCTTTAAATAACAAGACATGGAAGCTATAGGGATTCCATGTGTAGTAGAAACACACACATAGGCCTCATTGTGCAGTTTCAAAATAAATTCAGGTGTGGGAGGGAAGAGTAACCATGAACACAAATGTCAGCATGCAAGTAGATCTTGATGCTACAAAGGACAATGACATGATTTTTATTTCAACATCTGTGTTGATGCACTAACTCACTAGCAAAAGTTATTTATGATACTCATTTCAAAACAAAATTTCTGAATCGACTCATTATGAAGATATTACAATTTTCCACATGGACAAATGAACACCAACAATATCACTTTGAGATGTCGATGCTCAATCTCTACCAGCGGGAGTTTCAGTTGGAGCAGGAAACTGAAGGAACATGCAAGAAAGTGAACAGGCTGGAAACCTGATATTATGGAGTGGATATGTATTCTGGATGACGGAAAATAGAGGTATAAGAAATATATATATATTTTTTTGAATGGTAGGTTGGGGGTGATTTGGAATCATCTGCTGGTGAGCAGCAATATTTTGAAAATAAACTTACAAAACAGGAATCAGTACCGAGCATGAGGTGGAAGCTATAATAATAATAATCTTTGCATTTGATATAGCGCTTTTCACGTCGGGAGGACGTCCCAAAGCGCTTCACAGAACACACTGTAAAGTGAATTGACTGTATATTTGTGGGGGAACGCGGCAGCCAATTGCGCAACGCAATGTCCCACAAACAGTCGTAGATTGAAAATGACCAATTTATTATTGTTTTTGGTTTTGGAGGGATTATTATTAGGCTCTGTGTGGAGTAAGGAAACTTGCCCAAGGTTTCGTCTTCTGCCTGGAATTGAACTCAGGTCTCTCACTTGCAAAGCGAGTGCTCTAACCACTGAGCTACAAGACTCCAGGACTCCAGTACTTGTAAGGATACATAAATATAGCAGATACTTTCATTAAAAAAAACACTAACTGCATTAGGAAATACACAGCGAACTGTTGCAAAGCTCTATTTTAGGACCTAGATTGGGTGATATTAAAAGAAGGGAAAGTGTTTATGTACAGCATCCATAGTCTCTCTAGAAAATGCTGATGTGACATTATGATGTGATATTATGCTGAAGTGAAAGTTCCCAAAAATTTAAATTTGGCAAGGTTTCATTTAGTGAACCAATCAGAAGTGTACATTATGCAGATGCACACAAGGTAGAGTGGTTATCAGTTATGCAAAATAAATTAGCACATAGGTGGGTTGCATAGCTTATTATTGGAACATGAGCATCCCTGCAATTTCCTGATCCTGCCGATCACTGATGCTTTATTTCCTTTTATTTATTTGTTTTTTTAAAAAATTATTTTATTATTTTTATTTCCTGATTCTGCTGATTCCTTACCCCACCCCCCCGGACCTCCACCCTCAACAATCCCGACCCTCAGCTGGGGTCCGAAACACTGATTGCCCACCGCCTTGGGACGTATTCCTGACCTGTATACCTGACCTATACAAATGTCATTTTGTTGTTGTTACCTGAAAGAAATTGCTTTTGCTCCACCAACTGCCCCCCCCCCCACCCCCAAAAAAATTGCAATAATACTATTGCAGACCCCACACTAACCAATTCAGGAAGCCAAAAGCAACATACTAGAGATTTGCTTTTGAAAAACTACAATTATGAATACAATCTCTTTCCTGGCAATAGCAGTTGGAAGACTTCCTTTGGCCTTCAGCAACATACAGCGAGTGATAAAGTCGACTGGTGTCTCACCACATTGTTCGTGCTTCAACACTGCACCACTTGAAAAATTAGGTCAGAAACTGTCATACCCATATGCAATTTCTATTCATTCTGTTTTAAACGCTCAGTGATGTTACCTAGCATGAAGGGAGCTATATAAAAGCAAGTTCTTGTTGTTTGTATGCAGAACTGTCAATTAACTTAATATGGTTTAAAACCCATTTTGACCCAACTCGCTCCGAAATGTAAACAGCCCAACCTTTTAAATTGTTTTGTGACCTGCCTCACTCTATGCAATCATAAATCTTGCTTCCAACATTTCCTCATTGTGAAGTGCTCTGGTGTTATCACCTTCTTTCCAGGTGGTAATACAAAGTGCCAAGATCAGCAGTAGCCACAAGCCAAGTTAGTAGGCCTGGTAACAGCAAGTAGAAAACAAAAACTAGTTTAAAGTGCTTTGAGATGTACTCATAATTGAAAGGTACTATATAAAAATGCAATCTGTTGTAGGTTTATCTCCTGATACACAAAAATAATAAATTAGTGGGAAGCAAAAACCCAATCTGCAGAATTTGCCTGCAGTCTGGAAGATATGCTAAATCATCAAAATACTCCCATTCTCAGACCACAACCATAACCATACAGCACAGCCAAATGGAGATTCTCCATTATCCAAATAATTTCTATTGAGCTCCTTCCACAGATTATTTAAGGAATTGGACAATCAAACTTATATCCACACGTAAACTCATCAATGTGGAAATCCACAACAAAGCCTACTTTTTTAAAATAAAGATGGAACTATAAACACCATCAGTCAGCAGTTTTAGGAGATGAATAGAAACATATTAAGGAAAAAAATACTTTGGGCTTCTGAAAAAACGTCCATGCCCGGGAAATTTAAAAAAAATATCAGCAATGAATTTCAAAAGAGGGTTCCTCAATCATACAGACCTAAATAATCAGGCACGTACTGACACAAATATGTAAAATTCACCTATACTATTTATAGTTTCTTTCCTTATCTCCTAAAGGCATGCAGCTCTCACTGAACTGGAGTGCAGGTGCACAGGTGCCAATCCACTCAATAATTTTTAAATGAATGTGCCTCATCAAGAAATGTCAGCACTTTTTTTTAACAGGGAATGAATAAAAATAAAATAATCCTTACATTACAATCCAACAGCTTGGGACATTCTCCGAATGAGAAAGGCTCTATATAAATGTAAATTTGTACTGTATTTTATATAGCACCTTTCACATTGGGAGAACCCCTCAAAGCCCTTCACAGGACATATTGTAAAGTGTAGTGACTGTGTTTTGTCGGCAAATTTGTTGCCAATTTGTGTATAGCAATGTCTCACAAACAGCCATGTTGAATGATCAGTTTTGTTTGGGGGGATTGTTGGCCAGCGACACTGGGAGAAACTCCCTTTTTTTTTCCCAAATAGTTCCATGAAATCTTTAACTTCACCTGAGCAGACAGAGGAGGCTTCAGTTTAACATTTCACCAGAAGGATAGTAACTCCAATAATACCAGTCATGAAGACGTGATAAGGCACTATATCAAATGCAAGGATTATTATTATTATCATCATCACCCCTGATGCATTCTATGTCCCAACATGAGATTTGAACCCACAACCATCAGACTCGAAGGCAAGAGTGCCTCTGAGTCTGGCTGGCAAATGAAATGAAATACAAATCAGATCAATTCCATGATATCCATGCCACTCCAGCAGGGGGCTCTGGATATTAACCAGGAAAAGGAACTTTGGTTGATTTTTTTCCCATCAGATCCAGGGTGCTAATGTCTATTGTAGCACCCCAACTGCCACTTACAGTTAACTCTGCACAGCCCAGGAATCAATCTTTATCCTATCCTTTGTTTCAATTTTCCCTTCTGAAATTGGTCATTGACTTCCCACAGCAGAGATCAGGAACATGGGTGCAAGTTTAAACACAGGTACATTTTAATGCCGATCTTGATTTTTATTTCACACATCAGCGTGGCTCAGGGGGAGCACTCTTGCCTCCGAGTCCGAAGGTTGTGGGTCAAATCCCATGTCAGAACACGGAATTCATCCTAAACTGATGCTCCTGTACAGTGCTTGAAGTGTGCTGCATTATTGGAGTTGCCATCCTTCGATGAGAGATACACAAAGGACCAGATTCCAAAAAGCAGCTTAGTACAACAACCATCAGCCAAGGGCAATGAATACTACTGATTTTTGTATAACCAATTTCTTATCCTGATGATAAGCATGCTGAAACATTCATAATTAACTTCAAGACAAAGGAAAAACTGGTTCTTGTAATATGGAATTGGGTGAACCATTCGCTCCCATTATCAATTTTTTTAAAAAGTTATCTTTGAACATTAAAGTAGCATAGTTTCTCCCAAAATATATAACAGAAACTTTTTGCTACGATTTTGCAATCATGCAACAGCATCACATATATTGCTCTTCACCGATTTCCTCAAGACAGTGTTTCAATCGGAAAATAATCTTATTCGCAGTACTGTAAAGGCAACAATGAATTCTGAATCCTGAATTTTTCACTAAAATTGCCCTTGCCAATCACCAAATAAGCAATAACGTTCCAACATATTTACATTTCAAAAATAAATGAAATCTAAAAAAGTTACTTTAACTGCATTATGAGCATTATTAAGAATCCTGATGGCCACATGAATAGCATGAGCTATGCAATTAGAGTTTATTATGCAATCAGAAGTTTAACATACTCCAATTAAGATACGTTGGGAACCAACCAAGTTAAATAAATTAGTGGATGGGTGGACAATTGTTTATACTGTATTTCATTGAAAACAGTCACTCAAACACTCACATAAAATAATGGCAATTCTGTTACGAAGCAGTTTACATTTGTCACATCAAAACTGTAAGACTGCAGGAAATTCAAGTAGTCACTGAGAAATAAAATTGTTGTTATAAAGAAACTGATATGTATGAAATAAATACAAGCCTATAGTCTAATTGCAGGCTTCAGGTGACAACTTGAGCAAATTTATCCTTTGTTTTGACAATTGAACCCATGAATTAGAAAACCACTTTATAAATCACTGAGCATTCTTTACGCCATAAAACAATCTTATTACGCAAGAAAAAAAGGGTCTATATTCTTCATCTATCATGGTAATCTTAAGTTTTTTTTAAAAATAGAAACTGTCCCATTATATGACCTGAAGCGACACACCAAAACTAAAAATGGCGATAGTCCTACAAAACTGTCAATGGTAAAGTACAAAACAATCTTTTTTGGGTGCATCCGGGTACCTGACACATGAAGAAACCATCACCATACTTAAGAGTACCCAAATCAGACGGTGTGCCACATATGCATGCCACCTAAGCATGGAAATTTCCCCATGCCTGGAACCAAATGCTTTCTCTTTCTCCAGAGGGATGCACCCTGCTTACTTAATTCTGGAAAGTATTAAGTACAGGTGGCCAAGAGCAAAGGCTTCGGGTTCCCAGTGATAAACTAGCCAAAACCGCATAGTTTGTTATACGGAGAGCACTGTTTGGGATACTTCCCACTGCTTCCTCCACTAGGGCTTTAGCTTGCAGGGTTGACAGGATCTGAGCCCCAGTGATAAACCAGGATGAATGGGCTAACAGCAGTGGGTGCATTTGGCTCAGGAACCAGACTTCGGAGATTGCCCGAGAGAGTGACTGAATTCTGACATTGTCAATCGCAGCAACTTGGGAGCCAGCTCAGGGCTCAGGGCCTAGGAGAGCCCACTTACCTCCGCAAAACAGAGGATAGTCGCCGGTGGGTCGTAAAGTTATCATGGGCGAGAAGATTAAAACATTTCTTGAAAGAAAAATCAAAGGATTGTGACTTAATAGTAAAACAAAAACCGTCAAGAACACTGAACGACTCGGGCACAAGAGTCCTAAACTTTGCGATTATCTTTAAAGACAAATTCCCAATCACCTTTTTAACATCCGCACGAATTACTCTCCAGCACTAAATCTGGTTATTCTGAAAAAAGGACAGAGACTTACTCACAAGTAGGTGAAGCAAAACTGAACCCCTCTTGCACGATCCTCCCCCTCCCTCCCTCCCTCCCCTCCCTCCGACCGACCGGTCCGTGAAGAGACTCGCTGCCCTGGATTTTCCCGCCCGATTTCAGATCCACCGCGAAGCCCCTGAACAACGCGTGCGGCGGGGGTTAAGGGGAAGGAGCGCATGACTGCACCGACTCCCAGCCGCAACCCCGGGGTCTAAACGCCGCTCAGCTCCTCCAGAAGCGAGGAGCCGCACCTTGTCTGGCGGCACCGCAGCCCCCACTGCAAAGAGTCCGCGCTCAAACGCTCAGGCCCACCCCACCCCCCACCCAGAGAGAAAAAAAAACAAGTCGCCGCACGCCCGAGACGGGCAATAATACAGCTTAACTCGTTTAAAATGGCGGCGCTTGGCCTCACCGAGGACAGCGCAGAGGGTTGTGGATGGGGTCATGGGGATGGGGGGCGGGGGGGGGGGGAGAGAGAGAGAGAGGAGGCAAAAAAAAAGGGGGGTTACTGCGTGCCGCCCCTTCCTCTCCGCAAGCATCTGCTACAGGAACAAGCGCCCGCCATTACGCAGCGCCGAGCCTGCCATTGCTGTGCCGCCGCCGCCGCTTCCGCACTCCCCGGCGCTTCAACACACGCCGAGAGCGCCCGCCATCCCTCCTCCTCCTCCCCCTCCTCCTCCTCCACGCTCACTCCCCCAACCAGGACAGGACGAGAGCCTCGGGACTTCTCTTTCCGTGTTTCTCTCTCTCTCTCTCTCGCTCGCTCTCTCTCTCTTCAGCGCTACACTGCAGTAAAAGGGGGCAAAATCCTCACCTCCACCGTACCGGTTGTATCGAGACATAGTAACACACTCACTCTCCCCTCCGCTCCTCGTCCACCATTAACTGACAGCAACAGACCGCCTCTTCCCCCGTCCCGCCGCCACTGCGCGCATGCGCGTCTTGGCCAGCGCCGCTGTGACGGTGGCGGGGGGGGGGGGGGGCTTTTCTGGCGCCAACGTTACCAGATTGGGCGGTTTCACGCCTAATCGGGGCGTGTTTTATCTCGCATTGCGCGGGTGGGAAAAACAAACCCGACTTTGGGCGGGAGCCTATTTTTTTTAAAAAATATATATAATTTTTTTTTAAAAAAAATCGGAACCCTTTTCTTGATGTGGGTTTTTTTTTATTAAAAGCACTAACTGACCTAAAAGCGGCCACTCCGCTTCCCGCACCGTTGGGCTACTTTGGGGGCTACAGTTATCCGATGGACTTCGGGCGACAAACGCGCTTCCATTTCCCGATAAACCCGAGTGACGGGCGCGGGGGCGCGCGAGGAGGAGGAGGACAATGGAAGGCTCTCGGTGGTTAACGGCTGCTCCGCGTGAGAGCGCTCGCGCCAACCCGCCCTTCGCGTGACGTGCGTCGTTTTTATTTCGTTTAAAAAACACATAGAAACCTTCGTGGATTTTTTTTTACGCACACACAACACAACACGCGCACGCGCACACGCACAGGCTGTAACGCCCGTTACCAGTGCTGGCAGTCAAGTCCAGTCCAGTCAGTCAGTCAGTCAGTCAGTCCCTGTGGAAGCGTCACCTCCTTTGCAGCTTAACCTGCGCTTTTTTTTACGGCGGAGCAGATGGGCGCCAACGCCTTTCAAGCGTGACATCTGGAAAGCCACACACACATCACATCACACACATCACACACGCAGGTGACTGGCGTCTGACTTCATTTGCTGCCATCAAAGTGATAACGATTTTTGACCAACTTAACAGGACACCCCTTATAAATGATACATCCTTGCATTCAACCCAGGTTATTTTCACCGTTAGGTCTTTTGGTATGTAGGTGTACACACACACACACACACACACGGGCGCACACACATGTATATTAACAATATGTATAACATATATATATAATACATGTAATGTATATATAATATATATTAAAGCTATTTCTATTAGTGTTGGACGGCCCGCTTCACGGTACAGCCCTTTGGAACGCAAACGTTCAAAAAAAAAAAAATGTCACGGAATCGCAACTCTCCGGACAAGGGCGATGGGGTTCAAAACCGGAGCCTGACCCGCCGAGCGTCCCCTGCCACTCGCTGCCGAGTGCTCGCGTGCCAAGCTCGGCTCAGGCGGCCAAGAGTTAGGAGGAGCTTCCCAGGTTGGGCGCTCCACTCCCCACGCCGCGCAAGGAAACGCCGGGCTGTTGGGGAGGTGCTCACGCCAGTCCGGTGAAACGTTAAACCAAGTCTCCTCTGTCAGTTCAGGCGGATGGCAAAGATCGTGTGTCACTTCCCAAAAAAAAAAGAGTGAAAATTATGTGAAAATTAAATATCAGACATGAAAGCAAAATGTAACTTCAACTTTTTTGTTTAGACTTCGAGATGAAATGCATTGACCGGTGAAAAGTGTTGTTCCTTTATGCTGTTAAAACATCTTTAAACGGGGCACGTAGTTTCCAGCCTTATGTCTTCAACACTGTTTGCAGCCAAACAGAAGTTGTCTCTTTGGTATTGTTGCGTGAGGCTCATTAACCTCCCAGTCATATATTTTGGCATTTTGCTGTGAGTGCACCTGAAAATGTATGTGAAACGTATAATAGTCTTAGAATGTGAATTGAATGCATGCAACACCAAAAGTTATTCGGCCCATCGCATCCCTGTTGGTCCTGGCTCCTCCAATTGCCCCATTCTAGTCCAACCCTGTTCTTTCTCCAAACAACATTCACTAACATTTGTTATTCAGTTTGAACAGTGCAATGACGGGTAATAATATTGTACTTTGAGGGAGTTTTACAGAGAAATGTCCAAATTATGAATCAAATTACTACCTTTGTTGGAAGTCAAACGAGGTCAGTTTATCCACAGAGCATGTCTTCCCAAGTATCCAGATGTTAGCACATATTGCAAGTTTCAGTCACAGAAGCCATATTTATCTTCTGGGCCTACCTCTTGATTCAAGTGGCATCAGTCTGTCTGAACTGGTGGCACTTCCTCTTCTAAATCAGACGTTTGGGGGTTCAAGCCCCACGAAAGAACTGACATGATCTTGGCTGATAATCCAGTGAAGTGCTAGGAGAACAACTGAATTGTTGGAGCTGCCGTCCTTCGCATGAGATGTTAACCTGAGGTCCCATCTGCTTTTTTAGGTGGACATTAAAGATCCTGTGGGATTATTCAAAGATAAAATTTGTCATTCCCTGTATGGCTGTTTCTGGGATACGTCCATGGGCAAATTGGCTGCCATGTTCAACTACAATTACCCAGTCACTACACTTTACAGTACATCCCGTGAAGTACTGTGAGCCATTTCAACTATGTGATAAAGTGCTATAACAAATGATGGCATTATTACTGTTATAATTCACGGTATATTAAGTGGTACCAGCACTGAGAAAAGGGATATAGTTTTCCATCTTCTCCAGCAGGTGGAGTCTGTAGGCCTGAGCAAAGCCTCAAGGCGATCAAGTAGAAGAGAGCTAAAGATACGGTTCACATCAGTTAGACTTTACTTTTATTCAACTAAACAAGGTAATTTGGTCACATCACCTTATTAACTCTTACTAAGGATCTTAATTAACCACTTTAGCTGAGAGATTTTCTAAGGTTTAGAACCTTATCTTCAACTGCAGAGATGAGAATAGATTAACTACTATAATTTGAGTTGTCAGACGAGGGGGAATTGTTTCTGGAGTCTTTGCTGAAAAAAAGAAAGTGAGAAGAAAAGTGAATGCAACCCATCTTTCAGGCCTGGCCATTTTAAATTTTGGCAGGGCTGGCCATTTTAAATTTAAGGATTGCTGGAGCAGTGAAAAACTTCTACTAGAAGATTGATCAGTACCTAACCTGCAGTTTGTTTTAATGGACTGGGTGGGACAGGAGTGGCACCGCAGTTCTATCAAGGTTTGCGTAGCTTTAGCCTAACTGTTGCTGGGAATATACTTTTTACTGAGTGAAGAAATGGGCATGCTGGTCACAAAGATTTTTGGAAACAAAGAAATGCGGATCCTGATGCTTGGCCTGGATGCAGCTGGGAAGACCACAGTACTTTATAAGATCAAACTGGGACTGCCAGTCACCACAATCCCAACTGTTGGGTTTAATGTGGAGACAATGACATACAGGAACATGCGTTTTAATATTTGGGATGTAGGAGGTCAAGACAAGATTCGACCCCTTTGGAGGAACTATTACACAGGGACACAGGGACTGATCTTTGTCGTGGACAGCACCGACAGGGATCGCATTGATGAAGCCAGGAAAGAGCTTTACCGTGTTATCAATGACAGGGAAATGCGGAACGCCATCATCCTGGTCTTTGCAAACAAGCAGGATATGCCCCATGCAATGAAACCTCACGAGATCCAGGAGAAGCTGGGATTGACTAGGATACAAGATCGCAGCTGGTACGTGCAGCCATCCTCTGCAACTACTGGAGATGGGCTCTATGAAGGATTGACCTGGCTACGTTCTAACTACAAGTCACTTTGAAGACAGAGTTCAGCTTCTTCAAACACAGAATCCATACTGAATGCATTCCAGATCATCCCCTTGTATTATTGTAATTTAAGTCTAAACCATCTTGCAAGGTGGACGTGAAAAGTCTTCGCCCTCCCCGCTGCTATTTCAAAGAAAATCTGAGTATTTCTCCTAGTTATCTGGGGCTATACAAAACTAAAACCAAATAAATTGGCTGTTATTATTTATTATTATTCATTATTGCTTTTAGGATGCAGGAGGAGAAAATTAGCTGCTGTGTTTGCCTCAATAACATTAACTTCTATTTTATCTCATTTTGTAATGCACTTCGCAATGCTTGCTTTGCAATATACTGTATATACAGTATGTTTTTAAACGACAAGTGTTTCTGAACTGTTAACCTTTGGGTTGCAACAGTAGAATTGTGACAGTGTTAAAAAGAGGCTTATAACAATGTAACAGAAATTGATATTCCTATGCCAAGGACATAATGTGACTTGGTAAATATGGTCTATCTGTATGTGAACTTTGAATGGATTTTAAAGGTTCCTTTTTCACTGTTAATACTAACAGCTACAGTTTTGTTATATGTTTATACATTAAGCATTATATAATATTAGGTTCAGTTTAGAAATGCAAAAGTTATCCAGGTATTTTAGAAATATGTCTGCTAATTATTTTGACGTTCATTAACATTCTTTAATCAAATCTTTATTCAAAAGAAGTTGTAGGTCTACTAGGCCTGAATAATCTTTCTAAAAAGTGAAATGCTGGGAACTATATGTATGACTGAGTATTCGGCTAAACAGTAATATTCAATACAGTTTGCATTTAGTTTTATACTACTGTTATCATCTCATACACATAATATATTGTATATATTCTAATATTTATAATAGTTTATATGTAATTCACACTGATGGTTAACCCAAGTACCTCATACTTTGTAAATAAAAGTTAATCCTGACTACTAAATTATAAATGTTTTGTTGGTGAGATGCATTGTTAAGTATATTGAATATTTCTGATTAATATTGGCTGGCTTCATTAGTAGCATGCTCACCTAAGAGTCAGAAGGTTATGGGTTCAAACCCTACGTTAGGACTTTGAACTCACAGTCGAGGCTGAGCCAAGTGGGTCCGCAGGGCTGATGACAGACCAGCTAGATTGGCTCATCAGCAAGACTTGGAGGGTCGGACCAGTCACTAAGAGCAGGGATTCTTCCCACACAGCTCCTATCAACCCTGCAAGTCAAAGCGTTAACGGTTAGGGTGGTCCTAGCTTGACATGCAATGGGAAGCTTGTCAGAAAATGCTCTCAATAACCTTGTGGTTTTTACTGGTTAAATTTCTGCAATACCCAACACACACTATGGGGACCCCGAGTCTAACCCCAACTCTGATTTGCTTTTCATATACAGTATTCTTTTCTACCTGCACTCTCACCTCAAAAGATGTATGGATCTGCGCCGCCTGATTTTTGAAGGCAAGAAGATATGATGCAAAGGGATTTTGGAAAGAATTACAGAAAGTGTGGGCACATCGGTTGGAGACTCATCTGTTGATAGTGGGACAGAGAAAGTGAGAAACAAACTGTATCCGAAGAGTGGAAGGTAGGAAGAGAATTAGCCTGGAGTAGATGGTATAGGTAAGAAGGGAGGGTGGGGCCATAAAGGAATTGAAGGTCAGGGCAAAAGTCTTGAAGTTCATCTGCTGGGGTAAAGCTAACCCAGTGGAGTTGGCCAAGAATGGAGATAATATTCTTTAAGATGTTATTCCTATGTGAAAGGTGCTATAAAAGAGCACGTGTGTGTGTAGCCTAGGGCAGGAAAGTGTACCTTGGCACTTCACTCTGCAGTGCAGTAAACTGCATCTCACCTACCTGCCGCCTTCACTAAATGGTCTCTATCCTCCTGAATTATGATGTGTTCATCCTCAGTGTGCCACATCCCCCTGATTTGATGCCGTAAGTAAAGCAAGGCATTGTCTCTTCTATGTTTATTTCTAAATATACATGTACATATCGACCACAAAACACACAGCCACTACACTTTACAGGGTATTCTGTGAAGGACTTTGAGACGTCTCAACAATGTGATGAGGAGCTATATCAAATGCAAGGATTATTATTTTCCCCATTTTCAGGTTGCGCCTGAAGACCTTCCTCTTTGACCGTGCCTGCGGTCACCTTTCCCCTCCCTCTGGCTCGGCATCGGGCATTGTTATATAAATGCAAGTTGTCGTTATTATTCAAGTGTCAAGGGAGGGTGGGGAGTGAGAGCTTTAACTTGGGAGAAATCCACCAGGGTGGGGGAAGACGTCGGGCAGTGCTTTATTTGACGACATGAGACTACACATATATTTGTAGTATCTGGCAAACCTGGGAACGCTGCTCTGCTCTGCATCAAATGCGAGCATTATTATCGTTAAAGAATTATTATTATTTGAACCAACGCTGCATCGGCAACCCGCGTGCCCAGCTTGTGGCAATCGGCACCCGGGGCTCTTGGCTTCAGTGTCACCGGATTGGGGCGGCATCACGCCCGATCGGGGTGCGTTTTTGTTGGAATTGCGCGTGGAAACGAGGGCGTTAGGCTGGGTGGCTAAGTTTTAATAATAAATATTTATTTATTAAAACATGCAAAACATGCCCCCCCCACCCCCCCCCGCCACCCCTGCTTTGAAGACCTTTTCAAAAGCACTAGACCTAGAGGGGCCACTCTGCGAGCTATATCAGACCAGGTATATATTACACCGGGCTATGTTTTGAGCAAGGCTTTGGTGGACTTTGGGCTACAAATGGACTTGTGATTGATGGCATCCCATGGAGTCCTGTAGCTCAGTCGCTTTGCAAACGAGAGACCCGAGTTCAATTCCAGGCCGAGGGCGAAACCTTGGGCAAGTTTCCTTACTCCACACACAGCCTAATAATAATCCCTCCAAAAAACAAAAACAATAATAAATTGGTCATTTTCAATCTACGACTGTTTGTGGGACATTGCTGTGCGCAATTGGCTGCCGCGTTCGCCCACAAATATACAGTCAATTCACTTTACAGTGTGTTCTGTGAAGCGCTTTGGGACGTCCTCCCGACGTGAAAAGCGCTATATCAAATGCAAGGATTATTATTATTATTATTATTATTATTATTATTATCCCTTGGAGACCTGACGTGACGTAACGCGACGTGACGTGGCCCAGGCCGGGCGCGCGGCTCCATTCAAACGGCGACGGCGGTTGCTGTGACGTCGGTTGGAAGCGGCGCGCGGGAGGGTGACGCCACCCGAGGAGGAGCGGGAGGTGAGAGCCGCGAGCTCAGTGCCGGTGAGGGACCGGGGCGGGAAAGGCGCGCCCGCCCGCCCGCCCGCCCCTGTGTGGGATTGTCACGCCGGCGGTTGCTCGGTGTTCACGGCGCCCTCCCTGTTGGGGAGGCCGCGCTCCGGCTGGAGGGCCGGGCCGGGCCGGGCGGGGCGGGTAGGTGGCTGCTCTCCTCACTGGGTGGGGACCGCAGCACCGGGGAGAACCCCCGCGCGGCCAAACCAGGCCGCCGTGCACCACCGACACGTGGGAGCGCATCTCCTCGGGGTCTGCGATGGAAATGCACACGGGAGGGCCACCTCCGCTGGAGGGCCACCGCCTGCTCGCCTGAGGGTGGAAACTATTAAAAGCGCAGGTTGGCGACAGCCACGCCCTTGGGGGGGGGGTGTCGGTGTCTCCCCAGAGTGTGTGTTGGGGGCTACTGGAGTCATGACCAGCCCGAACCGCATAATAATAATAATAATAATAATCCTTGCGCTTGATGTGGCGCCTTATCACGTCTTCGAGACGCATCAAAAGCCCTTCGCGGAATGAATATACTGTGAAGTGCAGAGGTGGTGTATTTTGTGGGCGAAATGGGGCAGCCAGTCGTGTCCAGGTATCGCTGCTTGGCAAGCGTTCCCTCTGCTTGTCCAACTAGGGCCACCCTGCCTGCTGGGGCTTTGGCCTGCAGGGTGACCAGGATTCCCTGTCCCCAGTGACTGATCTGCCCTGCCAAGTCCTCCCGATGAGCCAGGTTTGGCTGTGCTGTCATCCGCAGTGCCCTGGAGTACCCGCCTGCTGGAGGAACTGGTCTTCCAAAGTCGGAGCTTGCCATTTATGTGACTGCCGGTTAATGGGATACCAACTCATTAGCTTTTTGTGTAGTTAAAAAGCCTGCGTCGCACTAATCGGCAATCAGATGTCGTGAGGCTGAAGCCACAACCTGTCAAGACACGTTCTATCCTCCACCCCTCTTGATTCCAACCCTCAGCTCGAGTGCACACCCTTGACTGTCCAGTGCCTTGGGACGTCCTTCCGATGTGAAACCACTATATAAATGTAATTTTTTGCTGTTCTATGCATTAAAAGTCCTATAATATCGTCAGTAAGTGGAACAACTATCTGTCTCTATTCTACCCTAACCCGGGCTTGTACCTTCAAGTTAACGTAAAAGGTTTGATGCACTAAAGATTACATTTGATTAGAAATTAAATGGATATTGTACAGGCAAAAGCAGCAAGTCATTGTACCAACAGCAACCACAAACGCAATAAGACAAGTAGCCAATTAATAAGAATTTGGGGGGTAAATTTGGATAATGGAATATACAGTAAGCCTACATCCAGATCTTCCTCAAATCAGTTCAGTGGATGATATGCTTATTTCTATCGTGGAGTCCTGTAGCTCAGTGGTTAGAGCACTCGCTTTGCAAGTGAGAGACCTGAGTTCAATTCCAGGCATTCTTGGGCAAGTTTCCTTACTCCACACAGAGCCTAATAATAATCCCTCCAAAAACAAAACAATAATAAATTGGTCATTTTCAATCCACGACTGTTTGTGGGACATTGCTGTGCGCAATTGGCTGCCGCGTTCGCCCATAAATATACAGTCAATTCACTTACAGTATATTCTGTGAAGCGCTTTGGGACGTCCTCCCGACGTGAAAAGCGCTATATCAAATGCAAGGATTATTATTATTATCACTGTTGCATTATTTACTGCTTAATTGAGATTGGATTTACGATGTTTCTAAATAGTTTCTTTCTACTACGCTATTTTGTGTTTTTGATCATTAATTACACTGAAGATTCCCTCCTGAAACCAGCTTGGGGTGTTAATAATAATATTAATAATCCTTGCATTTGAATTTTCCTTATCACATTGTCAACATCTCACAAAGTGCTTCACAGTATTTACTGCAGAGTGTAGACATTACACTGAATGTGCACACAGTTGTCCCACAAACAAACATGAAGAGAATGTCTTAACTTTATCCAGATTGTTGTCAGGGACATTGGAAGAAATTCCCTTCTCTTTTTGTATCAGGCAATAACAACAACAAATCTACTTATATAGCGGCCTCCATGCTGGAGCTTCCTGTCATGAAAGATAGCACCTCTGTCAATGGCTCCCCCAACTCTGCACAAGAGTTTATATATTTTTCACTTCATTTTTAATCGTAAAGTGTTTCAAGAATTATTTTTCACATGAACCGCGCTTATGGTAAAGATATGAGTTGTATCTTCTTATGATTTCTATATTTTTCTTGTGATAGATTAAGAACGTGACTGCCTACTGAACATGAATGAATGGATTACAAAGAAACCTTTGGAATGGCAAGAATACGTGAACAAAGAAGTAAAAGTCACGGCGGACGAAAAAAATACATTCCAAGGATGGGTCTTCACAGTTGATCCAGTCTCAGCAAGGTACACTTGTATATTTTTATAAACATTCAATTTATTGAAAAAGTGCCCCTATGTAATTATCCTTATTCTTTTCTCTTCCCTTTACCAAGCAGTTTTTAACTGGAGTGGAGTCCTGTAGCTCAGTGGAGTCCTGTAGCTCAGTGGTTAGAGCACTCGCTTTGCAAGCGAGAGACCTGGGTTCAATCCCAGGCAGAGGGCGAAGCCTTGGGCAAGTTTCCTTACTCCACACAGAACCTAATAATAATCCCTCCAAAACCCAAAACAATAATAAATTGGTCATTTTCAATCTACGACTGTATGTGGGACATTGCTGTGCGGAATTGGCTGCCGCGTTCGCCCACAAATATACAGTCAATTCACTTTACAGTGTGTTCTGTGAAGCGCTTTGGGACGTCCTCCCGGTGAAAAGCGCTATATTAAATGCAAGGATTATTATTATTATTTAGTTACATTGTAGGTAGAATCTTCATTCTCAGAATTTCAATAGGCGGCAAATGGCCTGTTTCCGTATCATTGTATTAAACCTACCTACAATCACTTCCCCCTCTCTTCCCATCCTTGCTCCCAAGCCCGTCACTGTAAAGTACTCAGACGTAATCCTACATAAGACGGTGCTAAATAAATCCAAGTTATTGTAGTAGCATAAGTTGGTGATGGTGGCCAAGCATCACTCTAACATAGTTCGCCTTTGAAGCTTGGAATTTTAGACTAACCTTTGTGGCGTTATTTAGTTGCTCATATGTGATTTGTAAACTTCTTGCAGCATTGTCCTAGTGAACTTCCTGGATGCTGGCAAGGTGTCTGTTGTGACTGTTATGGGACACGCAATCCAATCGGTGGAAGTGATGAATGAAGACGGAAACCATACAGCTGAGAGACTCTCTGCTTTATTCAAGCCTGCAAACGCCAGAAGCTACAGTAAAGATGAGCTTGAACAACGGAAATCCAGCCTTAAATCTTGGCTGGAGAAGAACCTTATTCCAGTCACAGAACAGGGGAGTCAGCGGGATGTGCTGTGTGTGGCTGGAGTATTGACAATTTCTCCACCATACTGTCCTGAAGACTGTAATAGTTCAAATGAAATTATTTTATCAAGGGTTCAGAGTCTTATTAAGTGTAACCCAACTTGTGAACATCATAAAAATTAATGAGAATAAAGTTTTACTATTAAATTTACGTAATATCATTTCGGTCCATTCATTATTATTGAATTCCCTCATCAATTATAGTTCCTTGACCGAGGGACATAGACTTGTGCCTTTATTGCAGTTTTTGTATTGTAAATGTAAGATGTGGGACCACATTGAAAGTTATTTTATTATTCCAAATATATGCACTATTTGTAGATTAAAGCTCAGAACATAGTGTTCTACTTTTTTAAAAAAAGTTTTGAGGTTAGCCATCATGCCTGCAAGCTTTCATTTGTGTCACTGTAGCTGAGTAAAATAGACAGTAAAAAAAGGTCTATTGGTTAAATAACTTTGGTTACATTCTGGGTGTATATATTGTACTTATATTCAATTGGTGATGAGGCTTAAATATCAAAATTGCTTTGAGACAACTTGCATTATGAAAATAACATTTAGCAGTTTGTCTATTAATTCACAAAATGGTGCTAAAGGATTGTATACAAAAAATGATCAATTGCCAACTACAGCAGTATTAATTAGCTAAACACCGTTGTAAACTGACCAGTTTTGTCTTCCTGTTTGAAAAAAATGTGGAGAAGGCTGAATACCTGTCCATCCTTTCTGAAGGAAACTTACTGGCTAGTTGTATATGGGCTGCAGCACAATGCATAATAGAGAGAATTGAAGGCTCCACGTGAGCGCAAAAGGTATAACTTATAGATAGTTATAAATTATTAAAGAGATACACTATTTACATGTATCAGTTACCATAGTGCAACAGGAGATCTACGGAACATGGTATTGCTGCAATACACATTTTCATTTCAGGTAAACGGCGATAGAAGCACAGGAGATCCCATAACAACGGTAAGACCACCTAATATCAAGCAGCTCTTCTGGCTCCAGTCGTATTAGATCTGTCTGTCCTTTCAAACAGATACTGAGCTGGGGGAACTTAGAAGTTTAGATAAGATATCTTACACATTGGAGGTCTGAGCCCAGTTAGTGATGCATTAAGGGTTTCTCTGATGGTAAATATAATGCATGTTATTTCACGTTGCTTTCACGCTGTAGCTCAGAAAAGTCCCAGGTTTGCTGAATTAACGGACCTCAGATGCACAGTGATATGACTAATGACTTCATTATTATTACACAATCAACTGATACCTTCCTCATCCAACAACCAAGCAATGGTCACTGTTCAAACAAGTAACTGCAAGGTTGCTATAACCATGGAACTTTATTCCAGCGCAAATCATCACATCCAAGAGAGGAGAAAGTTCAGGAGGAGTTTAAATTTGCTAACAATTTCCAATTTGTTAAATATGAAATTTAAACAAGCTTGGGTTATTCAAAGAACTCAAGCAAATAAAATATACTACAAAGTCCATAGGGGTAAACTCAGTCGCTAATTAAAGGAATATATTTTCGTGAAATGTTGAAGATAAATTCTCAGTTATCACAATGATAGTCATATTTTTGAAATGGCACACTTCAATACTGGCCTTAATGTTGGCACTGACCTCCACTTTGATTTGATATAATTTACTTTCATCAATAACCATCTTCCTTGCTTGTTCATTTCAAAATACTTTCTTACTGTAACTTTTATATATTAAGTGATGGGTCTAAATTGTCATTTCATGTTTGTAAATCACAAAACATTTGTAAAAGCAGAGATTCTCCACTATTGAGCACGTTTTATCTTCCTATGGCAGTCATTTTAATTCACCCTATTCATTATTCTTTACTCACCTACAATAAACTTCTTGACTCCTCTCAAATTTAAACAAATTTAAATACATTTTGAGTATTTGCCCATTGCATTAAGTCCAGGGATTCTTCTCAAACCAAAAACAATTTGCTGTAAATATTCCAGAAGGCAATTAAGGCATTTACTAGACTTTTGTAATAAACAACACACAGTGAAATACCTTTAAGAGTGGAGTGGCACTTAATCTTAATCCTTTCAAAAAGCATCTTATCGCATTGTTGAGATGCCTCAAAGCACTTTACTGTTAAGGTTAGTGACTATGTATGTTGTTAGCAAACACAGCAGCCAGTTTGTGCACAAATTATCCCACAACCAATTATGAACCAATGATCAATTTTATTTGGGAATTGTTAGCAGGATACTGGGAGAACCTTCTTTAACGTCCACTTGAACAGGCAGACAGGATTGCAATTTAACATCTTATATTAAATACAAAAGTAAATTGCATCCTCTGAAGACTATAGTCAATATTGTTCTGTATTAAGAAAGCCTGGCTTTATGGTACAGTTTCTAATGGGCTACCAAGTCTTACGTTGTCACCTTCATACAACCCATTTATTATTATTATTATTATTTATTATTATTAGTCTGTAGATCATTTCCTACCCACTCCTTTCATTTTTTCTCCTTTTGATTCACAACTCTATAAATGTCATAAACAGCTCTCTTAGCTGCAGCAAGACAATGTGATATAAGGAGATTCCCTGCTGCTAATACTGTATTACTCTTTTGATGCTGAATTGCAAGATCAGGAATTCACTATCCTAAGTTAGTAACTGTTTGTCTTTTTATTCCCCCATTTAACTTTTAAAAAAATATTATTCATACAATATTTTTATGTGTAGAATGGACATGGGCACAGCGCTCTCTAACTGTTCATAGTAACCCAAGTCTCAAACTGGAAATAGCAGCAACCAACATGGCACAATTTGTTCACCATAAACTTTTCTGTGAGAAGAAAAACATCCTATTGGAGTGGAATATAGTTATTGTCACATTATGGCAATACACTTCTAGTTGACAAATTTACAGCAATGAAATTCACTGGATTGCAAATTTCTGTGTATCCAGATTATGAAATACAGCTGCATGTTAAAACAGTAAATGTTCAATTTCCATTTTAATTTTAGTAAAATGTTGGTCACGTCTTTACTAACAGTCTCAGTATTACTTTACTGCTTCATGCTTCAGATGTTCATACACATTTTATCTGGTTTGGGACAGTCGATCAGTCATTTCGAGCTACTGTTCCACCCAAAGTGCTCAGAAGGATCCTCAGATGTGAATGTTGGAAAGCAAAGGGCCTACAAGTTGTGTAGGCAAGTGCTGAAGCCTAGAATTGTTCTACTGTACCCCGACAGTCCTCTCCAGACTGGTTCTCACTGAGTTGTTATAAGTTTCACAATCATGTTGATAATGAGTGATCCTCGTGGACAACTGCACAGGTCCATAGTGGGGTTCTTGATTTTATCCTCCAAAAGCTGGTCCAGTTCCCAGCGCAGCTCTTTCACCAGCTCAGCGACCTGCACAGTGTGCAAGAATAGGAAAAACAATTGATTTCATTTCTGGTGAAGTGAAAGTTATTTAAAAATAACATAATGTTTCACCTCCCAGCTACTGAAACATTACAGTGCAGTGTTCCTTTCACTCTCATCATTGAAATCAAGTATTTAGACAAGATAATGTCATAGTGAATCCTACTTGCTTTATTTTTTAAGGCTGAAGCAATCCCAGACTCTTGTTCTCTTGGAATTGTGATAGTTTCATTAGCCAGATAGGCTGAATAAACTGGACTTTGCAAAATTCTGACAAATTTGCTTTCTAAGTTATACAAAGTTGCACAAAAGCTGAAAAATTCTGTACCCTAATGATTAATATGTATTATATTTAAAGATGTAATGCAGCTTATGGTGCAATACACTGCAGTAGGAAGTGGGCTTGGACCTGTAATTCCCAAGATACTACTGTATTATTATTACAGGGAGGCATCCAATGGGTGAGGCATTTCTCTCTTGGTAAGAGCAGACTTAGTCAGACCAGCCTTCTAATGTGGAGCAGCAATGGCTCACGCCCCATTTGGTAATCTCCTGCACTCTGCTTTTTTAGATGGGGGTGATGGGCTGGAGAGAACAGAAACCCAATTAGTATGAAAAATACATTACAAAATGAACTGCAAGAAGCATTTATTTCTTCTGTTTACTTTTGCTCGTATAACTTGCTGTTCAAGATTCAGTTTTAAGATACTGTGATAAATAATTTAAATTTAAAAATCAGTCCTTCTGGGATTAATATACTATGGTAGGTTTTTGACTGAAGGATTGCCTGAAGCATTTTCATGGAGCAAATGTTTTTCAATTCAGTTGATTTTCTTGAAGGACGAAAAGAAAGGTTCTCTCACCTGGTGGGAAGCAGCAGCAAACCGAATCCACCCTTCATCCAGAGAAATTATGAACTGCCCCCGCTCCAGTTGTACATTGACCTGGCCACCTCCAAATAAGACTAACGGGTACACGGATACCATGCTGCAGTCTCGCAGAAACACTCTGCTGGTTTTCACCTTTTCGTGGTACACCAAGTATGGGCTTTCGAAGTGTCGCACCTACAATTCCAATTGGAAGTGTTAAATATTACATTCTGATTTCTTCAGCAGAGTGCTTTTCATGGATTGAATTATTTGCAAAAGACAAAAGGTTGATCGTGAATGAACTGTCCAGGTTCATTTTAAGAAAGATTTCAATGGCACAGAGGCAATGCAGCATACTGCAGCATCAGTTGATCATTTTACAATACACTTTACACTTAGATAGTTTTAAGGAGTGTTGGAATACATGTTGAATCTTCCCCTCCACTCTCATGGAGGTACCAAAGACACTGTCTACTAGGAAACCAGCAATTTTTTTTTAATACTTGTCAATTTTTCCCCTGCTCTACTGAAAGCATTGGAGTCCTTTTCATGGTTTCTCAAACCTTAGTTGCGTTCTCATACCTTGTCAAAGTGGCAATAATTTACACACTAACAGTGAGTGTCCGGGATCTATTTGACTTCAGGACCACCACAGCTGAGGCCAATTGTAACCACTGTTCTGATGTGATACAAGGCAGAAGCCAGACTCTTTCCCAACAGACAACGAAGGTCAGTGGCTGTGCACATTTAGTAATGGATTTCAGAGCAGCGCTGATCTGGGAGCAGGGTCAGCCTTGTCAGACGTGCACAGCACGCAAGAAAAGGTAAAGAAGAAAACACCTTAAAAGCAAAAGGGCAACTCAAATAAAAGTTTACTGGCTTTGATTCATGCAGCACCGTATTATTTTACCAATATCGCCATCCTGATACAGGGTGACATGATGCAAGAATCAGTGAACACAGCGAGACATTAAAACAGTGAACCAGCCTTAGAATGAGTAGTCCACATCAACAGAACAGTATGACCCTGCTTGCAAGTGGTTGCATATTTATACAAATCCTTCATCAGATAAATACTATAAGCTCACCTGATAGTTCACAGAAGAGGGGTGGATATGGACATTTCCATCATTCTTTGTGACAAAGCGCAATTCTTCTGCTTTTGGTGGCATTTTTATTGCCCCACTACTGGTGTGCTGATACTTGCCCTGTGGAACAGTCACCTGTGGATGAATAAAGATTTTTTGTTAGTTCCTCTGAATGCCCAGTGGGTAGAGTACTGGCCACACAAAACAAGAAGGTAGAAGGTTTGAATCCCCATCTGCATTAAGTTAATTAATCCAAGCTCAAGGCATTAAAATGTCCTCAACACCATTAGGTTAGAAATTCCCATTCTTGACTGTTACTAGAGACCCCAACTGAAAGATTCAAGCGTGTGGACATTTTGTGAAAACAGGATGAGGCTTGGCTGCTGAACAACATTCAGTCAAGCTCTACATAGGAATAGTGGTCACTTGGGTAAAGTAAAGGAAGACTAAATGGTTCCCTTGGAATCATAGCATTCTTTTAAGGAGAAAGCAGTTCAACAGAGGAATAGAAGGGACAGACTAATTTCTCCTCACCTCAAGGCACCAACTTAACCTAGTTTAGAAAATATATCTTCAATATCAGATGTAAAGTATAGTAATGTTAACTATATGTTTATTGCTGAAAATATAAAACTAGTATTTAAGAGCTCTTTTTATGAGTCTGTTTTGTTTTTAAAAAGAGCTTCTCTGTTTCTATGGCTCACAGCTGGACACTGGCTGGCAATAAATCAGTGCATAAACTGTGCGACAGGAAAGTCAGATGCTAAGTCTGCAGGCCCTGGGGTACCAGTTTCCTCCAGAACTTCTTCACCCAAGTAGTCATGATTCGGTACTTCAACAGTAACTGGAGAAAACAGCAAGTAAGATTGGTGACTCAAATGGGATTTCTTAACTAAAGGTTTGAAATGCATTGAGTCCCAATAGCCCCGTGGAGTTGTTTTGTGTCAGTCCTCTGTGTTACAAACTGGGATGTCCCTTTTGGAAAAGCTAAGCACTTCATACATTTATATCTACAAAACCACAACTATAAGTAATGGGGAAAGAGCAGTGAATGGAAATACGCTAGATCACTACAGTGAATGAGCTATGACCTGCAAATACATTGTGGGCTGTAAACTTTCCATGATTCTAAGGGACAATCCCAGAGAAATTATGACGTGGAGATGGGTTTGAAAGATCTGCCATTATCTAACAAACTGAGGGTAGTAGAATGGCTTGTTGGGCCAAATAGCCTGTTTCTGTGCTATACAGTCTATGTAATTCTTTTTTTAAAAAATAATATTTCTCTTTCTCTCTTTCCCCTGAAAAAAAACACAATATATATTCCACTTAAAGACATAAGTAAATCACAACATCACAAATCAAACATGTTCTGAACTTACTTGGACTACATTAGGGTAGAGCGCAGCACACAGAATCGCTGAGACCAGTTTCATATTTTCTGCATTGGAATTGGCCTAGGACAAAAAAATCAAGAGATGATTGTTAAAAAAAACAACATAACTGTAGACATTAAAATACAATATTTTACTCTTTGGAAATATTTCTACAAAATACTTCTGGTGTGTGATTCTGCATTTGAAATTAATTCTCTTTCTTTGCAATACATTGACTTCTTCCTAATGTTTCTTTGTCACTACTGATCTGAAACATCATCAGATGCACAAGATCAACTCGTTGAGGAAAACATATAGTCTCTGCTTGGTAACTCCTCATAATGACATTGCTGAGATGGGCAACACAATACCTGGAGGATTCTGAGTGGAAATCCATTTTAATGACAATGATTAATGACATTCTGAACATCTGTGATCAGGGCTCCCTCTGCCTCCTTATCCTCCTAGACCTCTCTGCCGTCTTCGACACTGTCGACCACTCCATCCTCATACACTGCCTCTCCTCTTTACTTAATCTTCACGGACCCGCTCTTGCCTGGATTGAATCCTATCTCTCTCACCGTCTCCACTTTGTTGCCTCTAACGGTTTCTCTTCCAGCCCCTGCACTGTCACGTCTGGTGTCCCCCAGGGCTCTGTCCTTGGCCCTCTCCGCCTTAATATCTACATGCTCCCCCATCCGCAAACATGGGGTCAACTTCCACATGTATAAGGATGACACCCAACTCTATCTTTCTGCCTCTACCCTCAACTCCAGGACCACTGCTGTCCTGACAGACTGTCTGTCGGACATCAAGTCCTGGATGAGGGCAAATTTCCTACAGTTGAATGTGAACAAGACTGAGGTCCTCCTGATTGGCTCGCGCCAGCGCCTCAGCCTCTGGCAGCATCAACCTCCATGGTTGCACACTACAACTCACCGAGCCAGTCAGGAACCTGGGTGTCTTGTTCGACTCTCAACTGTCTTTTCTTCCCCACATCCAAGCCATGACCCGCTCTGCCTTCCCTCACCTCCGTAACATCGCCCGACTACGCCACTACCTCACCCCTCAGGCCGCTGAAACTCTTGTTCATGGCTTCATCACCTCCAGGCTCGACCTGCTTGTCGGCCTTCCCAACTCCTCCCTCCACAGGCTGCAGATAATCCAGAACTCTGCAGCCCGTGTCCTCTCCCGCACCAAACTCCGTGACCCCATCTCCCCCACTCTCGCCCGACTCCATTGGCTCTCTATCCTTCAGAGGATCCAGTTCAAGATCCTGGTCTTCACCTACAAAGCCCTCCGTGGCTTCGCCCCACCCTACCTCTGTGACCTCCTAACCCCCTACCAACTCGCCCGTTCCCTCCGCTCAGCCGGCTCTGGCCTACTCCACGTCCCCCGACCCATCTACCCCACTATTGGCGGGAGAGCCTTCAGCCACTCTGCCCCCAACCTCTGGAATTCCATCCTCCAATTACTCCGCCTTGCCCCATCCTTAGCCTCCTTCAGTTCCGCCCCAAAACCCTATTCTTCAACCATGCCATCGATCATCCCCCTTCCCCTCCCCTCCCTTCTCCCTCCCTGACCCCAGTTCGGGTCTGAAATGCTGTACACTGTCCAGCGCCTTGGGACGTCCTCCCGAAGTGAAAGGCGCTATACAAATGTAATCTTGTTGTTGTTTAACGGGGACACCCATGAACCTAACTTGACTGTAGAATTATCCCTGAAATTCCTTTCATACAAGACTCATTTGGATGAATGCATTCTGCACATTGAAATGTTGTACCAGAACAACTTTGGCACTGAAAGGTAATAATTATATCTTAACCTCTTGTCCAGTGGCTTCCACGATTCCATCTCCTCCCTGTGAGGACATCTTATCAATATATCTGGCTTTCAGTCCTTCTTTTACAAATCCAATGTCAGACAATAGCTCTGCAAACTGTCTCTTCATGCTGGCAATCTCCTATAAGAGGTCAGAACATAACAGAGAACAAATATTACTCTAGTCCAGTCCACCGTATGCTTTACGATTGGCATAATGTGTAATCTATAGGAATACAAGGAGGCCATTCAGCCCATTGAGCATATTTCACCTTTTTATTAGATTTGATCTCACTATAGAACCATAAAACTTTACAGCCCACAATATCTGTGTTACTTCTTTGAGACATCAATCATTTCAATCCCATTTGCTTTTAGCCCTGTAAATGACTAATTTTTACACATCTATCTTTCCTTCTTAATCTGGATTCTACCTCTACCACTGCAGCCGTCAGGACTTTACATATACTAGCAACTCTCCCCTTTAAAAAATTATCCTGTTCTCCCCTTTGCTCCTTCAGTAATCAACTTAAATTGATGTCCTCTAGTCATCGACCCGATGAAATTATTTCACCTTATCTGCTCTATCAAAACCTGTACCAGGTTTCACCTCAACAATTTCCCTGAAAATATGCCTAGTGCCTCCAGTCTCAGTTCATAAATCCTGGTATCATCGTAGTACATCTCCGCCCCCACCCTTTGGAACTCCATTTCACATTCCCTTCGCCTCGCTCCCTCGCTTGCTTTTTTCAAGGCACTTCTCAAGATCCTCCTCTTTGGCCACCCTCCTATCCTCCCTTTACCCAAACCCCCACCCCACTAGCTCAGGTCCAGAATCCCTGACTGTCCAGCGCCTTGGGCGTCCTCCCGAAATGAAAGGCGCTAGACAAATGTAATTTTGTGTTGTATATATTCATTAGGTTCTGCCCTGTGGGATCTTTTTAGTCAGAAAAACTAAAAGTTGAAGGTGTTACTTACTTGTAGGACTCTTCCAGATAGGAAGTTTTCCTTACAGTAGCTGTACCCTGAATGACAATTCTCTTTTAGTGCAGCTGTCCAGCACTAGGGTAGTAATAGAGGAGTATTAAAACACAGAAAACATAAAACCATACATGATTGCATCTGGAACATACATCAAGATAGTTCAATTCAAATTACACGCATCATGTTCTCACACTGTAATCACAGAAAAACCCACAAAAACTGCAAACAATCATTTTTTTAAAAGATGAAACCATCTACTATTTTAGAATTCAATTCTTTTGATTCTCCTGCATTGTTACCCAACTAAGAAGAGGCAATAACATGTTCCCATCCTCTGTCAATACATCTCTTAGAAATGGATACAAGAGAGAAAAAGCATGACTGATTCCATTAGTCTACTGCCAAAGAGCTGAACACTGGGGGTAATGTCTTATGTCATCCATCATTTCAAAGGAGAGGTAGGATATGGGTCTGAGAATTTGACTTGCGGTACAGAAGGAAAGGTCTGATTACTCCAGGTTGCTCCGTGTTTTCAGTGGAGCAGGAGAAAATACAATGGATGTTCTTCAAAAAGCACAAGGAAAGTTTGGAGAGGAAGACTCTTCATGGCATTTGGTCTCATTCTTCCTGAATACCAATCTTTTCTCATTATCAAAGCCACATCCAGAAATCTATTTTTTTAAAATTCTCCACAGGCAGACCCCACGCCAATAAAAATCATCTTTCAACAAATGTGCAAAGTGGTAATATTATCATTATTATAATTTTAACTGGAATAATCAGCAGATTGAAGTCTTACCTTATAAGCCTTACAAAGGGCAAGATGGTCGCTGTGTGCCACAGCAAACTCTAGCTTTTTATTGTTGGCTTCTTCTCTTTTATCCCAGGGAGAAACCTATTCATGGTACAAACAGTAATTGTCTTTTAGTAGTTAATTTATAATTAATTAAATTATAATGTAGTATAAAATCCTTAACGCTAACACACATAATTAGTTTTAGAATCAAGTCCATTAATATTTTCAAAGTTTGATACAGAATTTCCTGGCAACACAAGAAATCTGAAAGCAACTGCGAAGATTTATCCACACCAATCTGCTGTAACATCTTTGCATCTCCCCATGCAGCTCATATTTCACACCCGGGAACATCTTCAGAAAATGTAAGCAAACAGTACCATCGTAAAATACAATGGCATTTAGACAGCAGTCATGCAAATTCAATTAACTGTTGTACTGCCGATTATGAACATCGTACTGACTGCATTGCTGTAATAAGTCTCAAAAGGAACATCTATCTGAAGATCAACTTTACTTACAAAAGGAGATTTAAAGGCCAAACTAGCTGCAATGGTTAGAACTGGATCAAGGCAACGGAAGATAGCACCAAAAAGCATTAGTTTTCCAATCCGGACATCCACAGGCAATAAGGCTAAATGATAACCCAAGGGAGTGAGCTTCTCATCTGTTGTAAGAGCTCCCAGGTCCTGCAACCGGCTTTTGGCCGCTTTTAAACCTTCTTCCGCTGGTGGCTCAATCAACTGTGACAGAACAGATTCTAAATCACAGCCTTCAAACATGTCCAAAATTTTGATCCTAAACAAAACAAAAAATAGAATTAATTCAGAATAAAAGATATAGAAATTATGTAAAATGATCGCAACACTTTATTAAAAACATAAACTGGAAACCCACTTCAGAGACTGCAAAGTGTAACGACAACAAATTACATTTGTATAGCGCCTTTCACGTCGGGAGGACGTCCTGTAATGACACATATATCATTTTCAAGGGGTATTATTTTTAAGATTCTCAAAGGAGCTTTTAAGCAGCAGATACAGAATGCTAATGTCTCTTTCCTGTTGGGCACCAGGAGTTTTCTCAAAACCAAGCTTTTGCTATTTACAAATCCTTTTGCAAATCTCACAAACTCCCTGCTCTGCATCCCATCGCATGATAAGTAAGTAGGCTCAAAGCCTCTTCTGGTGCTCCCATCTCTAATGTACGTAGGGGATGCAGGGGAGGAAAATGCCTGAGCTACAGAATTTATAGTGCTTAGCAAAACATTGGTTGCTACCCTCCCATCTCAAGTTACTGCAGTTCAGCTCTGTGACTCTGCCTCCCTCAGCCCTTCCACAAGGCCAGGTCCATCTTATGCTGCATGCTATGGAGCTCGTCCAGCAGAACATTTTAAGAACAGGCTGGGTTAGTGCTGCTCCCAGGCATCAAATGTACCAGGGAACTTAGTACAGGAGGGTCTTAGTGAAACTAAGTAAACTCATTGTCATTTTGAGGCTTCCCACTTTCCCAACTTGTTGGGACACTCCATCTCCTCAGTCTTGGCTAGATTCAAATTTAACCCATAGGCTCAATAATATGCTATCCCAGTGCACCACCCAGTCTATCCTATTTCATATTACTATTTGCATAATTTGTTTCTTCCTTTAAAATAATTATTTTAATTTAGACAACGCTGAAATCCACATAGCACTACATATAATAACTGGCTTTTACAAATCCAATATCGAACAGTAATTCTACAAAACAAAGTGTTTTTTTTTACAAATACATTTTCAAAACGTTTTAAAAACATTATTTTTCCACCAACTTCAGACAGAGCTGTTCCAGCGGCACCCTCTTGATCTCTGGCAACTGCTGATCCTGGAGATGGTGCTGGTAGCAGTGACTGGTGAACAGGTGAAAGCAGACCCCTGACGCTACACGGCCAGCTCGACCCTTCCTCTGCTGAGCATTCGCTCGCGAAACACAGGAGTCCTCCAGACTCTCCATTCCTTTGCATGGGTCGTACCTGCAGGTTACAACAAGAATGACAACTACAGACCGATTTGTATTACACTCATTACAACAGCATCATTTCACACTTCGTGGGAACAAGTCAGTTGCTTTAAAATAACCATTTATAGCCCAAAATATTAGGAATATAAATGATAGTATGATATTCTTGGCCCAGTGTGATGTGGAGTTCATTCAACATCATGCAAACAATGTGGATTAATTTTACTTCAGAGCACAAGCAATGGTTATGTGATGCCAGCATTTTCTGGCAGGACATGACCAAGATTATGGGAACTTTTGTGCATTGATTCATCCAATGGATTCACATTACCCCTAATTTTGTTGATAATAATAATCCTTGCAATTGATATAGCGCCTTAACATGTCTTTGAGATGTCTCAAAGCGCTTCACAGAATATACTATAAAGTGAATTGACTGTACATTTTGTGGGCGAAATGCGGCAGCCAATAGCGCACAGCCGTGTCCCACAAACAGTCGTGGATTGAAGTAACCAATTTATTATTATCATTAGTTAATATCTTTAACAGAAGAGCTTTTTAATCCATCCGTCTAAGCTTTATTCAAGGAAAAGGACAGTATTGCAACCCTTTATGTCTCTCTGTCTCCAGTAAGTCTTTGAATATAATTTTGCTATTGCATACCTTTTCTCTTTCATCTTGCCAGAATCGATAACATAGACAACATCGTCAATTGTAACTGATGTTTCAGCAATGTTAGTGGAGATTATGATCTTGGTAACCCCTTCTGGGGGGCGATTAAAAACAGCTTGTTGCTCCTCATTGGACAGCGAGGAATGGAGCGGATTAATAGTACATCTGGAAAAGAACAGAATGTACAATGATGAAACTCAATGACATTTCCAACATGTGGCAGCAAAAGTTTAAATATAATTGATTATAAAATGTCATATTTCATTTTAAGTTCTTTAGAACAGAACTAATACTTGTTAAAATGTGGCTGACTGGGTTCATAACCAGAAAGAGTGCGTATGTGTTTTTAAATATCTAACTATAATAATTAATAATAATCTTTACATTTTGGATAGCACCCTTCACGTCAGGATAACGTATCAAAATGCAGTGACTGTGTGTTTTGGGGTCAAATGGCAATTTGCGCACAAGAATGTCTCACAAATAGCCATAAAGTGAGCAAATTTTATTTGAGGGATTGTTGACCAGGATACCAAGAGAAACTCTCTTCACTTTTCAAATAGTACTATATGGGATCTTTAACCACAACAACAAAATTACATTTGTAAAGTGCCTTTCACGTCGGGAGGACGTCTCAAGGCGCTGACATCTATCTGAACAGTGCTAGCACGGCATTGCAGCACTGCATTGTTGTGTCACCTTAGACTAAATGAGTTCCAAGCCTCAATGTGGCGAGAGTGCTACCAACTGAATCAGATTAAGACTAATATATTAGGCATATAAAGCACTGATGAGATTTGCACCATTGTCATATATTTGCAAACAAACAAAAGGTTTGTACCATGAATAGGTTTCCCCCTGAGATAAAAGAGAAGAAGCCAACAAAAAAAAGCTGGAGTTTGCTGTGGCACACAGCGACCATCCATGTTGTAAATCAGATCAATGCTCTTTTGAAGGTTTCACACTTTGGCGACCCTTTCACATAAGATTTAAATCTAGACAAGACCAATGAGATGAAATGTCCCTACATCATGGGAAAGTGAGAAGTGCCTTTTGAATAAATCCTTACACATTGGATTCTATTTTAACAATAGTACAAACCTCTTACTGCGCCGGTTGTTGAATAAAGGATTAGACTGTAGCTGTTCATACAACATCTTGATTTCTGCCAGACCAGGCATAAAAATCAAAACTGCACCTAGTCAGAGATCCAAAAATTAATAAAAGTAACAAAATAATCCGTCAAACATATTAAAAATGCATGAAACATTCTAGACAAACTTAAATCTGACTTAACCACTTCAACGACCATAACTTCTCTCAGGAAATTGGAGTAATAACTCCCAACAGACTTTCTATAATCCCACTGACCTGGAGGATAGTCGTGATCGCCATCCACTATCCATTCCAGTAAAACTTCTATTAAGTCCAAGTTAATCTTTTCAGGTCCATAGTAGCCATTGTCTTTATTACAGACTTACTGATGCCTAAAAAGAAAATAACTTGATTTACTAAACACCAAATAGGAAAATATTTGTAGCGACTGAGAAATAGGCTTCAAACATAGAAAACAGAAACTGGTGGGCACTCAAGGTAAGTGAGTCAACAGTGAGTTTGTCTCAGTTGAAATGTTCCCGTCTCAGAGTCAGAAAGCCCCAGAAGTTCAGCTCCTAATGTAAGATGATACCCCAGCACAGATTACGAGTGCTGCATGCTCAAACCTTAAAAATAATTGTTTTTGGTTTGTAACTCCTTCCTTTGCCTCCTTCTGGCCACGTCACAAGAGACTTCTCTTCGACCATGCCTTCAGCCACCCTCCCCGGTCCCTGATCCCAACCCTCCAAATCCATGACTGTCCAGCGTCTTGGGACGTCCTTCCGATGTGAAAGCCTCTAGACAAATGTAATTTTGTATTGTATTGTAACAGAAACTTACCTTTATATCGGGCCACCAACTGTTTAACCGTGAGTTGCTGGTCAGGAACGCTGTCTCGGACGACTGTTTGATCGTGCACATTCAGAGACATTAGCTCTTCCTCAACCTGATCCACTGTATTTCGATTGGTTTTACCTTTGGCTTTCCAAGGGTCATTAGGCTTTGTGGTGCGTGCATAGGGACTTCCATCTTCTATAACGTATCTGAAAAGAATTTAAAATATGAGTTTTTTTGTTCTTCATTTGTTCTCCCCAGGTGCATAATTTGTGGTTGAGAGGACAGACATTCAATGCCAAATTTCTGTACATTAATTTCTTTGCAAATATATATTCCTAATTTTATCAGTTTGATTTTTTATATATTTTAATTTTGGAGAATAAAAACTTTTGTTTTTAAAAATGAGGCTATCCTTCTACTGTTTTCATACAACATAAACAATACTCACTTAGTCATTGTAACTGCATCTTCAAGGAAATATTGATCCACTGGAAATGTATATCCTAAAAAGGAAGATATTAAAATGATTACATTTATTTTCTTTGAGAGTTGTATGATGATGAATTTTCATACCAAAATAATGTATTTTCTCCCACTTGATGCATGGGAGCCCAGCAAGAGTGTGGGACTAGACTAGGTGGCTCATGCGAAGGAATAAAATAGTACAGACTTTTGGAGAGAAATTCCAGTTGAGTCTAGATTTACTCTAATTTACTTGCAAATTCTTTGATATAGCTGTTATTTTGAAGCCGGTGTCCTTCCTGTAAATTTTTTGGTGCTACCATTATTCAGAAATCAGGGGTCTTTCAAAACTCATTTAATGCTGTTCTTTAAATAAGAAATGTAAATATGTTTAGGAATCAAAATTTTGACTTCCATGTTAACAGGCCAAGTAAAGGACAATAGTAATCCTTCCATTTGATATAATGCCTTTCACCCCAGGAGGACACCTTAATAATAATCCTTGTATTTGATACATCGCCTTATCACGTTGAGACGTCCCAAAGCGCTTCATATTATATTTTAAAGTGAATTGACTGTATTTTGTGGGCAAAGAGTTTTATAGGATTTACTGTAAAGTATAATGACTTTATTTTGTAGGTGAATGTGACAGATAATTTGCACACAGCAATGTTCCGCAAATAGCCATTAAATAAATGACCAATTTAATCTGGGGGATTGTTGGTCAGGACACTTGGAGAAAGTCCCTTCTCTTTTTGAATAGTACCAAGGCATCTTTAACATCCATCCGAACGATTTCCAAAGCAGACTGTTTTCAAGCATTAACTGAGGCTCATTAAACTCTACCTTGGATCTGAATGACAGGACACAAGTTGAAGTAGTCCGAAAACAACTGTGCATTCAGTGTTGCACTCATTAAAACAATGCGTAGATCAGACCGAGAGAGCATCAGATCCCTTAGCACCAGCAGCAAGAAGTCACTGGGAAGAAAGATATGGAGCACACACACACGAAAATTAGTGTTCAATCTCGGTTGATCTCAAAACATGTGCATTTGCAAACAGTTGTCTCAAGTGGCAGTCAGTAATACTGTAACTGCAACAATCTACCTTCTTGACCCTTTAACAGCACAAAATCACTGACATCGTAATATTGCTTGGAAGATTTCAGCTTTTTAGTTTCTTTAAAACTTCAAACACACATGTAAGTACCAGGTTATGAAAGGCAGAGGATAAAAATTGGACACAATGTCCTTGAAGGTATTTCTTGAAGCTATTTCCCTCCTTGAAGGAGAAAATGAGAAGAGGATACATGCAGATCAGAGAGATAGGGAGGTGCTAGGGCACGGAAATTTATATGTGAGGGTGAGGACCTTGGAAATCAATCTTTTCGGAGGCAAGAAGCCAACGGAGCCTGGCGATAATAGAGGTGACGGGTGTGCTGAATTTGGTCTGGGTGAAGACACAAGTGGATGGTAGAACTGGGGAAGCCAGCGAGGAGTGTGTTTGAGAAATCAAGGCGGTAAGTGACAAAAGCATGGATAAGAATTTTAACAACAATTGCTTTGAGGAAGGGACAAAGGCGGGTAACATGGCGGAAGTGAAGAAAAACAGTCTTAATCAGAGACCGAAGGTGAGGAAGAAAGGACAGCTGAGGATTGTGCCAGACCTGAAGCTGGGCGCTCGTTCGGTGAGTTTGAGAGAGAGGCCAGGGAAGTTGAGAGATGTGGAGTATAAATAAAAAAACATTTTGATCCACTTATTAAAAGTAAACATGAAACACTGAAAGGATGTTCGACCTTTGAATAGCATCTTTTGGTTGCTTCCACAGGGTGGAGATAAAGAGCTTTGGCTAAAATTTCTTCTGAAAAATAACCATAAGATTGGCTTATTACACCCTTTATTTCTCCATTCCCAACTGTGGATAATTTTCCAAAATAAGAAGTCTAGATTCCCAAGGTTGCCATCACTACCATTTTTTATTCCCATTTCGGAGCATATAATAAAAATCCAGTCACTATGGATAACAAAGTATGCTGTGGTGCGTATTGAAGTGATTCAGTGTTCTTGGCAGTATAAAAAATGCTCAATCTTTCTTTCGAGGGAGTGCAGAGAAATCTCAATGATTCTATTGTGGGCAGTTGTCAGACACCTAGCACCTACCCAAGGAGTGCGAAGAATAAATGGAGTACAATAGGGTACATGTCTGCAACCTGTCCACTCAACTTCGAAAGTGTGTTATAGAGGGGAGAAAGAAAAACGTACTGCACCAAAAAAATCTGTATGATGCTTCAATCCTCTACTTTGCTGCATTTTGGATTTATAGCTGGAAGATGCTAAGTGGCGACTGGACAATCAGCATCTCCCCATTGGAGCAAGGAAAGAAATCAGAATGGGACCATGCTGCTCTCTTTACCTCCTGGTAAGATGGGAGTGTAATACAACATATTAAAGGGGACAAGGTGGAGGGATTGAGGGAGAGTCTTCCAGCATTTCGGGGCGTAGTGACTGAGAGCGCGACCTCTGATGGTGGGGTGGAGGGTGCGAGGGACGAGCAGGAGGCCGGTGCCAGTCGAGCGGAGGCGCCGGGTGGTGGATTGGGGAGTGAGGAGGTCAGAGAGGTAGGGAGGTGCCAGAGAGTGAAGGGATTTGAACATGAGAGTGAGGATCTTGAAGTCGATCCATTCGGTGATGGGGAGCCAGTGGAGCCTGGCCAGAACTGGTGAGATGTAGGTACGGAGTTTGGTCCGGTTCAGTATGCGGGCGGCAGACTTCTGAATGAGCTGAATCCTTTGAATAGTGGAACGGGGAGACAGGCGAGGAGTGCGTTTGAGTGATACTGGCAGTAAATCAAACCCTCTCAGCCACAGGAGGGAAATGCAAGGGGAGAAAACCAGCACAGAAAGATAGTATTACTCCCAAAAGAACTGGCAACACGCTGAAGCAAGCAACACATTGCTGGGTACAAGAAGTTTTTGCAGTGACTTTTTGCACACCCGTCACCTCTATTATCACCAGGCTCCGTTGGCTTTTGGCCTCAGCGTTTAACAATGAATTTTTAAACTTGCAAGAAGAACAAAATGGTATGAAGCAAGTCAGTGGAACAATAGCATCGGATTAATACTACAGCTAAACACAAAAGGCTGGTGAAAAATACAATTACCTTTCTTCGGTTCGTTCATGAACTTCGTCAACAATAATGTGGGACACACCATGCAAATTTGGATCTCCTGATAGTCGTCTGAGCAATACTCCTGCAGTGCAGTAAAGCAACCTGGTAGAGGAGGACTATGGATATAATACAATTCAATTAATAATAAGAATGTAAACATACACAAGGTTTGTTCAAAAAATAAACTCGTTCAAGTATAAACAGTAGAATAATTTTACATTTCTGATCCCAAAATAGACAACACAATGTCAAGAATGTTACCTAAATTATTGACAATTACAAGACAGACAGGATTTAAGAAAAATAATCAAAAACTTAAAAAGAGATGATGTTCTGGCGGGAGGTCCAGACATCATCTCTTTTTCCTGTGATAGGATAGGGCAGGAAGTGACGGCGCGACCCTCCAATAGACTAGAGGGCTCTGTGATGCATTTAAGCTTGCGCGCCCAACCTCCAAGCACCCAGGCTAGTCACAAAGCCCTCTTGGGGTCCGGGAGGCCCAACATCTAATGAGCCACTCCATATAACTAGTTGCTGAGCCTTTTTTGGATTGACGAGTTATCAGGAGTTTACTGTATTTCACATCGCGCACCCTTTAAATTCCACACAATGTGGCAAGTTCTGTGGTCTTGAGGTATTTTACAGCACACATTTAGGTCTTCCCACACTCTCCTTAACAGACGTACTAAAAGCCAAAGGGACACTGCAGTTATCGGCTCTCACACTATTATTTCAGTGTCATAATAAATGGGCTTCAAGACCTTCTCCTTTGTACAACCATCCACTTCTCTACTCGAGGGCTGGACGAGTTGTGCTATATGCTTTATCACACAACAATAATAATAATAACAACTCAATACGTTAATTGTACGCCCTAGTAAACCCATCGTATGACTAGGATTCTAACGACTATAATATATGCTATATTATACTGCATGAATATAAACCTGTAAATTTGTTTCCTGAAGAACAAAATAATTGAAAGTAATGAAAAGTCAATTTATTAGGCGACTGTACAAACCTTCACACATTCAAGTCTGATCTGGTATCCCACAATTCCTCCAAGTCTCTCAGTTCGTTCCTTAGCCACACGTTCTGCGACAGAGATGGCAGAGATTCTGCGAGGCTGAGTGCAAATAATGTTTGCAAGCATTCCCGGAGGGTTGTTCAAAGAATCATCCAGGAGAAACTGAGGAATCTGTGTTGTCTTTCCACATCTGCAGGAGTTAAGAAAATATTTTGCAAGATTTTCATGATTGTCAAATACAAGGCGCTGCAATTAATGCAAAAACACAGAAACGGCCTTAAATATTAAATATGTAGAGCCTTCCACTGATGACTGGCACTACCTACCACCACCTCCGCAATATTGCCAGACTCCGCCACTGCCTCACCCCTCAGGCTGCTGAAAGCCTCACCTACGCATTTGTCACATCAAGGCTCGATTGCGGAAACTCCCTCCTCATCGGCCTTCCCAACTCTTCCCTTCACAAGCTGCAGATCATCCAAAACTCTGCAGCTCGTGTACTCTCGTGCACCAGACTCCGCGACCCCATCAATCCCACCCTCGCCCGACTCCACTGGCTCCCCATCCCCCGGAAGATCGAGTTCAAGATCCTCGTCCTCACTTTCAAGGCCATCGATGACCTTGCTCCCTCCTAACTCTCTGACCTGCTGACTCCCTACCAACCTGCCCGCTCCCTCCGTTCAGCAGGCTCTAGTCTGCTCCATGTCTACCGCCCGACCCCCTCTACCATTGGTGGCCAGGCTTTCAGCCTCTCTGCCCCCACACTCTGGAACTCCATCCCACGATCCCTTTGGCTCGCTTCCTCCCTTGCATCCTTCAAGGCCGGTCTCAGGACCCTTCGCTTTAATCGTGCCTTTGGTCACCCTCCCACCTCTCTGCCTTCCCTCACCCCTACATCACCCCTCCCCCATGCTCGGGTTCTGAACCCTGACTGTCCAGCGCTTTGGGACGTCCTCCCGACGTGAAAGGCGCTCTATAAATGTAATTTTGTTGTTGTTGTTGTTGATACTCTGGCTGAGATCAGCTAACTCAGCAGAGATCAAGATTCAAACCTATAACCTTTTATTCTATATGACCCATTGTTGTGATGGGGTGTTGCCTTTACCAGGGAGGCCATGTGGATAGATGAATCTGGCAGTTTGTTAAATGACTAAAATGCACTCATTCTCCGCTCCTGGAACTGGCTTTCCTTTCAACTCCACAGCTGTTCCAAACTTACCCAGTCATTCCACTCACTACCAACACCTGGTGTTTGTTCAACAAATCCAAAATTTCTGCTTGTTTCTGAAAAGCTGGGAGTTTCTTCCTCTCTTGCAACATGGATTGGTAACGCCTAGAAGACTGAAATAAAATATCTCTCAGTCAGAACGGAATAGCTTAATGTATCGCAGCCTAAGGAGATATACATTGGGTGACAGAATGATGGACTCCCAAGCATAGGCACAATTGTGAAATGGAGTGGTCAACAGTCTGGTTAGTTCCAATCATATCTCAGTATCTGCAAGAGATAATTTTAAAAGCAGGGAAGCAGGTGGTTTTGTTTAGTGCTCCTCTTTGATGGCATGGTTAAGATCTCAAGGACAAATTTCTGCTGAATCAAAAGTACGTATTACAACAAAACTCATTCTTCAATATAAAATGTGAAGAATTTCTTCATCTGTTTCTTACCTGTGGAGCAAAAATACCGTATTCGCACTATTAACCAATGGTGATCATACAAGCAACTTCTGAATAAAATTGGTGCGTGTGTTTGTGTGTATAAAGTTACCTGTTTGGCTTGAAACTGCTTACGAAGTTTTTGGTTTTCCGCTTGCATATTTTCCAGTCTGGGTACATATCTCCTGGATTGAGTTTTCTTCAGATGTGCGTAGCTTTCAGTTTCCACAACCACTACCTCGGGCTCCTCTTCCTCCTCCTCCACCTGTAATTCACCATTGCCCACTGCAGTCTCAGCTTTCACTGTAACCACTGTAAAGAAGATTTACACTGTTCAGGTTTCCACAAGCAGTAGTATTGTAATTTTAAAAGCACAAGATGTAGAAGTGATTAAAGGCCACTCATAGAATATTACTGCACTGAAATAGGACATTCAGTCCATCAAGTTTTCAATCTTCTGCTCAATCCCACACACTTCAATATTCATTGTTTTCGAGCATCTATCCAATTTCTTTTACAATAATCTACGGACTGCTTCAACACTTTGTGGCACTATCCCAGATCAAGACGTCAAGTTTGGCAGAGAGATCCCAACTCTGCCACTTATTGCACCTCTGCTCAAGTCAGTGGTTACATGTTGCTTGAATGTGGTTGTGTGGGAAAAGGAAAAGAGGTAAAGTTGGGTGGGACGTCCTCCGATATTCCTCTCTAAGGGAGAGTCTAAGCTTTTCCTAATGCATCCTGACAACTTAACAAAATACAGTCATGTCACCAACTTAATTTTTTTCTTTTGCCTTAATTTTCTCAAGTCCACTTCTTGAAGGGCAGATTCAGGCTGGGGTGCAGATTCATAGAACCTCCAACACCCAACCGCAAAATACACAGTCAATCCGCTTTATAGTATACCCTAACAACAGGATAAGGCTTATTATTATAATGCCTTATATGAAAGTCCACACAATGGGTGTTGACAGGCTATCAAACACGGGGCTGGGGTATGAAAGGAGCTAAACCAAGCCAGTTCCAGTCCTCAACCAAGGGGAAAAGACACTTGGACAAATCGAGGATAACATTTTCCCTTCGTGATGAAAAATTAGAGGACATTTTTCTCATAACTACGTTACGTGGAAAGACTAGAGAAACTGGGATTGTTCTCTTTAGAGTAGAGTAGGTTAAGGGGAGATTTAATAGAAGTATTCAAAATTATGAGGGGTTTTGATAGAGTAGATAGGGAGAAAATGTTCCACTTGCAGGTGGGTCGGTAACCAGTAGACAAAGATTTAAGTTAACTGGCAAAAGAACCAGAGAGATGATGAGTTTTTTTTACACACAGCAAGTTGTTACAGTCTGGAATGCACTGCCTGAAAAGGTGATGGAAACGGATTCAATAACAAAAAGAAACTGGATAAGTACTTGAAGAGGAAAAATGTGCAAGGGTATGGGGAAAGAGCGGGGGAGTGGGACTGATTCGGTAGCTCTTCCGAAGACCTGGCACAGGCACAATGGGTCAAATGGCCCCCTTCTGTGCCGTAATATTCTATGATCTTCCCCTCTACACATAGTCCAGGTCATGCTTAATAACATGTCCAACAACAACTTGTATTTACATAATGCTCTTCACATAGGGTAATGTCTCGGAGCACTTTACAGGGACATGGTTGGATACCTAGTTGGGGGGGGGGGGATGTAACCACTGAGTTGAGCATCAGTAAAATTAGAAAAATCAATATGCAAATATACATTTAAAAATTCCATGTTACATATGAAAGGTTAATGTGATCACTTTCTCTAATGCTTTCTTCCTGCAGGATGCCGATTCCATTCTCCAAGGACATTACTGAACAAAACGCCAAGTGTTGTGGTCCTGGAATCAGATTGATATTGCTTAAATGTAATTGTCAAGAACCTTAACAATCAGGTCTTCATCTCCCCCACCTTCCCTCCACTGATCAGCATTCAAGCCCATAACGCCAGCTAAACTCAAGCACAGTGGAACATCACATAGTTGCTATCCCATGCCCATGCTTTTGAGGCACTTCTACTTTTGTCCAATGCTCTCTAGTAAAGTTTTCATTTATAGCAGATTTGCATTACTACCTTCTGACGGCCGATCTGACCTCCGATCCAACAAACTGCTGTAGGAAGTTTCCTGAGTGTCGGCATTATTAGTTCTTTTAGAAGGGACCAGACTCAGGATTGGAGGCAAGCTGTATTTATGGGAGTCTTTGAGAAGCAATTCACTCATTTTCTCTTCATCTTCCAAACACGTGATCAAAGTGTGGACCACTGGTTCATTTGTCTCTGCTGCAGCCAAGGCCTCCCCATAGAGGTGTTCAGTTATATGCAAACAGCAAGCTTGAGGCAGATTGTCATTGATGGAAGAAAAAGCTACAATTGGGGCTTGGTAGGGATACTTATTATCATTTGGGAAACGGATTTCCAAAGTATATAGCAACGCATTGCTGTCCTGGCGCAAGTGATCATCTGCTTTCCGTTCTCTAGCTCCAGGACGCTCGTGTCTGAATCTGCACTTGGACCCGTACCGGCAGTTGCCCAGGAGATAATACTGGCAAATGCCTTTCAAGTTTTTTTCTGGCAAGTCTTCTGTTTCACATCGTGCTGACTTGCAAAGTTTCTTGGTCAAGAATTGGAGTGCCAGTTCCACGCTCCAGACGCGATTTGGAATCCTTTCGCAGAACCTGTCTGCATAAATAGAACTAAGAACGAGGGCTTCCTCCAGCCTTTGCTCCGCGCACTCCGCCACGCTGGCACGAGTTGCTGTTCGAGAGGCCTTGATGCCCTCACCAAACTTTTCCACAAAGCACTGCCCCAGCAATTGTTCCAGAGATGATCCTATGTCCCCATCAAATGTTTCAAGTGCTGGCATGCAATGGTCTGCATGAAAACCATACCTGAAGTAAAATAATCAAGTTAATTCTTACGCAGCAGTCAGTTGCCACCTGCTAACAAATTCACTACAACATACAAGATCAGAAAAAATAGCTTAAAAAATGCAGCTTTGAACAGAACATTGTAGCTTTTATTTATAAAAAACTTCATGTACAATCCCTGGCAGATGTTTAGTACTCTAGGGCTAGGAGCAGTGTACATTAAAAATTGTCAGACAAGGAAGTTATTTTCTTGTATGGTTGATGAACTCTTTGCTTGCAATTTGACGATGAACTCATTTAACCCACGTGAGAAGTGTTAGCCAGCACTAATCTCAAAGAAGCACATATTGGGATGGGGAATAAGGGCAAATAAAAGGAAAAATCACTTGACTTCAAAACATCCAACTGCATCAATATGGGAAGTTATGCGGGATGTCACTGAACAGTTAATTAATAACTTAATTTTTAAAAATAAATAAGAATTATTATTAAATCCATGAAAACATTTCAGTTGGTCTGTTTTTAGGACTAGTCACCTGCATAGCAACAGGTTGCATGAAATGTTGCATGAAATCATATAGCACTAAGGAAACATTGAATGGTAGATAGATAACAAGATACAATTAGGCAGCACTGCACAGGAATGAAGTCAATGTCTGGCAAGTAGCTGCAGGCTAAGCCCAGTCTTAGGCTAACTAACAAAGTTTTTGTACTCTCCTCATAATAAAGAACTCAGTAACTGCCCAAGAACTAGTAAACTGGGGGATCAGTGCATTTACACATTAATCCAAATAAAACCCGAGCTGGGTGGAAACCACAAAATAAGAAGCAGGATATAAAATTTTGGGATTATTCCCTAAAGAAATGTTCTTTGATGCAAAGTACCATTAATCTGACTTTAAAAAGCAATGCCTGGCAAAATCATAGACAGCTGTAGGGGAAAAGTTTTTTAGTTGTTATTATTGTAAACCTGAGATATAACAACAGAGCTGGGCTATCGGTTGTTATATCTCAGGGTCACAATGATGGATTTTGATGTGGTGGCGAGGGGGCAAGGCACTGGGACTCCAGGATGGAGTCCCACAAAGCAGAATGCCTGAAAGCTTGCTCACTGATGGAGAGGAATGTTGTAGCTAGAATTAAAACAGTGGCCTGCTTCATGTCTCATGGGGGGATGTGGGACATGAAAGCACACCTTAGTTGCAGTCCTAGTTGACAACATTCCCAAACCTCTCCACGCCACTGAAGGCGTACAGCAGTAACACCTATGCTTTAAAAGTGGGAACATTTAAAACCTTATATTTATTTAAGTGCCATTTATGTACTAGAAGATCTCCAAATGCTTAACAATGGGAGTGGTGGGCATGGAGCAAAACAAGGACAGAAGTTGGATTGGGAAATAGTATTCATGTCATGAAAGTATAAAACAATTAGCAATTTAAAATCTGCTGTATCTAGGGAATTAAGCAGAGATCTAAGAAATGGATATTGAATAATTTTCAAATGAAGTGGTAAGCATGGGTTATGAAGCTGGAGAGCACATTGGGATACTGCTGAGTTTTAGGCAAAGCCTATTTTTAACTTCTACTCACCTGTGGGGTAGCCTCAAAATTCACACAAAATAACACACATTTGTGACACTCATTGATAAACAATGGGATCGGAAGAGGAAAGGAAAACAGCGGGTGGGGGGGGGGAGGGGGGTTGCACATGCAGACACGTTCCCATTCTTTCCAAAAAGAGAAGCATATACCAGCCTCGGCAGCCACCGCTACTTCACACAGAAAAAAAATACAAAAACACACTTAAGTGCATGCATTTCTTATTGTGCTCCACATTTAAACATATACCAAAACAGGATGTGTCCTAAATGATTGCAGCACACATCTAGGAAATTTGTGACCAGGCTAGGGCAAGACCTTGGGAACTGGCCTCCATTGTATAGTGTAATAATCAATCTAGTTTGACAACACCACTACGAAGTGAATCATTATTTTAAGCTCAAGCAAAACTGGATTGGTAACCCATAAGAATTGGATAGAAAATAAATTAAATGTAGTAAGTGCCTCCACCCATTGGTGAATGACCTGTGAAGGAGATCAAATACGTTTAGTAAGATATCACTGAGATTGAAAATTCAATTTAGGAGCTGCTTTCTCATACAATTATACTTGTTAACAGTATTGTACCTGCAGCAACTCCTCCCAAATGGAAGTCTGCTGAAGAAAGCAATATTTAGATTAGGATGCACTCTGTAAAAATTACAAGAGTCAAGAGCTGGAAATCAATTAGAACAGTTTTTCCTGTCCTCAGATACATCTTATAGCTCCACAAAACAAAATGAGAACTCATAGTTTAAACAGTCTGAAACAGTCAGGATAACCTACAATTTTAAAATGTCAAATCAATGCACCTGTTAAAGATTTGGTGAAAAGCGATATCAACAAACCTGGTCAGCTTCCGAACAGCAAGTACGGATATGCTGGGTTGTACAAAATGCTCCACAGGTGGGTACACAGGACAAATCTTTTCAGCCTCTGCAACACCTTCATCTTTGGTAGACCAGTACTGATCTTCATCTCTGTAATCCAGTTCATCATTTTCTTCCGGTATTTCGCATTCGTCTTCAGAAGCTTCATCTCTATTGAAAACGTGACAAACAATTAAATTCAAAGATTTTAAACTTAGATAAAAGTTCAAACAAACGTTTGGAGGATTAAGCTAACCACCTTGCTGAGAAAATAAAATGCATCTTCTACTTTAGTACGTTCTCCGAATACAGACTGATTCATTTTCTGACAAATATTCTGAATCAAATGAAACATAAACACACCAAATTTATAGAGAACAATATTTTACAGTAATTGTGTGATGAACAGTAGAAAAGTTAGCACTCAAAGAGATAATTGGATGAAGAACTCCCTTTGAATCTTTTGATCTCATTTGTCCACAATGATGGCCCATAAAAAGCCAAAAAGTGAATGGATCAATTTTATCTGAGGGATTGTCAGCCAGGACAAAAGGAGAAGCTCCCGTCTTTTCAAATATGGCCACAGGAATTTTAATGTCCACCTGAACTAACACAGGTGGGGACTTGGCTTAATGTCTCATTCAAAGGACGGCACCTCTAATAAGGCAGTTCTCCCCAGCTTAACACTGTCAGCCTGTGAGCTTAAAGTCCTGATATGGGGCTAGAACCCACAACCTTCTGACTCAAGAGTGTCACTGAACTGAACCATGCTGACACCGTAATTCCAAATGTTGCGACTGTGTTGGTAGACAAATATAGCACCCTTGATTTGAATAACCAATTAATGTGAAGAATTATTGGCTAGGTCACCAGAAGAAACTCTTCTCAATTCTCTTTTCAATCGTGCCAATGGGGCCTTTAACGCCCGGGTGAATGGACAATGGGGCCTTCACATTTCATCCAAAAGACGGCAGCTCCAATAACAACAACAACAAAATTACATTTGTATAGCGCCTTTCACGTCAGGAGGAGGTCCCAAGGTGCTGGACAGGCAGAGTTTTGGACTCAAACTGAGGGTCGGGGTCAGTGAGGGTGGAGGGCACGGAGGGGAAGCAGGGAGATTGAAGGCACGGTCGAAGAGGATAGTCTTGAGATGGATCTTGAAGGTGGCAAGGGAGGGGGCAAGGCAGAGGGATTGCGGGATGGAGTTCCAGAGAGTTGCGGCAGAGTGGCAGAAGGCCAGCCCACCTATAGTGGGGCGAGCGAGGCAGGGGACATGAAGAAGGCCGGAGCCCGCTGAGCGGAGGAAGCGAGCAGGATGATAGGGTATTAGGAGGTCACAGAGGTAGGGGGGACAAGACCATGGAGGGCTTTGAAGGTGAGGTCCAGGATCTTGAACTGTAACCTCTGTGTGATGGGAAGCCAGTGGAGTTGGGCGAGGATGGGGTTGATAGGATCTTGGAGCCTAGTGAGGGAGAGAACACGGGCTGCAGAGTTCTGGATGATCTGCAGCCTGTGGAGGAAGGAACTGGGGAGGCCGACAAGCAATGAGTTTGCATAGTCGAGCTTCGATGTAATGAAAGCATGTATGAGGGTTTCAGCGGCCTGTGGTGTGAGACAGTGGCAAAGTCAGGCGATGTTGCGGAGGTGGGGGAAGGCAGAGCAGATCATGGCGCAGATGTGGGGTAGAAAGGATAGCTGAGGGTCAAACAAGATGCCAAGGTTCTGGACTGGCTTCGCAAGGTGGAGTGTGCAACCATGGATGGTGATGCTGTCAGCGCCTGAGGTGAGGAAGTCCTGACGGGAGCCAATCAGGAGAGCCTCGGTCTTGGTGACGTTCAACTGAAGAAAGTCAGGACAGCAGTGGTCCTGGAGTCGAGGGTGGCAGCAGAGAGGTAGAGTTGGGTGTCATCCACATACATGTGGAAGTTGACCCCATGTCTGCGGATTATGTCACCAAGAGGGAGCATATAGATATTGAAGAGGAAGGGACCAAGGACAGAGCCCTGAGGAACACCACACAAGATGGTGCGGGGGTTAGAGGAGAAACAGTTTGTGGAGATGAAGTGGAGGCGGTGTGAGAGGTATGATCTGAACCAGTTAAGGATAGAGCCGTGAAGCTTGAGGTGAGAGGAGAGTCGGAGGATGAGGATAGAGTGGTCAACGGTGCTGAAGACAGCAGAGAGGTCAAGAAGGATGAGGAGGCAGAGGAAGCCCTGGTCACAGATGGACAGAATGTCATTTGTCACGTTGACCAGGGCTGTTCCTGTGCTGTAGGCGGCACGGAAACCCGATTGGAGGGGTTCGAGAAGGGAGTGGCGGGAGAGGAAGGAGCGAAGCTGAGAAGCAACAACACGTTTCAGCATCTTGGAGAAGAAGAGGAGGTTGGAGATGGGGCGGTAGTTATGGAGTAGAGAATGTTAAGGATAGGAGTGATGACGGCTGTTTTTAATGGGGTGGAACAGTAACAGAGGACAGGGAGAGGTTTATGATGTCAGTGAGTAAAGGGACAAGGAAGTGGAACTGGGAGGTAAGGAGAGGTGTATGGATGGAGTCGAGGGAGCAGGTGGCGGGTTTCATACGGGTTATGGTGGTGATGAGAGAGGAGGGGGAGACAGGTTCAAAGGTGTGGAGGGAGGGATGAGTAGGGGTCGGGGTGAGAGGAGGAGATGTGGAGTGGGTAGCAGCTGCAGTGGCAGAGGCAGCTGAGCAGACTCCCTCGACTTTGGATTTGAGGAAGTCCAGCATTGCTTCGCAGTTGGCAATTGAGATGAAGATGGGTGAGGCGTGAGAGGGTGGGCGGAGGAGCTGGTTTGTGATGGAAAAGAGGAGCTTGGGGTTGTCCTAAGGCTCCAAGGGTGTCTTGGAGTAGAACAACTATTTAGCGGAGGCGAGGGCAGAGCGGTAGGATTTGATATGGTCCAGCCAAATCTGCCGATGGACAGTTAATGCACCAATGCCAAGGATTGCAGTATACTAGAGGATAAACCTGGAGTGTATGGAACTTGAATCCACAACCTTCTTGCCCAGAGTGCTACCAACTGTGCCAATCTACAGTGCTTATTATAGTTAATTCATGACAGCTTTTTTCTATGTTTTCATCTCTTTCTAAACACTTAGAACCTTATCTTGAAACACTACAATCACACAAGACTTCCTGAAATAGAAAATAAAGTGTTTAACTATATATGAGGGGAAATAACGATGCAATATTATGTTAAAAGCAATGCATTGTACACACCAAAACAACAAGAGGCACAATGAGGACATAATTGTAAATGGGAAAAGGAGAGGCATAATTCCAGCTGCAAAAATAAACTCCAGGACATAATACATAAATATTTTACAAAATAACTGAATAGCATGAAGGCGAGCTCATATTCTCCAACTGTGGGGAAAGCAACGCAAATATAGCATGAATCCAGTTATAGGAATTGGTTTGCTGCCAACCATATACAAAGTAACAAAAAAAGCACAGTATAACTATTTCTGCAGTTACTTCATTACAAAGGGGCTCATGTCTTATGCTACCCTTTTCTGTGTGTCCAGCTTTTATAATGTAAACACAGTTGCCACTCTGCCTCGGAAAAACACCAACACCATTTAAAGTTATCCTACAGTGGTGGTGGGGGGGGGGGGGGGGGGGGGGGCAGGAGTAACAAAATTATGCTCCAAGTGTCAGTATTTAGCACTAATTGTTCAATTGGACTAAACATCTAGACAAATGAAGAGTCAACCTATATTCTCTCTTTTCTCCTTCTGCAGCATCTATTATTGCGTATTTAAAAAAATATATTGTTCAATGTGGAGGAAAATGTTTCAATGCCTGACTTCACTGATAAAATAACAATTTGCATTTATATAGTACCCTACATGCAAGATAGTGCTCACTCATTAGTGCTCACGGCAGCTGGTACCACACATTAAGTTAGGATGTAGCCAAGCAGAAGCCCTCGTACAGGTCATTTCCAGAGTCTGGTACAAAGTACTTCTTTTTGTAGTTTCAAATAAAACAAGCGATTCAAAATATCATGCTTTGCGTGACTTATACATTTACTGTTGTCAATGGAAAATGTATCCGGATGATGCTAAGAGAGTCTTTCCCAAAGCCCTTTGTAAAAAAACACGATAGTTCAAATTAAGAGTCCGGGCTATTTAATGGACTGAAAAAATGTCCAAGTGTGACAAAAGCAAAGACTAGGGAAAAAGATGCGAAGATGTGTAAACCTCACACAAGTCATATCAGCTGCAACCAAATATTGAGTAGGACTTATGCAAAGTATGAGTTACACGAAAAGTATAAATAATAGGAAATTCAACGGGACTTGGGCAGATGTACGCCTGAGACGATAATACGATTTAACAGATCAGACTTATGTGAATTTGCCTTTACCACAGTCCCCAACAACAGCTTACTCAGTCGTGCTGTCTGTCTCCTGGTTTTGAAGCTCTCGGAGGAGTGCCCGGACCTTCTTCTGGTTCTCAGTGGTCATGTGTAGAGTCTGCAAAGGCACTCGGCTTTCAGATCTGGATTTGAACTTGCTTCCGCTTTGACCATCCAAACTTGATCTGCAGAAAATACAATTACAGGATGCTCACAAAGGGTACTTAAGTCTCATCAAACTAACCAGAGCAGCTCTCCTTGGTACTGATACCTCTCGCACACGTGATTTTTAATCACTAATTAAACCATGCAAATAGATTGTGTTTTAAGTTAATAATGGTAATGGAGGGGAATCAAACATTTTCCCTTTTTCACACATCATGTAAAACAATGTGTACACAATAAAAATAGATGACACAGTGACGCCCACAATTTGTTAAGATTATTGGACATTTCAGCATTATTTAAGTCTTTTTAAAACATCTCAACTTTAGGCCCCATAAATCAGGCGGGCAGTCAAAAAGTGTTTCCAGACATCTGTAAGTATCACAGTTATGCTGCTAAGTAGTAAGTAGGAATCACTATGGGTCACCCAAACCAACCCCCACCATTGCTTCTGTTCAACAACTCCCCCAGCAGCAGCTGGAATCAGAAATGTGGGAAATCACAATTCAGTTTATCAAACTCTTACTTGAGAACTTAAACACAAACGTTCAATTGGCGTAAAAGTAGCCAAAGTATTAATCTTTGTTGCTCAAGTGCTACACGTACCTTTGTGGCATAGTTGCATTAGCGAACAGATTGAATTCTCCTGGCTCCTTGAATTCTTTTGGTAGGAATTGCCTACTTGGAGGATCAGCTCTACTTGTAGTTGCACCTCTGCCTCTGGTTCCACCTCTAGATCCTCCAGATCCTCCTCTAGATCCTCCTCTAGAACCTCCTCTCGATCCTCCTCTCGATCCTCCTCTTGATCCTCCTCTCGATCCTCCTCTACCCGCACCCCGAGAGCGTTTAAGGACAAGTGGTGTCGTGTCGAAACAGAAATCATCTTCATCCCACAATTTGCTCGAAGCTTTCCCACTATGGCTCGCTCCACCATGCTTTTTGAACTTTCCTCCTCCTTGATTTGGTCTTCCTCTCCTTCTGCCGGAATTCATTTTCAGTTTTCACTGAACAAACAAATTTAACTTGGTTACGAAGAGTACTGCGTTACACATAATGAACTTCTATCTAAAAAAATTACAAAACAATTCCTTGATTTTTGTTACATGAAAAGGTGACGCAATAGTGTTCTACTGACTGGTGCATCTCTGGAATTGCAAATTTTACTCCTGTGGCCTTCTTTATCCCGATTTTTGTGCGTTTACCTTTCCTATGTTTTCTAATAAAATGGGGTTTTCTACTGCAGATTCAGATAATCTTGGAGTGGAATTCTAAATTATTACACCAAACTAATCGTGCAAAGGATATCATTGGTTTCTTCATAAACAAAAATGCTTTCCAATGGGAAAATGATGACAATATGTTATTGGCAAAATCATCTGCTACCTCTACTCTAAGGCCCAAGAATGAATGAAAGCAGAAACTGTCACTTCATCATATACCTCACTTTGAATTCTGAGAATACATGATTGGATCAGTTTGTTGAGTAGGCACCAGCAACAAGGAAAAATTGATGGCATACTTTGAGTGACAAATATTCTTCATCACTTTTCCCTGAGCAATGTTAGAAAGCCTTTCTTCTTAAGGTACAGGTCTCCATCACTGAATATTTTAGGCCACTATACCTCTTTCCTCATATCTGACTTAATAGACCTTTCGCTTTGGCGAGAATAAAGCAGGTGATGTGAAATTTCTTCTGATTTCTCAATGGTTAACATATTTGAACCTTCTACCAACTTTGATTCTTTCCACACAATGTAAATCTTGAATGATGCGTCAGGAACTCCAAACTAACCAATTTACAATAGAATTCAAGTTTAATTATTGCATCTGCACGTAAAGTTATGAATTTAAAATTAAGGACATCCTAACTCTTTAATATATCTTCAAAAGCGGTTTAGGATGAAGTTGATTAGATTATTTAATCAAGTTTATTATTTAATCATGATACACTTGTACCCCCCTCCCCCCGGCTCAGAGTCAGGCTCCACCACTGTTAAATGCTCTGAAACGCTACACTGCGTGGAGGGCGCTATATAAGTGAAAGTTGTTGTTACTTATGGCACATAATTACACAGAAATACTCTGTAAAGCTTTTGGCTCTGGCCGAAGATGATAAAAAAAATTGTTCATTTGCTTAATTCTCAAGTTTTCAATTTATTTTAGTAACATTAGGTGAGCAAACAAAATGTCCATTATATTGGACATTATCAAGTCTTCCACTTTAAAGTTCACCTACAACATGCTAATAAGGGATTGGGCAAAAACCTGCACCTAAGAATTTCACTCCATATGTCAGAACATTTATGGTAACAGACAGAACAAAACACAGGTATTTCATACAGAAACAAATTCAAACTTATGGATTTCAGAACATAAGGAGTAAGTTATTTCACTTGTCACATGTACCCCTATTGTGAAGCCTGCACTTAATTCAAATTACATCATGGATGGCAAGTGTTTGAAGCCAATGCAAACACAGTAAGAGTTGAGATTATTAAAACATAATGAGTAACATTACAATACTATAATAGTAACCTAATATTAATATTCATGCATGGAAACCTGCTATGACTACATTTTTGAAGAATTCTATTACAATCTTCACATAAGTCTACATTTCTAAACCTTTCCATAAAGATTGTGGTGCATATTTATAGAGTTAATGCTGTTAACAGCATTCCTCTGGTTATTGCTTGTTTGTTTTTTAAAGCTCCTAATGAGACATTCAGGACACAGACATTTAAGTAGAACACATTCCGGATAATGTGCATTACATATTGCCCTCATTTATTTTGTCACCTTTGTCACAACTATTGGTGTGAGTCACACCAAAAGAGCAAAGATATGATCAAAAGCTACACAACAGTCCAACTGTAATTAGATCTGGATACATAAATACTGTAATCCTGGAGTGAATCCAGGAACACCACACATTATCTGAAACACTAAGCTATATTGTGGTGATCAGTCAATACATATCAACAACAACAAGATTACATCTGTATAGCGCCTTTCATGTCGGGAGGATGTGCTGGACAGAGTACAGCATTTCAGACCCGAGCTGGGGTTGGGGGGGTAAGGGAGGGGAAGGGGGTGGCCGATGGCATGGTCGAAGAGGAGGGTCTTGAGGTGGGACTTGAAGGAGGCTACAGAGGGGGCAAGGCGGAGTGACTGGGGGATGAAATTTCAGAGGTTGGGGGCAGAGTGGCTGAAGGCTATATCAATAATATTATATCAATACAATATACAGAACTGCCCACCACATTGGTGTAATATGATAATCCTTGCATATGATATAGCTGCTTATCTCATCATCAAGACATCTCAAAGCACTTCCCAAGAATTATTGTGTATTAGCAGGCAAACGGTCAGCCAATTTTCACACAGTAATGTCCCACAAACAACCACGTAAAAGCGTTAGTGACACTTATGCGGAGGGAGGATAACTTTTTTTTCCAGGATCCGCTGGGTGTCGGAGGCACACAAAAACCCAAATACAGATACAATGAATCAAGAGTCCCCAAACCAAACGATTGAGATTTCCCGCCAATCAAAGGAGATGACAGAAGACGCAAAGCCTCGTTCAAACAGGCAGAGCTGCGTTTTAGCTCTCGCAGCGGGCGACTCGACTCAGCGAACGGACTACATTTCTGAGCCAGGGCGAGGAGAAAAGGGAGGGCCGACGGGTCACGAGGCAGGGCAGGGAGGCGAGCAGCAGCGAGCCAGGGGGCAGGGCAGGAGGGCAGAGGCTGGGGAGAACGGACGGCAACAACTTGCATTTGCATAGCGCCCCCTCACGCGGGGTGGCGTCCCGGAGCGCTCCGACGGTGGCGGAGCCTGACCCCCGAACCGGGGGGGGAGGCAGGTGACCGTGAGCACCATCAAAAAGGAAGGTCTTTGAGCGGGATTGGAAAGTGGGGCGGGAGGGGGCGAAGGCGGAGAGATTGTGGGGGAGAGGCTGAAGGCACAGCCACCGATGGTGGAGCTGGGGGGGGGGGGTGAGGGGGGTGAGGGAGGGGGGGGTGAGGGAGGGGGGGGGGGTGAGGGGGTGAGGGGGGGGAGGGAGGAGGAGGGGTGAGGGGGAGGGAGGAGGAGGGGGGGGTGAGGGGGTGAGGGAGGGGGGGGGGGTGAGGGGGGAGGGAGGAGGATGGGAGAGGGGGGGGGGGGGTGAGGGAGGAGGAGGGGAGAGGGACGAACACGACCCCGGAGCTGGGAATGGAGGGGGGGAGAGGGGGGAGAGGGAGAGGCGGTGTGAGGGGCCCTGAAGGGATTTGAAAACGAGTGAGAGGGTCTCGAAGTCGATCCCGTCCGAACAACCGCCGGCGCCGCTTACACTGGGGGGTGGGGGCGAGTGGGGGGGGTGGGGGGGGTGCGAGGCCCTCCCTCTCGCCGGGCGTTTGAACGGCGCCGCTCACAGCCACAGGCAGCTAAACCGGCCAACCGGGGCACCAGCCCCAAGTCAAGCCGCCGCCTCCTCCTCCTCTCCTCCTCTCCTCCCCGAGCAACAGCAACGGCCCGAGCTCGACTCCCGCGTCTCCCTCACAGGCCGCTCCAGCCTGACCTCCCACCCCACACACACACACACACCCACCCACTCACCCGGAAGTGATGTCCGGCGAGTTCCGGCTGGAGGGAGGGAGGAGGGAGGGAGGGAGGGAGGGCGACGCGTCGGTTGCCATGGAGACGCGGCCTCAAGCAGCGACGCCACTCGCAGGTCTCGCCGACGGACGCGGTGTGACAGCGACGGTGACCGTGTGTGTGCGTGTGTGGGTGTGTGGGTGTGTGTGTGACCGAGGCTTCACCCCCTTCCTCTCAGCCACTCGTCTTGACATTTTGCCCGAGAACATGCCCGGTAGGTGGGGGGGGTGGGGTATGGGCGGAGCTGCTGCTGCTGCTGCTGGAATGGCGATTTTTTTTTTGGGGGGTGGGGGGAAGTCTTGACACCCGCCTGAACCCATCACCGTGTTTAACAGGTATCCAAACCCTTCATCCCACTCACACGCATGGAAATCCCCGGGAGATTTGTTGCAATGGAATGGAATGCACTCGCTCTCCCTGGGGGTGGGCGGGGGGGTGCATCCTCTTTACCTAATTCCGGAAAGCGTGAGGCGCGGGTTGGCAAGAGGCGAGGGGTCTGGGCGCCCCAGAGCGCGCGTTGGGGTAACCGCTGGAGTCTAACCAGCTAAGACCACAGAGCTTGCCATTGATATTGCCGTCGGCCGAGCTTTCCCGCTGCTTGTCCAGCCAGGACCATACCTAAGTAATAATAATGATAATAATAATCCTCGCATTTGATATAGCGCTTTTCACGTCGGGAGGACGTCCCAAAGCGCTTCACAGAACACACTGTAAAGTGAGTTGACTGTATATTCGTGGGCGAACGCGGCAGCCAATTGCGCACAGCGATGTCCCACAAACAGTCGTAGATTGAAAATGACCAATTTATTATTGTTTTGGGGGTTTTGGAGGGATTATCACCTGCCCGTTAGGGCTTTGGCTTGCAGGGTTAACAGGAGCTGAGTGGGATGACTCCCTGCCCCCAGTGACTGGTCTGCCTTTCCAAGTCTTGCTGCTGAGCCAGGCTGGCTCAGTGCCTGGAATACCGCAGACCCACCTGGCTCAGGACCCTCATCATAGAAACTGCCAGGAGAGAGTACTTATGCCGCCTTTCGATATTAATTCCTGCTTTTTGTTACTAATCCCGCTTTTTATTTTAATGCCCACTTTTTGTCATTATTCCTGCTTTTCAGCTCTTTCCTCACATTCCTTAGTGTATGTAAACTTCACAAACGAATCGTAAAACAAATTATGCTGTGCTTTACTGACTGAAGAGTGCTCTGTGCATTCTAAGTCGCTTTAGCTTCCATGTTTACTTTCTTTTGTAGCAAAAGCACTCAAGAAAAGAAAATCAAAGACAGAGTCAGGTAGTATTATTTTATATCTGACACCTTGACCAGGTGATTTGTCGTTTGTCACCTTGTCCAGGGCTGTTTCTGTGCTGTGTGTAGCATGGAACCCTGATTGGAGGGGTTCATAAAGGGAATGGCGAGAGAGGAAGGAGTGAAGCTGGGAAGCAATTTGGTTACTCAATCCACCACTGTTCAGGGAGTGCTGCATTGTTTGAGGTGCCGATCTTTCAGATGAGATGCTAAACCGAGTGCATTTGGTGAACTACTGTGTCACCTGTTTTCCAAAATTATATACAGTAATTGATTAAGGTATACTTTTAAAAATACTGTAGTGTTTTTTCTTCTATGACTTACTCAATGTAACAGAGAAATAAATACCATCTTTAGCTACACTTTCCATCTGTTAAGTGTGAAATAATGTATTTGCTTTTACAGGGTGACCAAAAAGTGCTAAATTACTCTATTATCTAAAAAAACCCAAAATATTATAATTTCTTGAAAACTTATTAGACACTTTAACAGTATCACAATTTTTTGGTCACCCTGTACTTTCCTTCAGAAACTCCTGGATTCATTAAAGTGAACATCATCTTCCCCAATGAAGATAGATATGGTGAGTTAAACAAGTCAATCAATAAGATTATTTTTACAAACGTTTTGAATTTTAGTCATCATCAGAGCCACATGCATACATTGTGGAGTCCTGTGGCATATTGGATAGAGCACTCGCCTTACAAGGAGAGGACCTGGGTTCGATTCCCAGGCAGAGCAAAATGTTAGCCAAGTTTCCTTACTCCACATGCCTCTGATAACCTAGAGGTAAGTAGGAACCCGATTGTTAGTCAATTGGTGTATCGCTTTTCCAGGAGTAATAATCACTTCAAAAAATAAAAATAATAATAATTTGGTCTCTCAATCCGTGACTGTCTGTGGGACACTGCTGTGCACAATTGAGTGTCATGTTTTGCCCACAAAATACACAGTCAATTCACTTTACAGTATATTCTGTGAAGCACTTTGAGATATCTCGAAGAAGTGATAAGGCGCTATATCAAATGCAAGGATTATTATTACATTACTGTATTACTCTATATGAATGTTATAGATGGTGAATGCATAAAATCTGAAGATGGTATCGTGGAGAGAAATGGGACTGGAATTCATACAACCCCAAGTGGCATTGTCTACACAGGAAACTGGAAAAATGACAAGGTTAGCTGTGTTTTTAAACCAAATTAAACATAATGAAATAATCAAGAATAGGTATAACCTTTAGGTTCCAGATAATACTAGTACAATTAATTTTGTGGTTGAAGTGTATGGGGAAATGAAGAAAAAAACAAGTAATTATATTAAACCCAGTAGGAACTGTGAATTTTACCTTTTTTAAAAATCTGTGTTTGTAACCTTTCAGTACAGTTAATAGATGCAGTCTCCCTTTTGAGAAATAAGACTTTGGTCTGTAAGCGCAAATCCAAAAGGTTATTCCACCAAAAAATTGCTCTGGATTTTTTAGCTAGCAGAATATGTCTGTTCCACAAACATATTAGTCTTTAATGTTTTGGGTTGTTTTTCATCCTGTTTGAATCTATGACTTGTATTTTTTCCATACTATTAGAAGAATTAGCTAGACTGCTGAATGTAACAAACAAAGGAAGCAAGACATGACTTATTCGGGAACATTTCTATGAATCATGGTAGTTCGTCAAAGTTTATGTAGCTGGTATTGTCGCAAACACCTGCAACAGCACAATAAATAGTTTATAATAAGCCTTTTATTCTTCATTCAATTTATCACTACTTTTGTCAAATATAATTAGTAACTAAGTTGACAGGAAGTCACTTAAAGCTGCACTATCCTCAATGCATTTATGTTTATTTAATTTAAAAAAATGTAAATAGGGAAAGTTCTATCTGTAAGTCAGTGGCTAAATACCTTACAAAACAGCAATATACTATAAACAGCAAAGAGATGAATAGCCAATACATTTAGATTTGCAGGTACATTTCTATGAGGAGTAAATTTAACATTTCTTTGAACTAGCAGCAGCAGCTGCAGGGTGGTCCCTTTCCACCAGAATTACAAGGCATATGAAACCTAAATTAATAACACATTTAAAATGGGATAATAATCTGGAAATAAAAATAATAAACTACAACAACTTGCATTTATATAGTGCCCTTCATTTGGGATAGCGTCCCAGAGAACTTTATTATATTATTTATTATAGAATGTTATGTTGGCAAATGTAACAGTAAACCTGCACAGGATTGACTGCCATCCCACACGAGTCACATTATTTTTAATGTATCTAATCGTTCCTCATAGCTGATGCTTTTAATACTGAGGATAAGATTCATTGTTGCCTGCACTGCATCTAGAGGTTGTGTTGCAGCAACTAGAACTATAATAATAATAATCCTTGTGTTTGATATGTCGCTTTTCACGTCTCCTAGACGTCTCAAAGCACTTCACAGAATATGCTGTAAAGTGAATTGACTGTATATTTGTGGGCAATATATACCTAAATGAAACCTAAATTAATAACACATTTAAAATGGGATAATAATCTGGAAATAAAAATAATAAACTACAACAACTTGCATTTATGTAGTGCCCTTCATTCGGGATAGCGTCCCGGAGAACTTTATTATATATTATAGAATGTTATGTTGGCAAATGTAACAGCAAACCTGCCATCTGACACATGAGTCACATTATTTTTAAATATATACAGTATGTCAAGCTCAATTTACCCAGAGCACGAATCGCATTAATTTAAATGATTTGGCAATTCAGTTGATCATGCTATTATCTTTTTTAATCCTGCCTCTGACTGTTTGAACATGAAAAGTCAATAATCAATGATAAAATCTTTTGGATGAGATGTTAAACCAAGGTTGAATCTGCCATCCAATTACTCAGATGGACATTAAAAGGTTTCATAACAAAAGGGAATTATTCCATTGTCCTCCAGATTAACTAGTCACCTCATGGCCATTTGTGAAACTTTACTGACACAATTGGATGCCGTGTTTGTCTACTGAAAGCAGTTATTATACTTAACACTGATACTTGTAAAGTGCTTTGAGAAGTTTCATCGGGATGAGGAACTGTGAAAATGCAAATCTAAAAAAAACATCCTTTCAACATCCTCTGTTGTAAATTCTACAGTTGCCTCCTGTTTTGACTTCCAACTTGTAGTATTTTGTATTTTACCACATTGAAACTTATTTGCTAGAAATAAGCCTGGGTGCATACTATTGTCAAGCTCTCTGTGAGCTTGACAAGAGTATGCACCAAAACTCTTCATTGCCTCCTATGATTTTCAGTTCCCTCTAACTCAGAAGCAATTGCAAATTTAATTACTTTGCATTGAATCTACAAATCAAGGTAATTATCTATCCCAGTGTGGACATTAGGTGTAGCTGTGATAGTGCTGTGATAATAATGATAATAATAATAGTAATAATAATAATATTACTAATGAGATGGCTTTATCACACCTTCGAGAAGTCTCAAAGGGCTGCACAGAATATACTGTAAAGTGAATTGACTGTATATTTTGTGGGCAAATTTGATGTGCTGATATTTTCTAACTTTGCATGTAAGGAAAGGTCAGTGTATAAGACACTGGAGCAAACAACTACCATTTTACTCAAACGTATTTGCCTCAGCAGAAATGCTATCAGTTTTTGGTCTTGGTTAGGAGTGAATTGTACCACTTTGATAGGGAGAACAAGGACTTTGTCAATGCATTCTGCTCAAAAATAGACAGAGCAATCTTTGAAGGTATCTAAATTAGCCTGAACCCATGTTTGGATGGTGATTTATGATGCTCAAAATAATAATATATAATAATAATCCTTGGATTTGATATATTATGTATATCTCTATCTATTATATATTATATAATATTATATATATATATAATCCATTAGAGGGAGAAATAGAGAACAGGAAAAGGATATAAGTGAAGGATTCGCTTCACAACATTCAGAGCACTCATGTTCTGTAGATATTTTGCTCCAAAGCTCCTTAAAGGATTAATAATTAAACCAAGAATGAATTGCAAGTTTGTATATTATCATGTTTCAATTAATAAAATTACCAATGTAATCATCAGCTATTTACAACTACCTGTTTTGTTCTAACAGTAGATATTTGAGGCCTTGTTAATTTATACATTTCTTAATTTATTTTATAATTTTTAAAACTTGTTTTCTACCATACATCTTATTTAAACTATTTTTGTGACTCTGAGGCAGAGTCCAGATTAGTCAATCCCATTACAGAATGTTGATACAGAATGTATTGCTTTCATGGGAGTGATTTTTTCTCTCTTATAGATGGATGGTTTTGGAAAACTAGAGCATGCCTCCGGTGCAATCTATGAAGGAGAATTTAAAGACAACATGTTCCATGGTACTGGAATCTACACTTGGCCAAATGGTTTAAAGTACATTGGAAAGTTTAATGAGAATAAGTAAGTGACCCTGACCTAGATCAATAAGCTATAGCTATAGTTATTCTACCGCAATGACCTATCCTCCTCGGTCACCCTTCTCCACAGCTCTCTCTCCTCCACTCTCGATTACCTCGTTCCACTCTCTTCCCGAACCGGCTCCAACTCACACAAATCACCTTGGTACACCAGCCACCTCCGCTCCCTTAAAACCCAGGCACGTTCCACTGAGCGCATCTGGCTTAAATCAAACCTAACTGTCCATCGGCAGATTTGTCTGGACCATGTCAAATCCTATCACTCCGCCCTCGCCGCCTCTAAATTGTTGTTTTACTCCAAGACAATCTTGGACGCTAATGACAACCCTAGGTTCCTCTTCTTCATCACGAACCGGCTCCTCTGCTCACCCTCTTACGCCTCACCCATCCTCACCTCAAATGCCAACTGCGAGGTGATGCTGGACTTCCTCAAATCCAAAGTCGAGGGAATCCGCTCAGCTGCCTCTGCCACTGCAACTGCTACCCCCTCCACATCTCCCTCTCCCACCCCGGCCCCTACTCATCCCTCCCTCCACACCTTTAAACCTGTCTTCCCCACCTCTCCCATCACCATCATACCCTGTATGAAACCCACCACCTGCTTCCTCGATCCCATCCCCACTCCCCTCCTTACCTCCCAGCTCCACCTCCTTGCCCTCTACTTACTGACATTGTTAACCTTTCCTTGTCCTCTGCTACTGTTTCCACCCCTTTAAAAACCGCTGTCATCATTCCTATCCTTAAAAAACCCTCCCTGGACCCTTCTCTACTCCCTAACTACCCCATCTCCAACCTCTCCTTCCTCTCCAAGGTCCTGGAATGAGTTGTTCCTTCTCAGCTTCGCTCCATCCTCTCCTTCCACTCCCTTCTCGAACCCCTCCAATCGGATTTCTGTGCCACCCACAGCACAGAAACCTCCCTGGTCAAAGTGACAAATGACATCCTGTCCATCTGCAACTAGGGCTCCCTCTGCCTCCTTGACCTCTCTGCTACTTTTGACACCATCGATTACTCTATCCTCATCCACCAACTCTCCTCTCACCTCAACCACCACGGTGCTGTCCTTGATTAGTTTACATCGTACCTCTCACATGCCTCCACTTCATCTCCTCAAACGGTTTCCCCTCTAGCCCCTGGACCATCTCGTGTGGCATTTCTCAGGGCTCTGTCCTTGGTCCCCTCCTCTTCAATATCCATATGCTCCCTCTTGGTGACATCATCTGCAGACATGGGGTCAACTTCCACATGTATGCGGATGACACCCAACTCTACCTCTCTGCCTCCACTCTCAACTCCAGGACCACTGCAGTCCTGATTTTCTTCAGTTTAACGTCAACATGGCTCTCCTGATTGGCTCCCGTCAGTGCCTCCTCACCTCAGGCGCTGATAGTATCACCATCCATGGTTGCACATTCAACCTTGCTAAGCCAGTCCAGCGCCTTCAATTATCCTTTCTACCCCATATCTGCGCCATGACCCGCTCTGCCTCCCCCTCCTCCGCAACTTCGCCCAGCTCCGACACTGTCTCACACCGCTGAAACCCTCATACATGCCTTCATTACATCGAGGCTCGACTATGCAAACTCACTGCTTGTCGGCCTCCCCAACTCCTTCCTCCACAGGCTGCAGATCATCCAGAACTCTGCAGCCCACATCCTCTCCCGCACTAGGCTCCGTGACCCAATCACCTCCATCCTTGCCCAACTCCACTGGCTTCCCATCACCCAAAGGATACAGTTCAAGATCCTGGTCCTCACCTTCAAAGCCCTCCATGGTCTTGCTCCCCCCTACCTCTCCGACCACCTAACCCCCAACCATCTTGTTCGCTCCCTTCTCTCAGTGGGCTCTGGCCTGCTTCACATCCTCTGCCTTTCTCACTCCAGTGTTGGTGGATCTGCCTTCCACCACTCTGCCCCCTCTGGAACTCCATCCCGCAGTCCTTCCATCTTACCCCCTCCCTCACCACCTTCAAGACCCACCTCAAGTCCCTCCTCTTCGATCGTGCTTTCGATCTCCCTGCCCGCCCCCCTGCCCTCCACCCACCCCCACCCTAACCCCCAGCTCGGGTCGAAAACTGTCTGTCCAGCACCTTGGGACATCCTCCCAATGTGAAAGGCACTATACAAATGTAATTTTGTTGTTGTTGTTAACATGTACAACATATGTAATGATGGTACAAATGTATAAAATATGTGACTGTACAGTATTTGTGTTTAAAGAAAAAATTGTTTTCTTCAATTAGAAAAAAATTGTAATTCTGTAGCCTCTAATCACATGATGCTGTTGCAGAGTGTTTCACAAATAATTAATGTTCAGTCGAGTGAATATTTTTACAGCCATTTGCACCAGCAATGTCCTATAAATTACCATCAGGTAAACAACAAATTAATACAATATAATAATAATGCTTTCATTTGATATAGCGCCTTATCACGTCTTTGAGACGTCATGCTTCACAGAATACTGTAAAGTAAATTGACTGCATATTTTGTGGGCAACATGCAGCAGTCAATTGCACACAGCAGTGTCCCACAACAGTCGTGGATTGAGTGAGCAAATTATTATTATTCTTTTCAAGGGATAATTGCCCACAGAAAAGGGATCCACCAATCGACTAACAGCTGGGTTCCTATTTACTGCTCGGTGAATAGAGGCGTGTGGAGTTAGGAAACTTGACTAAGGTTTCACTCTGCCCAGGAATCAAACCTAGGTTCTCTTGCTTGCGAGGCAAGCGCTCTAACCAATATGCTAGAGGATTCCACAATACAAAGGTTTAAACACCAGGAGAAAGTCCCTTCTTTTGAATAATTTTATGGAATCATTAACATCCACCTGAAAATAGTAGGACAGGACGTTTGGTTTTACTATCTCAATATAATACAGTATAAAGCACTAATTTTATATAGCCCGGCTCAGTTGGTAGCGCTCGCCTCTGAGTCAAAACATTGTCAGTTTAAGCTCCATTACTCTGCTCCAATGTTTGATAATACTGAAAAGATTGACTTGTAGGGAGCAAGAGTGTGGAGTTAGGAAACTTGAATTTACTTGATCCACAGTTTTTGATTACAGTCATTTTTCATATAACTTGATGACAGAGCACTTTAATACTTAATACAATGGAAATCATTTCCTTCTGAGTAGTTGAGCTATTGCTGATTATTTAGATAGGGATAAAAGGCAGTAAGACATACAGACAAACCTCCCCAGCCTATCCCTTAGACAACAACAACAAGATTACATTTGTATAGCGCCTTTCACATCAGGAGGACATCCCAAGTGCTTTACAATGTACAGCATTTCAGACCCGAAACAGGGGGGGAGAATGGAGGGGAGGGGAAGGGGGGTGGCCGATGGCATGGTCAAAGAGGAGGGTCTTGAGGCGGGACTTGAAGGAGGCTAAGGAGGTGGGGAGGGGAAGGGGGGTGGCCGATGGCATGGTCGAAGAGGAGGGTCTTGAGGCGGGACTTGAAGGAGGCTAAGGAGGGGGTGAGGTGGAGTGACTGGGGAATGGAATTACAGAGGTTGGGGGCAGGGTGGGTCAGGACTTACCGAACCTGTGCATTACCTGGCGTCAGGTTTGAACCCCAGCTGTCCATCCTATCCCACATCCGGTTCCTGACCATGCAGCTTTCCTCCAGGTTGTAAGGCATGATTCCTTTTGGACCTCAATAATGGGCAAATTATATGCACCATCACGTTGGGAGGACATTTAGTACATGGCTAAACATTTATAAGGCAATGCAAGACGCATTCTTTTTTTAGGTTTGTAATAAGAAGATTAAAAAGACTGTGAAGGAAAACATGAACTAATATTGTTTCAATTTTTCTTTTCAGGATGGAGGGAGAAGGGGAGTTCATAGATTTAGATGATCATCATTGGATTGGTATGTTCCATTTCAGAGCTGCACCAGGGCTGAAGTTAAAAATGAACATATAATTGTGTGAATGGGACTGATTTCCACAAAATAAATGTAGAATGTGGGTGTTTTCCTTCAGTTCCTATGAAGTGTTTCTGTATAAAAGTATCAGTAAAAGAATATACTGTATATTATATGCTTTGGTGGACAAGGGTGATCTTATTTCTTATAATTCCTCAAACGTAGTTTCATTATGTTCCTTATAAGACTATCTAGCAGCTTACATCTTTAACTTTCAATGGATCTAATCTTAATCCTCCTGCATCTACCAAATTCATAGCCTCACTATTTTCTAAAATAGAATTTTTACATCTCCTCCATTGCTTAAATGTCTTCCAAAAAGCTGTTTTCTCTTTCACCCCAAATATTTTCCCTTAAATACTCTAACTGTCTATAATGCCCAAGTGATTCTTCCTCTATCTTTAGCGTCTCAACTCTCTCCGTTGCAACTTTTCTTATCTTGTTCAATAATAATAAAAATAATCTTTGCATTTGAATATAGCTCCTTATCACACCTTTGAGACAGCTCAAAGTACTTCGTGGACTATACTGTAAAGTGCAGTGACCGTGTACTTTGTAGGCGTAACCCGACAGCCAATTGTGCACAACAGTGTCCGACAAACTGTCGTGGATTGAGTGACCAAANTTTTTTTTGGAGGGATTATTACCCCTGGAAAACTATCCGCCAATCGACTAACAAGCAGGTTCCTACTTATTGCTAGGTAAACAGAGGCGTGTGGAATAAGGAAACTTGGCTAAGGTTTCGCTCCGCTCGTAAATTGAACTCTCGCTTGCGAGATGAGCACACTAACCACGACACTACAGGACTCCGTATAACTAGATAAGCTCCTCTTGAACAAATTAAAGAAGAATATTATACTAACCTAATTGTGAAAATAATGCCGTAAAATCCAATAATGCTGATTCAATCAATCAATCAATCAACCAACCAACCAATCAATCAATCAATCAATCAGGTAGACTAGTTCAGTTTGAAAAGTGTTATTCATGATTTTTGTTAGTATTCACAACCTAGAAAGCCAAGGCACAAAGTAAAGGACAATACTGAAAAGAGCTGCAAAGATAACAAGATGAGCAAAGAAGTGGTTATGTGGCCATAACCAAGAAAGAATTAATCAGTGTGAGAGTGCAGTGAGTTTTGATTACATCACAGTGAGAATCCAACAAGGAGTGAGAACATCTAGGATAGGCACATTTGGAGCTTAGAAGAAACAAGACAGAGATGGTTGAAGTATTGATAACATACTGCAATTTCCACGTAATGGAACCTCTACACCCATGTGGGAAACACATTTGGGAAACAACAATAAGATGTATCTTTGTTGCCTGCATACAGATTAGAAAGTTAAAATAATGGAAAACTCTGTGAAGTTGAGTTCTGCTGTGATGCCCCCTTCACGAACCCAGAGCTCACCATCACTTCACTGTTTTGACTCGCACATGATGAATGCGGACATAGCTGTAGCACAGCAGTAATTTACTAATGTACTACACATTTCCTCTCCTCACTAATCAATCTCAGGCCTCAAATCTCCTGTGTATTCAGGCTGCTTTCAGGCTACAACAAGGGCTGTTGTTGGTTGGCTCCAGGAGATGTATAAGCCTACTAAGAATTCCACATTTAATTTACAAAGAATTTTGGAGCACCAAAATCCTTTAACAGCCATTACACAAAAGGCACTTGGTTGACACTGGTGGCTGCGATCTGCTGGTTTGTACATACTGGACACAACATACTTTTTCATGAGTAGTTATTCATAAGATAGTGGCTTCCTTGTTTGTGAACCAATGTTTGACACGGTCAACATCCAATAAACATCCAGCAGTTACTGAATACAGAAAGCTTCTTGTTACCGGAGGCTTCAAGAAGAGTTGGATTTTAATACGCTGCACGATTCAATGAGGATGATCAAGAAGCTAAATGGCCTGTAAGTTCTACTTTTTGACTTTTTGTAATAGTATTTCGTGATAATAAATGTTGTTGTTACAAATGTTTAGGATGTTAAATGTACCAAAAATTCGCTCAGAGCTGATTTTTTCTGCACAATTTCATAAATTCTGATAAGAATTTTTCCAGATTTTACAAGTTATCTGTATTTTACTAGCAAAAATAGTCTCTTCTTGTAGCTAGGTCCATAATTCACTATTTCACTAAAAATGTGACCATCTGAGGCTGTTACATTATTGTAAAATATTTCAGAAATGGGCAATTTGAAGCAATTTTCCAAAAAAAATCACAAAATAACTACAGAAATGTTTAATGGTAATTTATAGCAGATTTCCCTCTCCCTTGAAACTCACTGTTGGTACAAGTCATTCTCAGTTTAGATACTTCATAGTTAAAATAATGTCTTCTTTATGCGCGGAGTTTACTAAAATTCTGGCTGTCAGTTTTAGAGGTACACCAGGTATAAGATTACACCAGTAGCCTGAACCACTTCCTTTCTTTAATGAAAGCTGTTTTAAGAACTGCATTTCAAATCACATTTCTTTCATTCCTTTGTGATACATGTGATCTTATTAAATCAATGTAAAATTATAACCCTACCATATTTGGAACTGAAATGCAAAACTAATTCAATATGTGTTTGATGTCAAGAAAGTTGGTAACATTTTATTCTTACTGAAGGTACAATTAATAGGGGACTGTTTAGACAAACTGTTTCAGTTGTAATGTATTCTGGTACAACAAAATTCCAGTTATGAAAGGGCTGAAGTTATGTACACAATGCATGGTGCTCTGAAACTCATCGTCTCACATGAAAGCAATGTCACACAGATGACTAAGAGAGTGATCCTGAAGATGTGATTTTACTCAGTTAAATTGATATTGGAAAGAAAATTGCAATTTAAAAATTACATTGTCAAATATTTTACTTTAAACAGACAGCACTGTGTTGCTTGTTCTGACCACAAGATCATAAGTATTAAAATTGAAATATCTCATAGATTAAGTGTCAACTTGTGACCAGAGTGTTTTTTGTAGGGACGGGGAACGTTGAAGGTTCAGTGACAATGTGGTTACATTTATGAACTATATTTTATATTATACCCTGCAGCACATGAAGGGAACATTGCTTCTGTTAGGCTGTCTTTTACAAAGAGCCATTGATGCTTCAGAAAAACTTCAGTTTTGTTATACAAGTAAGCAGAACTTTGGCATATAATTTGTTTTAGGTCAGCCGGGTGCCTGACCCATGAGGAAATCTAACACTATGTTTAAGAGTATCCAAACAAAACTGAGAGTTCCACATGCATATGCATCTACATATGGAAATTTCCCTGTGTCTGGAATGGCATGCACACTGCCTGGAGGGAATCACCCTGGTTACCTAATTACAGAAAGTATTAGACTCAGATTGTCGAGAGCCAAGGTTTGGGGACCCCAGAGTGTGAGTTGGGGCGCTGCTGGAATTTAATCAGCTAAAACCGTATAGCTTGCCATTGAGAGCAACTTATGGCAAGCTTCCTACCGATTGTCCAGCTAGGACCAACCAATCTACCTATTAGGCTTTGGCTTCCAGGATTCACAGGAGCCAAGTGGACAGATTCCACCTTCTTTGGAGATGAATTTGTGAGAATGTGATGCAAGAATAGTAACAGTAGGAATTATAGAATATGAAATGGAGGTCAGTCATTGTTCAAATGTCAATGAAGATGTTAGCAAAATGTATTAAATATTTCCTAATGTGCAAGAACCACTTTTTTACATACCAAAGCTCTTTTTTTTACAGCCAAGCTTTAATATTTACTTTTGTATTTTATATAAACATTTTATGACCTTGATCAAGCTTGATTGAAAGAAAATGTACCACTCTCATAACCCCTTTATACAAGCTACGAATATGCTAATGTAACCCATAATTACCAAGTTTAAGAATACACTACTGTAACCTTTTTTTACAAGCAAAGGCTATACTACCGAATGAAAATACAATTGTATTTAAATGCTCTCCTTTTTGACCGTGTCTGGGTTTACTTGTTAGTCTGTATGGAGTGAAGAACAGCAGCTTACACCAAATGGGATGTATAGCCTTTATAACAAGAGATCTGGAATATAAAAGCAAGTGGATCCTGCTCCAGTTAGAGAATGCTGGTCAGACTTAATTTGGAGAACTGTGTTCAGTTCTGGGCAGCCAATGGTAGGAAGTATATACCACTGTTTATGCAAGCTGATATACTGAATCCTCTTCTTTTTGCTAGATAATGATACACCACTGTAACCTTATATTCCTCAAGAGGAATAATGAAAGGAATTGGCACGTTAGGTATTGTATGACTCTTCCCTGTGATCAGAATTAGAACAGTAAGCAGGGAGGTTAGGAAGCATTCCTTCACCACAGAAGGTTGTGAAGATGTGGAATGCTCTGCTCCGGGAAGCTGTAGAAGTGGAATTAATAGGAATATTTACAAGAGATAAACAGATGCTTGGTTAACAGAGGTTAAGCAGTATGACAAAAAGATTAGGACACTGGGTTTAAAAGATCTGACAAGGCACAGGCTCAATGGGCTGAATGGCTTGCTCCTGTTCCTAGTTTCCTATGTTCCCATGAATACATAAACGGGTTTTATTGCTATTTGGTGGTTCAAAATGGTGAATTTTAAAATGCATTGTAAATTATTTGACAACCTGCCAGACAGTTCTCTGATATTCTGGATCTGCAAGCATGGCATGTAAGCTGCAGCTAAATGTCTAAATAGACAGTTTCCATTTTATTTCCAAGGAACAGAAAACCAACATACATGTGAAACATTTGCCTCACATGACATGGTGATTCGTCAGAATATCTCGGATTTCACAATAGACAAATAACTGCTGTTGGCCAGGCAAGCTGCGTGATCAGTGAATGGTCTGAGCTTTCAAAAGGAAACCCAGGGCTGAGAATTAAAGAAACAAACAGAGACCAATGATGGAGAAAGGAAACAACGGTACGGTAATATTGAAACTTGCCCGTAGTCTTGTTCAATGCAAATGTATCTTTTTTAAATGTGCAGTCGGATATTATGAAAAGGCACGAGTGTCAAAAAGTACAAGGGGTGCAATGGCATAGTTTGTTAATTGAATTTTGATACAGCTCATCCAAGATTCAACTGTATTTTAAATTTAAATGAACTTTATCCTATAATTCAATATCTTTAATTGCCCGATTGAAAGACCAACTACCATTGTGGGACAACAAATTAAGAATTAGCCAAACAGTATCTTTTTCTAGAAAAAGTCAGATTATTACCTAGGCTACTCTGGAACAAAATATTAATAAATCGTACTGTTAAAGCTGCTGAAGTAATGATAACAAACTGACAACCCATGAGGCTAATGATAGCTGTGTTCACAGACTTTTTTGAGACAAATGCCTGTATCCTGCCAAGAGCACTTTTGGTGCTCTAACATTCTATGCATCTTACGAAGCAATTATTGAAACTTGAAAGGAGCCTGGGCACTGCGCTGATGTTGGGATAATTAATGCATTCGTCACTATTGGTAGTAACGTTTGTGTTACATATTTATCGTGGAAAAAAAACATTATAAACAAGGGTAATGGAGCACAATTTTCATTAGCTCTAGTGAACAAAAACATGTCTTACCCTGCAGATTGTTGGAGCACCTATGCGAAGGGAGGCAAGACAATTATTTGAAAAACAGATTGTAAACGTAAAAAGAGGTTGAAAAGATGTTAAAGAAGCAAGACTAAATCTGTGATCTAATGATAGGTAGCACCTTACACTTTTGTCAAAGTTAAAAACAATCCTAGTGATTTAACATTGTCTGCAATCTAGATTGCTAAATTATCTGTAGTGTGACTGATTCACTTCATTTTACCAGCAGAGAACGAAGCATCAGTGGGAAAAGATGTGACATTACAGATTTCACAGGTACTGTAACAATCTTTACAAGCAGTGTTTACCTTAAATGTTTATTTTATTTGAACACAACAACAAATTGGATTTGTATACAGGTAGAGCTTTTCACGTCGGGAGGACATCTCAAGGTTGAATGTTCACGTATCAAATAGCGTTTGCTCATAGGTTAATGTTAATTTATCAAATTGGTAAATTTTTCAAAATGCTGTCAATTGGAGCACAATTTTTTAAATTTCGTACACTCCATATGTAACTCATTCCAAGGCTCTTTATGGGACATTGCTATGTGCAAACTGGCTGCCGCATTCGTCCACAAAATACACCAACAATCTGCTTTGAGACATCTTGACGACCTGATAAAGGCTAAATCAAATGTTTATTATTATTAAAGGGTTATTATTAGTATAAAAATGGAAAATATCCACAGTGACCCAATCATACATCCGATTCAATACGGAATACTTGTAGTTTCAGTTTTAATGGCTTCATATATTTTATTTCTCTCACAAAAATATTGTGAGGTTGTAACAATACTGGATTTTACTTCTAATCTTTCTTTGGGTACTCACTTACTTTAAAGTAGTCAGTGTTGATAGGTTTTAGGTATGCTCTGATTAGCACATTACTAGATTCCCACCATGACACCATACAAAATATCTGTTCTTCATTCCACATGTTTGTTGAAGTGCCAAATGGCCTGCATTGGTTTCAGAGTGGAGAGACATAGGTACAATCCACTTCTATGCTCTTTCCTATTGTTAATAGGTATAAAAATAAAATAATAATCCTTGTATTTGGTATAGTGGCTTATCACAGTGTCGAAATGTCTCAAAGCGCTTCACAGGATTTTACTGTAACGTGCAGTGACTATGTTCTTGTATGCAGTTACAGCAGTAAAATCCCACAAACAATCATAAAGCAAATAACCAATTTTATTTAATTGTTGGCCAAGACACCGGGAGAAATTCCCTCTTCTTTTCAAATGGGGTCATGGGATTTTTTAAAAATCCTTCTGTATAGGCAGATGGGACCTTGGTTTAACATCTCATTTGAAGGATGGCATCTCTGATATGTAGTGCTTGCCCAGCTCTGCACTGATACATCAGCCTAAATTATGAGCTCAAAGACATGACGTGGGACTTGACCCCACATCCTTATGACTCTGAGGTGAGAGTGTTACGAACTGAGCCAGGCTGGCACACAGTTGGATGATAATGGCCTTTCTAGGTAGAGGGGAGGGACATTTGTTTCTGAGTAACGTGGTGAAGATTTGCATCTTAGAGACTTGAAAACAGTTTGCCAGAGTTTGGGGAAGAAAAGCATGTTTTAAACAACAACAACAACAACGTGCATTTATATAGCGCCCCTCATGCAGAGTAGCGTCCCAGAGCGCTCAAAGTGTGGGATGTGGGGGAAGTTAGGTATTTGTATCGTGAAACATTTGATTTAATTGTTAATGGGGATGCTTTCTTTGCATATAGAAATAAAAAAGACTTCTACATGAGATTTTTTCCTATTTGATACGTGTTCCTCTTTTAGAAAGCTACATTGTTCAGGAGGGTTCAGTAACAGTTGGTTTTTAGTTGCAGGCTTTGGCAGCGGAACTCAAAGCTGGATTCACAGGAGCAATGCATGAACTCAATAGAATTCAACATGGAGATCAGTTTGTTGAGGAGCGAATTCGAGCATTTGGAACAGAATGGCAAGAGCAATTGAAAGAGATGAAGGACACATTCAGAACATTTAAGGTATTGGTCAGCTGGGTGTCTGATACATGGGTTCATTAGAAGAAGCGTTGGGGTACTGCTGAAGTTTAACCTGCTAACCTCATAGCTTGGCATTGAAAGCACTATCTGGCAAGGATTACCCTACCCATTAGGGCTTTGGCTTACAGTGTTAACAGGAGCTGAGTGGGACAAATTCCTGTCCCGAGCATAATATACTGCTATTTTCATTTCTGCCAATTGTGGATCTTATGGTCAGGTCTGATCAGGCAATTTACAGTCTCAAAATACCTGAGAGGAATGGCAAATGGACAACAGACATCTTGATCTTGTTCTAGATTTTTTTGGTAAGCAAGGATAGGCCCACTCACCCCTGTAAATGGAATTAGACCGAAACACTTTCCTCAAGAGAACGAGGGTTGTCCCCACAGACAACTCTTTCCCCCAAATCATCAAAGGACAATGTGGATCTCGTATCATTGATTAAGTTCAAACCTGTACCTTCCAAGTTTTGCATAGCGCCCTCCTTTGGATGATAATCTCTCACCACGTACAAGGTCTAATCCATTAAATCTCACATATTGAAAAGATGTTTTGTTTGTGTTTCCTTACTTAGTGGAAAGATATGTTTCTGATATTGAACTTATTTTCACTAAATTCTATTTATGTTTTTTCTTATTTTGATGTAATAATGTAATTTTATTTTATCTATAATGTCAGGATATCTACTTGGATTTGTATCATCTTAATATAGAAAATGTGTGAATTCAAATGTAGATCACCTTGCTGAGTGGTTATGTGCAAGGTCTCTGGATATGTCTTTCACAATTTCATGACCCTGATGTGACCTATTACACCACAATGTTATTCCCTGCTTTACCAACAATAAAGGAACTAATTTTAAAATTCTCAATTCAGCAAACCTGCCAATTACTTTCTACCACTGAGAAGCAACTGGATCCGATTATTGTGATATTGTGTAACCAGGATGTAGAAACAATAGAACATTTTTTTTCTATAGTTATTTGCAAAATATTTTTGGAGTACTCTTAATCTGTTAGAACTCAGAAATAATGATAGAACTGTTTTAAAACAATTATAACTATAAAACAGCATGCTTTCACATGAAACAAATATACAACATACTGTGGCTGTTGTGAGAATTCTCTTCCAGTATACATCCTGATACAGAGAAACTATTTTCTCTGGTAGGGATCTAGAACAAGGGGGAATAGTCATAAAATTAGAGCTAACCATTTAGGAATGAAATCAGGGCAGTTTATCATCCAAAGGATATTGGGAATCTGGAACTCTTTCCCCCAAAAGGCTGTGGTTGCTGGATCCATTCACATTTTCAAGACAGAGGTAGATAGATATTTATTAGGTCAGGGTATTAAAAGATATGGGGCAAGGGCTGGTAACTAGACTTGATATACAGATCAGCCATGATCTTATAAAATGGTGGAACAGACTCGAGGAGCTGAATAGCCTACTCCTATTTCTATATTTCTATGTTTCTATTTGTAAAGCCAGTATTCACTCAAATCATCACTATATTTAATTATATTCAATTTAAGTCAAATTATTGACTCAGAAATTTGTGAGTCTTTGTATAGTTCAGGGACCCCGAGACAATCAAGCTCACACAGACCTTCTATATCCTGCATATTGCTAATAAAACATTATTTTTTATTTATATGCAGGATACAGAAAGGTAGAATTACGTTTCTGGAGAACAGAATTGCTGAATGGCACATGTTCAGTCTCTGTTCCCTGCTTTGACAAAAATAAAGGAAACTAAGCCTCTATCTTTCATATACCTGTGTCTGTCTACTTCCCTGTTCCTTGCACTCACAATGGCTTTACTTGGCAGGGCATTCCAACAAATCTCTCACTGAAAATATTTTGCCTAAGATTGGTATGAAATGCAAAACCCTTCACTGTGAATTTCTGGGTGATTAAGGAGACAATCTTCAGGAGAATAAAACAATCAATAGAATTGTGTTGAACATCAGTGTGCTTTAGGCTTCTGGAAGAGGTTCCTTTGATTTCTTGTTGCTCTCTGGTGTATAATCACTGTATAGTCCAAGTATGTGGCTTCAAATGAATCTGTTTTCATTTATTTTCCAGGAAGAGCTTCAAGGAGCACATAATCAAATTAGGGAAATGAGCGAAAGGCAAAGAGAGATGAAAGAGTATATTGAAATGCTTCAGCAAGAAAACGATTGGATTCAGACAAAGCCATTGGCACATAACAGGTATTGACTTTGGGACAATATTTCACCCATCTAAAGATCTATCACTTTGTGTTTTTGAACACCTCTTTGCTTCCCCTAGTTCCCTCCTAGCAAAGGCTTCCATTCTGCCTTTTCTAAAAAAAAATGTGTTTACCTATTAGAACTGCAAGTGCAGAATTGTGCATGCCTCCACAATTGTTATTTGCAGTATCTTGTGGGAAGATGCTATATAACTGCAAATTGTTTTTATTTACAAACACATAAGGCAATATGTATATGCCATACTGCAGACACCATAAATTCTTAATGAACTGTTTAACTTGGGAATTCAAGTATAAAGTACACCAAAGCATTTTGTATGCAAAAAAAAGTTTTTCTGTGTGAAAATTTATATGTAGCAGTGATGGCACTTTTCATGTTCTCTGTATTACTGACATTTCCATATAAACTTGAAAGTGAAATTATGGAGGCCGTTACTGGGTCTGACAGAAGATCACAAGCTTATTTCTCACTGTCATGTCAAAGAAGCTTCACAAATGGGTTTCATCAGTTTTTCATTAAACCACAAGCTGAGATTGAGTGTACTGGAAACTGAGACATTTTAACCATACTTCAATGAGATGGGGTGGAAGCTTATTGTATTAATTGGGCAGGAGGGTTATGATCAGAACCGTTTTAGCAATTCTATCAAAAATCTTCCATTGCTATTCACAGTAACCCTATTTGTTAAGTTACTCAATGCTAAGTCTCAGACTACGTGCATCTGCTTTGTAACTTTCACAAATCTTTCTCATGGGCATCACATTTCTCCTCATCCAATATTACATTCAACCAAACCTCATCATTAAATTCCCCAGGTTACCATTGTACAAGACGTATTCCAGCTTTCTTTATGTTCGTTCTATTGCCATTTTTTTCAGATTTTCATTAAGGCAGCTTCCTTGTTTTTCTCACCAGTTCAATTTGCATCACACTGGCCCTGAGATTTACCAGAGCATTCAAATTGCAGCACATTATGCTGCCTGGACCATACCACATTGGCACCGGTTCCAACAAGGATACACACACCCTAACATTGACACAATACATTCTCCAGAGTTGCACTAAGAGTGTGGACACAGACTGTCAGACTATTTCTGATTCTATTGTGCAATAAAAAGTAGTCCAACAATAACCCCATCGCAAGAAGTACCACTATTCAATGCAAATGCAATTTTTTTTACAAAATTCCTTAACAAAGGCAATAAAATAAATATAATACGCAAGGTTATAGTGAATACGTTATAATCAATTTTTGTTCATTGTGTATAATTCTCAGTGTGAAATGTTGTAAAGTGAGGATATTTCAGAGTTATATTCACACCATTTAATTACTTTTTTATTTACAGTAAAATGTGGAATGGGGAAGATGAAAAATCAGAAGACAGAACTACAGGACATAAAACTTACTACCACAAAACTTATGAGAATTATGAACCTGCACTGAATCAGCATTACTTTTCGAGTCCTTTCCATTATTCATTCCAGAAAGGTAGAGATGTCATCTTGAAATATACTTTCAGTGTAATTGGATGTTTGCAAATGTTGATAGATTTTTGCATATTTTTTAATTTCCCCCTTGATTTGTAGATTATTTGCCTCCACAAAAGAGGTAGTGGTGAATAAAGCTTTTTTAATCTCACCCATCCATTGTATCATCGAGCTGCTTCTTAAATATGTCAAGTTTCCTGTCTTCAAGCACCCTTCCTGGTTAAGTGTTCAGATGGTAGAACATGGGCTTAGGCTTTCTGACCAGCTGTCACTCTCATTCTACTTGTATATTGAGGACAAAGTATTCTGGGAAATCAAACTCTATTTTGTCATTTTGTCCATTTGTCATTTTAAAAATTCTGGAGATCTTAGGTCATGTCACTAATTCCATTAAATAAATAATTGATCCTCATTTTCGCCCACAAAATAAACAGTCAACTCACTTCACAGTATATTCTGTGAAGTGCTTTGAGACATCGAGAAGAAGTGAAAAGACTCTATATCAAATGCAAGAATTATTATTATTAACTACAAACTCTATAAAAATGGCTTCAGGTTGTTGCACTTGATGTTTTTCTATCCCTTGTGCTTTAAATTTACATGCCTTAGAATGACGATTCTTGAATAAGACACAGTTTATATTATAGACTTCTTGCTCAGTAGGAATAATTCTGACATGTGTCAAAATAAACTTGATAATCATAAATCTTGATAATCCTAAACAACAAGACTTATTTATCTTCATACACTCCTCTGTACCATTCTATGCTGTGCTGTATCAAATGTAAGCATTTTTATTATAGCATGGTCTAGGCAATGAAATGAGCTGTAACAACTAACCACCACCATGCCGTTCATTACCACACTATGTCCTTAATTCAGGCTTAATTCCTGGTCTGTGCTGAGGCAACTGTATGTCCAGATGTCAAACATGATGGTGGCCTCTAGAGGACATGGACATACCATTCTGGTACTCTAATGAAATTGTTTATACTTCAGCAGCACACAGTCCAGATACGGAGGAGGGTGTGTACTCATCTTCCGATGTTCATCAGAGAAATGACTTGGCATCGCCAATGCTTACTGATCATCAGGACTTTCAGGGACAGATTGACACAGAGACAATGACAGAATATTCAGACAACTTCAAAGATTCAAACCGGAGCAGATATGGATCCCGAGAGAATGAATTAGAAACTAACCATCTCATAAATCAGCTGGACAGCAAGAAACTTCAACATCAGAAAGAAAAATACCTAGGTAATATTTTATTGAGTTTTAGATAATAAATGTGTCTCTTCCATGGTCATTTTTAAAAGCAGTTTTAAATAAGTACAATCGCTACATCTACTCCCTTGATAAGAAGCTGTTCCCGATTCAGAGGCCCAATATTTCTCATGGCCGTATCCGTAAGACCATGGTATTTAAATTAAAGAATGGAAGCTGGTTTTGAAAAATTAGTTTAGATCAGTAAAGTGAACTGTAATTAATAAACTGAGGAACAACAACAACAAACTACACTTGTATAGCGCCACTCACATCGGAAAAACATCCCAGGGCGTTGGCCAGTCAGGGTTTTTTGGACCCGAGCTGGGAGTTGGGGTCAGGAGGGGTGGAGGGTAGGGTGGGGGTGGGGTTGGGAGGGTGGTCGAAGGCACGGTTGAAGAGGAAGGTCTTTAGATGGGACTTGAAGGAGGAAGAAAATAACCACAAAACTCTATGAGGTCCAATCATGTTTTCCAAATGATAATTCTTTGTTTTAACTTTCTAGTCAAAAGGCAACAAGCTGCTGTAGAGTTACTTGAATCAGAGAGAGCATACATGTTCTACCTTTCATTAATTCTGAAGACCAGTGTGACTGTCAAGGGAAAGGATGTCATACTTAACAGCAAAGACTTAAGGTACTGTGTCTTTAATAATGTTTCTTTACAAAGTTTGATATGTACTTTTTGTAAACTCGGAACTATGAGTTTCTGTGATCATCATCACTAGGTGTTTATTACTAGTTTCTAAAGAAGTTTTACAAGTGATCAAGATAGCCTTGTAGGCACTGCTTGGTAAAGCAGTGAGTCATAAAGAAGGTCTCTGGTTCAATTCTTGTCTATGCTGAGGAAGGGAATCTCATTAGTTGGGCTACTACAATTGCTTCCTGGGCTAAGGAGGACAAAATCAGCCAGATTCCATTTCCCGGTTGTTCTCCAGTGACCCCTAAGTGTAGATAATGAGTGTAGATACCAGAGGCCATACATTTCTCATAATCTTGACCTAAAGAATGTTTCCTAATAATTTATTGTGCAGAATTTGGAAAAATTGTTAAATAATTCAGTCAAAATTTAGAAGCAAGTTTTCTACAGCTCTTAAAATAGTAAGCCAATTCTCAGCTCTAGTTGGTACATGGAATGGGAGAAACCATGGGTTCATAATCTTACAATAATAACTCACTTGCTTGTTGTGTATGGTGCGCTGGTGTTTTTTCTTAGCTAACACCAGTAAGACATTTGCACTGTGTTGTTTACCAGTATGCAACTCCTATTTCATTAGAAAGAAAAAGAAGCACTTGCTTTTTCATGCTGCCTTACCACAATGAAACATTAATTACTTTTTACAGTAATTACTGTCCGGTACAGTGAATGTATTTATAGGAGAGCGTGGGAGATATTTTACACACAGCAAATTCCCAACATACAGCTATGCTGCTATGACCAACTTATCTTGAAGACTTATCTCAGCTTATTTGAAGGATAGATCTCTGACAATGCAGTGCTCTCACAGTACTGAGCTGAAATGTCATCTTGGACAACAAACTCAAGACCTGAAAAGGGGCTTGAACCCATATCTTCTGAACCAAAGGGTGAGAATGGCACTAGCTGAGCCAAGCTTACATTGTTGGACATGCAAACAGCAAAGTTCCCGGTCTGTGGGTGAGGGGGAGCGAAATATTCCAATGTCTCATCTTATTGTTGATGTAATTTGCACCCCAATCTGGAAATGAGATCAAGCAACAATTAAACATATTTGAATTCTTTCTACTCAGTGTTTGTTGTTTTTACGTCACTGAAAAGTAGGCAGATTCATCTTGCATCCTTGAACTGCATCTCAGGACACCAGGCTCAAGTACCAGTCCTGTCCTTTTAGTTACAATATTGTTGTTTATGGAGCGTCCTTGTGTTTAATGGATTTTGAAAAGGAAACTTGGAAAGTGTTGGCTGTGCTCTGTGTGATCTGTTTGGCAGAGGGCTGCTGATTATGTAATTATTCTGCTCTATTATGTACTATGACCATTTAATGCAAAACATATGAGTTCCCTTGTGACCAAGCAAATCAGATGACCTTCACAGTTCATTTCAGGGAAGAAATTATTTTGCAGTTGCTTGAAGTCATATGGAGTGCTTAGTATGCAGTTCAGTATATTGATTTCTAAGCTAAATGTCAAATGAGTATTTAAGTTGCTAAACGCTCTAGCTTATAATACTGTAAAACTGCTTAGTTTGTGTCTGTTTATTTTCATTTTTTAAGCCAGAGGAGTTGTATTGTCAGCAGGCATCAATGTAGCATAAATGCAAACTTGACAGAAGCAGAGCACTTGGATGAGGCTGGGAGTAGCAACTCCAATGAGGGGCTGGAGGTAGGAGCCAAGAGCTGGGCCAGGCTGGAAGTGGGATTCGGGAGCAGGTAGTTGGGTCAGGCTGGGAGCCAGGAGTGTTAGTCCAATCTATGTGTACAAAGCATAATTTTTTTGATTCTGTCCAGTTCTGACGAAAGGTCATTGACTTGAAATGTTAACTAATTTTCCTCTCTCCATGGATGCTGCCTGACCTGCCGTGTGTTCCCAGCGACTTCTGTGTTTAAACCAGATTTTCACCATCTGCAGTACTTTGCCTTTTGCGATTCTGTCTGTCAGTTTGTCTCAGCTGATACAAACTGACAGACAGAATTTTGGGGTTCAAGCCGCACATTAGTGCTGCAACACATACTCTGCATTGTTGGAGGTGCTGTCTTTCAGTTGAGAACATTAAATTGAGGTCTAGGCTGCTTGTTCAGGTGGACTTTAAAGATCTAGTGACATGATTTTAAAAAATTTGCATTTGAAAGAGAAGGGGATTCTTCCTGGTGTTCTCCAGATAAATTGGTCATTTATCTCATGGTTATTTGTGGTGCAAATAGCTGCCATGTTTGTTTTCAAAACCAGCCACAGCACTAGGCAGTAATTACCCGTAAAGTGCTTTGAGACCTTTCGGTGAGGTAAGATGGTATACATATGAATGTTGTTCCTCTTTCAACAATTTTAATACTCTTTCCTTCCTTTGCAGAAATATTTTCCCCAGTTCCCTCCGAGTTCTCACCCAGCAGCATGTTTGTGTGCTTCATACCCTAGAGGAGCGGGTCTTCAGATGGCAGTGGCAAGGCATTGTGGGGGACATATTTATGAAACTAATAAATGGTGACGATGTAAGGAGTTTATATATATATAAATATATAGTTTATATGTTTATATAAAGATTTTCATTATCAGTGTTGACTGTGTGGCATGTTGACTGTGCATGAGGAGGCACTGCTTTTGCAATTTATACAATGCTTTTGAAGAGTATTCCCCCTTCCACATATGTTTTGTATACTTGTTTAGGCCCTTCCCTCTGTCCTCTCCCCCATCAACAGTTTATGGATGTACCCCAAGTGTGGACAATCACAGCCTCCAGTATTAAACGTCTCCACAATGACTATTGCTTGACTGAGAAAACCAAGCCCTTATTTGCAATGTAAATCTGGGCACTCAGCAGGAATTGTGGGTCAAATACAAGAAAAATACATTGAATGTCATGATTTACTTGCCAGAAATAAATGACAGATTTAACTTGACTAAAGAATAAATCCTATTCTCAACCTATATGCCAGAGGCGAGAATGCTATCAACTGAGCTAGGCTGAGTCAGAAGGTTGTTGATTCGAGCGACACGTTGAGGCTTTGAGCTCATAGTCAAGGCTGACATTCCAGTGCAATATTGGGGAAACACTTCACTGTCAGAGGTGCTGTCCTTCAGATGAAACATTAAACTGAGGAACCATGTGCCTGTTCAGGTGGACTTCATGGCACAATTCAAAAAGTGCAATGTCCCACAAACAGCCATGAAATGAATGACCAATTTTATCTGGAAATTAGTTGGCCAGGACACTGGGAGAAGCTCCCTTCTTTTTTGAAATAGAAATGGAAAAGTTAGACGAGATCTCAATTTACCTCACCTGAAGGTGCCTCTAAGAATATCATTCTCCTCCAGCACTGCACTGGACTGTCAATCTACATTTTGAGCTCAAAGTCCCAATATGGAGCTTGAACCCATAATTTTCTGACATTGAGGTGAATATGCTACCAACTGAGCCAGGCTAAATTTTTGTTTAGTTTTATAGTGTATGAACAATAGAATTGTGAAGTTATTCTCAAAAAGATAGTTACATTTACAGACTTTGTTGTAACCGTTTGAGATGGTGATGAGAGTTGATACTGGCATTCGAATGGCAAATCTGTAAATTTACCAATGATTTAGCCTCTTATTATTTTCTCATATACAAAAAGTTAAATTGCCTGCTCAGGTGGTACAACACATTGTACCAGTGTGTGATAGGAGATTCCTTCAAGTTTACAAAACAACATAAGGACAAACCATTTACTCTAATTTTGAAAGGATAAATGCTGGGGATTACTTGTTAATGTAATTGGCAGGGTTGGGTACTGTAAGAAAATACAATACAATAGTACATATTTATATTGATATAGCGCCTTTCATGTCAGGAGAATATCCCCAGTGATACAGGTTCATAGCTATTTGATCACAGTTGGAGTGATTCTAAGGAGAAGTCAAGTACAGTGTGTTTACAAAATCCTGTTACCTCATGTTTTTTTCTGCAGAGCACTGACCAACAACTGAAACATGTGGAAGATTGATGATAATTGCATTTAGAAGTATTTAATTGTATTCAGTACAAGTGTTTAACTGTATTTAGACATCCAGAGGATCAGTGTGAGCTCCATCTTTTTATGGCAGATGATGATCCATCGTCATGTTCGGTGCAACATCTTCCGTAACATGGATGGAGTTAAGAGGAAGTTACTAGTACATTGTTATACTCGACTCACCTGGAACAAAAAATAAAAACTCATTGTAAGAAAAAAATACTTGGGTGCAACAGGACTTTGTAAATAACCTGTACATCCCCACAGTGAAGGGTAAGTAGAAAGCAAAGCAAGTAATCTGCTGATGTGGGTTTCTGGGCAGTCAGTTTCAGAGCAGCGATGGCAATCACTTGGGTGCAGGACACGACCACCTCACTCTGCTCAGGAATAGTGCTCAGTACAGAAAGACCTAAAGAGGAAAATAAAGATAAAGTACGATAGCAAATAATTTGTATTTTTTCTGGAGGAAAGTGCTAGTTTGTTTTGTTTTTTCCATTTCAGGACAAGTTTTTGGAAAACTATATAATTTACTTAAAAGAACTTCCCGAATGCGTTTCTATACTTAACATCTGCAGTGGAGATTCTCTCAAGTTTACAAGGCAACATGAGGTCAAAACCACTTTCTCATTTTTCATGGGATTTTTTCACACTTCAGTAATGCTGGGGATTACTTGTTAATTGCTGGTTTGGGGTACGGTAAGAAAATACAACAATACAAATCTAAATTTATATCACACCTTAAATTTCAGGAGGATGTCCAAAATGTTGGATAGTCTAAGGTTTTCACCCGAGCTAGGGGTGGGGGCCAAGAGAGTAGTGGGTGTCCAGGGGGGGAAGGATAACCAAAAGCACGGTTACAAGTCTTGAAGCGGACCTCGAAGGAGGCAAGTGGAGGGGCGAGTCGAAGGGACATGCTGAAAGGTGTGCGAGTACTTAAAGCAGGTCATTGCTCACCAAGCGACCTATTTGTAGGTTTTGAGCAGGTTTCAAAACGGTTTGGTATCAATTTCTTCTTGGTCAGCCAGGTGACTGACACATGCGAAAACTCACTGTGCTTAAAGAGTATCCAAGTAAGACTGAGATGTATTATGTATTACCACCTACACATGGAAATTCCCTGTGTCTGGAATCGAATGTGCACTTTCTCCCTGGATCCTGCTTACCTAATTCCAGAAAGTACAAGATCAGGTTAGCAAAAGCCAAGGCTTGGGGATCTCAGAATGTGCATGGGTTTACTGCTAAATTTTAATCAGCCCAAGCTGTATAGAAGTCATTGCCAGGACCATTCTACCCATTAGGACTTTGGGTTGCATGAGTTTAGTGGGAAGAATCCCTGCTCCCAGGAGCTAATCTGGGTTTAGAGTATTACGGACCCGCCTGGCTCAGGGAGCGGACTGGATTATGACATTCCATAGGGAATCATATCACCTTTGAAGTCAGTTTGGCTCCAAGGAGACTCCACTCTGTTTTCTTAAATTTAAGACATTTAAAACATCTCATATGTATTTCTGAAATATTTTTATCCTTCTGGTTTCACACTAATTTACATTCTTACCTTTTTTGAGGAATTCTAGCATGGAAATTAGTATTTTCCCCCAAATTGCAACATATCTTTTTTTTGTTTCTATTACTGTACACAAAGCCCCAGAGAGGGACAAGTGCAAATACCTTGGACTTGAGTTTGAGAATTATTCTTTCTCTCTATAGGATGACTGTGATGAGGTCAGGCCTGACCTCTTGACACTGCTCTTTCAGCCTGTTCAGCGGATCCCAGAATACGTTGTGCTTCTGCAGGTTAAGATCAATGACCATTATTATAATAATAATAATCCTTGTATTTAATATAGTGCCTTATCACATCTTCTAGACATCTCGAAGCACGTAAAGTGAATTGACTGCATGTTTTGTGGGTGAAATGCGACAGCCAGTTGTGCACAGCAGTGTCCCACAAACAATCATGGATCAAGTGACCATATATATATTTTTTAAGCAATTATTACCCCCAGAAAAGCGATCCGCCAATCGACTAACAACTGGGTTCCTACTTACTATGGTCATATAAGTTAAATGATACTCCTAGCAATGTCATTTCCACAAAGTTAATTTTCAGAGATATATAAATTGTTTTTGTTTTCATTGTATTTTTGCCACAGAATATACTAAAATACACAGAACAAAACCACCCAGATTATTACCTATTGCTATTATGCATCCAGCAGTTCCAAACCTTTATGTGTCGGTGCAGCCATCTGTTCCAATATAATGAAGAGCTGCTAACTCAGAACAGAGCAGAGTTAAAGAGGTAAGTGAGTTTCCAAGGTCATGGATTCCATTCCAAGGTCTTTGAATTTAAGATCGGCTTGACTAGAATTCAAATTGGCCCTGCCTTGTTGCCAGATGGACAGCAGTGGAAGGTTTCTTCTTAAAACTAAAAACTTGTGTTTGATATAGAATCTTATGAAATCGAAGTGTTTCAAAGCGCTTCAGACAGTGAGCAGTTTTTTGATGACTTGTTATTTGGGCAAGTACTGCAGTTTAGCTGTACCAGCAATGTACTACAGACAGAAAAGACATGAACGATCAATCAATCTATTTGGTGAATTGAAATGATGGAGTAATATTGGCCATGATTCCAGGAGAATCTCTATTATTCTTTCAAATATTCCCATGGAATTTGTAACATACACCTAAATTTCAGCTCATAATTTAGGTTCTTTTCCAGTACTGAGGGAGCATTACACTGTCAGAGATATGTCCTTCAGATGAGCCATTAAACTGATATACTCTATCTGATCTGGCCTTTATGGGAATGTTAAAGATCCCACAACAATATTTTTAAAGTAAGACAGGGAGTACACCCAATATCCTGGTCAATATTCCTCACTTAACTTAATTCATCAAAACCAGTTTAGCTGCCTGACTTGCTTGTACAAAACTATCACTACAAAGTAATTCGGCAGATAAATTGATATATCAAACGCAAAGGATTATTGTTATTGTCCAGTGGTTTGAGATGTTTTGACATGAGGCATTACCCAGATAAGAATGGTCATTAGTGGACAAACATCCTACACTGTTTGTAGGATGTTGCTGTCCACAAATTGGTTACCGCATTTGCCTACATAGTCACAACACTTCACAGTAAAATCCTGTGAAGCACTTTAAATGTTCAATGATGTCAAAAAGCACTGTTTCGAAAAGTTTATCAAATACATGTATTATTTAATACTAAAATAGTACATGGCTATAGAACTGATAAAATTAAATTTGATACCATAATTTAAACACAGTAAACTTTTAGACCACAAGTTCACGTTGCATTTGTGTTGGTCCAGTGAGAGATCCTACCCTATCACAGGGCAATGCACGCAAGTTTCCCTTTAATAAGGCTGATGTTTCAAAAGGGAAATAGATGCAGTAAATGTACTAACAATCTAACCTTATACAGCACATTTGATGCATTTTAAAACACTAGTGGTTTGCTGTGTTTTATCTTTTTGTAGAGGAAGTGTGCATTTTTGCAAAACGCTAATTTTGTGATAGACATAATTGGTAGAATGTGGCTATTCAGGCTTATTCCATGACTGTCGATGGTATAAGTAACTGGAGTTACTTTTGTTCATTTGGTTAGCTGCTAAACTCTTATTCATAATACAAAGAGCTTGTTTCATCAGTAACAATGAACTGCATTCACGATGCAACAGATACTAAACTCATGAGTTCCACAATCATGAGCTTATACCAGTTCAGTTTGAAAAGCCTCTGACCCTCATAACCTATACTAATAAAGTGTGTGTGTGTGTGTGGTGGGAGCTGGTGTGGTCTATCAGCCAAGATCTCAATACCTGATTGACATAGAGACATGATTTATACCTCATCGGAAAGGTCTTGCATGTACGAGTGTCGTAAGCATATTTGTTTGAAGGGATCTTCTATCGTTGATGAGATATATTAAAAAATGCTTTAATTAAGCCCCAAAATATCAGGTATGCCTGCAACAAAGTAGCTACAGAGAAAACCATGGGCATTTTTGAGGGGGGATCTCCTATAGTTATATAAAGTATAATAATGTAATATAAGGTATAATAATACTGAAATCTGCATTCCATATGGGATCCTTTGGCTGCAATGGGTACAGCTCGTGACTAATAAAATACAAACAAAAAATTAATCTGGAGAAAGTTCAACCGAGGCCCAGAAAAAAAAAGCCTGTGGCCATCAATCAATAACTAACATTCAAGACCAGAGAGGAGAGGATGAGGGGTGGAGGGAGCAGAGGCGCTTACTCAATGGCAGATATAAGAATACCAATGTGCATTTATATAGAACCTTTCGCGTAGGTCTCAAAGCATTTTGCAGAGATGGTACTTGACACTGAGTAGGGAAGGTGATAAGAGGATGGAGGTGACCATTGGCTCAGTTGAAGAGGTAGGTTTCAGGAGTTAGAGAGGGGGTGAGCTGGAAGGTTTTAGGTAGAGAATTTCAGAGGGTTGTGGCATAATGGCTAAAGACTTGAGTCATCCTGAGCTAGTCAGATATGAATTGATATTGGAAATCTTCAGGATTGTCTATTTCATTTCAGAATGCTGTACCACAAATTACATATCCAGTGTAATTTGTGAAGGTACAATTATTTATCGGCTTTGTTTTCACTGGCCAGAACTACCATTACACTGCAGAATTAAATAATTGTACCTTCTTGAAGCAAATGGTTAGCATCAGCACTGTTAGCCAGAGCTATCTGGTTTTCTGTCCTATCAGAGCCTCCTCTCACACCATCCAACGTGCACAGCAGTCACCATTTGAGCACAGACAACATTGACCCCAGGCAGGCAGGCAGGCAGGCTTCAGATAGCCCCCACTGCAGGACTGACAGCTGGGTCCAGATTTCACAGACTAAGAGGAAAAGTCCCATATTACAAGATTTGGCCATGCTCAGTGCTACTTTCTTGTGGCTGATGTATCCCACAGAGTTAGTGCCACTAAATTAGGTGAGAGCTTTTTTTAACCAACTCCACTGATATGATGTCACATCCACGATGGATAATAGCAATCTAATTTTGAGATAAGAGGGTAGAAAAGGAAGATCAGGAACAGGGCCAAGGGAGCAATATCAGACAGGTTCAAGGCAAAAGTAATCAGTTCATATAAACTGTTTTTATTTTTCCGAAATGTAAGAAACTTAAGTGCAGTAGTTGTACTGTCACTGGAGACCACATTGAATCCTTTGATTTAATTTATAGGGGAGAATAAATTACTATAATTAAGTCTAAGCTTTGACATGAAAATGCACTTGTATTTCTTTATTTGAGGCTCACAGTGCCACAGAGCAGGCTGAAGGTGTCTGAGAAGAATCAGTCCATGAAGTCAGATGAATGGGAATTCACACCTCAGAGATATGAGAGATTTGATAATCCAGACTACAGGCCATTTTACACCAGTGAGCTTGATCTTGGACCTAAATCATCAACACTGAAAAGCGCATTGGAGGTTGACTCTGAGACATGCTGTAGAGAAACAAGGGGTTATTTTAACTCAAACAAAGCAAGATCCATCATAGGTCCATCATGTCCTATTTGTCCATCTGAGACCTATGCAAAGAATTTTCCTGCAGATTATAAAACTTTCCTGAATAGAGGGGAAGGAGAGCTGGGGCATGAAGAGCAGGAAACCTCTTGCAATCCTGATGATGAAGAATCCATTCAAAACGCCTCTCTGTTAGATCAATGCTCCTTTGCATCTTCTGATTCTAGCCTTGATGTACGTTTTATGAAAACATTAAACTACATTCCTGCAAGAGACCCTGAATCGACAGGGTGTTCTCTAGTACTCACGCCCAAACACAGTGCCGTGGAAGAAGACACTGACGCCATCCACAAGCACCTTTGTTACGAAGCAGGTCATCCTGTGTTTAATGAAGCACAAACCGAGAATTACGCCAGGAACATTATGGAAAACGTTAAGATTCCAATTTCCTTATCATTAAGTAATATCGGAAGCCCTGCACTGAAAACTGAAGGAGCTTCCCTATCACAGATTAAAGGATCAATAAATAAAAGGCTGCAGAAGACAATCACCTCATCTTCAAGATCTGAGGTCGACAACAAACAAACAACAGATGTCTGGATGGAATTGGAAAGGGTAATTTAATTATTTTGGCTGTCTAATTTAATCATCCAGATTTACTATTGTTAAAATGGTGAAGAAATTCCAAACCAGTTTTACTGATATATTGATAACTATATAAATTTTGGTCAAATTTGGACCCTTTGATCGGAATATGCTTTTATCTTTTAAAAAAATTATCCTTTACGTATGGAGTGATAATGTCGTTGTACCTCCATCCTTCAACCACGCAAACCCACACCAGCCTCTCCCTTTACCCAGCAAACACCACCCTCCTTCATGTCCCTTCCCTATCCTCCCCATCATTGGCAGATGGGCTTTCCAACCATTCTGTATCCACTATCTGAAACTCCAACCTCGAGTCCCTCTGATTCCGATCTTCCCCTCATTCAACCACTCTTGAGACATTCTCCCAACGTGAAAGCTATTATATAAATGTAATTTGTATTGCATGTATTAATATTCATCTTATAGACCTCACCCAATAATAAGATGATTATCTTCTGTAAACACAATTGTCATAATAGAACATTTAAAAGATTTTTATTATTGTTTTTATTCTCAATTATATTTCAAAGAAATGTGCAGGTTTCGGTTTAATCTCTTATTTAAATAACATTTCTAACTCTCTTCTACTTGCCCTGTTAAACCATATATTTCAAGATACGATGCAATTATTATTATCCTTAACAAGTGTTATTTTAAAAGCACCTACACACAGGTGCTTTTATATATATATAAAACAAAGACAGCTGGCAGAGAGATTAAAGGAAAATGGCAGGAAAATATTATGACTCATTTTGTGACCCTACCCATACAGTCGGTATTGGCTAAGATCAACACTTCCTGAATGGTTCACTGAGTAAACCCATGGTATTAAGGTATTGCACGTCAAGATTCAACAATACTTACAACACAAAATTACATTTATACAGGGGATTTCACGTCGGGAGGATGTCCCAAAGCGCAGGACAGTCGGGATTTGGAGCCAAGCTGGAGGTCGGGATTGGGGTGGGTGGAGGGCAGCCGAAGACTTAGTTGAAGAGGAGGTTTTGATACGCATCTTGAAGGAGGCAAGGGAGGGAGCAAGGCAAAGGGAATGCGGGATGGAGATCCATAGGGCGGGGGCAGAAAGCTTGACTACCGGTGGTGGGATGGGCGTGGGACATGGAGCAGGACAGAGCCTGCTGAGAGGAGGGAATGGACAGGTTGATGTGGTCACCAGGTTGCAGAGATGGGGAGAGGCAAGGTGGTGGAGGGCCTTGAAGGCTAGGACAAGAATTTTACTCTATTCGCTGCATTTATATAGCGCCCCTCACAGAGGTATAGCATCCCAGAACGTTTGACAGCGGAGCACGACGCTGAGCCAAGGGGACTGTGGGCACGGTCGAAGAGGATGGTCTTCAGGTGCAACCTGAAGACAGTGAAGGAAAGGGCTAGGTGGAGGGATGGAGGAAGAGTGTTCCAGAGTTTCAGGGAGTAGTGGCTGAAAGTGTGGGTGCCAATGTGGAAGAGAGAGCACAAGTGACCTGCAGAAGGCCAGAGCCAATCAAGTGGAGGAAGAGGGTTGTTGGTTATGCAGTCGGAGAGGTAGGGAGGTGCCAGGGATTTGAAAACGAGTGTGAGGATCTTGAAATTGATCTATTCGACGATAGGGAGCCACAGTTCCTGCTCTCAATCATTCTGCAGTGATTAATCCTGGAACAGTGTTCATGTGTATGTTGGGTAAAGAAAGGATTGAGCTCTGATGACCGAGGATGAAAGACTCTGAATGTGAGAGTAGCTACAGCTCCCTACTTCCACACTCTTATCAGTCAATAACAAGGCTCCTTGGAATCACCATAATGCACAACCTCACTGACGAGAAAAGGAAATGTTCTAATAGTGTGCTCTTCCAGGTCCAGAATTCTGGCACTGCCACATCAGCACAAATGGAAGACATGTGTAAACTCTACAAAAAGGAAGTGAATGAGCAGACAGCTTACAGTCACAGCAGAAAACAAGAACAAAAAGGAGGCTTTAGGAATTCCTTTCGGAAGTTGTTCAAGAAGAAGTAAGAAAAGTTCTGTACTGTGATCTTCTGAAACTTACGTGTGCACATGCTATTTTTTTTAATACTTCAGACCTCAATCGTATTGCTAATCTTGCAAATATTCTAACACGATATCTTTATTAGTCCTCATTGCTATAATTGAAGAATATCCTTGTAATTTTAATTACCTTTGCTAATGGTCATGATTATTCTTTGAATGTAGTTAGCCTTTATATAAATTGCACAAGAGGTGGAAGCTCAATCTTCATACTGATATTATGGTGAGATGAGGGGAGGTCTGATCTCTATCGTTGATTGCTTTTCTTTTTTAAAAATTGAGGCAAAACTAAACTGAGTAACCCGGGTGGTGTTCTTCCTCACATCTGCTGTCTGCAGGGCCTTGCTGTGCAGATTGGCTGCTGGCTGCCTCGTTCGTTTGTGCACAAATGCAGCCTCTGCCCCGAACAGCAGTTTGGGGATTTCTATGTCATAGTGGTTAGCACTCTCAAGCAATAGGACCCGGGTTTAATTCCCGGGCAGCGCGAAACCTTAGGTGAGATGCGAAACCATAGCTGTGACCTTAATAATATAATAATCCTTGTATTTGATATAGCACTTTCCACGTCTTCTAGACGTCTCAAAGCGCTTCACAAAATAAGATTATAAAGTGTATATTTGTGGGGAAAACGCGGCAGCCAATTGCGCACAGCAGTGTCCCACAAGCAGTCGATTGAAAATGACCAATTTATTTTTTTTTTGTTTTGGAGGGATTATTATTAGGCTCTGTGCGGAGTAAGGAAACTTGCCCAAGGTTTCGCCCTCTGCCTGGAATTAAACCCAGGTGTCTCGCTTGCAAGGCGAGTGCTCTCACAACTGAGCTACAGAACTCCTCAGCATGAGCAGAATAAATTTCAATGTAGATCACGCACATCTACGGCTATCTGATTCTTGTTTTCAACATAATTGTAATTGAAGCTAAATTTAACCATGTCATTAAAACAAATGCATTATTACACATATACAGTATTTAAAGTCCTAAGGATAAACTAATATCTAATTTGCTTACAAACTCTACATAAGTTAGGCTTAAGTTTTGAAAGAGAACATGATCAGATTATATTTATTTTGATTTACTTGGACAGCATTAGATAATAATCCTTGCATTTGATATAGTGCTTCTAGACATCGCAAAGCATGCACAGAATATACTGTAAAATGAATTGACTTAATATTTGTGGATGAAACGCGGCAGCCAATTGCGCACAGCAGTGTCCCACAAACGGTCGTGGATTGAAGTGACCAATTATTGTTTTTTTTCTTGATGGATTATTATCAGGTGTGTGGAGTAAGGAAACTTGCCCAAGATAAGTGTAATAGACCACCCAAGAAGGTGATGGTAACAGGCTACGTCAGTAAATTCAAGAGGGATTTGGATAGAATGAACAGAATTGATTGAAGTGTTTTCATAGGTCCTTTCCATTCCTATGTTTCTATATGTGTAAAGAAATGGATCGCTGCTAACATCGTGACTATTTTTCAGATCAAATCAAAGTTGCAGCAGTTCTGAGACAAAGCACACACCAAATGAAAACCCTACCCAGGAAACCACAATGACTGCTGACCAAGAATTCCTTGCGAGGATTGCTCATGTGGATCATATTGACCGAGGCACTGCTGTTTAAATTTTACATTCAAATTTTGTTTTCTACAACATCCTACAGGTTTCCAGAGAACCAGTTGTGGCTTTTAGTGGCAATTAATTTATTTATTTTGCAGATACTCAAATTTGTTAGTCAAAGCAAGGCAGACGCTGCAAAATTAATACCTATGTTCACCTCCAATAATGTCGTGATCAGTTTATTCTGGATGGGTGAGGATTATGGATTATATTTTTCTTTCAAGATAGATTATCCATGTTTAGTGCTCCTTTTTAACTACATGATTCTCCAGTTAGGATTTTTGTAAATGACAATCTATAAAATTATAAATGACAATTTACAAAAATATACAGTCAATTCACTTTACATTCTGTGAAGTGCTTTGAGACGTGTCGAAGATGTGATAACCGCTATATCAAATGTACGGATGATTATTATTATATTACTTGAGATCTAATGTTGACACTTAGGCATCCAGAAACTAGAATAAATTGTAGATATCCACGTGTTTGTTGTAAAAATTCTTGAATACTGATACTGTGTTTAAAATGCCTTTTGGTTACTCATCAATTGACAATACAGTAGAATGCCAGTCACCCACAAGCCAATCATCCACATGTCAGTCTATCAGCAAAGGGATCAGAAGCAGAAGCATACATGGGGCCGGCCAAGAGGAACACCTCGCCCTAGTTGTGGGTGTTTATAACGTTATGTAAAATTACTGTTGATGCAATTCACACATCTTTGCTAACTTTGCACACATACATATCTCAATGTTTGTTGTACCGAAGGTTAGATTGTTATAATACACTGTAGAGATAAAGGTCACCAACAAAATACAGTGACTGCACTTTACAGTAAATTGTGTGAGGCACTTTGAGATATCTTCACAATGTGCAAGTCAGATTCAAGGGAGGCAGTAATTTTGTTGTTTTGTTGTGTGTGTCTATCGCTGTCTCTCTTTGTGCACGTACATGTCCTCCCTTTCTATGTACTTACTGAGATCAGATCTCTTCCACCTCGCTCTGCTCAAAAGAAAGCACAAACCAGGTTATATTGTGTGCAAGTAAAGTTCTCGCCTGTTAGGCAACAACTTCTGTATCAGAGAGACTAATTTTGTTTATGCTATCAAACTATTATCCACTTATTCAGTTATTACCTTTATCAAATGAATGTGAATAATTCTTTATATATACACACGCATACAGTAAAGATAAAAAATGATATAACTTTAAAGTTAATAATTGAAGTTATATAGTTTGAAGAGTCTCTGCAACCATAAGATTTCCCCAAGGGTAGATAGTTAAATAATATCCCTCTATTTAATACTTCAAAATTGTACACTTTCAACTGTCAAACTTCTAATAGTTTAGTACACAAAATAACTATTGTAAATATATATAGGTTCAAAATAAAAACAAACAATAGGTTTAAAAAGACTTTTAATATGCAGTTTTCTTTTTTTTATAAATTAAAAGGAAAAACAACATTTGACACCTGAAATTTATCATAACCATTTAAAGAGAACAAAACCTAATTACATACAAAATTAGGCAAAAATAATTCCCATTGCAAAGCATTCAAGGATTTACATACCAGTTGAAAAAAATAAGACACTTAAACCTGCCTTAAAAATACCCCCCCCTCCCCCCAAAAGGAGCAATTAATCTGGTGCAATACATAAAACAACCCAAAAAATCAAGTCAGTCTAATACACTTTGGATAAAAGTTTTTAAGGCAAACCTTTTTTTTATTATTGTGTACATTTGCTGTGGCTTGTATTTTGTAAGCCATTATGCACTTGCTCCCATTCTTTCTGAATACTACTTATTACTGTAATCAATACAAGGAAAACAAACAGCAATTATTATAATTTCAATGCAAAATGAATACTGTTATTCCTAGCATAGAATACAAAGTTCTACAGACATGGTTGAAGTACACAGGTCATGTTAGATGTGCCAGGGGAAAAAAAAAATACCACTTTGTTCTTACATCTGGTCAGCTTCACTTAACTGTTTACATGTAATTGAAGCTAAATTTAACCATGCCATTAAAACAAATGCATTATTACATATATACACATACAATTTTACTGTCAATATGTACATTTATAGCTGAAAGGCCTGTTCTCTGGTGAATATAACTCCTTTCAAAAAAAATCTTTAAAAAAAAATCTGTTCAAAAAGAAAATGAGACTAAAAAGGCACATTTGGCGCTGCTAAAACTGACGTGTGTGTCTGGCACAAACAGTACAGGACGCATTACTACATATTCAGTCACAATTAAATGACTTCATTTATAACCTTGACTTTCCAAACCAAGTCACCCAGGGAGAGTCTTAGATTTTTAAGTATCAAAGGTCACCTTTACTCTTTGCTGTGACATGCTGCAGTTTACTCTTCTATGAAGGAAGGCTTGTTCAGTTTGCTACTCATTAAAAGCATTTACTCACAAACTACATTATAAAAGGCAATGTACTTTAAAGGAGACACTGTACCTTTTCCAGACATACAGTTAGATTTAAAGAAACGCATTTACACTTTTTTTTCATATCCCAAGCTCTCAAAGAATATAAAATTTAAAAATGATGGCAGTACTGTACAGAATTAAACCAGCCAATAACTCTTTGAACACAATTAAAACTATATTAAATTTGAATTTTAAAATGAACAATGTATACTTTAAACAGGCTGGTATTTACTTAAAGCAAATTGCATGGATTTAATTTAATCCAGTCTACCTAGGCTTACAAATGGGATACAGTTTCTTTAGATCAGGTCGATGATGGGTGATGACTATGGAGTCCAGCCCATAGTTAGCTAAGCTTGCATGGTTAGGAAGTTTGGTTTTCAAGTGCTTTCTCTTAATTTCTAAATAGATCCAATTGGATGTGAAGAATGTTAACAGAACTGCACACTGGAATTGACAGTTTACAACTGGTACATATCCCTGAAAATAAAATCAACTGATCTGCAATCTCTTCCCCCAACAAACATTTTTCATTAAAATCTCCCTTTTAAGCATTAATAAAATTAGGCTCTAAATTTAGCTTTCCGTCCATTTACTGCTCTCCATAATGGCAAAACTGTTCAATTTACACACATGCTTATAATTCACGGGTGGTTTAACATGTGTTGACAGGCTTAAAATATCAATAAACACTGCACAAGGTTAGTTGGCAAAGGAATAGGATAATTCTTAACCAAATGATGATGCATAAGAGGTTTACAAATTTATGAAACTAAAAATACTTTTTTTTGCCCAGAGATACTAAGTAAACAGCCTTAATACGACACCTTTGCGATTAAAGTATTAAAGTATTTCATATCATGGTAACATATTTAAGACTGGTTTAACTTAGTTTTTGCCAAATATTTTTGTAAAAGAAATTGTTAAAATGTTGCCATTTTCCTTTCTTTGATTTAAAAAAAATTGAAAGATAAAAGGAAACATCAATAAGCCAAACTCTTGCTTAAAATAATTTAATGCTTATTTTGCTATTCTTGGGTCAAGATTTTGTAAAAGAAATACTAATTTGCCAGCCCTATCAATAGGTAAACTGAAACAGCATAGCCACTGATATGTCAAAGTGCTTAATGCCCTGTTGAAATGAGTTTTAGTATTATTTGGATGACCCAAATATGCTACTGAAATATTTTGAAATAAAGCATAATAATCTACCAAAATGAACTCTATTTAGCTACAGTATGTGTAATAGTTCTAGGTGATTTATTTATTCACTGTAGTGGCAATAAACTGATTTATTTTAAAATGAGCATGCATTAAGTGTATTTGTTCAGATCACAACATGTAAGCTACTGGAATGAAGACTTATCAAATAACCCAATTCAAAATATCAGAACATTAGGACTAATACCAAGATATGCTTTTAAAAAAAAATCAGTTCTGAGTTGATAAAAACAGCAATGGAAGGTTTGCAGTTATATCATGTGCTACATCTACCATTGCGTGCACTTTAAAAGCCTGACATTCCTGGTTCTGGGACTTGAAATGGTAGTCTATAGCATTAAAAACCAGGGAAACTGGTCAAACTTTTGTGACCTTAGGCTTTATAAGTATTTGTACTCAACAGGAGTACAACATGAAATTCATTTTGTTTCATAACTTATATTATACTCTGAGAAGAAATGCTAATTTTGACAAAGTTATGAATGGAGCTTTCTGTTTGAAAAATCTACTCTGGACCAACAAAAAGTGATGCTGTTTTGTAAAGAGAAGGATCTGTGGGAATCAATGTCTGGAAGAACTATCATCTCTTGTTGCAACAACTCTAATTAGCTATATAGTCTTCCACACCCTCTTACAAAGAGGTTGACATTTGAGGTACCGAGGCCGCTATAATGTTAATCGGGAACACAACACAAATTACTATATTTGAGAAGGTGACATTCCACTACACATTGTCTTTCATGCATTTTTCAGAGGATAATGTTGTAATGTTTCCTCCAATCTTGAATCACACTTTTATGGCTCTAAAGTCTATATTGAGCAATCCTAGATTCGATGACTTCCCTCCCTCAAGTCCCACGAATGAATGCAACATTTTCCATTTTCACAGCACTCTAAAGGTTACTTACATTAAGCAACACAATATAGTCCTAATATAATTTGGGCTGTAAAGACTTGATTCTAATGCTTCTACTTAGTTTGGTTAAATCAGTGGTTGAAATTACAAAACAGTTAATCTATAGATATTAATATGCACTATATAATTCCTTCCATTATGCCCTACAGACTAACCTGGCCCTAGGCATGTAAACATTTGCTCATCTGATTGGATGACAAGCCTAAGCTCTTACAAGGTATATCGCTTCTAAAAGTAAGGCATCTCTAATACATTTTGAATGTTGAAAACTTCAGATACTGCAAAGTTGATGCGATGGCGTAGATTATCTCGAGGCTTTACATCTTCTTTATAATAAAAGCACAGTTTAAAAGAGCAATATGTCAGAACTAACTGAAAATGTAAATATTAATATTCCACATTATGCTGCATCTGGGCTAAGTTCAGCTTGTTTACAGTGTAATAAAACCAGATCAAAATGTGTTCCCTTGTCTAATGAAGATGGGTGCTACATTTTCATTGAAGGATTTCTCCAGTAGAACTTGAGCCTCTACAAAGAACGCACCTCTTTGGTGTAGCAGGTACCCATATTCCAACACAAGTACTTCAGTTACTGTGGAGAGCAAACTTGTGTTTATTAGTCTAGGTACCGATAATGCATTTCCAGAAGTCTTTTTTTTTTGAAACACTTAAAATATTTAACCAAGGCATGATCATGTGAAACATCAAACCTCTTTAAGGTTGGAATGTGCAAAGCACTTTTGCACTAACCTCCTGTGGCTAGCTGATCCAGATTATTCCTCTTCGCTAAATATTACTTTATTACTGGCACTTAAAACTACATCTGTATTATCAGTTACCAGTAAACTCAACATGATCCAGTTTTTAGGCACAACTGTTCAGTTTGTTTTCCATTGCTCCGATAAAAACAGAAGTCAAATTGATGGAAACTCCACTTCAGTATTGACAAAACTCACCAGTTCAGGCATGAATATATCTTAGCCTAAAAAAAGTTTTCATTGTCCCATATTGCAATCTCAGCAATGTTCAAGAGACTGTAGTGTTTAAAAATTGCATCCAAATTAAGAGGAGTGAGCATTTTCAAGCAGAGGTGGCCCGTCTCGATGAAATGATGGATGTGTATGCTCCCTTTTGTATGTTTTTGGTGGAAGCTTTGGAATCGTTTGAGAAGTGGAGCTCTGTCTTGGTGGAACAGGTGGTCCAGCAGTGGTGGTGCCATCCATATCTTGTGGCAAAGGAGTGGATGGAAGGTGCCTGCGAGTTCCCAGAGGAGAAGGTGTTTGAGGAGGAGGTGGAATAAAAGGTGTTGGCGAGTTAGGGAAGAAAGTGTTGGGGAGCTCGTTCTTTCTACCCAAGGGTGGAGGCTGGAGAGGTAAAGGTGAGCCTGAAAATACATCTGGAGTTCGTACAGGTTCTCGGGGTGGTAAACTGGGAGGGCTATCTGGAGGCTCTGATATGGAGGACCTGTCTGACATCGGGTACCTCGGTGAATAGACTTTTGTTGTTGGTTGACGGGGTGGAATAGCAGGTGGACTATCCAAATGTTTTGACTTGATCTGAAATGGACAAAATATGGGCATTAGATAACCCATTAATCTAAAATCTTAAGGATGTTCATTATTCCCAAACTAATGAATTTAACTGCAAGCATGTTAAAACATGGCGACGTGGATTAATATAATAAACACAACACCTTGATTTCACTTTTTACTGACAAACCAGTCCATTATTTCAGGAGAATTAGAGTCCCCTTTTCTTTTTATCTATGATAATTACTAAGAAACGTATAGATTGAACAGGAGTTTCTAATGTGCTATTAGTTCTACCCAGCTAAGCACTTATGAAAAGATTTATACCTACATAGATACAAATATTCACAGTGTGTTAAGAAGTACAGGAGGTTGAAGAAATGAGCCAATACAGATCTCAACATTCAAATAAAAGGATGTAAGAATGCTTGTTAATCAAGAGGTTGTTCAAATCAGTTTGCCTAGTTTCATCTAAACCTAATTCTTAAGATATAAAATTTTGATACGTCATTATCCTTTCTCAGAAAGTATTAATGCTGTGCCATAAAGCCTGAAATTCNAAAAAAAAGCATACAAATCAGTACCGAACAAAGTCTGTTGTGTTAAAATGTCAGAGAGATTTAGAAAATGGCACAGGTTTGATACTTAAGATGTTTTGTAGATGTTTTTGTACTATCTTTTTCCATTTAGAAACAGTTGAATAGTTCTCGTAAACAGATGGTTGATGTGGTGATGTCAGACTGCAGGCTTCTTCACTTTTGCCATTGATAGCACTCAATTGCTGACAGGAGGTGTGACTTACTGACCTGCACAGCTCTTTTGCCTCAGAGATGAAACATTCTGCTACCATGCATTGCTCTCTAACAAGTCTAAATACCACTCAAGACTGAGATTTATTCCGTGAAAACCTGATAAAGAGCCCAATGCTCTGCTGCTGAGTGATTTAGGCTGTTCTAAAGTTTTTTAAAAAAAGTGAATTTCCTGTGTAATGTTTTAGATAGCTTACCTTGGACGGTGATGATTCTGCTGGAGCCGATTCAGGTCGTCTCCGTGGTGGAACAGGAGGAGGGATGTGAGCTTCATCAATAATTTTATTGCAACTTGTTATTGAAGAGATAGATACTGACCCTGTGATAGATGAACAATTCAATATTACTGAAACTTTATGTGCTCAAACAGTAGGTCTTAAGAAGCAAATTAATTTTGTTAGCAAATCCAAAACTGCCTTCAAAATTTATTGACAAATAAGCACTGTGTTTCTTCTAATGCATGCACCAAGTTAGGCAACCTGCAATCTGAATTACACTACAAAACTAGAAGCGGCAATATACATGCACATTGATGTTAGCTTAAACTAATGACTGAACTAAAAAGATATTAAAAGCAATAGTAGAAGCTTGAGTCTAGGTGCAAGGACAGTGCTATTTAACAATTTACTCTGAAATGCAATATTTTCATAAAAACAGCTGTTACAGTTTAGGACATCTTAGGTGCTAAATGTATGTAATTTAAGTATATCATGCAATCTTATGTTAAAATTAAATGGGAAATAATTAATCTAACTTTTAAAAACTTTAAAATATACATGGGCATTTTTGAACAAGAATCATTCTTGTATGGTAAGCTTGTTATGTTATTAAAGTACAGTCCTATTGAGAGAAAATCCAGATGCATATGAAGTTATAGGCATGAAGAAGAGCGAACATTTTTAATGTTCTAACATGCATGCTGTCATCTATGTTAAAATAAAGCAGCTTTTTTTTAGCACAAAGGACAGTGCATGGTCAGCTAGAAAAAGTCGTGCGGAGTGTTAAATATGCAACATTTAAAGCCCAATACTAACTTGCGCCATGGGGCAGTGAAACTGGGGGAAATATGATATCACTGCCTGTGGAAGAAAATAGAGAAAAACTAAGGAAGGTGCCATGATTTATCCATTTTCACCATTTGCAGATACAGCTATGTGCTTCTTGGTATTAAAGGCTTTTTAATTTTGTCCTCAACAAATCTGCTAACTGACATAGCGGCAATTCAGAGCCATTTCATTTAAATTTTAGCATTAGCAAATGCAGATGTATGAAATATAAGTAGACCAGCCAAAATATCTTGGGTTTGAATTTGAAACAAGTCAACCAATGGCACAAACAGATCCAATAAGAAGGGGATCTATGGCTGCAGAAGCACGTGGGTTGATTTGCTATTTGTTTCGCAGCACATCAAGTTACTATCACTGCAGTCCAGCAAAACAATTTCCCAATTTCACTTCATATCATTGTTTTCACTTTCTAATTCCTAATGTGCAGATGACTACAATGACTAGTTGTTAGTTTTAGCATTTACACATTTTTGACAAGAACATAAAAGAGCCCATTGAAAGATGCATTTAATTTGCTGAGTATAGAATAAAGCTCGCAAACTCAAAGTCAGCAGATGATTTTCAATGTAATGGTGTATTAATATGCTCTGCAAGGGTACAAGTTAACTCCTGTGATTCCCCAAACCTCCTCATCTTTCATAGAGGGCGAGGACTAGCTAAACAGAGATACTGAGTTTCCACAGAGGCAAGGAAAACAAGTTAACTGAACCAAACTTGGGATGCCTCCCCAAGGTGAAAATTTGCTAAATAAATATAATTTTGTTGATGATGAATTAAGCAGTTAATTCAAGAGAAGGGGAGTGATCGCCTGGTTATACTTTTAATGTACTGCCACACATTGATCCTCAGAGTAAAACATAAATAGGAATTCATAATGGCTTACTACAAATACAAATTCTGTATTTGACAGATTTCAGTGCATATTTTTCACTCATCTTCACACAGAAGTGCTCAATTTTAAACTCAGCAGCACATTATGAAATATTAAAAAGGTCAGATTTACAATCTTCCACACAAATTGTTAGAGTATTTCAGTTTTGTTGATTTACAGATCACAGAACAGTGGGTCTTAGACAAAACAAGGAAGTTGCTACTTAAGTTTGGAATCCTTCTCAATGCACAGCACCATCTATTGGTGCGGAAGATATTATAAATGTGACTCTCCTATAGAGATTAGCAAACTTAAGTAGGTCCCATAGTTTGAATGTATTAATCCTTCACATACCTGACAACGGAGACATATAATGTAATGTTTGGGAGTTGGGGGATACTAAATATCATTAAGAAGTTTTGCAAGTCATTCTACTTCAACTGTACAAAATTCTCACTCACATACCCATCTACAGCCGCTTTTAGCAAAAGTGTGTACAGTACCATCTTAGGTGATACTTATTCAATTAAGAAATAATTTGTCTAAGAAAATATATCTGAAGCATTCCAAGTCAGTTAGCAAGATACGGTAGATGAAGGTTAAATTACTATTAAACATTTGAGAAAGACAGCACAACAAACATGGAATTGTATTTAACTGTTTATTTCCAAGCTCAGAATATTAAGGAGGTTGGAAGCTACCTATTATTTGATGCTTAGGAGATGTCTTGCCTTAAGGATCAAAGCACTAAAATATCTAGGCAACATGGTTTAGTAATAGTGATTTCTCGATGGGCCAATTTTAAATAGAACCTAAAGATTTTTTTGTATTTGACACAAAATGACATGGCTCATGTACAATAATAACCCTTGCATTTGATATAGCACCTTATCAAGTCTTTGAGACGCCTCGAAGCGCTTCACAGAATACTGTAAAATTAACTGACTGTATATTTTGTGGGCGAAACATGGCAGCTAATTGAGCTTTTCAAACTGTTCATTAAATATATATCCAAAATATCTGAATATGCATTCTCAAATAAATAAACTGCCTGGTAACTGGAGAGTGTTAACTAATGTTTTCCAACGAAACATTACCTTTTTTTTAACCTGACTTGATTTACAAAAATCTTCATCACTGTTAATAACAGAGCTGCAGACACAAGTAGGTAGTGAAATTAGGTGTTTGATTTTCAAGGAAAATTAACCCCCAAAATATTAGATAAAAACTTGGAATGAGCTGAAAGAATGACCAAGATCAGATACCAAATAAAATATCGTCCAGGTTCCTTTCACAAAAACAAATATGGGGGTGATGTCTTGGGACGTTTAATCCATGAAGTGAGAGCCTTCAGGGACCACCAGATAAATGTCATCAGTTAGTTATACAGCTCAGATTGTGTCACAAATAAAAACAAGATTGTCCAATTGTCAAAGTTTATGGCTGTGATTTTTTTTATTAGAAACCATAAATCTCTTCCACTTTTTTTTAAAAAAGAGTCAATTCTGGATTCTAAGGAATTATCCATCTTTTCCTTAACAGGCTGCTTCTGTTAAGAACCAAACCGTCCTGGGAAAGACTCAAAAGTAACAGTAAAGGACCCAACAGATTGCAAGAAATCTAGCTGCAAAAGATTATGATGTGCTAAAGCTTTACAGTGCACTGGACAGACTGCGCTATCAACAACAACAACAAAATTACATTTATGGAGCGCTTTGGGAGTACAACATGCATTTCTAATTCCGCAGGTTACTTCAAGTAATAAGAAGGATGAGCTTAGATATCTCAAGAGAGGATCGTATATGGGATGCACAGGATGTCTAACAGAATAATGAAGTGAATCTGAAACAATCATTTCAGATACAACAAGGCAGCAGGAGAAGAGGGCAAAAGTTCAGGAGTGTGACGGGAAATACCAAGAAGTAATTCTTTAGACAGAGGGTAATTAACAGATGGAAAAGGTTACCATTAAAGGCGAAAGAGTATTGTACCAGGACACTAAATTCATTTAAGAAAATGCTATCATGAAAAGATAACCAGATGGGTATTACAGGAACATAAGATTAAATGGAATGAAAAGCCTTTTTCATCTGAACCACACAATACACCCATAAGATAAATGAATCCTCCTTTGATTTGGGGGTATCCACAGTTCTTTTACACATACTATTAACAAACATCTTCAAGCAAATGCCCCATGATAATGGATGTAAATCAGATGCTTGGTAAAGGGCAGGTAGCAAGGACTTTTAATCTTCCAGTAAGGAATCATCATAGACATTAAAACCTTCTGGTACTATAGAAACGTTTAGTCAAATTACCATTAATAGAGATATAGAAGTAGACTTCTAGTGTAGGGATAGGAGAAAGGCGAATAATACTATCAAGTGAAATCTATTGGTGGATTTATAGAAAACAGATAATATGATCACCCTTGCACTTAATATTAATATTGCACCTTATGTGAAAACATCTCAAAACTCTCATAGTAATTACTGTTAAATGCAATGACTATTTGTAGACCAACTGGCAGTCATTTTGCAAAGCAATGTCCCACAAACAACAGTGAGGTGAATGACTAATTTAATTGGGAGAATTTGCCAAGGAGTTGGCCAAGACAATGGGAGAAACGCTTTTCTTTTTGAATATTCTCCTAGGTTCTTTAGAGTCCATCTGAACAAGCAGAAAAGACCTTAGTTCTAACGTCTCAACTGAAGTAAGGTACCTTCAACAATGTAGTCAACAAATCCCTTGACACTGCAATGGAAAGTCATGCTAGATAGACTATGACAAAAGTCCCAGACTTAAACCCGCAAACGACTAACCTAGAGGTAAGAATGCCATCAACGGAGTCAAAATTGATATTGTCTAAATAAAAAACATAATTAGAAAATTCCAAGGTTTAAGTCAAGTGGATAAAATGATCTACCATTTCAGTTAAAATGTTGAAAGGAGATGCACGCCTGTTTAATGTTGTGTCTATTTGTAGGTCAACTGGCAGTGATTTTGCATAGCAATGTCCCACAAATCAGCCATGAGGTGAATACTATGAGGGTTTTGAAATGCTTTCATATACCGCCCCCACCATCAGCGGTCAGGCCTTCAGCTCTCTATCCTTACCCCTTGGAACTCCATCCCACATTCGCTAAGCCTTGCTATCTCCCTTGTCTCCTTCAGGGCATGTCTCAAGACCCTACTTTTCGACTGTGCCTATGTCTACACTCCCTGATCCCCCCCACCCCCCACCCCCACCACTCAGGTCCCAATCTGACTGTCCAGCACCTTTGGACGTCTTTCCGACATAAAAGGTGCTATACAAATGTAATTTTGTATAATAAGGTGCAATATTAATTTTACTACATTTAGCAGTAATTTCTGAGGGTTTTGAGATGCTTTCACATAAGGTGCAATATTAATTTTACTGCAAATCTTGTGGTAGGCAAGAAAATGTTAGATTTTTCTGGCTAAGGAACTTTGATCTTAAGACTTCGTCCTATGCAGCTGAAAGATTAAGCAGCTAAATGATTACATTTTGGAGACAGAATAGGTTTAAACACAAAGCAGATATTTAAGAGTTCATTTTTAAGTAATCTCTAGAAATACGTTTCAAATTTAAGAATAAAAATAAGTGTCAGTATTCATTGTTCTACTCATATTCAAATTCATATAAATTGGATTGAAACATTACTGTACCCCAGAAAAATATATAAATCAGATATGATGCATTAAAAGTAAACATGCTGTATTTTCATTTATATCTTTATAAAAATATATTAAAATTACGATTTTATAAAAATGTAATGATCAACTTCAACTTTTGAAAGCCCTAATATAGTATATCATTTTTTGCAGACTAGACCCCAGCACACCTTCAATTTTATAACTGAAGATTGATTATATTTTTAAATGCATCATACTGCAAGAATCAGCTTGTTGCAGGTCTCCTGGAAAAGCAAAGTCTGTACAAAAACATCTTCAATTAAATTTTTGAAAGGATACGTTGATTGTTGAGAAACAATCATTTTTAAAAGATCATTTTAAACTTGTGCTAAATATTTTGCATTACAAATCTATTTCCCATCAGGATCCACTGACTAAAAGTAGAGCATCCACTTTGGAGACTTTTTTTTTAAACCAAGCTATCTTCAGCATTAAAAAGGTTCAGTTCAGATTAGAATACAATTGCTGAACTAAACATCATGTGATTGATATTCTTGAGTATCACTCACACCAGACTATGAAGAACATGAGCCTCAATACACATTTGCAGCCCAATACCAAGATTTATGATCAGTTATTAAGTTGCATATGGAAATCCCCAAAAGTTTGAATTGAGGTGGACCTAATTCGATGTAGTATGGGGAATATTAGAAATGAAGGAAAAAGCTACAAACAGGAATGCTCCACACAGAAGATCAAATATAGTGCATTCGTTATGTCGAAACAAGAAAATATTCATGCTGAAGGGATGATTCTGCTGGATTTCTTGGGGATTTTTTGATGATAGATTAACAAATAAATACTTATTTAATAACATATTTATAGAGAAATGGTTAAGTTCCTTAAATGCCACAGAAAGTCAACCATTTGCACATCTGATGTTTAGTTGCAAATCTGGTTTTGATTTTCTGAGGCCAAACGGTTCTAAAAGTTCCCGGTAAGTGACGTACTTGAGTAGAATGGACTAGCTGGGTCGGAATCGCCAAACACGCTGCAGATGTCTGTGGAGCTTGATGCTGTAGAAGCAGGGGGTGGCGTCAGGGGTGTACGTGGAGAATTGGGTGCTGAAGCTATACTTTCGGTCTCATTGTCCGTGATTCGGCTATAACTAATTTTTCGTGGTTCCTGCTGTAGTGGTGTAGGATGTACACGGGGATTGCTTGATGCTGGATGTTTCGGGTTAGATGGTCGGACACCAGGAGACTTCAGTGAATAACTAAACTTCTTTGGCTGTAAAACATTAGAGTTGTGGAGGTAAATTAGAATGAAGTACATGGTAAACATACAGCCAATGGAGCTATGGCAAACAAAACATCACTCCTAAAAACAAGTGTGGGTGGAATCCTAAACACACTTCTAGGTTTAATGGGTATTAAAACATATAAATTTTTAAAAATGTCTAATACACAATGTAAAACAGAATTAGGAGCAAATCATTCAGTGTGCAATCAATATATTGGAGTTTATAAATTGCTTATTAAAAAATGTCAGTGTAAAGCTGCAGTGGGAGAAGAGAGAAAACAATGGAGATGTGCATTATAATAATAATCCTCGCATTTGATATGGCGCTTTTCACGTCTTCTAGACGTCTCAAAGCGCTTCACAGAATATACTGTAAAGTGAATTGACTGTACACTTGTGGGCGAAATGCAGCAGCCAATTGCACACAGCAGTGTCCCACAAACAGTCGTGGATTGATGTGACCAATTTATTATTGTTTTTTTTTCTTGAGGGATTATTATCAGGCGTGTGGAGTAAGGAAACTTGCCCAAGGTTTCGCCCTGCCGGGAATTGAACCCAGGTTTCTTAGTTGCAAGGCGAGTGCTCTAACCACTGAGCTACAGGACTTCATTATCTTAATATATGCTTAAAATAAACATTAAATTTCTTTCTAATACTTATGTATGGTATAAGATGGTACGCATGGAGCTCATGAGGAACAACAAGCTCAGAGAAGTAATGACCTTAATATAAAGACAAAAGAAGCTTCAATATCGAAGGAGTATTGAATTGTTAAAGTGCCATTCTTTCAATGGGACATTAAACCCAAGTCTTGTTCTGTGGTTCAGTTGGGCAATAATATCCTGTAGCACAATATCAAAATAAAGCAGGGAATTACTGGCTAATATTCCTGCTTGATTCAAATTCATCAAAATGAGATTAAGTTCAAGTGAACTCACCTCATTACTGTCTATGGCTAATTAATTAATAAATCTAATAATAGGAATTGACAACAGTCACTACACTTCAAAATAATTAGTTATCCTTCTTTCCCCACATCTGGTCCCTGACCAGAACTGGTTTCTTCCACCTCCGCCATATTGCCTGACTCCAGCAATACCTCACTCCACAAACTGCCCAAATCCTTGTCCGCGCCTTTATCACCTCTCGGCTGAACTGCTCAAATGTCCTGCTCACTGGTCTCCCCTCCCCCACTATTCAACGCCGCCCGCACTAAACTCCGTACCCCAATTACCCCAGTACTTGCCAAACTCCACTGGCTCCCTGTCAGAGCAGATTGACTTCAAGATCCTCACTCCAGTGTTTAAATCCCTCCATGCCTTGACATCCCCCTATCTTTCCAACCTATTCTTTTCCTGCACAGCACTACCCGCTGCCTCCGCTCTACTGGCTCTGGCCTCCTCCTTGTCCTTCAAATCCTATGCTCCACCATCAGTGGCTGTGCCTTCAATCACTATGCTATGGAACTCCCTCCCTCAATCCCTTCACCTTGTCCCCTCTTTCCCCATTTTCAGGTTGTGCCGGAAGACCTTCCTCTTCGACCGCGCCTATGGTCACCTTCCCCCTCCCACTGGCTTGGCATCAGGCTCCACCATTGTTAAGTGCTCTGGGACGTTGCCCAGCGTGGAGGGCGCTATATAAATGCAAGTTGTTGTTGTAATTCATTGTGTGACGTGCTGAGATGCTTCAAAGTGATGAGGCACGATATTAAATGCAAGCATTATTTTATTAAAGGTTGGATGCTGGAGGTGAGCTATTAGATAACAAGGTTGTCCTTTTATCTTGTACAGGAGTGTTATGGAGATACTAGCAGATCCTCTCCAAATGAGAGTATTATTCAAGTCTTAAACACACTTATAGAGTTGAGTGTCATCAAGTGAAATAGAAGTGTTTTACATAAAAGGTTTAACCAAAGTTATTGCGATCAATAAATGAACACCCAACACTAGTACAACTATTAAAGATGAGCGACAATAACGTTTGGTTGGACTAGCAGAAGGTCCTCAGGCCACTGAAACTCTTGTTCATGCCTTCATCACCTCCAGGCTCGACTATGCAAACGCCCTGCTTGTCGGCCTTCCCAACTCCTCCCTCCACAGGCTGCAGATAATCCAGAACTCTGCAGCCCGTGTCCTCTGTCGCATCAAACTCCGTGACCCCATCTCCCCCATTCTCGCCCGACTCCATTGGCTCCCTATCCTTCAGAGGATCCAGTTCAAGATCCTGGTCCTCACCTACAAAACCCTCCATGGCGTCGCCCCACCCTAACTCTCGACCTTCTAATCCTCTACCAACCCGCCTGCTCCCTCCGCTCAGCCGGCTCTGGCCTGCTCCACGTCTCCCCACCCACCTGCCCCACCATTGGCGGGAGAGCCTTCAGCCACTCTACCCCAAACCTCTGGAATTCCATCCCCCTATCACTCCGCCGCACCCCCTCCTTAGCCTCCTTCAAGTCCCGCCTCAAGACCCTCCTCTTTGACCATGCCATCGGCCACCCCCCTTCCCTTCCCCTCTTCCCCGACCCCAGCTTGGCTCTGAAATGTTGTACACTGTCCAGCGCCTTGGGACGTCCTCCCGACGTGAAAGGCGCTATACAAATGTAATCTTGTTATTGTAGTACAAAGATGGGTCTTCAAAGAATTGAAAAACAAGGTTTTCATTGCTCAGTTGAAGAAATCAAAACTTATTGATTTAACTATTGCAGCAAGGGGAATGAAGGCTACTGACACCAAAGGGGAATGCAATCTGAAGGGTACTGATAACAGCAGAATGAAATGAGAAAAAGAATCGTTAGGGCTGGATGATCATTAAGGAGCTATGGTGACAACAGGATTGAATGCTGCTGAGAATGGAAGCAAAAGTATGCTTCCAGAACAACCTGAATGGCTCCAAATTTAACAAAACAGTTTATATGTGCTTTTCTCCCATGTAGATAATTTATTCACCAGCATAGCTACAATGAATGAGAAAAAATGCTCAGCTCGTACTTTTTTTAAAGAAATAATACTTACAAATCTAGGTAACGTCTTGGCATTTCGAGGTTCTATTTCCAATGACTTATTGAACAAGTAATCTGTAAATTCTTTCTCCAAACTGCTTCCCATTGGATTTAAGTTTTCAAAAAATTTCTGTAAAACAAAGACACTCATTCAAGAAGAGTATTGAAAATAAATTTTGCAACTGGCTGAAATGAAGTTTAAACAAGCATTGGCTAGTGAGTGGAAAAAGAAAAAAAATCAAACCAGTACTTTGCAAGAGAATGGGTGGGAGAACATTAAAAAAACATGTTTGTCACCCATTATATTTATAATATTTACTTCATATATATAACTAGTATCTAGTATCAAGCCTTCACTTATAATTAAACATTTATAAACAGGATTACAGTGCTGAACACAGCTATCTGTTGGTTCCTCATCTCAACTGAGCAGCTTTGTCCATTCTGGACTCCACCCGGGAAATTTTTCTCTCATGGGAAAGGGTGTTCGCCTTCAGGAAAAACAGTAAACACGAACAACAAATGCTGGAACTTGCAATGGTTTTATGCAATCTCACCTCACAAATTTGACTGATACAAGTGCTCCAATGCTAGCAAGTTAGCAAAAAAAGGAAATAATTGTGGCTTTTAATTCCCCTCTCTACCACACAACAATTATTTCTATAATTTTGATTTTTTTATTGATCTGCTGCAGCACAAAATGTATTCTTTTTTCTTCCACTTCCCTTGGTGCATTGCTGTGTGCAAATTGGCTGCTACGGTTGCCAACAAAATACACAGGCACACCACTTAACTACAAGACATCTCAACGACACAGGGCGCTATATCAAATGCAAGCACTATAATTGACAATAGCTCACCTTGATGTCCTGTTCCACTCGTAAGCAATACGGCTGGTTTTGGTACTGTTGGATTTCTCCCGTTATTTCTGCCACTTTCCTTCTCTTACTGAAATTTATCAATTCTTTACCATGTCTTTTCAAGAAATCGGGGTTACCTTCCTCGGTCTTCAAAATGTTAGTCAAATATATTCCTAATACATGAAATAAGCTCAATTACTTGAATTAATCAGTTTTCATATATGTATAATCAAATAGACATTCAAAACAATCTATGTAGATCTTCACATGAATGTTCAATGAATAAACGTCATTAAATAATTTTTCCACCATTATTTGTTAGAATAATGTTCCTTTGCTTTAGATCTTCCCTAGCTCCACACACCAAGGCTGATAAAATTAACCATTCTAGAACGGTTACATAAATAAGCCTCAAGTCCTCTTCCTATTCATCAGAACTTTCCCACAAATTATCCAGTCAATTTACTTTGCAGTATATTCTGTGAAGTGCTTAGAGACATCTCAACAGTGTGATAATGTGCTATATTAAATGGAAGGATTATTATATTATCATCATAAAATCATTGTCCAAAAATGCATACAGTAATTTCAAATGTAGCCTTACTGATTTAATGGGTCCCAAGTTAAAGTAACTTGTTTTGGGTTGTACCCAAATGGTTTTGAAATGGAAATCCCCAGAATAAATGATTCATGTTGAGAAAATGTTCTATCCTACATTCCTAAAATAGTTATTCCACTTCCAATATACTTCTGACACCTCTTCTCCCCGGCCTGAGTCATTATTCTTGCAGCTTTTCTAGAATACTAAATCTAATAACATTGTAATTATCAGAAACCAAGTGTTCACCTACTTCTAAACTACCAATCAGTTCTCGTGGACTGCTAAGTATTAAATCTAGTATGGAACCCATCCCAGTATCAGCCTGGCTCAGTTGGTAGCACTCTCGCCTCATGAGTCACAATGTTGTGGATTCACGTCTAATGACGGGACTTGTCACCCATATGGTTTAAGCTGACATTCCAATGCAATGCTGGGGTGTGCTGCATTGTTGGAGGTGTCGTCCATCGATTGGACATTAAACAGAGGTCTTGTCTGCCCGGTGAACATTAAAGAGAAAGGAGTTTCTCCCTGTGTCCTTGCTAACAATTCCCCAAATATAAATTGGTCAATCAATCACTCACTTCACAATTAATTGGGGATATTGCTGTGCAAAAATTGGTTGTCATGTTCACTCACAAAATACACATAGCCACACCACTTCACAGTATATCTTATGAAGTACTTTGTGACATCTTGAAAATGTCACAAGCCACTATATCAAATGCAAGGATTGTAAGGATTGTAAAGATTATTATTGTTATCAGAGAGGGAAACATATTGGGATGCCAATGTAACCAAAGTCAGTAATTGTGTTAACTGGGATGGGTTGAACATAGAGAGTAAAGGAATAAAGCTCACCAAAGAAAGGTACACATGGAGGGTTGATGGACCTGAGTTTGGCCAAGTACTTTTTATAGTGATCCTCACTCAGTTCATGAGCTTCCTCTAAAATCTTCTTCTGTCGACTTGGTATTTGCTGTGAACATAAGGAGTAAACAACATAAGAATGCAGAATGCAGAAAAGAGGGAAGTCCAATTGTCCAATTTAGTATTTAGGTCATTTTTCTAATCAAAACGTATCCCTGTAATGCTTTCTGAATCTAAACTGGACCCAATTCACTTATGAATGTTTTAATTGTCTCTACTTTCTGAAGTAGTCACGAATATAAAAGGATGTGCTTGATTTTAAGTTTGAATCTGACAAAGTTATTCTACATGCCAATGTGTTGTTAGTACTCTTGCTTCTGAACGTTGTAAGTTCAAGACCCACTTTGAGCACGTAGTTTTGTCTGACATTCCAATTCAATGCTGTATTGTCAGAGGCTCTATCGTTTGGATGAGACAGCAAACTGAGGTCCAAATTACCTGTTCTGGTGACTTTAAGAGCCTATAGCATTATTTGAAGAGTTGTTCTTTTGGTATAAACACTAACAATTTCCCAGGTGAAAAAAAAATGATTGTTCACTTTACGACTGCTCGTGGGACACTGCTGGGTGCAAAAAGGCTATCATGTCCACCTACAAATACAGTCACTACACTTTACAGGAAAACTCTCTGAAGTGTTTCCAATTTGACATGGTGATGCGCTATATCAAAAGTAAGGATTTTATTATACTTTGTGGCTTCCTTGTCCTTTGGTTCTTACATCAACAATACATATTCCTAAACCCACCTCAACTATTCCCTTAGATATTTGAAAGCAATGAATCCGAATTAGAAAAGAGAGAATGAACTTCAATAGTTATTTGCTTTCCAGAAACCTTCATCTTGACTAAAAACACCATATCAAATTGCTGTCCTCTCAAAATACACTTTGAGGAAATACATATTTCCTCAAATACAGTATGTTTACAAGTATGGTTACTTATTTGAGGAAAGATAACTAGCTTTCAAGAGAACGTTATTGATTGAACCCATTCTCCATTTTTAATATCAATATTTACAACATTTCTCAATATTAAATGCCATTTGTGATTCATCTGATCAGCTTCTGAATCTCCAGAATTCTCTTATTTGACCACAAATCTTATTTAATTTTAATTCAACAACAACCTGCATTTATTTAATGCCCTTCACGTGGGAATGTTTTCGAGCGCTGAATACATTCATCTTTTAAAATATTAGGAAAAATAATAGATTTCAGGGCTGATTCTGTAATTTTGTACTTTGGTCACAGCTGTCCAGTTAGAGGTAGCACAACATATGAAAGAAAAATCTTCTCCAGTTACATAGTGCTTGTCAGACCTCATTTGGAGCACTGTGTTCAGTTTTGGGAACCCAATCTTAGGCAGGATATACCAGCCTTATCTGTCAATTTAGCTAGGTTATCAAGTGCATATCAAAATGTTTCTGCAAGTTTAGACATCAAATATCAAGCATAATGCTGTGATTCACCAAATTGGTTACATCTGAAGAATTACCATTAAAGTTCAAATCCTTCATCAGAACGTGGTATTTATATTTTGTATGAAGTTTTGCATTCTGCTCATTCAAATATTCCTTGGCATCTCATCATACATTTTACACTTGTTTGAGCAGCATACAACAACAACATTACACTTGTATAGCCCTTTCACGTCGGGAGGACGTCCCAAGGCGCTTTGAGCATACCTCAAAGGTGTGATCCAGCCTATAAACTGGAGATGAATTCATAGCGCTGACCACTTCCAGCACTCCATTAAAGTTGTTTACTTCCTGAAAAACTTGCAGGATTTCAATTATTCGACTGACAACTGTGACTCTTTCTTCCAAGTTTTCAGTTTCTACAATACATCTGAAGAAAAATACACACCCTTCTTTTAATGACTTAAACATATACAATATGCTATAAGTTATATTAATAAATGATAAAACTGCAGTTAAAAATAACTTATCTTTTTTAACGTTTAATTAACTATGCCTACAGTATACAACTGTAACTACATAACATCCAGTACTTCCTCAGTTAGGACTGCTTTCCCTGCCAGTTGGGGCTTAGGCTGGCAGGATTGAGAACATGTAAACACCTCCGAGTCTGATTGGTAAAACAGACAGGCTGGGCAATCATCAACCGTGCCTTTATTACTGCAAACTTACCTGGCTTTGCAAAGCCCATCTTCTCAAAGCCAGTTGAACTCCAAGAATTTAAAAAAAATTCCAGACTAAAGTTGTGAAGATTTCTGTCCTATAGAATAGCTACAAAAGCACCTTCAGTAAGGTACCATGTAGAGGGTATATCCCGCATACTGAATATAGTCAAGATTCTCAATTACCAAAGGAAAATATTTTTGTTGGCAAAATTCCCAGTAATTCTTTCCCAAATTCAAATTGTAGATTGCCTAGGCACCTTCAAATAACAAAATTATTTTAAGGTAACCAAAACATTGCCGCCAATACAGAATACATATATAAAACAATGTTTATACAAACTTATTACTTACTTCTCAAACCACAAAGTGAGATTAGTAGTGTGCCTGATCATCTTGAGAAGGTTTGGAGAATTTATTTCCTTGTCATCCTTTGTCCAAACACTTCCTACTAGTTCAGAAGGCTGTACAGCTCTAATATTCAGAAACAGAGCATTAACTATGTTTTGTTTAAATGGACCAAAGTAACTCTATTGAATGGGCAGTAATTTAGAAATGATCAGTTCATTTAATATTTTTTAATTTACATTGCACTTGATAAATGTCCCATAGGATCTCAAGAGTTTCACAGTAATTATAGTCACGAATACAGTTTTGTGAGCAAGCAAAGTAGCTATGTTGCACTCATTAATGTTTCGCAAATAGCCATGAAGCAAATGATCAATTAATCAGTAAGACTGGGTCAGCTGGGCACATGGAGAAATTTTTGAAAAAAAACTTATTGAACAGTTTCAACTAAAATTAGTAATATGAAACCATAAATAATTTCCTGAACACTGCTTGCCCAGAAAAAAAATCGAGTCAATGTTCTTAAGCAAAAGTAAAACAGTCTTCAAGTGATTGAGAAAACAAATTAGAAAATGATTGCAATTAATCTTTAAATTCATAATCATAAATAATCTAAAACATATTAGCGAGTCAAATTAAAAAACTTTTGAACAAAAATGGGTATTTGTAATTTCAATTCCAGAAATTATTTTTATTAAAAAAATAAACATAATTGTTTTATACAGAGGATCACAAATTCTCTTGTTCTACTGTGTAACATATATGATAACATATATAGACCAAAAGCAATAAAAATAAAATGGTTTACCTATAAAGGTCTGATTCTAATAATGTTAGCTGCCGTGCAATTTCTATTGGATGCAAAGTTAGCAGATCAAATAATTCAATTTGACCAGGCCTACTTATATGCCATTCTATAGGAGGTGGCAATGTTTCAAATGTAATAGCATGGCCTGGTCCATTTGCTTGTGCTTGTTTTTTCCTCTGGATGATTTTAGTAATAGATTCAACCCATTTCTTCATGGCTTTACCTGCATCAGAAAATAGAAGGAATCATATTGATAATCATGCTGCTTTTACAGTCAATGTATTTTTAAAGTTGCATGTACTGATACCAAATCATGGCCCCTTACCTCTTACTTTTCCAATGAAATTTTCTAGACGACTTAATAGTTCTGCGTCTCTTTCAAAGTCATAGAAATGATGTTCCACCCAATGCCGACATACATTCAGAACTCTTTTAGACAACAGAATAAAAACATATTTAAATCTCATGCTCAAAAGGAAAGAAATTTGAAAATGCATTGTGATGTTGAACACACTCTCAATATAGTCCAAATACCTACAGAACAGTGACAACACATCTACTCTACTATATCAATGGAAAGAACCATAACATCTACCAGGTGACATACTATTGTACAGCGCAGGAAGGGAAAGCCACATAAACACCTTCAAAGTATTTGGACATCAAAAATGGGTTCAAGGGAGCTACTTCAGCAGTGATTCCCCAACATTAAATAATCAGAAAATATGCTTACATGTGAAGTCTTCTTGGAACTGAATTGGCTCCAAGGTGAAATAGCAAGACAATGTCAGATTTGAGTTAATCCTCAAGGTCTTAAAATGGGGACTTTCTGATGTGGGGAAAGCATGTTTGGCAAGCTTCCTGCTGCTTATCCAGAAATCAGACTAGTCTGGTCTACCAAATGGTTCCGTAGTGCTCCAGGCACTGCGGATGACAGATCAGATAACCAGGTTCATCGGTAGGACAAGGATTCTTCCAATTCAGCTTTTGGTAACACTGCAAGCTAAAGCTCTAAATAGGATAGTTCCAGCTGGATAAGCAGCAGGAAGCTTGCCAGAAAGTGCTTTCAACTCCAAGCTATGTGGTTTTAGCTGGTTAAACTCGAGCAGAACTTTAATACATATTTACGGTCCCCACGTCTTAGGTCTTGCCAACCTCTGCCTAATCTTCTCTGGAATTAGGTAAATAGGATGCGCCCCTCTGGAGAGAGAGCCCTTTCCATTCTTGACATGGGAATTTCCACTTGTAGGTGGTATGCATGGAGTTAAATAATGTTCTTTGCACTTGATGCAGCGCCTTTTGCATCCGGAAGACTTCTCAAAGTGTTTCACAGGATTTAGTGTAAACGATAGTGACTAGGTTCTGGTGGTAAACGCCCTTGCCACTGTTCTTGTAGCAATGTCCCACAAACAGCCATGAGGTAAATTACTAATTTTGTTTGGGGAGATTGTGGCCAGGATGCCCGGAGAAATTCCCTTCTTTTTCAGCTTGTGCCACCAGATCTTTAATAGCCTTGTCTTTTCCCCCAACACCACTCCACACACGCACTTGCAGTAGTCTAGGTAAGGCTACAGTGTTCGATCTGCAGTGTTTCCAGGTTCCTCTCATTAGCCCTAGGACAATTTGAGTTGTAACCTCCATAAAGTATACTTATTCTCCAGTAATAGATTTGTAAGGTCAGTTGTGTATTTGTAATTAATCTACGGCTGCAAAGTACAAAGTGTCTTCTGTTATCAACAAATTTATATAGACCTAATAAGAAATTGATTCAAGTAGGTTATTTTGTTAGGGATTTTTCCTGTGTTTGCATAGGTGTATGCGGATGCCAGTAAAATCATTTTTGTAAATGAGCACTACAGCCAATTTGTGCACAGCAATGTCCAACAAACAGCCATGAAGTGAATGGCTGATTTTATTTGGTGGATTGTTAGCCAGTTTAATGTTAGCCAATTTAACGTCACGTCTAAAGGATAGTGCCTCTGTCAATGTTGTGCTCCCTGGCACTGCATTTGAGTATCATTTTAGATGGTGAGTTTGCAGTCCCAATGTGGGGTCTGAATATACAACCTTCTGACTTTTAGGCTTGTGTTCCCGCTACAAACCTGAGCATGATAACTGATCTCCTTTGTCCGACCTCTGTTCTCTGCTGGGATTACCTTAACAACCATTTGCAATGAAAGACGCTGACTAATTCACGAACACCCGGGAATGAGTGCAACTGACAATTGCATATAGTACCAAATGGAACAATTCTTATTGTACAATATTGCAATTTTTAAAAAAATATCCTTTGGCAATTTTCAATCCAATTTTTTTTCTTCACTCGATGTTGAAGTGATAGAATGTTTGACTCTCAAATATAGGAAGAAAGGTTCGAGCTCCTATGAGACTTATTTTTTTCAAGAAAAATTCTACAGAATTCTTACCATGAGAACTAGGTGAAAAGATTATTCTATTATTTTAGTGGTGGTTGAGAACTTCCCTTTCTTTTTTTAAAAAGGAAGTTTTCAAATGCCTTTAAATTGATTCCTAATGTATTTATTCAGATGGAGAATTAATAATAATAATAGTAATCCTTGCATTTGATAAAGCACTTTTCAAGTCTTCGAGACGTCTCAAAGCGCTTCATGGAATTGACTATGTATATATATATATATATATATGTGGGCGAAATTGTGTGTTCAGTGAACGTACATTGTGATGTGTTGCTGCCCACCATCCCTATGGTTATGTGCATGTGTGCTTCTCGTCTATCAAAGAATGCATTAAATGTGTGGATCTTTATACCAGTATTTTAATCTTTCAGTCAGAATGGGAGCACCATCATTGTTCAGGAAGTATGTGTAGCTTTTTTTTAAAAAAAACCTTGTTTTGAGTGTTGGTCTCTGAATGCACCATTAAAGGTTTTTATTTCTGAGCTAATAGCAAGTTGGGACTCAAAGGATTGCTGTTTAAAAGAGCCGGCACAGACGCAACAGGCTGAATGCCCAGCTTTGGACAATAAATTTATATAGTTCTAAGATTTTCCCTTTGACTTCCCCCCCCACCCACCTGCCAAAAAAATGGAGCAAATTCTAGAAAAGTCAAACTCGTCTGTCTGGGGTTAACAGGCTATCTGTCCGTTATTTAAAACCAATGGATTACAATTCATAACTCTAACCCTCTTTCCTATTTAAGACATTTAGAAGTTATCTCTGAAGAAATCAGAAAGACTTGGATTTGCTCAGAGGATATTGTAAGCCTGTTGCTCTTGTTTTTCTTTCTTTTGCTAAGATCAAAGAAACTTTTTTTTCAGCTTGGTGAGTGAAAGCAAACTGCTTCTCACAGCCAGCTATTGTTTGTCTTTATAAGGTTAGTTGTCACGTCAGTTAACTGATAATTACAGTTTTACAGAAGTGATCTTAAATATTCTTGTCCTTTTAATCGTTTGAGCTGCCTAAAAGCCACAGTCCATATCGGCATCAAATAGGTATAATTTTAAAGTCGATCATTTTAAAGTACAGGAAAAGATGTAGAGAAGATAGCCATAAGTGTACCCCAAAGTAGGTTGTACTGACAATTGAGCAGTACACTCTATTTCTTAAAATTAGTTTCTCTTTCAGATGAGAGTTAAACCGAGGTACCATCCACGTGTTCAGCTGGACGTTAAAGATCCTGTGGCACTATTTGAGAAATGAAGTGAATTCTCCTGGTGTCCTGGCCAACGTTCCTCAAACTCAAATTGGTCATTCACTTACTTCATGGTTGTTCTGGGACTTTGCTGTGTGCAAATTGGCTGCCACGTTTGCTTACAAAATAGTCACTGCACTTTACATTAAATCTTGTAAGTTGCTTTGACATCTCCTTACCTGTAAGGCACGATAGTCAAATGTAAGGATTATTTTTATTTGGTTTTAGGCTACATTTGAAAACTTGTATATTGCCATTAGGCAGGCTTATGTTTCGTGAATTCTCTAAACCTGAGAATTTGTACTTTTTTTAAAAAAAAATTCCGCTGTTGTATGTTACTTGATCTATTTTTACTTGATACAGTAATGCAATTTAAATGAAGTAGGAGCTTGTATAGTAAAGTTGCGTCTACATTGCATCCTTTGATCTGTGGAAAACGTGAACAGATTTTTGTTTAATGATTTTTGCTTTTAATGTAACCACAAATGATAAAACCGACAGGCAGACCAAAAAAGCATTATTAGGAGTTGAGGGCTAAATACTCGGTCTTCAAGAGAAGCTTCTTAGATGCTTGGGCTTTGCATCATCAGACCTCTTTGTATGTATAATCTCTGAAATTGGTTTCCTGAACTTCGAATGCTCACTTTTCTCTATCCAATTCATTATTGACGTTCAAGTTGAAATATTAATTAGCCCATTTAGTTTGGGTAATTAATCCTTACATGTGATGCTTGTCTTGTGTTGTGAGGATATCTCAAAATGCTTAAGGGGGTTTACTTTGAAGTGTAAGAACTGTATATTTAGGTTGTTATTGTCAGCCAGGACATTGGGAGGAACATCCATCTCGCAGTCCCGATGTAGGTCTTGAATCTGTGATTTTCGGCCTCTGAGTTGAGAGTGCTACCGACTGACACCTGGACAAACTCTGAAAACTTTTTTTCTCTCTCTCTCCCCTCCTCATAGTTGTTTGCTTACCTTCACTCCTAATATATCAAATTGTACGACATTGCTAACTATATAATTTCTTTGAACAATTTTTCTTTGTTGCTTTTAAAGCGACCTTTGACTGGTGACATTTGACATGATTTGGATATTACCAAACCATAATCAGGGTGTTGATAAGGCTTGTCTGCTATTCAACTGGGCAATTTTAGTCAGGATATTTTTGACTCTACAGCTATAGTTGATTATTACTGTGAACTATAAGACCCAGAGTGCAGTCCAAGGTAAAACATTTCTAATGTGTGCGAGTACTTTTTTTTCTAAATGTGTAGCGTTGTGATAACTACAGCAGTTGAGATCCATATTTATTGATATGTAAAATTTTGAGAGGAAGAGAGGTCAGTAAATGTTCCACAGCCTGTGATTTTCTCTTCTACACATGGAATATAGAACAAGAATCCTCGTTAGTCCAAAAATAAACTATTCTGTGTATGATAATTTTTGATCAGCGCTAAGTGCACACATTCAGGAACTATATATTTCAGCCGAGAGGGAATTCATGTCCTGTCGAAGCTGTTGCATCAAGGTGGCTTTGGCAGTAGAGTGAATCGATCAATTTGCTGATGCACCAGACTTGTACTGGGTTCCCTGAAAAGCACAAGTGAGCTGGGCCTTGAAAGATTACATAGAACGACATGCCACGGAAACGGCCCACTCAGCTCCTCCGTAGCCGTCCAGATGGGCCGAAGAAAAAAAAAAGTGCAAACCCTAAATGGTGATGATAGGTCAAACTTTCCAAAATGTCTGTTCTGCAGCAGGGAAAGAAGCCTGCTGCTCTAATACCTGTTTGGATAGA